ATGGATATGTTGTATATATATTTTCAGGCTTTGGACATCAGGTTTCGGGCCTCGGCACTTGGCACTCAGCAGTTGGTGATTTGTGTACTGGGTCTCAAGTTTCAGGTTTTGGTACTCGACACTTGGTGATTTGTGCAATGAGGGAGATATGGATATGTTGTATACATATTTTCGGGTTTCAGGCTTTGGGTTTTGGGCTTTGGACATTGGGTTTTGGGCCTCAGCACTCGGCACTCAGCACTTGGTGATTTGTGTACTGGGTCTCAAGTTTCGGGTTTCGGTACTTGACACTCAGTGATTTGTGTAATGAGGGAAATATGGATATGTTGTATATATATTTTCGGGTTTCGGGCTTCAGATGTCGGGGTTCGGGCCTCAGCACTTGGCATTCAATGATTTGTATAATGTAAATGAAAAATGGGCATGTTGCACACCGGGTTTCAAGTTTTGGGTTTTGGCACTTGACACTCGGTGATTGCAATGAGTGAAAAATGGTTATGTTATATACATGTTTTTGTGTTTTGGGCCTCGGACTTTGGGGTTTGGCCCTCGGCCCTTGGTACTTGGTGATTTGTGTACTGGGTCTCGAGTGTCGGGTTTCAGCACTTGACACTCAGTGGTTTGTGCAATGAATGACAAATGGACATGTTGCATACATGTTTTTGGGTTCCAGGCTTCAGGTTTTGGGCCTCGGCACTATTTGCGAGTTTCCAGTCTCGAGCTTCGGGTGTTCGGGTATCCGAAATGGATGTTGCACAATGGGATTTGGTTTTCAGGCATCTGGGACTCGGTGATCCATGAATGTCAGACAAATATCTCACTACCTTGGCCCACCTGTCTATATAATAAATATTCCACCACTCCCTCAGCCCACCTGTCTACAAAATAATTCCAGTACATCAGCCCACCCATCTATATAATAAACCATTACATCAGCCCATCCGACATCTTTGAGGATATACATAATATCAGCATAGATGGGCCCACCCATCTCCATCAGAAATAATATCCCTCCCGGCCCATCCATCAACATCGGGGATATACATAACATTGGCCCATAGTCCACTGGCCCGTCTTATATGGGATATTATGTCAGTCGGGTGACCCATATAATACGGAGTTTGTCACTGAAGGGGCTCACCCTGCAATGCCTTCATGAAGGCCTTTGATGTGAAATCATCCTCTGGCACCCAGTGTCTTCTTAGATAGATGATCTATAGATGAACACCTACAAAATCAAATATCTCCACGGTCAGTGATTCAGACAAATACCAATGACTGATAACGTGGTTGTTTGTGGGTGGCCTGTCAGTATATCCAAGCTACGGTCAGACAAAGGTACTCTACGATATCAGTCTAGAAACACTAGTTAACCCAGCGATATGGTGTTGACTAAAAGAAACAAAGAAACAGAAAAAAAAGAACCAAGACTAAGCACAATCACTGGTGCTAAACAGAAATAAGAACTAAGACTAGGCACAATCAATGGTGCTATATTCTAAACTTACTGTGAAACAATTGTGCGAAGCTGTATTGGTCACTCCCACAGCGCAAACAGGTAGGATCAAAGGTCAAGACTTGTCAAAAGCTTCCGTAGAACTCTTAGCCTAATATTGAATCTGCTGCCAAGGAACTCACAATGAGTATTAAATGTTACAAGAACATCTAGACGCTTGGGCCCCTACCATTTTTCTCCTAATACTCCTCGTATCAGCCCTCGCGTCATACCCTTACCCCGACCTTACCCTTGTCATCCTCGTCATCCTCGCATTCCCTTTCACCCTCTACCTGTCGCTTCAGCAAAGCCAGTACATTTGGCCGGACCCTTTCACTGACGAAGCATACCCATGCTCCGTTTCGCCACCTGACTGATCCTGCGGACAGCCCCCTTTGCCCTTACCATCTGGATGGTAACCTATGACACGATGCACGACGCATCCCCTTTTCCCTTTCTTGTTCTCTGACTCGGTGCGCAGTCGCACATGCAACTTATACTTAGATCCGCAGTTGCACAGTCGTGCCCCTGCGCGTTTCACTTCTTATTCCGATCTTTGACTCACTTTCTTATCCAGCACGTTCTACCTAGATCGAACGTGCCTTCCTATTATGGTCTTACCCTTTACCGATTGCCTCTCCCGGTAGTACGAGTTATCATCCACTAATACGTCCCCTGTCCTCTATATAAACTCGCTACCATGTACTATATTCCCTAACTTGAATCTACTTGGTTCTTGACCTCCTACTCTCACCAGAGTGATCCTTCTGCCTCGCCAGCAGTCTATATTCTATCTTCTTATCTGCTCTTCGCGGATAAGCCTATAGTCTCGACCTTTACTCATCGACTTCGTCGACGAGCAAAGCCCCTGTTAACTAGTCGGACTTCTGTCCTTCTAAATTAACGACGATCCTTACGATTAACCTTTGGGTGTCGTAAGCCTAGGCCGATATAGCTTATCGTCTTGCGCCCGCGTGACATAAGCTACCCGATTTGGACATAGGCGTCAAATCGTACTTGCCGAAGACACGCCAAGTACGACCCCTAACCTTGGGCTAGCCCAAGGACGTCCTCGACCGTTGACGACACACGCTCTGTTTGAGCGTCGCCAACAGATACCATCCAAGTCGTAACAGTAATAGGAAGATAGAAGTGTTCTGATTTTGTCTTTAGATTTACTTCTTCTACATCTGCAAAGTTCGCAAGGATCGAGTATCTACTGCCCGACTTGTCTGTCTATTGTTCCTCCAAGATTTTATTTCTTCTAGAGGCTTCCCATTCCTTAAACCATCTAGGCGGTTCTGATACCTTTTTGGCAAGTGCGTCTGCCTTGGCTTTTATCTTAGCCAGCATCTCTTTGCCTTCTGGTGATATGGTCCAGTCTTTGAACCACTTGGGAATCTCCGATTCTTTCTTCTTTGCTTCTCTATCAGCTAAGAAATCTTGGAACCATCTAGGAGGTGCGGAGTTATCTGAGGAGGGAGGGAAATTCGGAGTTCTACATTTTTGTGCAATGTGATTTGGCTTTCCACATTTGTAACAATTGAACGGCTGTTTAGGCCCATTCGTAGCCTCATCAAGTGCGTGAAACTCATGCAAGGAATAAGTCTTCTTAGTCATTGTACCAGTTGTATTCTGGAACCCGCTTTACAAATGATGTAAGAAGTTTGAAGGGCGAGTCGTAATGGCCCTTCCGGAAAAGGAATAATGAAGTGGTGGACGAGTCGTAACGGTCCATCTGAAAAGGAATGATGATTAAGGGAGAGGGAAAAAGGAGTATGTAAATGGAAAACTGAAGCGGTCCCCGATACTAATCGGATCTACCACGTGCTTCAGGGTCAAAGGGTTCTTTATTCAACCCTACTAACACTTCCCTATCTACTAACTAAAAGAGAGTACGTAAATTACACCTTTGTTAAGTGAGAAAAATGTGGTGTGCTTTGTGTGTGTTACTTCTCAATCACCACAAGGGTACAGGCCAAGGACAAGTTATCACTCTTCCAGCCAAAGCTTACAAGTGCAAGTCTCACTTGGACACCGTATCTAAATCCTTTTGGTAATGATGGTAAGACTATCCGCAGATGCAACAGTTCTACTAAACTTAACAGAAAGGTACTACGTGCGTACGAAGAAAAGGGTAATCGTAAAAAGGAAACTATAGTAATGTGAAGCAGGCAGGGTTTTGGGCCAGCACTTCAAGTTGTAGTGAGACGCCTAATGTCGTCAACACCTCCGTATACTGGCGGCTGCAATGTACGGCAGGGCCTGGTATAGGACTACTAACTACAAAAGACTAATGGTAGAGAAAACGCTCAAGTGAGCAAAGAAAGGGTTTCAAAGAAAAGGATCGCGGTTGTTTAGACTGGGCAAGATAAAATGTGTAATGGGTGTTAGACGTATGTCTCGCGCAAATATACTGCTGAGAGACACGTGTAACGACTGAGTAAAGATGATTGTTTGAATCGTTGGTCAACCTATTGGTCGGCCAAGGCTTCAAAGGATATAGTAGTGGATGCGAGCGGTATGCGAGAGTCGGAGTCTCCTATAGTTCAAACCTAATGTCACAACCCAAATAACGAATTAACGCTTGGGCAGAGACTAGGACTCGACTAAGGTTATCGGACAAGAGAGAGAGGAGCAAGTACGTCTTGGATTGCTACAATGTAGATACAAGAGGTTTAAACTAGAGAACTATCGACCAAGACATGCTACCTATATACAACTATTAAAACGGAGATTGAAACTAAGATATAACTACTAGCCAATCATAAAAAGGGAAAGGGAATCATACCATAGAACATCGTAGAATATTAAAGAAGCATCACGTGATCATATCTTATCTTATCGTATCTAATCTAATCTATTCACAATCAAAGAACTCGTCTTCTTCATCAGTCACATCGAAGACACGTGTCGTGGGCACTAAAGGTATTTCAGGAATGATAGACGCTTTCAGGGTAGGGTTAGGGTTTGACTTAGGCGCTGTATATTGATGCTTAGGAAGATTTAGGAAAGAATAATGGTTTGTTAAAGGTACTCATGACAGATATACTACATTATTTGTCATAGATCATAATACCTGTGTGAATTGTACGTAGGTGAACATGATTTGTCAGGCTTAGTCATAGATCAGCTGACTGTGGTAAGAGAACATGGTTTACATAATATGTTGAAACTTGTTTGTATTTGGTGTTATTTAGAGACGTAGCATATGTCATAAAGCAAAACTGGGTAACACATGTATTTAAAGTTTCCTGGAAGTTCCCGCAAACAAACATATGCGGAAAGTATTTTTCATGGAAGCTTCAGATGCGTGAGAATCTAGCTGAGTCATCTTCGAGCCAAATAGCACAAAATTCACTCCATGCAAAATTCCCGAAAAATATTCACTAACACCACACGGTCATGCACCGGACCAGTTTGGTGCAGGTCACCAGCATTTCCACTTCCGGATGCCCAAGGTGATGCAACATTGTTTTTGCTTGATCAACCTGTCCCTCTGGCCATGTCAACCCCCGCATCCGCACTTCCTCCTCTCATTGACCTGTCTATGGGAGGGATGGAGCCCAACCCCCCGAACCTCCAGGATGATTCTGCCATTGACGGACTCATATTTGAGCTCAACCAAATTCAACCTGAGGTTTCACAGATGCCTGGTGAAATTGTGAAACCGGATGATCTGGGCAATCTTTTCCCAGAATATGATTCAGTTGAAGAGATGGATGTTCAAGTGAAGGGTGAACCTTCTGGTGAGGATGTTGACATGGCTACATAATTAGATAGTCATAGATGTATATGCAATGTTTTCAATCAATGTTACCTTTGTTATCACTGACCTATCATTTCACCAAGTGCCGAGACCCGAATGCCGAGTGCCGAGGCCCAAAATCCGAAACACGAAATGAGTGGAAAACCAAATTTCGCAAAATTGTTGACATGGAAATGTTACATTGTCTTCAACAGTTTGCTGGATGTCATTTTCCGATCCCCAAAACCTGGAAAGCCCGGAAACCTCATTCTGGGCTTTCTGGGTTTTGGGTTTTGGGGATCAGAAAATGACATCCAGCAAACTGTTGAAGACAATGTAACATTTCCATGTCAACAATTTTGCGAAATTTAGTTTTCCACTCGTTTCGTGTTTCAGATTTTGGGCCTCGGCACTCTGCATTCGTGTCTCGGCACTCGGTGAATCGATAAGTCAGTGATAAGTTTTGGGGTTTTGCAATCAGCTCTTGGTGAATTTTGTAAGAAATACCATATGGTGTATTGTGTCCAGTGTCATGTTTCAAGTTTTGGGTTTCGGCCATTGGCACTTGGCACTCAGCACTCAGGACTGATTTGACAATTCAGTTTCGGATTTTGGTGTTCTAGGAGTAACACTTTCATGTCAACAATTTTGCAACATTTAGTCTTCCACTTGTTTTGAGTTGTGGGTTTCAAGCCTCAGATCTCAGCACTCAGCACTCGAGCCTTGGGCCTCAGCACTCAGGTCTCGGCACTTGGTGAATTGATAAGATGAATTCTGGGGTTTTAGGATCGGCATGTGGTGAATTTTGTAAGAAATAACATATTGTGTATCGCTTCCAGTCTCGGGCTTTGGGCTTTGGCACTCAGCACTAGGTGATTCAATCAGTCAGTGGTAACACTTTTGGTTTTGCAGTTCGGCTCTCAGCACTCAGTGATATGTCTAAGGAAATTGATATTTCACACATTCTTGCTAGTATCCAGTTTCCAGTCTTGAGCTTCGGGTCATCAGGCATCCGGAATTCGAGATGGTGATTTCTTGTGGAAAAATGGATGTTGTACCATGGGATTCAGTTTTTGGGTGTCGGGACTCGGTGATCCATGCATGTCAGACATGAGTATCCAGTGCTTTATATATCTATATAGTAAACCAATACCTTGGCCCATACGTCTACACAATATCTCACTACCTTGGCCCACCCGTCTATATTACATTCCCCTCCGTCAGCCCACCTGTCTGTGTAATATATTACCTTGTCGGCCCACCAGTCTATATCATAAATAATTTTCTGCACTCTTGGCCCACCCATCAATATAATAAATATTTTACTGCTTGCCCGGCCCACCCATCTATATCATAAATAATTTTCTGCACTCTTGGCCCACCCATCAATATAATAAATATTTTACTGCTTGCTCGGCCCACCCGTCTATATCATAAATAATTTTCTGCACTCTTGGCCCACCCATCAATATAATAAATATTTTACTGCTTGCTCAGCCCACCTGTCTATATAATAAATATTCCACCGCTTTCTCAGCCCACCTGTCTACAAAATGATTCCTGTACGTCAGCCCACCCATCTACAAAATAATTCCTGTATGTTGGCCCACCCATTGATATAATAATCTTTGCCTTACATCTCTCTTCAGCCCAGCTGTCTATAATATATATCTCCATCCTACTCTACATATTACCCAGATGGGCCCACCCATCTCCATTGGCAAAATATCCATCCCAGCCCATCCAACATCATTGAGGATATATATAACATTAGCATAGATGGGTCCACCCATCATCATCAGGAATAATATCCCTCACGGCCCATCTGTCAACATCAAGGATATACATTACATTGGCCCATAGTCCGCTGGCCCGTCTTGTATGGGATATTATGTAGGTCAGGTGACCCGTATAATACGGAGTTTGTCACTGAAGGGGCTCTTTTCTCAACATCACTTCCAACAACCATCGGGGTTTTGACACCCGATCCCTACCATCCAACTATGTGCTATGCTCCGCATCCACCTTCAGTAGAGGCATCAGATATCACGAGGATGGCTTCATACAAGCGACCTTTCCTTGTGCACATATCTGCATGCAGGACGCCAGGGTTATAGCTAGAAATTATCTTACTGCATTTGGCTTGGAAAAGGAGCCATTTCGAAGCATATTGCACTCAGGTTGTGGAGGAGATAGTCACTGTTGCACACAGCACTGGTCAACCAGCTGAGTCAGGTAGGGGCAAAGGCCATTGACATTTGCCCATCATTTGCTTACCGTACTTGTGGCAACAGGCTTAAAGTGTAAGGAGACCAAACAAATGAAAAGATTGGATCTAACACACCCAGATGCAATCAAACTGGTATGTCTCAAATCTGGCTATGTTTGGATATTCTGATGCAGACCGAAATACTACAGATATCCTGCAAGAGGGACAGGCTCAAGAGGGCCTTGAAGGACAACACACTCGCCCTGGTGGACTCCCAGGATAGAAGTCACATTGAGGGCTATGCCTTGGATGGCAAGGACCCTGCCGAGGTCATACCATACATTCATAGCATCACAGGTTTGACAACCTGGAGTGACAGGGTGATTTCAATAGACTTTACCTTCGACTCAGGTGGGGTAGTATCGTTTTCTTGTACAATAATCAATGACACTCATTTGGCACCACACAGAATCTATATCGACAGAAGGCCATTCTCCTCTTAGTGGCCCTTCATATCTTGAAACTGATTCCCCACGAGCCCAAACATTCATTAGTGGATCTATTCCCTGATCAGTATGAAACCATTCCAGAGCACTATGTAGCAATGGCATGTGCTATGGTATGTAACATCTTTAGTTCAAAATTTGAACCTCACACTGGTCTTCAATCTACAGCTTGTCATTCGTTTCAGGCTATGCTTTCCCGACCATCAAATTCCTAAAATTACTGCTCACATCCTGCAGAGGGAGGCCTATTTTCAGTTGGTTCTCCTCAGGATGGCTCGCATGGGCAACAGCCCAGAAGCTATTGAGCTGAACCAGTGGATGAGTATGTGCCTTAGAAATACTGGGTGGAAACATGACCTGTTGAGCTAATTCTATTAGAGTTTGTTGACAAACTGACTCAAGTTTGTCTCATGCACACAGTGAATCTGTCCTGCAATTGTCAAATTCACATTGTGGACCAAGTGGGCGATGATCTCATGCCACAGCACGTCCTGCTTGAAGGCTTTCACTCATGCAATATTGAATATGTACTATATGTGTAAGGTGTAGTTGTTATAGATGATCTTGTAGTGAATTTTCATTGTACTACATCTTGGTTGCATACAATTTGAACTGGCACAGCACCACTTAGTATATTGGCAGTTCCTGGATACCCCCAGCAGGTGTCACTGTTTAGTATATGTAAACTTTCAGAGATCCCTAGCAGCGGCGAACCACAGGTCCCTGATTCTGTTGTCTCATTATTTCTTCTACTATCCCTCAAACAGCATATTTTGACCTGTGACTTGACTGCAATGTAACGATGGTAGCGGTGCTGGGCTCGGAACCATGGTTTTTCATACTCACGTCAACACCCAAAACATACGCACACATCTGACGCACTTTCACACATGTCCGAGCCACTCCGCATTGGACCTTTGGATATCGCATCGGCCAATCGCACTTTGCGCGCTGAAGGTGAATCAACTCAGCTGTTGGTCAAATGATAAATCAAGGGGAGGGACACAAGAAGCTGATATAATGATCTAGTGCAACACCTAGTCTGCTATGCTTGCAGGGACAAGCACATTCGATCCAAGGGGAAGCAAGGAAGACAAATCCACAGTTGTGCAGTGGCTGTGCGAGGCGAGCGATGTAAGCGCGAAGCGCGGGAAAATCGCGCGTGATTAGCGCGAGAGTGTGGGAACGTGAAATACGAAAGTGCGAAATGAAACAACCAACAAACGAGGGCTCAATGAATGACTACTAACAGGACTGCTAATAAATTCTGACTCTAGCTATAGACATGATGAGGGAACTCCACTAGGGTAAGGAGTGGTGCTCAAAAAGGGTGAAAAATGCGGACCTATATATGTGTCTCGCTGAGTGAGCCGAGTAGGAGATAATGTAGGTAATAGGGTATGTAAGTCAGGATCCATGCTTTAATATGATGTCATATTGAATGAGATGTGAAAATATGTACCAGTGAGACTTGCTAGACAGTGGATGGATGCTCCTGGATGATAGGGTGATGAAAGCGCGGGAAAGTGTCGCCTGATATGGAAATAGCTTGGGAAAGGTCAGGGAATGATGCTGCGAGTTGGTGCTGCAAATCTGGGTGGTATGAACTGAAGTATTACGCATTGCAAGCCTGTAATTATGTGAATCTCTACAGCGCACTTGTCCATCCCATGTCCTGTCCTTCCAAACTAGCCTCACTAGGTGCATAGTTATTCCCGTGCACATTTTCTGACATTCAGACCGTGTTATTACATGTCCTGCAGCACCTCATGTCTTATTACATAGGACATTGGACCTGAAATATATTGCTACTATCTTCACCTATAGTATTCCGAATTTCTACATACTTACTTAAATACTCTGTAGTGACCCATAGCAATTATCATCCAGTAGTTAGGAGCTGTTTCCCAACTCTGCAGATCACCCAGAATATTCTCATAGTTCTTAGTTGCATTGCAAAATATTACCATTCCTTCACTGTCATACTCTGTCACTTGTTATACTCACGCTGAAGAAGAGGAATCTAAACTGTGGGGAAAGTTGGTGCTAAGCTAAGCAAACACAGATAGACCCGGGCGCGAGTGAAATTGTTGTCCCAAGGGCAGCTAACTGAGTAAAGGAAACCCCTCTTTGTAAAAAGAGGGACACCAAACAACTAATGAAGTACTAGGGCTAAGTAACGCGCAAAGTGTGAAGCAGAAATGATGTGATGTATGAAAGGCAAACGCGCACAATGACGCATGAGTGTGAAAGGCAAAGGTTGAGGTGTGCAACGCGAAGGTAAGCACATGCAACCGAAGGTGAGAGACAAGCAAGCGAGAGAAGCAAAGGAAAGACGAGGCGAGATGAGTGTTAACACCCCAACTAAGGTTGGCTGATGCTGAGATGGAGACCGAGAACCAAAGTGCACAACTTTAGACAGTCACTTGCAAACAACGAGTAAAATTCTTAGTATCTAGAGACACATAGAAAGTGGGCGGAAAATCGACCCAGAAAATAGAGTAAAGAGATAGTATATGTAAGGATGGCTAAGCGTCACTAGGCACGCAGGTCCGATGTAGCAAGCCGAGTAAGCTAAATATAGTACGCAAGGTAGGTAACAGGGTCTTGGCTGCATGCGTAGTGCTAGGCTGAGAATTAGCGATGGAAATAATGAGTCAAAATGGGAATATAGTGAGAAATGCATCAATGGACATCTAAGGACATGGGGAGGACAGATGGATGGGTATGCGGACGATGCTAATGCGGATGCGCGGTGCGCACGAAGTGTGAGTGGCTGTGCACGGAATCTGCAAAGTAAAATATATGAAGCGCTACTGCACAAGACGTATCCTTGGGATTAGAGCTGGAGTGTGTAGGGAATGTGAGAGAATTCGAGGGAAGTGCCTGTGGAGATGTGAGGCTCTACAACGCACACCGCTTGCAATCCAACACTTGTTACATAGTTTCCAACCCATTATCATGAAGTCCAAAATCAATCTCAGACATGGCACTTTGGCTTCAGACATCAGATAAGTACCCTCAGACATCGTTTTGTGGCATCAGACATTTTGTTATTTGCATTACTGATGCATTTTACTACTAATACCAATTAGCAATCCCTTTAGGATCAAATGCACTTGCTCTGCAAGTATAGCAGACTAGGTCGTGCAAAAGATCTACCTAAATATTGTTGACTAGGTAGTACAATTTCTGCTGAGCCCAGCAAGGATTTACTCTTTACAGCAAATTTCTAGGGCATTGCCAAGCAGATTCTGAAAGCGGCAGTGGCGGCTGACCTGACAAATTTTGGAGTGACATCATTATGGCATTCATTCGCACCAGAGGCCCAGGGCACTGGGAAATGCTCTGTTATTTATGCTCACACTGATTCACCTTATAGATGCCCCCTCTGGCTACTTGCATTTTGGGACAAAGTTGCAAAAGATATTATCCTTCAGACTGTCTCCAAATCAACTCAGTGACTATGTCTACAACAGTACTGCATCTTATCAAGGTTGGGAATGAGGGCCCTCTTATTTGGTGTGTTGACCTGTTGAACGAATCTGACAGCAGTTACTCAAGGACTAGTAGTACTATACTAGTGGTTCAAGTTGGGGTCACCGTCAAATTTTTCACAAGCTTTGATAGGACCAGATAGGTGTGTAATTTTCAGTTAGTGGCTATTCATTCAACACCTTTACTAAAGAGTTTGCTACTCTGACTTGAGTTCCTAAAACAGACTTCAAGCTATTTGCTCAAACCATGGCAAACAAGGGTTCAAAAGTCAAGCGGCGGTCATGGTGAAATTCCCATAAATTCTCAACCTGTATCACAGTGATTCCACCTATCATGTCAGAGGAGCAACAATCTTGTGGCGAAAGACACAAACAACCCATGGATGCCCTTCAACTCAGCCCCGGGAAAAGGTGAGTGGCTTTAGTCTGTTTACATGGAGCAATTACTACTAACCATTACAATTATGATACAGGACTGCAGCCAATCCATTGGTTCACTATGGACATCATTTCGGGCGGACAGTGCATGCTCTTTGTAACTTTCAAGCTCTTCTTACAAATGGGATTTTACGAATGGGCGAATTGGCAGAGACTCCAGAAGAAAACTTCACAACTGAGTACTTCGTTATCCTGTGGATTTATGTGCAGTCCATTCAATCTGATGTACAGGGGAACAGTGGGAGCATCATGTATTCCAAGAGCTCCTGAAGTCTGTGGCTGGCCTGGAGGAGCACTTGATGCAGGGTGGAGATGATGAGGTTGATGCCGTTGTGGAGTTGGCAAGGACCATTATGCCCTCCTACCTCTTCAAAGTTGACTAATCACATACCATCAGCTCACTAAAGGCGCATCTGGAGCGAGGGGCGATGATACCAAAAGTCTCAAAGGCAGCGTGCTAGACTGGATTACTCTAAAGGGACAGAATCTAATTCCTCCTCTTGCTCGCAATGTAAAGATTGACCGTGGTTTTCACCATGAACAGACAAGTGCACTACTTTGTCCTGCCAGCCTGGACTGGTCTCACTCAGAGTGCGTAGTAACTTCCTTATCTCATTTTTGACATAAATACCAATAGTATGCAGGACAAAAGCCAAGTTACAAAGTGGCAAGATTGTCGTGACTGGAGACCAGTGGCCACTATTCCTGTATGCAGATTACTACTACAATCCTGAGGATCCCTGGAACGGTCTGTTTCAAAGTGCCCTGTTGGTCTGTGTAAGATATACACTTTCTTCTCACTTCTAGATTCTTCATGTTCAACCGAACTGTACAGGCGTATAAACACGTCTTTACCTCTCCTAGTTCTGTGGACAAAGAGCCGAAGGCGACTCATTCGGGTAATGCTCGATAACCCAAATTACTCTGCCTTCCATTGCATACATTGCAACACAGGTAATCCACACATTAAATAAATAAGTTTCTATCTAGTTAGCTTTCTTTCCAGGTCCAATTCGCCCTAACCTCATCACCTGTATTTTTATGTACAGACACTGTGACCAACTCAGAAAGATTCTACAACTCTATTTTGGATGTATTCAAAGATCCAGAGGAGAGACAGGAGATGGATGACCTTGCAGTGTGGTGGAATAGGTGATTGACGACTTTGAATTACGTTCTGCTAATCCTCATGTGCTTCAGGCAGATTTTTCCTTTGTACTCCACCACCCCTGGTCAAGAACAGCGCACTGGCCAGGATTAGAGAAAAGCGAGCAAGAATGAAGGATATTTTAGCTCATGATGGTGGTAGTGGTGATATCATAGCATAAAAGTAGTTGCGCAGCAGTTCTTTGTACCTTGCTACAGAATCTACCTTGTAGTTATCACAACTGCATTGCTGCACTAGTATCTACAATGTGATGCCAATGTTATACCCCAATCCTCCAGCTAAAATTTAGTGACAAGTTCTACTCAACTTTATATATCTTTACTCAAGGCTGCAATCAAGACAGTAGTGATACAATGATAGACGATGTTGCTGACATTACTATGAAGGTCACCACAAGTCCAATGAATGCACTCGAGTCCAACACCTGTAGTAATGATATCAATCGGACAGAACACCAAATATTGCATTGTCGCTCACAAATATAACTACAGAATGTACATGAGCAACACCTATAAAAGTGGTAGGGATGCAACACACCTTTGTGAGGTGTGTCTTTCTGATGTACTAGGACATGTGTGGTCAATACTTATAAAAATAATATGGATGGGACACACCTTTGTGAGAAGTATCTTTTTGATAGGCCATTTGTAGGTTTCATAGAGGCAGGTGTCCATTATTGTTACGGACTTGGATAGTATCTGTTGATGACACTCAAACAGAGCATGTGTCATCAACAGTCGAGGACGTCCCTGGGCTAGTCCAAGGTTAGGGGTCTTACTTGGCGAACCTTCGGCAAGTAAGATTTAATGCCTATGTCCAAATCAGGTAGCTTATGTCAAGCAGGGCTCAATGATAAGCATATCTGCCAAGGCTTACAACACCCAAAGGTTAATCGTAAGATCTGCGTTAATAGAAGGACAGAAGTCCGACTAATAACAGGGGCTTTGCTCAATGACAAAGTCAATGAGTAAAGATCAAGACTAGAGACTTATCCACGATGAGCAGATAAGAAAGTAGAATATAGACAGCTGGCTAGGCTGAAGGAATCACTCTTGTTAGGAGTAGGAGGTCAAGAACCAAGTAGATTCAAGTTAGGGATTTAGATACATGGTAGTGAGTTTATATAGAGGGGAGGAAGCATATTAGTGGATGGTGACTTGTACTACCAGAAAGGGAACTGGTCAAAGGGTGATACTAGAAAAGGAAGGCACATTCGAGGTGAGTCATAGGCGAACCAGAACATGCAGATAGGAAGTGAGTCAAGGAATAGAAACAGGAAGTGAAACAGGCAGGGGCACGATTGTGCAACTGCAGAGCTAAGTATAAGTAAAATGTGCGACTGCACACCGAGTCATAAATCAAGAAAGGAAAGGGGATGCAGCATGCATCGTATCATAGGTTACCGTCCAGACGGTAAGGGTAAAGAGGACTTGTCCACAGGATCAGTCAATGGGTGGAACGGAGCATGGGTATGCTTCATCAGAGAAAGGGTCCGGCCAGATGTACTGGCTCTGCTGGAGCGACAGGTAGAGAGCGAAAGGGAATGCGAGGATGACAAGGATAACGAAAGCAAGGTCAGGGTAGGGGTGTGATGCAAGGGCAGAGACGAGGAGGATGAGGAGAAAAATGGTGGGGGCCCAAGCATCTAGATGTTCTTGTAACAGTTATATGCTTCAAGTTAGATGCTATTAGTAAAGTCAATGACTTGTTAATGGTGTATCACAATTATAATGCTTGCCACATGCAGATGCTCCTGTGCAATCCTTGTGACACTTGTGAGTTCCATCAGGTCAAGCATGCATTATGATGGATAGGACTTCCCATCTACAGTTGTAAGTCTAGATGTACCTTGGCAATCCACGTGTGTCTGATCAAACCTTGATAAATGAGGTCCCATCCTTGAATAGAAGGTGAGTTCTGGCACATCTATCCTGGCATGTAAGACTTCATAAAGTGATTCATCATTATTGCATTTATTGTAGGGATTTTGCCTATTATAATGCTATGTATACCTTCATCTTTGAATGTCTGATGATGTACTTGCGTGATTAAGTAAGCTGTACTCGCCGCTTTAGGAAAATGAATAACAAACAACAGCAATTACTATACTATCGTTGGGCCAGAGTTGCAAAATCTGACGACCACATTTTCATATCTCGTTGTTTGCTACACATTAAGACAAAATAATTATATGGACCTGTAGCTATGTGTGTCACGGGAGAGCTCCAGCTGACAGAAGAACGAAAAGTGTTCAAACGATGCTGCCAGAGGGATGCCGATGCAAAATGTTAGAAACAGTAGAGAGTTGCAAAATTTCTCATGGGCAAGTTGGCACAGGTGTCACACTGTGTCACAGTGTCGGTTTTGCAAAACTGAACTCCACCACGGCAAACGGTGCAATGAAAGGTGCAAGTCTCGAATTTAGAGTAAAAACATTGATTGCGGTGCGGGGAATCATTCTACAGGAGGAATATTAGTGTACAGTATGTAAAATATATGGTAAAGAATATTTATGGGTGACTATAGTACGAGTAAGATGCTTGTGGATAAAGTGGTGGTGGTATTGTACTGGAAGATGGGTAGTTGCTCGAATTAAATTGCATTGGCGGGTATAACCTATTATGTGACGCAAAAGATGCAGACTCGATTGAGGGGGGAAACGATGGATTGATGCGTTGACGGTTTGTTGGTGGAGGAATGTTTTCCTCGTTCTCCGTGATATTGGCAACTTGGAGTGGCCGCTTCTGTCTGCGTGAACGGCCGTTAAAGAGACCCTCGAATCGCGCATCATTTTTGAGATTGGCGTGTGAATCAAAGTACTCTCTGATAGCCTTCAACAACTCAGCCTTGGTGCCTGTTGTCTCGATCGTCAGCTGATTCACGATGTCAATAAGATCTTCCTTGCTCTTCGCAGAAAGAGCACCGGTGAAACAGATGTCTGATCCCTGCATAGCCTGTCGAGCCAGCCTACTCGCCTGCCTCGATGCTTTCCGCGCCGCCGCTTCTGCTTTCTTCTGAGCCTTGGCCTCCCTCGCCACATCCTGTTCCTCACACTGCCGCAGTCCCTCCGCAGACGTCAACCATCGTGCGTTGATATTCCTCGCCCGTGTCTTTTTTTGGCGCTTATTGAGTTGTTTCTTCATCAAGCCCACCTCGCTCAGCGCCATTGCACAGTGAGCTTTGGCAGAATGCAGCTCGGACTCCAAGGATTTGACTTTTGCCTCCAGCGCGGCAAGCTGGGCCTGCATTGATGGTTGGTCGGACGAGTCGGAAGGTGGTGAAGTGCAAGTTTGGACATGTGAGTGTTGATCTTCATCATCCTTATCCTCATCTGTTTCTGACTCTTCACTCTCTTCGCTCGACTCCGAACTGCTGTCAGAGGTTTCTGACTCGCTCTCGCTGCCCGACCTATCACTATCGGATTCCGATTCATCCACCGCATCAATGTCGCCGGCCTCGACTGTGTCGTCACGAGGTAAGATATCTTGATATAGATGAAGCTGGCTAGGTTGGATGGGGAATGAGGGTGGGACATGGGCTTCTGTTGATGTGACCATACTTGGGGCGAAGTCCTTGTCAGTAAAGATGTGGGGATTGAGTGGACGTATGCTGCTGTTCTTCCACGCCTTTGTAATCGTTTCTTCTGTAAATGCCTGGGCCCGAGCTGCCATATATTGATTGATGAAGTCCTGTCTGGGAATTTCATCACCGGTTTCATCAAACACATCCTCACAGCGCTTGTACCACACTCGCTGGAGAGGGCCAAAAACTCCAACATCGAGGGGTTGTAGCTCATGCGTTGTATGAGGTGGTAGACAAAACAACTCGATATTATGTTGCACAGCCAGCTCGCGCATTTCTTTTGTGATGTGGGAACCGTGACCATCGTAGATAAGAAGTATTGGCTTCCCGGAGTTATTTCTTGCCGTCGCCTGAGGAATGAACGAGTCTTCAAACCATTTCGTACAGATAAAGTCATCCGTCCACCCATTTGGTGATGTTGCAACACTGAGATAAAATTCAGACTTTTTTCGAAGTGGTGAAACATAGACATACCAAATGTTTGGATGTGCCTGGAACCAATTTTTGTGATATGACTTTCCGGAAAACACAAACCCTGGAGCGATGCTCGCACCATCCGCAGATATACATTCAATGGCTGTGACGAGCTCAAGGTTTGCACTTCAAGCTTTGTACTTCGGATATCTACCCCGAGGCACAAAATACTTCTCTGGAAAAGTCTTCCGGCCACCCCCTCTTTGACACCCTTTCTCGTCCATATTGTAGACATTTTCCCAAGGAATCTCCTTCTCCTCAATGACTTTCTTAAGAAGCTCAAAATGATGCTTGACATTGGTGCGGTTGCAACTCTGGCAACGATTTGGATCCAATGTGGACGGCTTTCCCAGAGTGATGTCAGGATGCCAGGCGAGAAAGCCCCTGATCCACTTTTCATGTGGCTTTTTTCCGGAAAGCACTGCAGCTTTGATCCGGATTGTCCGTTTGCTGAGGGGATGCCCCATGGAGCTAAGGTGCTTGATCCAGTCGACAAGCACAGATTCCGATGCAGGGGACAAGAGCTGTTGGTGTCCATGAGCTTTGTAGCAGGGCTGAGTGAGACCAAGATAGCGCCATCGAAGTGTGTGATACAAAACATTATGCTCCTTGGCAGCAGTACGAATATTTGGAGAAGGAGAAGCAAGAAGAATAGCACAGACATCCTGAATTTTTTTCTCTCGCTCTTCATTGAGTTTCTGAGCTTTTGTTCTGAAGACATGAGCACGGCGCGCTGGCATGCAACAGCACTATTGAGTACCCGAGCAGTCTCAAGTCGTCATTGAAAGTTTTGCAGCCGTACACTGCCGCACTCAAAATTGGTTCTCCGCTCCAAGCCGTCACGCTTGATCATTCTCTGACATTGATGCTTGCATTGTCGATAATAACAGCAACTGTGCTTCGTTCTCACTGGAAAAATGCTCAGAAGGTGGGGGTAGGCATAAAGTGTGTGCGGGGAAAAAAAATCATTTTTCGGTTGTGATTTTTGCTTTCGCCTGACTATTCTACGTGAAAAAAGGTAACTTCGAATGATAGATTTGAAGCCGTATGTGTTCCTCATCTTTATTTTTATAAAACAAAAATACTGTACTATGAATATATGTTAGAAGGTCCTATATCCAAGAGTGGGGGACTTAAGATGTGATGTTGTGTGTGCTACGAGGCATTTTGCAACTCTCTACTGTTTTGCAACTCCGGCCCAATGATAGTAGTCGTACATGCGGGAAGTTCACGTTCTGCAAGTGAAACGATGATTTTTGTTGACTGACAAGCACAAAACTAGAACAGCACTTCGGACGGAGGAGATTGATATTGTTGAGACAAGTCAATTGTGAAAGTCGCGGAAGATTATCTTTCCTGTCCATCGTCCACAATATTGCATCGCCCATCAGGGATTAATTCCAGCCTCATGGTAAAGCATTTATGGTAAGCCGTGACAGAGGCGAATTATGGAGACAAGTGCACATTGTGGAAGCCCAACTAACTTTTGGAGATATGTTCATTACTCTACGTACCCGCCATCCCGACAACGCCCACATGATCACGAATTTTCGCGATTTCACTGGCTGTCAACCCTCCCTTGCTTGCCCGGAGGAAGTCCTCAAAAGCAATGAGTGCATCACTATCATTACTGAATTCCGTTCTGATGATATATGTTTAGGTACGATCTACTCACACACAATCATTTACTCACCTCAAGTAAGAGTACAGGCGATCCCAAAATGATGGCTCGGCGATCACAGTCTGATAACTTGACCGCGCTGCGCGCGATATTGAAGCGGTGGGTAGTAAAGAGGTGTCAAGAGTCAGATCAATATCATTAGGTTTGCCCTCGGGCTCGAGGGACACGACTGATGGTGATGGCGACAAAACGATGGAAGGCGTGCGTGTATGCCTATGTCCTGTTGCCAGTTTCGCTTGCGGTGTTTGTATTTCGGGAAGATTGGAATGTTTCATCTTTACTGGTGAAGTGTTGGACAGGGATGGAGATTTGGTAGGATCCCAATCGAACCCAGGTTTAAGCATTAGATTTATAGTGTCTCCTTCTTTCACACCGTATTCCTTGAGGAGCTTTGTGTCAACAAGTGCCTTTCCTTTGAGTAAAAGCCGCTGTGCTTCTGCGGGCGGTGCTTTCGGTTGAGACGCAAGCAAGGCTTTAACTTCGGACACAGTATCTGTTGGCTGTACAGCAAGCGTGAACGACTGCGGAGGCTTTGTCGACTTGAACGTAATACTGATTGATGCAGCTAGCGATCTCTGGTAAGATGTCCATCAGTGATAACGTGGAGATGACACCTACCTGACGGTGCGGAAGGCTCTCCTTTACGTTCTGGAACAGGGGGAAGCTCAACCTGAAACAAGTTTCGCGTAAGGCCATGTGATGAAACACGATCCTCGAGTCAAACACGCACTGGTAAGATAGGGACTCTCTTTAGCGAATTCTGTGGGGGCTGGTGGTAGTCGTCACTGTATACGATAGGCTGAGCTCCGATGACTTTTACAAAGCTCCTGACAAAGACTAGTTCTGCTTGATCAGCCATTGCTTGTTGGTGTTGTTGTATGGATTGAGACAAAGCGCAGTGCTTTGTGCAGTGTGGCGGTGCAATGATGGGAGGTTTGTGACTTCTGTCACGATGACCGTGACACGGGATTCATTCGGGTCACGCTCGTTTCTCCTTCTCAAAGTTCGATGGCGGTATGTGTCTCGTCTGGTAATGACAAGTTTTTTCACTGACGTTTTATTTGCACACAGTCAGGTTTCAGCTATACCGGAGGTGTGAATTATTTACAGTTGTTATGTTCAATGCTGAACGATGTCGTGTTTAGGCCGCTCGCGGTGTTTTGCCTACTGGCAAGAATTCTCGAAAGTAATACCCGAAAATACCCGTTCTAGAAATTGACTTCTTACAGTTGGTATTCACAGTGCTATGCTGAAGCTGATGTGCCTAGTCAATGCCGTCTGCAGGCGGATGATTATCTAGAGTGCCTCCACCACACGAAAGAGGTGAGTATTCCTGCTGTCTGCCGTATATCCAAACTCATGTTCTTTGCATGAAGATTGCGCACGCAAAGGCTGTGAAGGCTGAATTTATTAAACAAGCAGAGCATCATGCTAAAGAGGGGCGTAAAGTGGCTGATGTTCTCGCAGACGGCGTGATTGTTGGAGTGGGGCTGATACAACGAGACCAAGGCGGGGAAAGCAAGCTCAAGTAGTATACTGAAATACCCTTGGTCGCTGGTTCGACTTGCACAGCACTGTTGCATCCTTCCGCATTTTTAGCTGCCTCGCGGCTGCCTGACGGAGCCTTAAGCCGATCAGTTACTGAATGGAAATCACGTTTTCGGAGGTCCTGCTTGCGGCTGACTTTAGTGCTTATAATATATTCTAAACAACGTGTTTCTTGCATGTTATCTGCATCTTGTGAGCTCGCCGCCATTGAGTTTGTGCATCCTTCACTGTAGCGGACTTTAAACGAACTCCGGGATGAGATCGACTCTCAGAACGTTTCTCAGTTCGATACATCTTGGTTCCCGACCAACAAACAGTTCATCTACCTTTCAGGCCACCGACCGTACCATGGTTGCTCAAGGTGTCGGTTCTATCAGTTCTCCCATCGTCATATCAGACGATGAGGACGAAGCTATGATAGACCTCCAGCTGCGAGTCGATCCGGATTCTGCGGACAGTGACCAAAATGATCAGCCACCAGATGGTGATTCAGAGGAGTTTTCCACGGCGAGCAAGGGCTACGCTATGGCCCTGAACATGGGCTATTGCCCAGGCCGCGGTCTAGGGCGCGGCCTCGACGGTAAGTGCCGTGGTAGTGCGCGTCCTTCACTCACCCAGATGGTCTTTGCTATAGGTCGAGTGGAGCCTGTGTGTCTTGAGGTTGCTCAGAAACGCAAACGGGTGGACAGCGGTATTGGATTTCAGCGGTCCCAGCTTTACACAACTGGCTGGCCACCTAGGAAAGGTGATGTTAAGCTAAATAAGAAACGGAGGAAGGAACAGCATACGTCTGGAGCTCCTCAGCGAGTTTTTAGGTCTCAGCAGCATTGCGCATTGCAACCCAAATCGCTCGCTGCTCCGACTGGCCCTGCGAATATTAGTCAAGGGCCTTGGGCAGCGCTTGCCTCCAGTAGGAAAGGCAAAGAAAGAGAACGCCTTACCGCCCCGTCTCCTCCGAAGCCATCACCAAGTCCTGTGCGGTTGCCTGCACTTCCTCAAGGTCCCAGGTCAAACCTTCCATACAGTCCTCCGTTGCCTGCCACGTCTCCCCCTAAAGGACCTCGTAGCTGGCTCGCATCTCAAGCTCAAGCTCGGTCCCCGACTCTGGCTCCGAAAACTCCACCCATTGCACCACGGTCACCACCGACTGCGCCACGGGCCATGCAGCAGCAGCAACTCACGAGCAATGGATATACCGGGCCTTCTGCTATTGCATCTCCTGTACCGCAGCTTGGTTATCCCCAGATGCAAACACAGCCAGTTAACAGTTACCCTGACGGACAGCCCACGGCCATCCTGCCTACTTCACAATCTGCGTTTCCGCAAATGCAGCAGCAACAGAACGCCATATACAACCCTGCATTCGCAGGCGCTCCGGTTCCACATTTTACTGGAGCAGAGACTTCCGAGCCGTGGCTCACGCAGTATGGGATGGTGACTATTACACCACCACCTCCGCCTCCACCTACCTATTTCATAGCATATCCTGATTATTCGAACCCTGGAGCATATACATACGTACCCGTCTCGACCCCTCCTGCTGGATATGCACCAGCATCAGCACCTGCTTCTGTCGATCCATACGTCGCGACAGCTGGAGGTGCTACAGGTCCGATATCGTCCAGTGGGCTTGCTCCTGTGACTGCTGATGTATCCACGACTGCTGCTGGTAATAGCCAGTCCGACGGATATCAAGCCATATCAGCCACCAATCCTGACCACGACCACGATCGCTCGGACACTTCAACGCCTGAGCCACCTCCCTGTAAGAGGTTGGTGGCAGAGCGGATGCGGAAGCCTAAGCTCCTCCATATCGGGCATGCACCGGAGGCAGACCCAAACAGTAAGACAGGGACGTATGCGAAGCCCCTCGCCTCGCAGCCGAACCCTTCATGCACGCTCGTGCTAGACAGCATCCCAACGCGGTTCCGTAACCCGTCGTGGGTGCACAAGTGGGCGGTGAATGCAGGGGAAGCAGAGCCGGTGTGCGTTGATGTGGATACGAAGAATGGGAAATCGTTAGTGGAATTTGTGGATTCTGCGTCTGCGCGGAGGGCATTTCAGAGTAAGCAGCTGAAGGGGAAGGGGAAACATGCGATTCGGGCATGGTGGTATAGGGTTACGGGGGTGGGCTCTAACGCTGGCGTTGGCGAAATCGAGGAGGGCGAAGTGGAGGATGGGAGCAGAAAGATACACGAGCCGATTGCTCAGTTGAGCAAGAAGCAAAAGAAGAAGCTGCAGCGGAAGCAGCTGGTTGAGACGAATCCTCAGGCAGGTTCGAGTGGCGCACAAGTTGCAGCGAGTGAAAATGCCACTGTCGACGAACAAGGGCGCGTACCATCTACTGAGCGGGAAGAGGCATCCATTGATGTACCAGCCCCTCGTAGACGTCGGTTCTCGTTCGATGATTTTTCCGTGCGTTTTGAGGTGTCTAGTGTCTCGCAGGATGGTGTTGCGGTTGGTCATTTTATCCAAGGGGACAATGATGAGGATCGTTTGTCCATTGCATCTTCACGGCCACACTCCACTCAGCTCGTCATACCTCACGACGACCGAGGGGAAGATGTGGAAGTGTCCTCGCCAATAGTGACGAGCGGCATGCCCAGCGATTTGCTATCGGCAAGTGAAGTCTCTGGAGAGAAAAGTGCACTGGTGGACCCTCTTAGGTCCACGGATGTGGACTTGAATTCTGCTGTGGATTTTATCTCAGCGGACAATAGTCCACTTCCTGCATTGAATTCAGAGGCCGCACAACAGGATAGAAAACCTGCAGAGGTCACAACGACCACATTGTCAATATCTTCCGACCAGCAACCTATCTGTCCCGATTCCACTTTACATTCTAATCTATCATCGTCTCTGTCGTCCACAGAAACGCCTGCCGACGAATCAATGGAACATTCGTACTCAGCCAAGATCGTGCCACTCGCACCCCAAAAGGAATTCGAAGAAAATATTCAACCTAGTGCATCTACACGAAGTATAGAAATTTTTGGCATGGCCAATCCTCTCACATCTACTTCCACCAATTTCCATTCGCCCTCACAACTACCAGTACCCTTGCCAAGCAAACCGTCGGCAGGCGAACCATCGGTGGACAAAATTGCACATGAAATGAACTTGCGAAGGCTCGTCCATGAAAGTAAGCAGAACAAGGCAAATGCCCGTGGCGCAACCTCCTCTCCGATGTCCACTAATCCTGCAACACTCCCACCTGTCACATCTGCTGTCAACGGTGAAGTTGCTCTTGCGCAACGTAGTCCCACCGTTTCATCAGCGACGTTTGTTCTTTTTTTTTAATCAATTATCGACACTGATTTTCGAGTAGGAGCTTGGAAGAACTTGCTGTCACATTTATTTCCGAGACGATAGAAGGCATCAAACCGACGGTGCTCAAACCCGCGGTGCCCTTAAACACACTACAGCTGGAGATGTCGCAAAAGCAGAAGAAGCTTGAACAGTACATTACACGAAGCAAGGAGCTTATTGCGGAGCTCAGCCAGGCGCAGACCAAGGAAGAGAAAGAAATCATCATGTGCTCTGTTCGTGAGTGGAGTAGGTATGTGAAGTTCGAACATTAGGGAGAATGTGGGCAGGGCTAAGCTGGGATGCAGATTAATGGAGAAGGATTCTGTGGGTGTGCCGAGTAAGGCTCCGGCCGTGGCTAGATTTTGTTGGCCTTCGTGCGAAGAAACGGTGTTGGTGATCAGTGATGATGAAGACGATGAGTGAGTAGGTATGTCGGGTTTTCCATTTGTTCTGCATATTGTCGAGTTGGATGTTATCACCGGGGACTTGGATACATTGTAAATTTAATGACATGATGTTTATTCATTGAGCGATCTTGAAATGAATTTTAAATAAGCTGTTATCTGGTCAAGTACCTGGCCTCGAACGAGGCGTGACGTGTGACTCATCAGGGATAAGGGTGGCCAGTATGCTTCGAAGTCAGGAAGCTCAAAAATGAAGTTGGGATTATTGTTTCAGCTGCAAGCGGTGACCTAGGCCGGAGTAGCCGACTGCACAGCCTATTCCAATGCTCCCTTCTAGTGTCATCGTGTTTGGGACTCAAGAACTGTCTTTTCTTGCTACGTGTCTGGTACTGACCAGAACGGAACTTGGGGCCCGGACGGGGGTTTAATCCGTTAAACGGTTATCATAGAAATGGCTCTAGGTCTCGCAAGATACGCGCTTGCTTTTGTCAGCGACCGGACCAAACAGGATACAAACATCATAAATAGCCACAATCTCCAGGTCTTGTTACTTGCCCTTTACCACCACCGCATCCCCGCTCATAGTCATACAAACTCAATACAAACTCACCTGTAAGTTCCTCTTCTAGTTTTCGCGGATATTTATCTTGCTCACCATTTATGCCTTACTTATCGTCTTCATTTCGTGTGCAATAATTCTGCCTCTATCCTTACGTCCCTCTTAATCATTTCCTCTGATCATGTGCGATTCCGGTCGATCTCTCGGCGATTCGTTCTGTCTTGTTGATACAGTATCGAATCTTGTATAACAACTCGCTACCATGGCTTTGAAGCGCATCAACAAGGTCCGTTTGTTGCTACTTGTGTCCCTGTGGCGATGCTCGCATCCAATTCTGACATGTGGCAACACAGGAATTGATCGACCTCGGACGTGACCCACCCTCATCCTGCAGCGCAGGTCCCGTAGGTGACAACATGTTCTCGTGGCAAGCAACAATCATGGGTCCTGTATGTCGTCTTGTTCTTCATCCTGGTTCTATTGCTGATCGAGCGCTCCCGGCGTCTTGATAGACCGACTCGCCGTATTCAGGCGGGGTCTTCTTCCTAACAATCACGTTCCCAACCGATTACCCCTTCAAGCCTCCCAAAGTCAGCTTTAGGACGAAGATCTATCACCCTAACATCAATGCCAATGGATCCATCTGTTTGGATATTTTGAGGGATCAGTGGTCGCCAGCGTTGACTATATCAAAAGGTGTGCAAACATACTATATTCTCATTCTTCTGGTCTATATCTCGCTTCATGCAGTGTTACTTTCGATTTGTTCAATGTTGACGGATCCCAATCCCGACGATCCTCTGGTGCATGATATCGCCCATCTATATAAGACCGATCGTACCCGCTACGAAGCAACGGCTCGGGAGTGGACAAGGAAGTACGTATCAACGTTATTCGATATGATCCTATCTCATCTATTTATTGCAGGTATGCCACGTAGTACGGTGTCCATTTACTTCTCTAAGCTGTACACATGGGTTATATTGGTCGGCTGTATCAACATCCGTTGTACATCATTGCATGTCTATGTTTTTAGTATCCCCCCTCGCTTGTTTGTACCAAATGAACGATGAATCGTCCAGGAATTCGTCTCAGTCTGATGCTACTCTGCTTGTCCATGTCAAGTTGTTCTTCCGCCCTCGAGTTTACTGCTATCTACTGCATGCAAGTGATTTTCACCAGTATCATATGACCAAGGGCCGTCCTTGTCGGGAGGCTCGTGGCGTAGTGCTCAGCTTGGCAATGTGTTGAGCTGCACAGGCCACCCATAAGTCACAAGTGCCATGCTGGCTTGAAAAATGTTGTCTTGCATCGCAACCATGACAGCTTGGCACTAACAGTGGTCAGTAATAAATGCCATTACTGGACTTGCTTTAAATTCTGACTGTGAATGGTTTAGGGCACCGTCACTATGGACGGAAGCTCGATGTCAACGTTCCACTTGCCACTTAAAACGCTTCCACATGAGACGCGTTTAAGATATGTTGTGGCCTTCCCGCCCGACGATGGTATCGATATGTTTGATGCCTTCCCGACAAGGTACGAATGATGTTTCACGAACTTCGAACTGCAAACAGATATCCAAAACACTTGCTACAGAGCAGCCGAGTACTCCCAAGAGTCTCATCCCCGTTAACTACGCATGCGCGTCTAAAGCGAGTCGCTGACTCGGCCTTACTAAATTAAGACCAAAAATAGCTCATGACAGAATGCATGCTGCGTATAGCGCCTCAATGTCAACGCTCGGCTCAACCTTCGTAGCCATGCTGAAAGTCATCGCGTTGTGCCATAACTCGCCTGCGGTGGCCATTCAAATCACGGAGTTTTCTTTCCTGAATTGACATTATGCTGACACAATTCCTTGGCGCATAGTAATCCTATCTGACAAGCGTTTCTTTTGGTCGGCCATTTTTGTAATGCGAATTGCATTGCACTGAGTTCAAGGGCCCCATTTCGTGCATCGCAATCCATGTATTGAATCGTATATCAAGGCATGGGGCTGCTTGACCATTTGATCACAAGTCCTTCATTCACTCAGCTGTTTCGCTGTTCACGTCCCCAGCCATGTACGGAAGCAACCCATTCACAGCACAAGATGGATGGAATGCAGGTAACGGTCAGTCCACCTGGAATACCAGCGTGCCCCCGCCGTCCGTCTTCGGCGCCCTCCCCTATCCCTCTGTGTCCTCAGCACTTCCGGGCGCGGTCACACTCAAGTTCACGTCGTTGAGCCCTACGATTTTGAACTGCAAGGTGATCGGACCGCGTAACGAGACGTATTTCCGCGTCGTAACAGATGGGAGCCACACCGTGCTCAAGGACGCACAAAACTCGAATATTGCGCTGTTGGAGTGGCGGGACCACCCCACAGTCGAGATGCGTTCTATGGTCGCGAAACAGTCCATGGGCTACTGGCTTAGACTCTCGACCGACAGGAGGTGCGTGTAATCGGTTTTTTGTTTTGTTTTGGAATGCAGTGGTTGCTCATTCACTTCAAATTCGGTAGTCATCGATATATGGTCCACAACGGTGTTGCTTACTCCTGGAATCCCCATGGCAGATTTCTGCAGGTAGGTTCGTTCTACTCTGCAGCGCAGCTATAGCTGATCCGCCGGATGCTCTGCCAACTAGCTATCTATTCCTGGCTCGTATGACGTACTCGCTCGAGTCTCGAAAACATACGATGTTGTTATGCTCGAATTGACACCCCAAGCGATCCAGCTTGGGCTCTTGGAGCTTAGCGTGCTGGCCACAATACTATTGCAGTGCGGGAAGAGTATTGATTGAAACATGTTTTAGACTGACTCGGAATGGGACATGGACAGACATAGATGTAGCTAGTATTTAATATTGGACATTCGTAAATTAATATTTATTCTTGTTTCATGGACTCGTTTGTGGCAAACTGTAACCCCGACGAAGGAAGGTCCTGCGTAGCAACCATTCCGTGCAGCTCCTTTCCGGGGCGCGGCGAACCCCTCTGCAATCTCGTTGATCCTACCAATTCAGTAAGCTGTCCAAACATCACTGCAAACAAACACTCAAAGGAAGTACTTGTGATGTTTAGTCGCCTTGGTTAGTAGTTGTCACGGTGTTGCAAGTGTCTCGTAGTCGACCGCGACGCGCGGAACCCCATGAGAGGTATTACTACACCTTTCACGTTCCAAAGGCTCGTGCTTGCCAGGTAGAGGTGCGTGGATCACCAACATCGTGATCGCTCGGTCCAAGGCAAAGGAACGGAAGTAGGCCCGCACCTGAAAGCTCTTTGTGCTAGTACCGTCCAATTAGACTCGACATGCCATGCGTATGATCGGTAGCTTGGGCTAACTGTTGGCCAGCCATGGACGTGTAACGGCACAAACTAGGCTGGTAGAAGGCTAACTAGGGTAGAGTGGTCACTGAGTCGTCGTGACGAAGCTTTCGGTTCGGCTCAGTTCGTGATAGCGCGCACATGATCGGGAGTAGAGATTGAGTTTAGGGCGATGCCATTTTTCAGGAACATTAAGTATTTGATTCACCTGATGAGTAATCATGGTGCACACCAGCAGTCTCTATGGCTAGGGACAGCATTGAGTAAAATTTCATTGACAGAAGAAACGGAAGTCAACCCAAATTAATTCTTTGAGCGCTCGTCCGGTGAGCGAAATTCAAGCGAAGAATGGTAGGTACCCGCTTCAATCACTATATAAATACGATACGAAAAGAAAAGAAAAGGTATTCACGAGTTGCATACAATGATAAACGCGAAGAAGCAGTCTTCCGAGAGAACAGCAATCATGAGGCCTGAATTGACCTCATATATTTTTCAAAGAATGTCGTTTGTATGTGGCGTAGCTTCGTAGCCTCATCGATTGCGGGCAACTTGATTTGGGACTGCGCAAAGATCAAATTTCAGCTTCCTAGTCAGCAAAACCAAAAAAGAAGAAACACACCAGTGCCAAAGGCCTCACCATATCAAGCACAGCTGTCAGGCTAGAAACCATCTCGGCTAGTGCGACTTTGTGTCGCGGGTCGGATGGATTGGACAATACATCGGGCAAAACGTTGATAAGTCGGGGCACAGTACGGGTGAAATTATCTAATTCCTGTTCCTCGACCGCATCTGGCACTGTTGACTCTGTCAGCGAAGCGCGCAGTTCTGGAATGCGTGTCATAGCATGAGCATAGTCCATATAGACCTAATCGGGTCACAATCTTCAGATAAATGAGTAGAACGGAAGGAGAAATGACGCTACCTTGCCCCGAGTATACCATCCATCGACGGTCTGATTGGCAATTCTTTCAAATAATGATATGAGCAGGTCAAGGTCTTGCCGGATGACTGCTTCAGGTGCAAGTTCAACGACAGCAAGATCGTGAGCCTGCTGATACAATCCTGCATTCAAGTACAATTGGTAGGCTTCGAAAACCTTGTCTTCGTAGATTGCATACACAGCCTACGTAAAAGGATGAATGCTTGTGTGAGGAGAAGAATAAAAGGCTGACCCTTGCTTCATTCACCCAAGCCACAGGAATCTTGAGGCTTCCAAGAATGCCGCTACACATCCACTCGTCCAGTTTATCGGCGGAGCGGTGAAGAAGGTCTTTTATCGCCTTTTCGCGACTGTCATCACCGTGAGTAGCTAAGACATACAGTTTGACAACGTGTTCTCACCCTGCAGATCCTTCAATGTGTAAAAGCACAAAAACAGCCTCCTGGAGCATGTCAAGTTGCTCCAGCTGATGTGCGTAGCTGCTTGCAAGCAGGTCAGCCGTTGGACTATGGCCTTCATGTTGATCTTGGTCATTGTCATCATCCATGGCATCCCTGCGATTTCCTGGGTCTGCACGGTCGGCGAAGTCACGGATACGCATACATCGTGATAAGATGATATACAAATGCCACGAGAGTGAGTAATCGCCTGGTGAAGGTCCAAATGAGAGTGGGGAGAGGGCCTGTGATAGTGAGCATGCAGGGTCTGCATGTAGGCGAATTAAAGAGAAGAGAATATCCGAAGGCGGTGGGGTGGGAACATTGAATGGCAACGGTTCTAATGAAGGCTCGAGGTATGATGGGAGTGGAGGGGATACACGAGAAGGTGATTCTTGTCGTGATCGGTTGTAGGACTCGAAGACCTGTGATATTGGTGCGTCCATCGGCTCAGAGAACCACAGATGCAAACCGAAGGTGCGCTTCCAGTCCAGACCCTTGATAGGGTCAACGTCCGGACACTGCTCTAGACTACTGGCTTTTGATCCTTCCACAACATCTAGTATTCCAGCAAGTAATGCGTAAATTTTGCGCGTGCTCTCCCCGATGTGCACATCTATCCGCTGTTCGCGCCAAAGCTGTATTTGTTCCATCAAGTCCTCCCTGAACTCGAAGTCGCCCGAAGCCTGTGATATCAGGGTTGCGAGTTTGATGTAGCCGTTGTCCATGGCTGCTTCGTAAGCTTTTTCTATTTGGTTGCCTGTAAGGAGAGTGTAAATGCATGCAGCAGGGTCGCTAGGGGAATGTTTCTTGAGATCAGCATCTACAAGATGACTGACAGCTTCCTCAAGCCAGTCTGACAATGCAGCCTTCCGGCGTACTGCAGATATCCGATTGCGCACGTCAACAGTAATTTCCGGTGCGAGGTGTAAGTCGATGCTGTCAAATAACGCACGACCGAGTCGGAAAAGAGACTGTTCATCGGAGTGGTCGGAGGAAGGATACAGGGAGACAAACGAGGAAAAGTCGAGTTCAGTGGATGGATCGGCGAAAGGGATTCCACTTTCGTCTTTAACAATTGGTGTTTTACTCAAGTGGTGTTGCAGTAGACGTGAAAGCCGGACATTGGCCTCTTTATGAGAACGTGTGAAGAGCGGTACGATTGTCTTTGTGATGACTGAAGAATTTGCAGAGGTGTCACTGTCACGATACACAGTCAACAACTGAACATTATTCTTGCAAGAAGATCCACGAAGCTTACACTTGACTTGACGGAGCACATAGTCGCCCGAGGTGGACTAAAGTGCCACCTGGTCCCCAACTTGCGCGGAAGGATCGACCAAACGCCAAACCAGCATCCACCAGACCATCTTCACAGCCTGCCACGGCAGAGGCTGAAATTTCCACTCGTGCATATTTTCGAGATGGCCTGTAAGCTGGTGCATCTATGTCATGCGCAAATGATGCTCTCTGGAAAATGTAGAATTGATTTCAAGACTTGTGCTGAGACAAGATACGCGACAGACCTCCTGTGAGTCCATCCGCAGCCCATCTCCAACGGAGTCGCGACTATGTTTTCTCCTGACTGTATGCGGCAATTTGAATTGAGGTCGTGTTGCACGGTTCATAGCTTTAATTGCCACGGCCTCCTCAGGGATTCGAAATAGCGAAGTCTGCATGACATGCATCTTCTGCGCATCCACACCGACTTGTCTAGCCCATGGTATCACCGAAACGTCCTCCCGTTGGGCCGACACGTCTACATCGGATTCACTGGACGAGGCAGAGCGCGAACTTGTATCCTCCGACCCATCCTCAGATTCATTATCGGAATCCGCTGTCAAAACGTGATTGCGCGTCGGTTTTGAGTGAGTAGGGGCTAGGTCGTCCTCCTGCATGTCCGACGAGCTATCTTCTTCACTATCTTCTTCTGAGGTTTCTTCGTCTGATTCTTGGTCAACTCCTATGTCCACATCTGCACTAGCTTCGGCATTGTGGTTTTTCCAGGAGTTTGGGTTGCGACCGCACCGGGGACTTCTTGAAGTCCTGAACCATATGTACATCGTGTTCGTCATCGCTACTGTCGCTGACGGCGGCACTGAAACGTGTCATAGTACACTCGACTTTGGCGAAGGCGTTTAACAACTCAACAAGGCAAACCGAAAATCTGAAATGCAACAAACAAGAGCAAAGTGAGAAAGCATTAGTTGAACTGAGTTATTATACGCCATGATAATAGCGGAGGATAGCTTCTTCTATCCAATACAAGTATTTTCGAATGCGACATCTCCAGTACGTCTGTAGCCAGTGCAACATGATGCATTTGTCTTTTGGATTATTCTGACCTAGACACCCTTATTTAAGTGGATCTTGCCCTACGCCTTCTAAGTCTTGAACTCGACCCATTCATTGACCCACATATACCTCGAAAACGTCATGTACAAATAGCGAAACCACACCATCTGCGATCCATGCGCTAAAATTGCCTTTACAGTTGTGAGGTAGTCTGGAATCCCTGAAATAAAGACGGGAGGTGAATCCACCGTAGGCTCAGAGGCTAAAAAGGCTTGAGAGAAGATGCCAAGGCGAGCAAGAATGGCAGACGGCAGCCCGGCATATTTTGGAAGGACAAGAACTGTGATTAAACTGAATAGACGTGGCACAGGTGTATGTGAGGACGATGACAGAGATTTGATGAGGTATGATACACCCAATGGGAGCGAAAAGTGATTGGGATGCAAAGATATTCCCTTGATGTCAAAAGTCAAGACCTGCCGTGAAATAAAGGTTAGGTAGCACACTAGATCAATGAAAGTGGATTTGATTTCTCACAGAAGTGATATGGTGCTCGATCACGAATGGTCGAAGGACTTGAGCAATAATCTCTGCATCCCACTGCTGCGTTATGTTATCTTGCAACTGTCTAAAGCAACTTGTTAAACTTTTATGAACTCTATGTAACGGGATGACGCACGGATGTTCAATGACCCAACGGTGTTCCTCCTCAACTCCGAGAATGTTTAAGCTGCGCGCAAGCTCTCCCTTTCGTTGTTCCCCGACACCATCAGCGTTTCCGCTAGATAAGCATAAGGAGAAGATTTCCGGACTTAAGCTATTTCGCCGAAGCGCCAGAACTGTTGGCGCAAAGAAAAAACATTCGTCGTCAGGATGAGCAGTCAATAGGAGGACGCGTGGAGGTGACACAGTCTGCTCTAACAACACATCTGTGTTAAATTCTGACGGCTTGTAAAGGACAGAGAGCAGGAGTGATACAACTGCCAGGATGAAAGGAAATAACATCATCCAGAGTTGGATCGGTCACAGCGAGAAGCTTTGTACTAATCATGCATACACCAACCTTTGCATCGCTCTAAACCAGAGGGCGGGAAATTTCCGAGTCACGTGATTGAACATTGTATGACCATGTTCTTGCATATTTGTTGTCCTCTCCATTTTCGAGTTGCATACTAAAAAGTTAGATTCCAAATTTCATACTTGCAGAAAAGCTACAGAAGCTCCAGAGCTCTTTCACCCAGGCCTACCTACTACGCGTTGCCGCCACGCTGTTCTCGATATGGCACAAGAGTCTTGGTTAACTTCGGCCAACCTTTGCCAACGAGTCGGTAAATCAACAATGACTCGGAACACTTCCAACACGACTCTAACAACTGGCGTCCTCACAACAACTGGGCTTGGGCAACCCCAACCTTCGCAACGCCCCCTCTACCACTCGTAGCCCTTACATCAGGCTTTGTGCTGCCAAGGGGACAACGACAGAGTGCTACCCTTGTATGACCCGGGAGTCGGCGGCCATACTGCGCAGAATCAGAAGGGGTCAGAGATGAAAATATTGCCTGCTACTTATAGTGAAGTAGGACTAGACTTTGACGGTGATGAGTTCGATGACGAGCGTAAGATAATTAGTTAGCGGTAAGCCCATCTCGACTCACAAATAAAACTGATACATGGTAGCGGTGGATTACACACTACAATAAATACATTTGACTGGCGCATGCCTCGCGCTAGGACGAATCAGATTTAACAATCGAGAATTCATCCCTGCCTTTCTTGTCGTTCGTAAATTGTGAGGTCAGTTGAACTACTCTAAAGTTGGATTGAACAACGAAAAAATATTCATATAAAGTGTACGTCCGCACTTCCAACGTTATTGGAAGGAATTATGGCGTTGTAAGCCAAGTCTAAGTATAATATCAATGCGACGTGACATGTGTACCGTGAAGACGCTTTCTAAAGGACGTGGCACGAGCATCTCAAATAAATCCCATATAGCCTACTCCCAGTTCTGATACCGGGGTGCGGCTCGCGCCATTTACTTCCCCTGATTCAGGTCTCTGGGTCACGGTAATTTTGGGTGGATCCTGCCGGCTCACTGTCGCGCGCCTGAATGAGATGAGCGGTACGGATATCCGAGTCACCTCTCGGGTATGAGGCGGTGGTCCGCTGCATACACTGCGAACAGAGACCACTGAGACTCGTTTCTTTGTGGCGGCAAACCAGCCGCGCAAACGAGAAGCCAGACTAGTATGACGCTTATTATCCGGGCGCGTCTTGGTCACTTCGCTAGTCACTCTGCTGACCACTTCTGGCTGGTCTGACTCCCACCACCAGGGCGCACGCTTATCAGATGCCGCGGATATGCACCAGACGACGAGCGCGCAGACAGTAAATAGTACGCCGCCGACGATAGACCTGGAAACCGCATCTCCAGGTTTACACCATTCGTATGAGAATGCCACAATGAAAAAGAGCATGCTGGGTTCAGTGTCAGTTGGCGGTCGCCTAGAAGGGATAAACAACACACCTCCACATGAGCAACGCATAAGGGAGACTGTAGATCATTGCCAACTTTTCCAGACCGTGTTTTCCGTCATTCATCCGTTGCAAAAACCTTGACTGACGATGGACAAGGCCAAATGAATAAATCCATAGAGTACACCAAAGACAGTCACTTACAGCCTCAGAACCACGATCCCTGCCAGTGAGATCCAGAGTGATGAACGTCAGACCCAGGGCAATGGAGCCGAAACTAAGGACCAGCGACACGTAACTAGCTATCTGCGTCGGAGAACGCCCGGTGCCTGAGTCGACTGATTGGATTGCCAGAAAACCAACATTGGCACCAAGGAGTACTGTACCCTGGAAAAATCCTCTTCAGAATGATACAGTGAGAGCGAGATTTGACTCACAAGAAGATTTAGGTTCTGGAGTTGCCCATTCAGTTTCGTGATGAATATCTTCCACTCCGAAGTACTTGCGAGATCATCTACAAAGCTGGTGTGCAAAGACCTCACGTGAGCAACGGGGGCCATGCATAGGAGTGGAGCAAATATAGTCATGTAAATCGATGGCTTATAGCTCCAACCGCGCACTGTCTGGTCGACACTTAACCGAGCACATGGTTGACCGTGGAAGTTCAAGTACTGATTGCGACCTGAGGAAAAAATTAGAGACCTGTGGTGCCAGCTTGGCTGAGAAGCTCACAGAAGGTGTGCATAAGTCGCCCTGTTCGTTTGATTAGCGGCATTATCTGAGATGGGTGTATCACCCTCACCTATGATGACCACTACATGCGCTCTATCGCCAGATGAGTTCACTGGGAATCCAAATTAACGCGATGAACAAGAAAAGTAGATGCGTTATCACCTCTTATCCACTTTACAATTTCAAAGTACTGCTTGAGTTCATCGGCGCTTAACGCTGCTGCAGATCGTGTGGTTGTGAGGTGATCTAAGGATGTGTTCAGATAATGAGCTACGTCTGTGGCCAAATACTAACCGCAAGTGGCATGGAGCATAAGTTCCTTGAGCTCATCCAATATATCATGCGCAACTATGCAAAGGTTGGGAAATAATTCCCAGTGCTTCCTGTGAAATGACATTCGTTAATTTTTGGAAATCTAGACTAATGAAGATTGTCAACAAGAATCATAAAACAACGCATCTGTGACGTACCTCAGTAGTGATACACACCAGTATTGAGCCTTGAACTGCCAGTCCTACAAAATTTCCATGCCATAAGACCAAAATATTCGCCCACAAAATGCACACTTACGTTTGTGAGATAAAGCGGTAACCCCCCGACATTCCCCTAGCATATCCTCTGCATCATATTCATCTAACCAGAAAAGACACCTTTCTGAAGGGTTGACGAAGTAGTAGCAGCATATGATATCCGCACACACTGCTTTCTTCGGCTCGAGCACTAGTTCCACATCGTCGTAGTCAATGTCAATCATCTTGGTGTCAATGGCGTGGCGGAGTTCTCCGTGTAGATAGTTTGAGAAGTAGATGATATCGTTCAATATCTCCGGCGAACAGACGTCTGACTCCGTGTATGTTCTCTGGTATCAAGTCGTAATTGTAACACACCGGAAAAAATCGTCACTTACTGTCTGTGCATGCAGGAAATAGCGGGCACCCTCCGGGTGTACATGCGCCGTCCATCCTTCAGGAAGGTTTCCGCTAAAACCACGACGAAAATGTTAGTGGCCATAATTGGCGGTACAAATTTATGGACTTTACTCGTGACTGGGGTATTGAGTTTGGTAAGCTTTGATCTTGTAGTCAGATATTGAGGGATCGCTAACGCAACTTCAGTATCTGTGTGCGATATTTGTAAGAACGCGTACATCATGGCAAATTCCCGGGAATGTCGATCAAAACGTTTGACTCCATTTGCTGCCATCGGAGCAAAACGTGGTCCAGTAGTGTCTCTCGAATGTGCATGGCTTGAAGATGAAGCGCGCGGAGCAAAGGGAATATGTGAGCCATCAGCATCCTGCGCTGTAGCCACGGCGAGGGTAGGGGAAGAGATGCCACACATATTCGATGAGCTTTCGTAAAGGCTTGCAGTGGGGGAGCGAGGGCGTGGGGCTTGTCCATCATGTTTTCGATACGAATTTCGACCAATAGACACGTTTGACTGGGCACTGCCTGGTCGGCTTATGGGTTCACGGTCTGGGGAGTTTGGCACTGCCAGTGTATGCCGACGGGGGTTCAGAAAAGATCGTGTGGCGGACAACGGTTCATCTGAGCTACCACCGAATGTAGCTGCACGAGCAAGAATAGGTCGTTGAACAAATTCATCTGGTGACACAGGCGTCCGCTGGCTCGGTGAAATCTGAGAAAGCTCTGGGTAGCCACTCAGAAAGTTCTTGTTAAACCTGGTGTTCACAGAAATAGGAGGACGAGTTGAGGATGTAGGAGAAGTGGGAGTAGGTGGTGTGCGGTCGTGCAAGGGCTCCCTCACCTCTGGCGGATTCGGCACTGTCAAACGTTCAGGGCTGGACATGACGTCATGACATGTGTGTTGCCTGGTTGGGCGACGAGGTATTACAATACGCGTAGTAGTAGTAGTAGTAGGTGCGTCATAGGGAGTGTCTGATGGGGAACATGATTCACTGGGTCTGTTATCTGCGTTCAAGCTCGGCGGCAGTTGACTAGCACAAATGTATTCGCCAACCGGCTGCAGAGAGCGAACTTCATATGTCGTTGCCGATGCTTTTTCTTCATCATCTTGAACCCGTGATGAGGGACGAAAGCGTCGCATAAGGTTAACGAAGAGCTCGATGGCGCGGCTCAGAAATTGGTGAACGTGTGTAATGAATAAACATTGCTGGAAGTAGTGTTGTATACGCATAATGACAAGAGAGGGCATCGAATGCAGCTCAGTGCGTAATTTCTGTTAGCAGATAGAGGAAAGAAAAAGGTCTAGTGCGTACATGAGGAAAACCAGGGATACGTAAGTAATGATACGGACTCCGCGCTATATCATTTCAGAAAGACGCATGTTCTCCACGAGGTAATTCAACAAGCGGGTGTTAGTCAACAATCACGACCGCACCCCTAGAAAGGGGAGGTACTCTGTGACAGCGAAGCAAGTGTGAGTGCGGAAATTGATCTGATACCGTCATGAGAAGTCAAGTTCAGAATAATATAACTCTGTTCTGAATCAGTAAAGGTGGGGTTGTCTACCGTATGCTGAAATTTGAATGTCAGGAGTGTGAGGCTAAAACCGCAACCGGTCCCCACGTATCAATCATCGAGCGGAGCGGGGCCTGTGATGGGGTTCTCGAGGCAGTATATGTGGTTACACGTGCAAACAATGCGCAAGACTTCGACTTCCTCGAAACGTCGGAAAGGGTGTGGATCGATGATGGCTCGCAGCACTCATCGAAAGGCGAGTACTGCCATCCATCGCCTCAGTAGAATTTCCTAATGCAATCCGATCACTGATGCATATAGTCGACATGGATCTAGAGTCAATTGCTTGCGCCTTGGTAGTAACGGTGCGAGGTAAGTCCGATCAACCACGACCAACGCTAAGAAACCGCACCGTTGGTTGCCAGTCGCCACGTACTGGGTCTCAATGAACTGATCCAACATAACCTTTAGAGCAGGAAAGGATTTACCCCAACAAAGTGGATATCATGATACTGTTGTACAGCGTGGATGAAAGAGTTTGATGCCAAAATAATTCGAGTTCGGAAAATGCCGCATTCACTTACATAAAACTTGTTCCTTCGCTCCTAGCTAGAGACAGCAACCCGTCATGACCAACAGGGATTTCAGATACCCTTCACCTGCCGACTCGCACGAATACGTGTATGATTTTTCAGACCATATTCGCCGTAAAAACGGCGAACTAAATGAAAGCCTTGAAGCTGGACATCGGATACGTCTTCCCATACCAGATATCCGGTTCGAACAGACATACCTTAGCCGCGTGCAGACGTGCCTTCATGTGCAAGAAATAGCGGGAAGAGGAGGCGGTGTTGACTCTCCATTATCCACTGACGACCCATACACCGCCGCTACACACGTTTCACCAGTCATCACTTCATCACAACAAATTACGCGAGTCGACTGGGGAAAACTAGCTTGGATCACGGTTCGTGATCAGGTAATTATGCCGTTGTTGCAGGGGATGATTTGGTGTGTTACATTTACTGTAATAAAACTGGGACTTGATAAGTGTCTATTGTAGGGGCATCGTCGGACAATACTACCGCCCTTTTGTTGGCGTTATGAAGAACAGTCTTCGTAGTAAACCCGATCTACCCCTTGCAGTGGAAGGCGAAGGCGTGGGATTGTTAAGGAGCTGGGCAAAGAAATTGGGTCTCGGCCAACTCACAGTTGGACCTATTAGCACGACATCAAGGTTGTAGTTCTTGTCCATTGGGCAAATCATGATCATGACTGGTTGACCTCCCATCAATCATCGATGTTTGTATACTGTGCGTGTCCGAATATGCCAACGTATTACACCACCTACATATGATTCACAATCTGATGCAAAAAAATGTTTGCATACTGACCAGACTTTTAGTTCCTCGGTGTCCAGTACTGATGGTGTTAGAGCGTAGCTCGACCTCGTTCGTGGTATCAATTGATCCGATCACCTTCCTAAGTCGAGGGAACCACGAACCACGTCCGCGGGGAGGTTTCCAGTGCCATCAATATCAGTGTGATCCGAGTACACGACTCCAATTTGGGCACCAGCGAGGCACGACGTTCAGGATAAAGGTGACAGTCTCGGCTCACAATTGCATATCATTTACAGGGTCATTTACAGGGACAGCACGTCTATCCCTTCCGCACCGGATCCAAGCAAGCACTTCACTCATGAAGGTGTAGATGAAGCTGACGTGAGTGACAATTCGGTAAACTATCATTTTGTGAATTCCCTTTCAGATATCTCTTTCATTCTAAAAAGAGGGCTTGGCTCAGGATTGACGATCAGGCATCAACGGATCATTGCGAATCACAGAAGTCAAGGGTGGTATAATTGAACGTATCTCGCAGCGACGGATGCACATCCTAATCAGCCTCAAATGACCGCAAAGCCTTGTGGCAATACGGCACCCTGTCTGTGTCGGATGTTCGCGGGCTTCCTGCTGCGCCCTATATTCATTCCAGGAAAAACTGTAACCCTGGTGTTGTGCTCAATCGTGGCTTTCTCCAGGAAGCAAGGTTGTAATGCCATGCGTCCTTGATGCGTAGTGAGCACGAGTGTCACAAATATAAACAAGGCATCACATACCGAATTGCTCCCGGTGCAAACAATTGAACCAAGATGAAAACTCAGTACTCAGCGATCGCCTCACAAGAACTGAGGTTTGTTGGACGGCACCGCTGCAAACGGAGGTGATGTAGAAGCAAGCGAAGAACCAACAGAACAGAACCACTTGCATCCCAAGTGAAAATTTTACATAAAAGGAGACCGAGGTTCTCAAACGAGGCAGCATTCTCAGAAGAATATTGCACCACGACATATATATATATCAGAGCAATATACCTCCGTTCACCTTGCGGTTTGATTTCGACGGCTTTTGAGAGGACGCGAAAGGGTTGATTGCATGAAATGGCAGTACTAACGGGGTTCTATCGACAATGGAATGACTCAAGGCTGTGTTCAAAATTTTTTCATTAGAAGAACCCTGAAAACTTGTCAGTTGTCGTCAACTACTATAGTTTCTCGGGAAACTTACAATATTGAGCAGTGTATTTAACAGTGATATTCCAGCTTCCAGCTTCACACTTTGTGGGCGGCTGACCTCCGTTGGTCTGAACCCTGAAAACCTCACTAGCTAAATCTCCCTCGACAGCTTTGACCATTAAGTCATCAATATCGTTCGGGTCCGAGCTGGGCAGGTCACCAATCTTAGCACCAATGACATAGGCATTGGGATCTCCAGCTGTCACCCCAGATGATGTGAAGTCCCACTTTGGAGACAAACCGGATCCCACAGGGTTAGGAACATAATAGTGCTGTCCGAGCACGGAAGGATCGGACGTGAGTCGTAGTGTGGCGATAATTTCCTGGACAGTTAAATTGGTAGTAGCAGTCCACTTATCATAAGCCACAGTTGGAGCACTTTTGAAAGCAGGAGTGCCATATAAGCATGAGCTATCAAATATTTCTGCGAGAGCCCCGATAAGTCTGTATGGCATTAGCAATGGTGTTGGAGAAACAAGACTTGAACTCACGTGTACGTGGATGTGGTGGCATTACAACTGTAGTTTTGAGTTCCGATACTCATACCGATGAAGCTCGGTGCGTATGTGGGCGCAACGAGCTGCGTTTGATTAGCAGGCACATGGAGTCTGGCACCGGCTAGGTCACAGCTCGTGCCAGCACGCCTCTCAGCGGGTAATGCGTCAACATATCCTAGGATCATGGCAAGAGCGAGGACGCTGAATGTCAACATTTCTAGAAATTATGGGATGAACCACCAAATGTAATCGTCGAATGAATGCGTACTTGGCTCTTGGTAGTCCGAAAGCCTGAGACCTGCCGGTGGAGAAAGGTCAAGGTTACGCACAATTCAAAACACTTTGCCATCATAACTTATAAGTTGCCAGCCAGCAGACCGCAGTCGACGGTAAGTAAAAGTTGATAGCCTTACTTTGGCCTTACTCAATAACAATTCTATTTTTGATCGACTGTATCGGCACGCACGTAGCGGAGCTTGAAATCAGGACGGCCCGACGTCGTTGAAACGCCTTCAATGATATTGCTGGCAGATTCCCTCCGAGCTACGCTACAACGTCTCTCGAAGCATCGTACTAGCTGATGTAGAGACCAAATCTTTGCAGCAAGACGCACTGGAGGCTAAACGACGAGGGCCGAGGCGCTAAGTATGTACCATGGACCACGCAGGCCATATGGCCAACTTGAACAGAAGGCAGAACGATTCTTCGACCGCCTCCTTGACATTTCTTCGGCGAGCATTTTTAAAACACGGTTCCGGTGAATAATTCTTAGCCTCTGACTACATCACTAAATCTTGGTACGCAATCACAACCTAATTGCTGATGATCTGATTTTTTTTGTTGTAGTTAGTGGATGCCCGCAACACTCCGTCAAATATCGACGGCAGCATAATTAAATCTTCTTTGGAGGCTGGTGCTCTGGGCGCCATGACTGAGGTGCGTGTTTCCTTGCTATGTTTGGGCGAAGAGGACCATGAGGTTGTACTGATTGTAAAATTTGGGAAGTGGAGGTGGCAAGGATGCAAGTCCAACGTAAGTGTAAGTTTTCATGGGTTGCATGTTGCCGATTCGTGCCGTTGACAGCAAACTGATGTGTTTCATGGTCATTCTCGATCGAGAACAGGTATTTTAACGCATGAACTTGATGTTCGACAGTTCATTTACATTCGCAGCATGCAAGACATACTGATCGTCCTGTTCTAGTCTCTTAGGCTGGAGAATGAACGGCAGCCACTCTGTCATAATGGAAAGGTTCCATACCTACCTTTGCATATTTTCCGAGGTGTTGTGGTGACTATGTGCGCTTTTTTGTTGGTCCATCAGCGTTCGTAATGTCGAGCAATAGTACTTGTCGCGTTGATCTCACCCAGCTGGCATTCCGGCAGCTCTCTCTCATCTCAAACTCCGAACTCCATACAGTATGCCGAGTGCGAAATAAAATGATCACTCAATAACGTTAACGTGCCTGTTTGATCTGTTCATCATTTTCACGAAACAAAACGGTCGTTGTTGAATAGGGCTAAATATAGTTCTGCCTCCAGGCCTGAGGAATTGGTTGGTAATCAACAAACCAAGATCCGTTGGAATGCAATTGGAATGTATTCGCCTTCAATCTCCAATCCAGAAACTGGAATCACTAAATTCCGTCTCTTCAACAGGGTCAGGAAGGTTTTCAATTGTGGGCGCACCGGCATGCTTGAAGCAAAGAAAACGAATTTTTGAGCCTGTATTCACTTCAGGTTAGTAGCTGTGACTACTGTGGAGCAGGTGACGACGAGAACGGAACATGACCTGATCCCCTAAATAAGGCTTCTGGTATAAAGCTCTTATGCGTTGTGCGTTATGCATATCAGCTGCGCCCCACGGCGCGGAACCCACTAAAAGTTGAAAAATGTGTATTATGAACAAGTGTATTGTACAACATAGTATGTCCCAGCTTAAACCGATAATGTTTAAATTGTACAGAAGTGAATAAGTCGAACAACATAAATCAAGATACCATAAATCCTCATAAGATGGTGTCGACAGCCTGATCCATATCCTGCATGCCAAGGGTCAGTTATTTGGTACGAAACGAAATATTCAGGGAAAAACCAACTAATGGATAATGGCTGGCGTACTATCGTTGGGATAGTCAGACACGATAACAACAAAAGGAACAAAAAAAGCTACCCCTGGGTTCTGCCAGTTGTTTCTTGCTTTTGACGTGCAAGCTTTCTGACATCTCATGTACTCATCCAAGTCATGGATGACTACCTCCGTATGCCGTCGAAGGATTGGCCTCGTCTTCTCTCGATTTATCCTATCATTAACATCGGTAGCGCAACGGTCAGTAATCTTGAGCTGCAGCTGCCGTTTCTCGTTCAATTTATCCACGCGATCCCTTGGGTATTTGTCAGGAAGAATCAGGTAAAAGATGGAAGGCAAACTTGATGTATGTGAGCAAGGCGAGCAGCGATGGTTTAGGATCTTGTGCTGTATTCCAACATAAGTATTCGTGTCTAAATCTGATATTTCGAAGCATACTCACATACACATTCAATAAAGAACTGCAAGGTGCATGTTAGCCAAACCAACCGAAAATGATGTAGAACTCGTACCTTAGTTACAGTCCCATGAGTCTCATTATCATCATACGCATATTCATTATCACGACATGCCGACAATGAGACCTAGTGACCTTGCCGGTGAGTAAATCAACCAGGACTAAATTATACGCACTACATGTGCTACTTCCTGCTCTTCTGGGTCCAGTTTTCGACAGTCACCCGAACACTTGAACAAAGAGACTGGGGACAAAACCCGAAGGAGAGGAGAGGGTGAGTTGTCAATAAACATGCGAGGAAGCCAGCTACTGGGAGATTGAGGTCGCACAAGAATGCTGTTTAACGTCAGCGAAGGATTTCCCGTACGACCACGCGGTATAGGTTGTTGATTGTTGATTGCTGATTGATGGTAAAAAAAAAAGTGAGCCAGATATTTCAAGGAAAGAGAAGGCGGAATGCTTACGGAGCGTCCTTGGTCTCGACACGAAATCTCATCCCTATGTTCAACATACGAGATCGTTACATAAAGCAATTTAACATACCTAACAAGAAGCGTCCCGTGAGTGACTTTCGCCCTGTCCTCACAGCGTCTCCAGACAATAACTTGTTGCACTTGTAGTGGTCCAGGTCTGTTGGACTCTAATCAGATCGGGTATTAGCCAAGTAGTAGAACCACTAGCACTGACCCAAAATCGTTTCAGAGTGGCAAGAGTCCCACAGTGCCTGGCTCCCCAAAAGAAAATGAGCTAGCGTTGTACGATGTCTTAGAATGTTCACTTACGAAAAGTTTACTGCCTCGAGGTAAAGGTTCTACCAGTACCTTTCTTAGTTTCTGTGAATGGATGACCAGTCCAAAATGAAGAAACAACGCATGAGGAAACCGTACATTATCAACTATATGGTGGCCAGTGTACGCGTATATGACTGATAAATGTGATCAAAAGCGAAGAGCGAATTTGAAATCAAGTTATATACCTTCATCCTTTCCATCTGTTTCCGTATGATGTTCGCAAGTTACTTGGTTTCCATGGCCGGAATCTTGTCCATTCCAACGTGTCATTTTGATTCTTTGCGAACTGACGAGACATTTCTCGCTTACAATAAAAGAAAAATTGATCATTTGAGGATGCATTAACAACCATCTTTTTGATCTGCTTGAGCTGCCAAACAGCAATCCAGTCAGTCACTTTGGCTGGCTTTAGTCATTAAGCGCTTTACTATGTTTTTCCGTGATGGCCAGAGATGTTCTGGGTGCTCCACATCATGCTTCATCAGGACAACATTCGCTTCTGGGTAATTGAACTTATCTGTGAACATTGTGATGAGGATCTAGATTCAGAAAGTAATCTAGGCGCACTAGGAGACGCTACAACTCACCGATAAGGAGGCGTTTAAGCGATTCGGCGTCCTCGTGGGCATGCTGCAAGGGAGGAAAATCTTTTTTATTCACAGATCGGACTGCAATGAGGAGTGCCTTCTTATTTCCAGCACTTGTGGAGTTTGCCATTTTGAAATACGGCGAATGAAGCGTTCCAGAAGGCAAGTGAAGGGTGACCGCAACGGGATAGACGATCGGCAGTTGGGATCTATGCAAATGTGACTTGATAGACTGTCGAGTGTTCCGGGTCACCGAGTTTGCTTCGAATTGTTTGAGCAAGGTGATGGAGCAATGGGGTCAACGAGTGATAAAGGAATGATTAACGAGAACTCCTGCCGCGGGGACATAAGTATTTTAAATGATACCCACAGCTCAGAGACGGTCAGAGCCAAGTGCTGTTCGTAGAAAACATCTAGAGAATCTACAACTTTCAAGTTACACAGGCTTACACAGCGAAGGGCCGAGGCAGTGCACGAGCTTCTTTCAGAATGTCTAAACGGACTCGAAAGTATCATGATTTTGCGAATGCAAGAGGAGGTAAATGCAATAGTAAATGTGCTTTAGTGTCCAACAGTTCGCTGACGGTACTCGACCTGGCAGCGTCGAGCAGGACGTCACTGAACAGTGAACCCATCAACAAACATGTCGAGTGTGCAATAAGCCGATTAATCGCCAGAGTGACTTGCCGGCACTTTCCGGACAGCCGTTCCTAGTCTGAACCCCAGACTTTGACAGAGTGTGTGACTTGTCTGCATAGCCTGAGACCTTACGCAAACAGGCCAGTGTTGGTGATAGATTATACACCGACAACACAGGAATGGCACTCTGGCACAAAAAAGTAGAGCATTGAGCACGCGACCTCTTTAATGGCAGTTTGAAACTAGCCCTGGGTTATGAATATGATTATCGACGAAGAAAGATGATTAATAAAGCAGATAAGTAAATGCACTGTAAAACGTTTAACTTGATTCGGGTTTTGCGGAGGCAGGGTACTGACTTTAGCCTTTCTTAAAGGCCAACGCCTATATTGAAACTTTCTTGTCCCAATCCTTTTGGAGGTTCAGCGGTAGATCTCTGGTGCAAGGAAACAACACATACGAACGGACAATTACTTGTAATCTGGGGGTTGATTGGTTATTGCTTCATCGCGTCAACCAAGTCCTACACTTACTCGAGGTTCTTGAGTTGAGCCTTTCCGATTAATTAAATCATCACATTCTGATGTGATCTCTAATGGCCTCCTTCGAGCCAAAAACCGGTCAAAAGTCCGTCTCAGCATCTCTGCCAACTTCATTTCCTCAAGGTTGGTAACTTGAGACCTGGAAGAACATAAGATGTCGAAACAACAACATAGTCATAGAAAACCAACCGAAGGTCGTCAAGTAAATTTCGGTAAGAAATACTGGAGTTCTTCTCTATAAACAAAACTTTCAGCGACCATCATGTACAGATTTCTCAAACTTACTCAGTGAAGAAATGAAAAACTGTTGGACCGTGTTCATGAGCATGCGGCAAATGCGGCGTAAGCTTGTTCTTCACCTTTGTAAAAGTTGCACCTGTCATATTATCGTCATGCGCCTCTTCGCCGTCTTTACATGCCGACAGGCATACCTATAGTAGAAGTTTTAGCTACGTGTGTGCCGCAAATACGTATTGACTTACAACACGACCTTGATTCTCTTCTTTTGCAGTCATGGTACAACGACCGTTGCATCTAGCATTTGGGTAAATTGAGATGGGAGACATTGCACTCCGATCTGGGGACGTGAGCCAGTGAGGCTGGGAAGCAAAGACAGTATTGACTGATACTGGTTGCCTCGAAGATGCGACTGGTACATTAATTTCATTGGCAGAAAGTGGTGTGCTCGAGAGAAAGACCTTCAGTATTCTCGTGACGTGATTGTAAACTAAAGTCTGCGTCAGACGGCAAAAACCACAATAAAACTGAACTTACGATGCAACATGGCACGATTTGCCAGCCCTATCAATGCAATGTCGAAAACGGGAGGCTAAAGGATAGATAGAGAAGATACATACCAACGACGGACCGCGAAGACATAGCCAGGACGTTGTTGCTCAGCCGCGGTATGCTAACCGGGAGGGAAATACAATATTTTTTCGAAAAACATAACCATTTCTCAAGAGGAGATGTTTCCACGTCGCTTTGCTGGCTGGAGGTCACAACGGGTTCAACCGAGGACTGCGATCGAGAGCAGCAGTTAGAATGCTTGAGGTCTACGTGGATTGTTAATCGGTATAAATGGCAGAGAGTGTGAATTAATCACCAAGAATAGTTTCGGAATGGCAGCAATCGAACAGAGCCTGAGAATGACCGATATCAAATGCTTGACTCCGGCGAAGATACAAAAGCGCTCACAAACAATTGACAACCCTTCACTTTCAACACCGGATTCACTAGATGCTGCTTCAAGACCTAATATGATATTTGATAGTGTCACGGTTGGCAGTCTGATCATCAAACTCACGTTGTCGATGATCTTGCCACCCTTATATTCATATATAGCTAGAGAAACATTAGTTAGATGAAATCATTGGGAAGATAGACATTACCTTCATCGTAACCATCAACTTCGCTATCGTGGTGGCAGATAGTCTGTCCGCCGTGACCCGAGTCTAACGAGATAGGTGAGTCTAACTGGTATGGTTGTAGCTGCAAGTGAAGACAAACAGTAGAATACCAGCCTATCGTGTTCTCCAAGATCTTCAACAAGCCAATCTATCCTCTTGAACTAAGTACGAAGTAAGGATAGGTTAGAAGTATCAAAGGCATTTCAGTGCAAGCTCACAATGTTGACTTCGGAAGGCCAAAACGATTTGTCCAGTTTGCAGTTATCCACCAACACTACAATATCATCTTCAGCGTAGCCATACTGGCCTGTAAGAGTGTCACTGATTGTAATGGTCCAGGCAATGAAAATAACGAACTGATAAGAAGCTCTTTGAGCTCTTGTACATCATAGTGTGTGCGGGGGAGCGGGATTTTGATCCCTTTTACATACCTCACAGCGATGAGTAATGCCTTCTTCCTGCCTTTGCGAGACTCGGATACACCTTGGCTCGAAGACATGGAGCTGCTAGTGGCTGAGTGACTGGCCAATACAAAGAAGTGACTGACGCGAGTAGGACAAGATCAGACCGGTACGGTACTGTGTAGGAGATTGACTCGGAGTCAATCAACCAGCTGTGATTATAAGAGATCGAATATAGTTTAAAACTAACAGTCACAAACTCACAGCACCCGCGATTCATCAGTTCCCCCATAGTATTTTCCAAGCCAGGGACATGTTCACAATTACCCACAGCCATCGATGGCATGTCACTTCTGATTTAAGCTGTGAGGTGTAACGTCTATAGCAGGGCTGCCGGTAATTCGGAATTTCCGTCCGTCCACGTCAGCGATTACGAAATCATCGTATAGACTACGCGTATCGAAACTTGAAGAGACTAAGTACTGCAACTACTGTAAGCAAATGTTATGCCGCACTGGAAGTCAGCGACGTCTCACGCACCTGATTGCTGTACATGCGGCTCTGGCTGTACATACAGCAAGAGATAATGGCATATGTCATTCATGTGGCAGTCCAAAAGAAAGAACATAGTCTGAGCTTAGGTACTGTCACGGACAGCCATGTGCAAGTTGGATATACTTTGTGTGACAAATCATTTAAAGTCAAGTCATCGCATCGACGGCGATCATGTCCATTTGGGCGTCATTTGACTGTGCGGGTGTAAATAAACTTGAGAGCTACTTCATGATCATCCATAAACTCGACAAGGAGTGCATACAAAAACGATCTTCGTTCGAAATGAAATTCAAGCATATCTGCCTTTAATTTCCTGCAAAAATCCCTCCATAGTATGGAACTTCACTCCCAAGTTGATCAATCGTGGATCAGGGATAGTGGTATCCGGGTATAGTCCAAACTCGGATTGGAACGCATACTAACAAAATACCATCAGCATCAAGGTTTCAATTATACTGGAAAATACCGACCATGTCGTCCATTTCCTGCGCAACATGTGAGTACATGGATTACATTAGAGAAATGAGATGTTTGCGAACCTGCATTCCCGTGGTCTGGCAGGAGACAAAACGTACTGGCTTCCCTAGTGCTGACAATAGCAGGAAGATTAGGTCAATAAATTCCTGCGTTTTGATCACATACCCTGCTCGAGGATAGACGCAAATTGAATGTAGTTCATCTTTGCGCTGACAGCATAGAAGGTTCGGGAGAGAACTTCTGATTCAGGATCTTGATAGTGTTTGAGAAGCGCCAATGCGCACTGGCCGAGGTCCCCCTCAACCCATGTAAAGTATTGAGGAGATTGAGGGTCATATCTCGCCACAGTTAACTCAAGGCGATCGGAATCCGGCACAGGCGCAAGAGTATTGTACCTGCCACAAATTTGCGTCAGCTGTGCGCAGGATTTATTGCGGGAAGCCTTACTTCCAGAGATTCTCCGTGAACCAGCCTTGAATGATGGTATCAGCTACTCAAAAGATGCTAGAAATGTAGAAAAAAACTGCTTACCGGTGTACAGGATAGAATGGGGTATGCCGGAATCTCGGAGATAGTCATCGACGTTGGCTTTGTCTGACAAACTTATAATTAGCCAATGTCGTGTGCTGGACAAATAACGACTTACTGTCAAAGTGGTAAACATTTGGATACTTCCCGTTAGACACCCGTGTACAGTGCGGAAGAGAACTGCGGAAGGTGCGCATTGAGGCTAAAGTCGCAAGTCGCACGAAGAAACAGCTGAATTCACCTCCAAATGAAGTACTTGATATCCATTGCTTTAGCAGCGTCGACGAGATTCTTCCCAAGTAGCATTTCGCTGTTGTGGCCTTGAGCGAAGTTCTTGGGATCATAATAGTCGGTGACCTGTTAAACAAGTAGCGATAAGTCAGGCCATCCGACGCAAACGTTGTCATACCCCATAAACGGCCTCAACACCGGACAGGGCTCGCTTCAACGAGTCCACGTCCCATAAATCGGCTTGCGCTACCTCGGCACCAAGGGCCTTCAGTTTCAACGCTTTCTCCGAACTGCAGTTTCGGGTGATTGCACGCGGTACGAATGTACCATCTGCTAGTAGGGCTTGTACGACGGACGAGCCTGATATGATTTCTGATTAGCTAGGAACTTGAGCATGAAACGACACACACATGCCTTGAGTTCCGGTGGCCCCAAAAACAGCGACTATGCGAGGTGACATTGACATTGCTCGGAAATGACTGAGTGAAGTAGATCTGCACCGTGACGCCTTAAGTACTCCTCAGATTGGTTATGTCGTGTTTGCGACAATCCATTATGTGGAGTATGATCACTCCTTGTCCGATTACCGGGGCGCAAGCAAAGTTCAATCCCCTTTCGCTTTATCCAATGGCGAGTATATTGATTATCATGCATAGTAAGCGGCAGCCGCCAAAATTGCCTGTCAAAGCGAATAGGCTCATCGCGGGCCCAAGAAAGGGGCATTGCAAAACCTAATAACCGATCAGTCAACACATATGGATGAAATTATGTCGTATTGCCACAATGTGGGGCGCATTGCAGCAAAGTTCAACTCTGTTTTGCCTTGTCCAATAGCGAGTATATTGATTGTCAGGCATAGTAAGCGGCTGCCGCCAAAATTACCGGTCAAGGCGGATAGGCTCATCATGGGCCCGAGAAAGGGGCCCCATCAGAACCACCCAGACTACACCTGGACTTTGCAAAACCTAATGACCAATCAGTGCAACTTACATGGAAACATAATCTGCTACAGAGTGCTCCCAGTTAGTCACTCTTGCAGGCCAATCCTGGATGATATTGATTGTGAATACAGAAATTCTGATTGATCGTTGCAATTTTGAAGTACTCGTCGCTCATCGCTTGAATCTGATTATCTGAAAGACCTGGCCAGCTGGTGAGCCTCTGGTAAGAAGTTTGCACAGAGAGAAAATTTCTATATTCGAGGTAGGTTGGCGAACTCACGTGCGAAAGCACGTAATTTGAATTTTATCCACTCCGATCATGATGCTTTGCGAGTCCGAGTGTCGCCCACTCCCTAGTTCTGCCGCCTGTAGGAGTTGCGCCTCGACCACACACCTCTATCATGCACATGAACTTCTTCCACTCGCCGTTGGCCATTTCCCTTCACTAGCTTTTGCTACCCCGGGCCATGTTTATAACTTTACAGCCACTATATCAATCCAAGAGGCAGTTGCTACAACTCAGTTACTCGTTGTAACAGCTAGTAGTTCAAGTCGGGCCGCCTGACATGGACTCACGATATTCGAACAAGAGTGCAGCAATGACAGTTATGAATCCGCTTGTTCCGCAAGGGAGCTCCCTGTTTCTGACGTTACTAAATCATCTTAACTTTTGAGTTCTACCTTCTGCTTCTTTCGTTTGAGAGCGCCGCCACCCAGATTATCGTTTCGATAAGGTCGGAAAGTATCCACCCAGTCTCTTTACTCGAAACTAATCTATGTATTCCCGGGCAAGCAGAACTAGCGAATTTAATACATCATCACAAACTTCCATGTCCTTGGTGCAAAACCTGTCAGCATTACGCCTGGAGAATTCACGAACAATGAAGAAAGTATGACATCAGCATGGTACTCCTTCGAGAGATAGCGTCGGAAGCTTGGGAGGTTTCAAATAGTAGGTGCGTGTATCCTCTCCACGTTTATGTTCAGCAATTGATGTGAAACTGTCATCATGGTTCTGAAGGTGTTCACCGCGAAGAGTACTAAGTTTTGAGAGGCCATAGCGTTCATACTTGCACTTAAGCTCGCCTTTTACCCCAACGAGAAAGTCTATGACGTCAGTCTACGATCTTTCTGTGTCGTTTGTGTTCCAACCTTCGACCAAGCCCAGCGAGAACGGAGAAGAAGCGTGCAACTCATTACCCAAGGCAAAGGCGGTACACAAGCTCTCCCGCAACCGATGCGAGTCTGGGTGAATGAGGAGCAGTGTATACCTCATCCCAAACTAGGCTGCGGGCTGTTCTCATGCCTACCCTTTGACGTCGTAGGACGTACACAGTTTCTGATATCTTTCGAAGTCTCCCAGGTTGTTTACTCATGTACTTGCTGTATCATTTGTCAAATCCAAGTGTCTGCATTGTTCCTAAATGACATGTCCATTGTGGATACTGAATAAAACCACTTGTGAATGATAATACAACCTCTGCAATTATTTTGCTAATGCAAGCGAGTCGGCATACAGGACGGATGTTGTAGGATCGTTTGCAATAAGGTTGACGATACTTCACTGTACAGTACACACAACTTTAGTTTCAATGACCAAAATGGCTGGCATGTTCGTAGCTGACGAATGGTAGCGCTACTTTCGTAATAAAATGGAGGTGCAGAAAATACCACCTGTCACAGAGCAAGGTGAGAATCGGCAGGGCCAAACCTAGTATAAGAATGTGTAAGCTGTCGAGTAGAATACGAAAAGAGTGAAAGTTCTGGTGTGTATATAACTATTAATGCATAATTAGGGTAGCGTAATATTGTCGTGAAAAGGATAGGCTGTGAACAGTGTTATCTACTCGAAGTCCAAGTATGAAGGAAAAGGCTTTTGAGGGCCCTCCTAAGCAAATTATCAGGTAAAAGTCCCAATTTAGCGTAGTAGTTGTGCCAGGTAAGACATTCGTCTTGTACTTCATAGTTCAATGATTTGCGACATATCCTGTACCAAACAGTTTAACATTAGCACGACAATCAATGCGCAAGCCACTTTATTAAACTCACCAGGGGGTAGTGGCTGGAATACTGCACGAAAATCAGGATAAGTAAAGGTGAAAATGACAATGTAACAGCGAACGCACCGAAGGCTGCTGAGAGTCCAAAGTGGAAGTGTCATTTCCGTCATCGCCGTGGTCATGGGAATCACATTTGCGCCAATCCTCGATTTCGACTTCATTTTCCGACAGTCTTTGTAGACGATGCGGCTGGTAAGCTGTCTTGCCTGCTGGTTTTGTCGCCTGTGTGCGTCTGACAGTGATATCATTGACTTTTTCCCTGTGACATGCTCATCAGCGCATCGCTGAAAACAGGAAAGTGCCACGCACCGTATGTAGGCAAGTAGCTCGCGATAAGAAGGTCTAGGATTCCGTTCTAACGAGGATGAGTTTTATAGTTCTCTTTCTCTGCATATGCATCTCACCAAGGTAATCAATGAAGAACTAGACGACCATCAGTCAGGCTGAAGATACTCAGAAGACTAAGTCGTACCTTCGTCACAGTTTCACCCGTAACGTTGTCGTCATACGCCAACTCATTATCCTTACATGCAGAGAGTGAAACCTTTTGGGCATCGACTTTAGTATATACCAGAATACATAAGTGAGAGAAAAACGCACGACGGAGGCCTTGACTTGGTTCTCTGGGAGCGTCATAGGACAAAAAAATGTACACGGAGACAAGTATGAGTCAGGAGAAGTCACTCTGCAGAGATCCGCGCCATCGTTTTCCGGTAATACATATTTTGATTGAAAATCATCCTTTGACGAGAAACGGCCCTCCCAGTTATCCTTCGAAATGCTGGAGCTAAGTCTCTTTCCTGTGTGGCAAATATTGAAGTGATGATGAACAGAGAAACAAAATACCCACCGAGGCTCATGGTTTTCCTTGCCAGACCTGAGATTATCAGTATCGACTCGGAGACACAATACGAAATAGCCCTTACCTGACAGGGCTTTGAAGGGCCTTCGCCATAACCCGTTGCAATTGAAATGCTCCAAATCTTTGAAGCTTGCATTAGTGAAAAGAAGAACAAGTACTTTAGACCCACGCACCCAGCACTGTGTGTGAGTGGCAACAATCCCATAGCGCCTGTTTACCAGAAGAATTATTAGTAGGACTTAAGATCCAATCCGAACACGCACAAAAAGTTTGGCGCCTTGAGGCAATGGATCAACGAGGTGTTCTTTCAAGATCTTGAAGTCGTTGAGCATCATGAACCAGACGATGATCATGACATGGAGCTTACATTATCGATGATGCGCTTTCCCGTGTAGGTAAGGATGGCTTTATGGAAGATTTGAACACAGCTTAAAACAAAGAGGCTTGGACACTACCTTCATCCTTTTTGTCAGGTTCAGAGTTGTGTCTACAAGTCACCTGATCGCCATGGCCGGTGTCTGATGGATTATCAATAATTGGCGCTCGAAAATATAGAGCCCTGCATTGCAAGAGCTTACTTACAATAGAAGAAAATTCGGTCATATTGGGACGTGCGTTTGACCATAAGGTCAATCTCGCGCAGCTGCGCTCTATGATTAGAAAGAATATGGAAAATACATAATCTAGAATGCTCACCATGTTTGCTTTACTGGGATATAACGTTGACAAAACACTCTTATGATGCATCATAATGATGATGTTTTCCGGGTGGTAGCCACGAACTGCAGCAATAAATCAATTCGACGATGTTTTCCGTCATAAAATATACATACAGTTCACAAGGAAGTCTCTCATTTTCACCACATCTGTGTGCGCTTGAGGGAGGTCGGGGAAACCCGATACCTTTTCCACAGCAATGAGGAGTGCTCTCTGAATTCCTCGAGGTTTGGCAGGAACGTCGCCCGACATTAATAATAGAATAACTTAAGGGCCTAACGTCCCAGTAATTCGATGACCTAGTAGGAAATCAGAAAAGAATGAAGAGAAAATTTGAGGATAGCTCAAGGAGCACAGTTGGATTTTATGTACCCTGTGTGGGAGACACAGCAGTGCACAGCTTAACTCAAGAGCTGTAGAGCAGAGACATACCACTGTGAGACTTCCAGTATGCACAGGATGGCAGTTGGATGGCAGACTCGGGCGCAGACACAAATTACGTAAATATCGGTGCACAGTGATGACTTACTTACGATTCGGATATGACGACATTGATTGAATGATCGTTGAGATGTTAACAGTGAGTCCAAGGAGCATCCATGAGTACCTAAGTCCGAACCAGTCGCGATCAAAGTTCTGTGTGTCGCATGGCAAATTCAGGTTCCCAAACGTCGCATCCAACACGCGTCAGCCATACATCTCGCCTCTCTCTCCTCCAGCGGTGCAGAGTTCGGCAATTTCCACGCTTCCCGTCAGGACACGCACACTCCCACCACATCGGAGGTTTCCACGAACCTTCATGTGGTACTTTGGCGGTGGCATTAGCCTGCCGGCTGACACCCGCTGGCATGAATGCCAGGAGATGTGACGCATTCATTGGTTCAAGATGTGGCTCATCCAGTTGCGGGAGCGTGCGGAAATCTGCACCGAATGCAACAACGTGGACTCGCTGTTGATGAGATAAATCCGGCGCTAGTAAAGCGATGACTTCCTGCTGTATTTCTCCAGGCAGTTGGAAGAACATCGAAGGCGCGGAAAGTCGATTGAGGGCGAAAACAGAAGTAAAGTCAAGAGGAGCACTGTCGTGTGGGTTCCGCATGCCCGACCGAAGGAACAATGCGCGGCTGTACAGCAGTAGCGCGACAGCTTGCTTTTTCACCCTGATTTTTTTCGTTAAGTTCCTCTGGGCTGCATTGTTTAAAATGCGCCAACTCTCTTGCGATGCAAGAGTACGCTCCTCGCTGTCGCCATCATACTCATCGATATGCAAGTCATCAAGATTAACCTTGAAAAGGCTGTAGTTCTCACGCTCGATAGCGTTGATGATTTCGCGCGCACCGGGCAGTGTCAAGCTGTTCGCGTTGCACTGCAATCGATCCAGTCTGCAACGCGACGACGTAACATATTCAATGATGGTAGGGACCACAGCGCGGGTAATATTGGTGGCAGAAAGGCCGAGTTGACGCAGATACCGTGTGTTGAGGCTAGGAAGGAATGCGCGAATGAAGGTATCAGAGAGAGTGCCGTTATGGATTAGCTGGAGCGTGTATAGTCTTGAGCTGTTCAGTGCGGCGGTGAACTGTGCGATGACATCCGAATCAGTTGATAATGGGTTCTGCGTTAATCATGAGAAAAGTGTCAATCTGAGGGAACTTTAACGGCAGAACACCGGAGGTTTCCATACTCACACCAGACAAACATAGTTCCCTTAGCACATGATTGTCCTTGATGAAATTTGATACAGCAAGTAGACCCTTTGCACCTATACCGTTCCTTGTGAGGTACAGTTCGGTGAGGCTGTTTTTGCATTTTCGACCAGCAGTGGATTCTAGAAAGTTAAAAAGCTGTATGCAACCCTCGTCGCCCATTGAACTGTTCCCGATATCCAATCTATAGACAACCTCGCGGCGCTGTATAGTATTGATGATGTTCCTTGCAGCTTCCAGAACATCAGTGGCTATTCCGACCATGGAGAGGCAATGAACAAAAGGCGCTCAGTACTCACCAATGGTCGATGCAAGCCTAGCGCTGATGCTCTTCAAGCGCTGGTGAGTGACAGAACGAACAGTGGCCGGATCATCATCATAATGATGTCGAATTTTCTGGGAAGATAGCCTGAAGTGCATGATAGTAAGTAGTAGATGGTCGAGGGTAACACGATCGCATTTCCGAGTCCGATTGTGGTCATGCGGTCTGGTCCTTACATACTTTTGAGAGCGGAGACGGTAACCCGGGTGAGAGTCGATCTATTGAAGCAGTGCCTTGTACGATTGGGTTCATCCGTCGGATCCTGATATTCCATCAGAATAGACCTCAAACAAACGTTGGCTTCATTTCGACAGGTGTCCCAAGACCAGTATTTGGTTTTTGTTTGGTCGCCGCTTATACTAAGCCCAGTCTGGACCCTGGAGCCGAAAATACTCTAGAGAATTCTTCTTACGAACGGAACTTCATCATCTTTTCAAATTGCCCTGTCTCTTTGCCTATGCGAGGTACAACATCGAAGCCATTCCCGATACACGACGGACACTCCAAAATGGAGTGCACATGCGGCATGTCAAGTCATGCATTCACACCTTCAATGATTTGTACCATAATCTGACCCGTGCGCGCTCACAGCTCAGGCTGCTCCTACGCAGGTTGTACTACATTTTTCCATACTCGCAACATGTTTAACTCAGTTGCTCTTGTGCATCCTCCTGACATGACATGCGTTGCAAACACACATTTCATGACCTTTTCTCGTACCACCATGCTACTCGCTATCGCGATGGAAATTATACCAGCAATATCCCACTCTTTTCACTACACCGATGCCACATTTGCGGATCCCCTCAGCAAACAATGCGAGGTTGTTGCCTTAAGTGTGTTGTACTCTGAAAAGATTAATGCATTCGAAACAGAGTGCATACAATCGTCCATTCAACTCAATCCTTCAGAAACAGGCTGAAAATGAATAACTAATGGTCCTGACTGAGTCTTGTGCCATCGTCTAGTGCATTTATTTTCAGTACTGCTACATTGAATATTATAACTGATATGTTGTCAACCTAGGTTTTGGCTGACGTTTTCAGCTAATCGGTTTCACAACATCACGAGGACCTCAAGTTTCTGCTCTGGTTTGGGTGCCAATGAATGGCATGAACGCCGAGAAGTTCCGACCGACTCCCACTCAGAACAGCTGGTGAGTGTAATGCCCTGTTCTGTTTTCCGACAACTCAATATTTTTTTTCAAAAACCCTGCAGCTATCACTGATTGAAGTGGTTGATACCAATCGGCTCCTTGATCAGAGTTCAACGTTCAACATTCAAGGCATACTGGCCCGAGAAGCCATGTCAATAAGTATTCCTTTCATTCTTTGATTTCATGTTCTGGTCTTGCTGTACTAACACTTACGACTGCAGAGCTATAAATATTGAGATTTGTAAGTATTACTGTGGTTATTGCCGTCCTTATTGTGCACTCATTTGTGTGTTAAGTCTGGGTTGCCGACTGCGTGTGAACCGCAAACATGGTCGAAACTCTCGTTCGCCGGTGGCACGTTACATTAGCCAGGTACTGGGCATTGTCAGCAGGTGGGTAGGAGTTAGTAACATGAATGGGTCTGGGTCTGCATGTGAGTGGTTTATTTTTACAGCTATTTTGTAGTTTTGTAGTTTTTCAAGTTGAAATGCATTGATCTGCGCCGATACATCATGAGAATTGCAAAATGTGAGCTATTTACTCGTATTCTATTGATTTCTGTGCAATAACATTCATCTGATTTTCACTGGGGTGTAAGCATTGCAGTATTTCATATTCACCTAGATTCACACCGTACTGTAACTTGAACAGTTGCACAGCCACAAACCTCATCTCATTATGTAATATTAATCTAGTCGCCCGTGAGTCTTAGAGCCCGACCTGTAGATAGTTGTTTCAGAATACTTGGTCGATCTCAAGGAGGGAGCGTTAAATTCCTTCCAGGCCATGAAGGTTGGTTGAATCTTGACAGTCATAGTAATTATCTACTGACATTCTAATAGATTGCAGTAGAGGGATGCAGCCATGGCGCGCTTGACGCGATCTACCAGTACCTACGTGGTCTAGAGGCCAGGCACAACTATATTGTGGATTTACTTCTCATGTGCGGGGACTTTCAAGCTGTTCGCAATCACAGAGACATGCAATGCATGGCTGTACCGCAGAAGTATAGGCAGCTAGGTGATTTCCACAAGTACGTGCCAATATCTGGTTGATACAATAATGCATTGATCCACTTCTCTCCAGGTACTATACGGGAGAAAAGACTGCTCCAGTGCTTACCGTTGTGATAGGCGGTAATCACGAGGCGTCAAATTACATGTCAGAACTGTACGCACTCGGGCCTGCTTTGCCGCCTCTGCGCGCTGCCTATATCCTTATTTCCTCACACAGGTATCATGGTGGGTGGCTTGCACCAAACATATACTTCCTCGGGCATGCCGGATGTATCCAAGTGAACGGTATTCGTATTGCTGGCGCGTCCGGAATCTTCAAAAGTAATGATTTCAGTCTAGGTGATTCTCCAATTATGTTCCCGGATACTCCAGCATTAAACACACGCAGGTCTTTACGAAAGATTGCCTTACGATCATGGCTCCATGCGAAGTATATACCACATCAGGGAATTCAACATTCGCCGTCTGTCTTTGGTCCGTAAATTTTAGTCCTTGCGAGTTCTTCATCTCACATCGGATGCATCACAGTTATCCTCCCCGGATATATTCCTTTCTCATGATTGGCCGCAACATATCGAACGATATGGTGACACTCAGGGTCTCCTTCGCCGTAAACCATTCTTCAGACAGGATATACAGACGGGCAACCTGGGTTCCCCTCCTTTGATGGGGCTCCTGCAGACACTGAAACCAAAATGGTGGTTTTCAGCGCACTTGCATGTTCGCTTTCAGGCTACCGTCCAGCATGAACAATCCGGCACCGGATCAAATTTTAATTCTTTGTCCACTACTTCACCGCCACAAAACCCAGATGAAATAACAATTGCGGATGATGACTTTGACGCAGTTGAACCTCAGAATCTTCCAATTGAATCTAATTTGCAAACGACTTCCCACAACCCTGATGAAATAACTCTAGAAGAGGAAGAAGAGGAAGTTATACAATTGCCTCCTGCTGCTTATCGGCCAGAGCCATCTGTGACGAACTTCCTCGCATTGGACAAATGCCTTCCAAAACGAGAATTTATGGAGGTATGCAACTCTGTGTCGATGGGACATGGTTCCACTAATTTCTAATATAGATTATCGATATACCTACCACATCGGATGAATCTACCATGCCTGGACAACGCTGCATACCGAAGCTCATCTTCGATCCAGAATGGCTAGCAATAACACGTGCTTTTCACCCATTTCTCTCCACGAGGCGGCGTCAAGCAGATTATCCTGATGAAGAAACAGCTCGCGCGATGGTCGCCAAAGAGATGGAGTGGGTCAAGTCAAATGTGCACAATAACGAAGCAAACTCTTCTGATGCCCCTCTGCCTGGCGTCCGATCCATTCTGGATTGCCAGACATTCGTGCAGAGCGCGCCTGGTCCTGGAAGTGAAGGAGCTCAGAAGAATCAACAACGTGAGTGTACTAATTCCTCGAAATACCTATACTGACGTTGGTTGTGCAGCACCTTGGTACACTAATCCTCAGACTGCTGCTTTTTGTGACATGCTTGACATTCGAAACATGATTGATTTCTCTTCGGATAACCGGTCCTAAGAAGCCTCTTCCATAGAACGCTGACTGGGGTTTGTGACATTTTAGTATTATTTTCCCACGCCATGTAATTACTTATGTTCCTTCACCAGGCACTTGATATCACATTGCACAGTATCCTCGTCCCTTCTCTGCAGTATTTCTCACTGCTATGCTAAGGTTGCGTTTCTGAGGAGTCGGACCACTCCGATTCACATGTTCATGAGACAAATTCTACTCATTTTTTCTCGAAACTCCAGTACAGCAAGTGCATAATAGGCGCCTTGAGGCTGTGGCGTTGGATAAAGTGGCATGATGGCTGTTCTTTTCCTTCCTTCCCCCGCCTGCTCCTGCACTGCTCGCCATGATTGCAGGCCATGTTGCATACATTCTCAACATATTGAAGAAATGGCTTTCACGACTTGCACGTCGCTCTGCGACTTTATTCTTCGTTGTCTTGTCTTCACTGCGTCGCTTTTTAGCAGGTCATTTGAAGCTCGGTGATCGGAGATTGATTACTCGTTTTCCCAGTGCAGTGCTCCCGCGATCTCAAGAGGATATCAAAGGACAGGGTCCACCCATCTGCCCGAGCCTTCTGCCGCCTGGTCAAATGAGGCAGGAAGCTGGAGAGGAGCCTCCATCGCCCTCAGATGATCCTTACACAGGATCTCATTCACAACATCCACGACCTTTACGAAAAGGTACAGCGATTCCTCCATTGGACGCTAATCCAACAACGATGGAACATACTAGTCCCACTCAAACAGATGGGTTTCATCAAGGCACTGTGTCGAGTTCACACCTGTCTCTGCATATGGAAGAGAGGTCTGTAAAAAACAAGATATTGCCTAAGGATGGGGCACCGCAGGAGCTCAGCAGTACAGGCCCTTCGCACCTTTCTGTCCTCCATGCTTTATCCACAACACATTCACGACCACGAGGATATATGGACGATACTCATTCTTTTAATACAACGCGCACGCCATCCGTGAGGCATATGGTGCCTGGTACGCCTTATTACCAACACGCCTCCAGTAGTCGTGTTTCAGTGAGCACGGGTCGCTCCTTTACACGATCGATTGCTGGGTCGGAAGTCCGACAAGCTGCATATCGAACACACACGGGACCTGTCCATTCTCGCCCAATTAGCGTCTGTAGTATCATGGATGGACACCACGGATCCACGAACACGATTTCTATGCCATTGGATTCATCTGCCCATCCTGTCCCGGTGTCAGATCATGGTTTCGATCACAGTATACATTACATTGCACCCCCCGGCAGCGACGAGCAGCTACCGGGCCAAGATATCGTCATGGTCTATGACGGCCCGCCGCTAAGCTCTATGGTTCCGGATAATGTCCAGAGATATGGCAGGTGCCGTTTCCGGTGAACATTAGTCTGCCTTCTTGCATTTATCCAAGAGCTGACCTTCCCAAAGAAAGTACAACGTCGCCGACATGACCGTCCGTGCTATGACATTGGCTGCGCATGAGTAAGTCATTTTATGACTTTTGGTTGTCACGCCTCAAAACTATTTCAAGTATGGATGTGCCACAAGGATGGACTGCCTTTGTGCATCCAGAAGGCGCCCGTTATTTCGTGAACCAAGAAAAAGTGCGTCAAATCCATGGATTATCGACGACCGACGGTCTGAGTTGGGACTATAATGCGCAGAGAACATTCACAGATATGAATATTTGTGAGCTAGAGATATGCGGAGATATCCAATACTACATGGAATATCTGCTGGATGAACTGGAGCGGGCCATTAAGAGAGGGGAGCTCGCGCTCGACATGAAGCAGGTAGACCTTGTGCTTGAGCCCAAGAGCTTTGATGGCGACTCTGTCATCTGTTGCTATTATTTCGCCAATCACCGCGACCGATGCCTCTTTTGGTTGGATGACTTCAATCCCAAGGATATTATCTCAGAATGTAAAGGCGTTGAGAACTTCTCACATTTATGTGAGTAACTAATAGTTCTAAGAGGATCCGGATCTGACGGCTTGTCCCTGTTTTCATAACCAGGGCTTGCCATTGAAGCGCAATATTGGTATGTTCCAGTCAAGGTTCGCATGGCATCTTTACCTCACCGTCCCATTCCTAATAGAATTCTAGGTCATATACAACTAAATTAACATGCAATGCAGGAAACATTGGGATTTATTTCCTAGCCTATGCCCGCTTACACAAGACATTATCGATGAGCTCAGGGACCTCTTGATACATGCGACATGTGGTCAGTGCTCTCCTCGTTCTGGTAATTTGAGCTGATGCATATGGTCGTAATGAGCAGACCACTTAACATCGCTGCAGTCTTGTGCAGCATTCGATGTCATTGAAATCAAGGATCATCTTTCTGTGGTGGACAGGATCAAGGGTACGCTACTTTGATACCTCTTTACAGACGCCATACGCTAATCCCTTTTTTTTTTTTCAAAGTCCATCCCACTGACTCTCCCCAGAGGATGCGACGAGGTCACGCTGCCATTGTCATTGGTGAGCCCGAGTTCGATCTATTATATTCCTGATGTTCATTATCATTCAAGGCCGCATCATGTATACATTCAGTCAGTGCTCTCTCATTCATGTACCTAACTAAAATTCACGTCATTTTTGAAGCTCATAACCACTTTGTGAATTATCACGGTGAAGACTGTGCGAGACTGATGTTTGAACAATCAGTCCATGGTTGGTCATATAAACCATCACCGTTGATGTTTATTCTCGCACCCCTTCTGTTCCTTGACCCTGTGGCTCAAGTTCAAGAACTGCACAAGATTTTTGTGGATGAGGTTACATACGATTCACGATGGAAAGAATTCTGTTTAAAATTCAAAGGGCAACTTCAGGACTCTAACCTTTTGGTAAGTCTACCTTTTTACTGTTATCAACTTTCATGTGATCGATGTCGAGCCAGGCTACTGTCCTACTCAATGCCAACGTTGGGTTTCTCGCTATCAACACTGTTGATAAAGGTGGTAGAGATGCGATTCAGATGGCAAGCTACATGTCCTTGGTGACGAGCTTGGGAAGCATAGTCCTCGGCTTGTTCTTTGTCTCACATGGTCAAACCTCTGGACAAAATACAGCCACGGAAGCGGTCAGTATATTCATCCGTATTACTGGGACATTTCTTATAGCAGTTTGTTCAGGCAGTCTTTTTAGGAAGACTTCACAACGGAAATCACGGACTGGAAAAGCTGGCTATAATGTATAGCCTTCCAAAGGCATTGCTGTTGTGGGGGTGAGTCTGCGCCCTTATGTAATAGGCAGAGGCCCTGATATCATATATTAGCATGGCATTCTTTTTTGCAGCATTCTCGATTGATTGGTGGACGGCTGGAGATATAACTTCCAGGTCCATTGTCGGTTCTGTGACGCTGGCCGTATTGGTGATGATGTTAAGCAGCATCATGCTCACCAGGGGAGGAGGAGCATGGTCATGGCGGCCAACCTGGCGGTCGCTTGGAGACATCACCCAGGAGCTGTTGTCTCGTCTGTCTAACGCTTGGAAGCAAGCCATGGCACTCGGTCGAATAGACCCTACTGGCGACCATCTAAGCTATACTGATGCAATTGACCTTGGTACTCCCATTGGCCACTTTGCCGAGGCGGACACTCCAATGCACACTACTACACCTTTGCCTGATTCAGAACCACATAACCATGAAAATCGCCACAATTCCCCTATCCCTCATGTTCAGCCAGGTCACCCCACCTCTTCCGTAGATGCACATCAGCAACCACATGCTGGCAATTCCGTGTTGCTATCATCAGATTCACGCATCAACCCAGGTGTTCTTAGAGGCGTAGGCTCTTTGCAACGGATTCGGGAAGATTCCCAGACGGATTTCCAGGACCAGTCCACCACGGAGGTTCGCAACGAGTCTGGTAGTGCTCCCTTGAGCGTACACTTTGACACATTACCAAGCCCTGTATCAGAGGAGGTGGCTGAGACACCGACCGATGCACCACAACATTCCGATGTTCTCCCAATCACGGACACCATCCTGTCCGAGCAGAATGCGGCAGCAGTTACCGACACTGACACACCCATATTGCTAGATTCATGTGGCGCAGAAGAAAGTGAGGATGTGACGACAGTGGTCGAAGAGCCCGGGGAACTCGAGCATCCCCAATCTCCGCCGATCACAATGCCACCTCCAAGAATATACGCTCGAAGCGCCACTGGTGATCAGTTCCATCGTGCACCAGGGGTTCCGCAGTCAACACTGCCTGAAGCTGGTCACGATGACATAATAGAAGAGTCCCCAGAGGAGCGTGAAGGGAAAAGTTGAGGGTGGCCTGGTGACACTGATCTTTATTCAGTTCCGATCACTTTAAGAAGCTGATGAGGTACTTTGTATATGCAGTACCTGAGTTACACTGTCGGTCACTTGACGTCGTCAGCCAGGTTTACTTCACCCTTACATATTTTTTTCTGAAATTTGAGCATTCCGATTGTTTGTTGGGCCTTTGATTGCATTTAGTGACTGGCTTGAGTGACACATTATGTAATGAATGATACGGCATCTCGCAAATTATAGCACAATGACTCGTTAATCGCAAGTTACCAAGGAATACGTATTCGATGGGTTTGACCTGCAGGGTAGCTATGGCAGATCGTGAAGGGCCGTCAAGCTCGTGGCGGTTGTTCGAGTTTACAGTGGAAGGTTGTCGCATCACACGCATCGTGTCGCTGAGATGTGAAGTTCGTGTAGGCTATCTGATTATCTTGACCCACAAGACGGGTCTGTGACGTCATACTGGCGGCTTGGGGACGTAACACTGAGGGCAGCTAGAGACCCTCGTGCGAGCTCGAGATCCAAGTGAATCTATTTCGACTGCGGACATGAGTAATGCTATCAGCCCGGGATCCCCATAAAGCCATATGTGAGCCATGCCAAGTGCAGCAGCGCTCTCAGCATGGATTACGGTCGTGGCTGCGTCGGCAAGCTCTCGGCAGTACTGTTGCGAACCTGGGAAGTATGACTGAGCCCAAAGAATCGTGCTGCCCTAATAAATATTAAAAATGTTGACTTGATACTTTCATTCTCTTTCCCCCGGCGGCAGCTGCCTTGCAAGTACCGCCGCCACACCCTGATGGCAATTTCAATCTCCAGTCGCTCCACCATAGTGTCTAAAGAGGTTCTCGAAGGTACTCAAGGTCCGTGAGTCCTGCCGTGTTCTGCAAGTACATCGGAACAAAAAAACTCAAATGTCTAGAACAGGCGCACACACCATCATTTCTCAACTCAACTCCTCGCGGTCAATCACCAAGCTCAAGTTAAATAGTAACCGACTAGGAGACGACGGTGTATATGCACTCTTTACCTTCCTCAAGTCTCCAGCAGCCTCACGGCACCGCACTTCGATATCGGAGATCTATCTCAACGATAATGGTATAAGCTGTAGAGGTTTGCGCGACATTGCAGACTATGTGAATGGAGATGAGGTAGCACTGAAGACATTGTGGCTCGCAAACGTGAGTAATCATCCATCTTTCGGTTTCGCAAGGCGCATGAACGTCGTCTTAGAACACCATAGGACCTGATGCTGATGTTCTGGCCTGGTTTGCTACCACAATCAATCGCTCTCAACTGGAGTTCCTTTCGCTCACGGGAAATCACAAACTTGGCGATGCTATCGTTGAAACCTTCTTGCGCCATTTAAGGGCACCCCGCCTCCGCGAGTTGCATATCAACGCCATGGGACTATCTGCGCGTTGTGCATCTGGACTCGCACAGTGGATTTCATCGGGCCACACCGACGGAGCTTATTCCCTCAACACTCTTAAATGCAGTGGCAACAACCTAGGAATCAAAGGCGTATGGGAAGTTGTTCACGCCATTGAAACGGGTAACTGGTCACTCATGAACGTGGAGATGTACGCGAACGACCTAGCAAGTACAGAAATTCAAAATGACAACTCTCCTATTCAACAATCAGACCGTTTGCCATCCTCTGATACGGAGATGTCATGGAAGGATGCAGAACGTGCTCTTCACAGGGTGCTTCACCGGCGAAACGCTTATTGGAAAAGACAAGTAGAGATGGAGGCATTAAGTCTTCTAAAGTACTCCCGGCTCATTCTTCGGTCCAAGGCTCCTCTTTCATCCGCCGACCAACATCCTACCAGTGGCTCGGCCAGCGAGTCGTTTCCATTTTACAATCTTCCTATGGAGCTGCGCCTCTGCATCCTTGCGGTCCTCGCTCCTTCATTATCTTGTGCCCAACGCACCCGTATCTATGAATATGCTGCCGACTCTTCGACTCTCCCGCCGCTTCTACCACCTCTACGGCGAGATACTGTCCACGGGTGTCTCGCAGATCCCTCGCGAGCCCTTGGAGCAAGTATAGGATTTGCAGTGCACACCTCAGGCGGTTGTGCTGAAGGAAAGTGTATGGGTACTGGCAACAGTCTTGTGTGCCGTCGGGAGGCAGAGCGTATCAGGTTTCTGGAAGTCGTTGGATGTCGTGCATATGAGCCTGAACGCGTCTCTGGAATGCGGTAGGATCTCTTCAGGGAATATTTTGATTCAAGACATTTTTAATGGCATTTTTACTTATGCAGTGTATATACATCATGATTCATGTAAGTTGCTCAAGTCACTCGCGACTTTTGTGATAGTGTAGTGTTAGTATGACCTTCATTTCTATTTCAGGGTATTTTGGACACACGAATAGATTAGGCTTATGCATAACGAATTCCAGAGGGGAACATCATCGTCGCCAATGGTTGATACTATCATTCGCGTATGCTTGAGATAGTCCACAACTTGGATCCGGAATGACATAGTCACCCTTGGGCATCGACATATACGCCTGTTTTGCCAAGTCATTCATATGTGACAACGTGGCTGGCCGCCGCACGGAGAAATGGTCGTCAGACATATATTTATCTGGCTAACGCGCATAAAAGTGTGCCATGTGGAATCCGGAGCTAAACAGACTGCTTTTGATCAAGCCAACATTAGACGTCTAACCGGACGTCAAGTCGGCCGCAATGGGTACCTTGTGCCGCATGAGATCTACACCACTGCGCTCATTCGACTCGGACTGTTCGGATACAAGGAAACTTGTGTGCATGATCAATCAGCGCAAAGACTCATATGTCACAAGTGCATTTGACTGTACTAAGTAATATTGCGTGATTAATGATAAAAAACGAATCGACAAGGAGTGCAGATATAATTGTTCGAAATGGGATTCAAGCATACCTACCTTTAATTTCCTGCGAAAATTCCTCCATAGTATGGAACTTCACTCCCAAGTTGACCAATCGGGGATCAGGGATAGCAGTTTCTGGGTATAGTCCGAACTCGGACTGGAAATCATACTTTGAAAAATAAAAATATCATCAGCATCAAGATTTCCATCATACCGAACAATACCGACCATGTCGTCCATTTCCTGCGCAACATATGAGTACGTGGACTACATCAGATAAATAAAATGGTTTGCGAACCTGCATTCCAGTAGTCTGGCAGGAGACAAAACGTACTGGCTTCCCCAGTGCTGATGGTAGCAAGAAGATTAGATCAACAAAATTCTTGCGTATTGATCACATACCCTGCTCGAGGACGGATGCAAATTGAGTGTAGTTCATCTTTGCGCTGACGGCATAGAAGGTTCGGGAGAGAACTTCTGATTCAGGATCTTGATAGTGTTTGAGAAGCGCCAATGCGCACTGGCCGAGGTCCCCCTCAACCCATGTAAAGTATTGAGGAGATTGAGGGTCATATCTCGCCACAGTTAACTCAAGGCGATCGGAATCCGGCACAGGCGCAAGAGTATTGTAGCTGCAAAAAGTTTGCATCAGCTATGCGCAGGCTTTATCGCGGGAAGTCTTACTTCCAGAGATTCTCTGTAAACCAGCCTTGAATGATGGTATCAGCTACTGGAAAGACGCTCGAAATAAAATAAAAATGCTTACCGGTGTACAGGATAGAATGGGGTATGCCAGAGTCTCGGAGATAGTCGTCTACGTTCGCTTTGTCTGACAAGCTTATAATTAGCCAATGGCATGTGCTGGACAAACGACGACGACCCACTGTCAAAGTGGTAAACATTTGGATACTTCCCGTTAGACACCCTTGTACCATGCGGAAGAGAACTGCGAAAGGTACGCATTGAGGTTAAAGTCGCAAGTCGCGAGAGGGAACAGCCAAATTTACCTCCAAATAAAGTACTTGATATCCATTGCTTGAGCAGCGTCGACGAGATTCTTCCCAAGTAGCATTTCGCTGTTGTGGCCTTGAGCGAAGTTCTTGGGATCATAATAGTCGGTGACCTGTTGAAATAAAACAGGAAGTGATAAGTCAAGGTCTTCAAAGGCAAACGGCGCAAACGTGTCATACCCCATAGACGGCCTCAACACCGGACAGGGCTTGCTTCAACGAGTCGACGTCCCATAGATCTGCTTGCACTACCTCGGCACCAAGAGCCTTCAGTTTCAACGCTTTCTCCGAAGTGCAGTTTCGGGTGATTGCACGCGGTACGAATGTACCATCCGCTAGCAGGGCTTGTACGATGGACGAGCCTGAAGGTTCTGATTAGCCAGAAATTCGAGCATGAACAACGCCAACATGCCTTGAGTTCCGGTGGCTCCAAACACCGCAACTATACGAGGTGACATTGACATTGCTAAGGTATGAGTGAAGGAGAGAACGGGGGATGTGTTATTCTACCCCGCACCTAGACGTCTTAAGTAGCCATTCTCAGATTGTTTATGCCCTGTTGTGACACTCCGTTAGGCGAAGTGTATTCACCTCCTATCTGGCAATTGGAGTGCCAGTAAGGTCCTTGCGATGTAATGTATCCAATGGCGAGTTGAGTGATGTCAGGTATAAGCGCTTAAGCGGCCACCGGTGGCGCTACGAATGGGGCCATCGTCCACCTAGCAGAGCTGTTCGCGCAGATCCGAGAGAGAAACGGCATCCGAGTCGGACTCTACAGAATTATCCGGATCTTACCACCTAAGAACTCAGTAAAGTATATATGATCCGTTGGGGTAAAAATAAAACCGGCCTTCCCTCACCACCAGTGACGTCTGCTAGGGCGAATTTCAGATCAGAACCATCCGAATCTGTCATGAGTCAGAACACAAATAGCTAGGATGTCGTTGGCTACAGCGCACACCGAAAAGATTAATGCATGTTCAAAGCTTGTCCATATCGAGTATCCCCCCACCGCGCCCAATTTCGCGCGGGTTCTCTGGATGGTGCCTAGATAGAGTCGGATAGACTGCTGATGTTAACAGAGTTACTCTGATGAGGCAGCAAGGGCTCGACGGCAACTACTTCTGGATTGCACTATAATAGCACACGACAATCCTGCTTTGGACAGGAAAGGGTTGTGAAGCGTTTTGCGTGCATGGACATCAAGGTCGTTTACTAGTAACGCTGAGTCGGTAGCATACATCAGAGTCCAGACATATGCATATGAGTATATACTTGGAGCTGATATCATTGCACTGCAAACATAAATAAATATAAACTCGAAAGAAATTTCAAAAATAATACAGGACTCAGTGGCAGTGCTAGTGCTGCCGAAGTCTGGTTCAGTCCAATTCATCATAATAATTGATTTTTAAGTAAGTGTCTCCTTTCATTCTAACAGAAGTTTTTGGTGAGTGATTTATATACTAATATTTTGTAGATCTATCCTTCCCACTCATGCGCACAGTGCGCAGTGTCCCTCCCATACCTCGACCTTGACATCTCATTCGAGGCACCCTGCACCCTGCACCACTCCTCATTCACAATCCGACCCCTTGGCCCACCTCCCACTGCCACTCCTTCTCCCATTCTGGCGCCTTCGGGTGCCATTCGCACATATTCAGGCCATGTCAGCATTTGCTGACGTGTGCTGGGCATGTGCGCTAAGTACTGATGGCTGTTGGGTACAGGTACGGGTTTACCCGTGCGGATCCCTACCGAATTCTACGCACACCAATTTGTCGCAATGTTGTACCAAGAAGTGTAGCATGCTGTCACTGAATTGGATCGAGTTTTTCGCACAGTTGGGGCTTTGATGCCGACGCCGATGCGGAGCTTAAACGTTAACGTTTGGAATACCAGCTATCATATGTCTGGACTCTCCTAGATATTTTCTTTTCTCAGTCTGTCATCTGGGTCTGAGGTCTGATTATAGTGTTTAGATTTTACATGCACCAATTTACCGATGTGCCCCCGTGTATGGGGCTATGTGACTTGAGTGTCTTATCAGGAGCCACCACTCAAAGCATTATGAAATGAGTGAAATAAATAGAGCGGAGGTTCTGTTTAGCAACTACATTCCAGGATCACACGCAAGACATTTCAGCCTGTTCTGAGAGGTCCACGGCATTAACAATCAACTGTCGCGACAGTATAAAAGCAAGTCGTCTTCTTACCGTCCACCCCATCTCAAAGAGACAGCAGTTCATACCACCTCACACAAACAATGCATTTTTCCTTTCTCGCCGTCATCGTTGCTTTTGCGGCATCTATTATGTCCGTCAGTGCATGTTCTGGACTGAACGGAAGTTGCAAAACAGTCAATGACTGCTGTCCAAACCAGTCGTTGTACTGCAATAACAACAGTTGCCGCAAGACACTCCCACCGGTGAGTCAAGTGTCTACTATCACATTGGTGCCGTCGTTGATCGAGCGACGCGTAGGCCGGTGCTGAGTGAGAAATGGTTAGAGTCAATATCGAGTTGAAGAAGATATGTCGGATGAATGAAGCGTTTGCGTACTTTGTACTCTTGGTGTGAATAGAGCCCCATGAGTCGGTCATAAATCAAATCTGTGTCGGCTAAAAATCTTGGTTGATTAGTCGCTTGATTGATAAGGCAAGTAGTCGTTCGTACCGTTTTTGTGTCTGGCTTGTCCTGTCAATTGAATCCAGTATAACCTACCGTTACATTGTCACCATTATTATGAATCGTGGGATCATACATGGCCCGATGTCAGTCTCGTTGATGCATCAGCATGGTGTCACTGGAATATCTATCATACCGAGTTTGTCGTACCGTTGGAGTGTAAATGTTGATGCGACGGTGGAGATTGAAATACCAACCATCGACTTTTGAGTCTGCTTTCCATAGCGCTAGAACATCAGCGAGATCGGTATCCGATGATGTATGATCTCACGTCCCATAATTGTGAGAATGTGGGTTATATTTTATTCATGTCTATATTGGCTCTACCTATTTCTTGATCAGCAGCATCCTATATATCGTTCGATCAATAACATCGCCGATGCAAAAAACCACAACTTGCTGATGCGAAAGTGAACACTCGACTCACTAGGTTGAGCAGACTCAGTTAGAGCCTCCGACTGACTGACATTTGGCACACGGGCATGCCTTGCGTGTGATCCTGGATTAGGCAGAACCGTCCCCTCCATAATCGCTGAGTTGGTGATCCTTGACTCATTTGCTTATAAAACTCGACAAACAAAGGCACGCACCTAGGTCCTTATGTCAGGATATTTGTGCCACGCAGCCTCTCTTTTGCCATCTAGCACTTCGAGCTTGAGAGCTCCCCTCAGTCATAGGGGCTATTTTCAAGAACGTTGGTAGTTCGATCAGTCTGCACGACAAGAGTTTAGGCAGAACCTATGTATAACATAGAAGAACAGATGCCACGTACATGCCCATGTGAAAACAGAAGCACTTCTGCTACCAATGTTGTTTTAATCTTGAACGTATTCCCTACGTGTCGTGCAGACCTCGACGTTCGACTGTGACCGTACTTTGTATTTGCATTTTAGTGGTGCACACTCAGATGCCACGCACATACCCATTTGGAAACGAAAGTGCTTCTGCTACCAGAGTTGTTTTAATCTTGATTCTTGAACGTATTCCCTACGTGCCGTGCGCACCCAGCCCCTAGGGTAAGGTGTGTATGTGAACGAGTGATTGTGTATGTGTATCGTCCGTGTCTGTGTGCGCAAAATCGTTGAAGCAGATCCAGCGTCATACATTCTGCCTGAACAACGCTGCTCAGAATCACACCGCTGCACGTAAGACACGCCTGTTCTGCCAACTCTACAACACTGAAAATCAATTGTTGTGGTAGTATAAAAGCAAGTCATCTTCCTACCGTTCAACCCATCTCAAAGAGATCTCAGTTGTTCATACTGTCACAAACTAAACAACACGTTTCTCTTTTCTCACCGTCATTGTTACACTTACTTCGGCGGCATCTGTTACCAAACATCATTGACACTCGCGGTCCAGTAGACACTCCTCTTCAGGCGTAGACTCTTGCGAGCTTGAACATCTTCCTGATGGTGAGCATTCATGTAGCGAAGAATCAACTTTCTTTGCTACACGTGTCATTGCAGAAATTCAAATAAAGAAAACACACCTTGACACAGTGATATTTTCTTCGTGTATGAGGGTTCGCCTCATGTCATGCGAACCCTGCTTTTGGAAGCGTGCTCGCACTCGCTCGATTGCAGGACTTGTGGTGGCATGGGCTTGCCCACAAGCGGACTTCAGTCCCCACTAAGAGTGCCGCTTTTTCAAGAGGTAAATCCTAGGTTATGTATTAAGCATGCTTTCAGCTAGAAAATAACAGAACTCACGAAGCATTGTATACATCAGCATCATAGTGTTTGCGTAGGCGAGAAACGATTTCGGTGTTACTGTACCCCTTCGCCACGAAATACTCGATAGTCAACTTGATAAGATCATCAAGAACTTGAATAAGCGAAAATCAGCCAGGAATGAACTACTAGCGCAGAAACCCTACTTACGGGAAGGAACTCGATCGTTCTTTCCAATTGTATTCGGCATCTGTGAAAGTAATTCAGCCAAAATGTCAAGGACTGCTGTCCAAAGAAATCATTGTACTGCAATGGCAAGACTTGCCAGAAGATGGTTCCACCCGGGCCGGTGAGTCAAGTGTTTACTGTCACTGGCAGTGTCACATGAGTGCCGTCGTTGATCGAACGACGCATAGCCCGGTGCTGGGTGAGAAATGGGTAGAGTCGATATCGAGTTGGAGAAGATATGTCGAATGATAAAGCGTTTGCGTACTTGGTACTCTTGGTGTTAGCAGAGCCCCATGAGTCGGTCATAAATCAAATCCATTCGGCTAGAAATCATGCGTTTTGCATGGTTGATTAGTCGCTTGATTGATAAGGTATGCAGTCGTGCGTATCGTTTTTTGTTTGGCTTGTCCTGTCCAGTGAATGGAATATAACCTACAGTTACATTGTCACCATTATTGTGAATCGTGAGTTCATACATGGCCCGGTATCAGTCTTGTTGATGCATCAGCATACTGCCACTACGAGTTTGTCGCACCGTTGGAGTCTAAATGCTGACGCGAATGTGGAGATTCTAGAATATTAACCATCGACTTTTGAGTCTGCGATCCATGGCGCTGGAACATCGACGATATCAATATCCGTTCATGTATGATATCACGTCCCATAATTGTGGGTTATATTCCATTCATGTCTACTTGAACTCGATATTGGCTCTGTCCATTTCTTGATCAGCAGCATTCGATCAATACAAAATTAGACACTAGACTTACTAGGTTGAACAGGCTCTGTTAGAGCCCCCGACTGACAGACATTTGGCACACGGGCATGCCTTGCGTGTGATCCTGGATTCGGCAGAACCTGTCCCCTGCTCAATCGCTGAGTTGGTGATACCTGACTCATTCACTTGCAAGGATAGGCACGCAGCCTTTCCTTTTCCATGCAGCAAGTCGAGCTTGAGAGCTCCCCTCAGCCATGGGGGGCGGTTTTCAAGAATGCTGATGGTTCGATTAGTCTGTAGGACGAAAGTTTAGGCAGAACCTATGTATAACAGATGCCACGCGCATGCCTGTGTGGAAACAGAAGTGCTTCTGCTACCAATGTTGTTATAATCTTACGTGCAGACCTCGCGATCCTCGCCGAGTCTGTGACTGTGTTTTGTTGTGTTTGGTACGCCAACGACCGAAAGATAGTATCATTACTAGATGTGCTAGCACTCACAACCAAAATATAGCACGCTACATTGATGGTGCAGGCACGCGGCTTACGCGTGGTGTAAAACGTGCGAGGGCGTGTGGGAGAGAAAGCGCATAAAGAGTGTTCACAAAGCGACTGCAGTACAAACAAGGTGATAACGAAAGTGGTTATGGAGGCCGACGATTATTCGTGGATGCAACATTCTCACTCAAGGGTGGACCAATGGTAGTGACTCGTTCGCACAAATTCAACAGAGTGGATGGGCAAATGAAAGATCTGAGAGAAGTGAGAAGCGACAGTGCGAAAAGGAACGTGCACTTAGGCTCTTAGCCTTGGAGCCTGACCGTCGTGGTGGCAGCTTCGATCATTAATTGGAGGCTCGATGCACATAATAGGTTGATAATTTATCCTGTATAATTATCAGCCAGCTTCACCTATCCCACCAAATACTCGGAGATTCGAATTGCACTAGTAAGACGTGAACGTGGATGGTGATGACAATAACCAAACAATAGCCACTCACATACCTCACCCTCACGCTTATTAAGCAGTTGTTTGAGCTCTTGAGTCAGCCTTTTCCACTCGCTCGCGGTCGCAGACTCAAGAGGACTCAAACGGCACTATGGCGACCAAAGAAGACCAAGAGGCGTTGCGTCTTCTCGTCCAACACGTCTCCCGAGGATTCTACGAACCAAAGTTCACCATTATCATGGACCAGCTAGCGCGTCATCCGGTGTAAGTATCTAGAATGTGGATGAGACAGAGCCTGTTAACCTTTCAACTACGATATATACCCATGACCACTAATTTGGCACCAGTCTCAAGGATGACGACTTGGCCGGGCGGATGGGCCTTCAGGCGAAAGAATTGAATAAACTCATGGCTGTTTTAGGAAACGACCGCCTAGTGCAAGTGTAGGTGTAGTCGCGATTGTCTCTCTGCAGTTGTATCTGATTTTACTCCGAAGATACCGCCAAAACGAGCTCAAGGAGGGGGCTCAGAGGTCTGTCGGAAGACAGTACTACTACATCGACTACAAACACTTTTGCGATGTCGTTAAGTGGCGCATTGCAGAAATGCGGAGAATTATAGACTCGGGTCTTCGTAATGTCAGTCTATCTAGGCTCGTTTTTCCCGTCATGCACTAAAGCAAGTGGCACTGTTTAAAGGAGCTTGACAACAAAGGCTATATATGTCCGCAGTGCAGCAAGTCGTACACAACGTTAGAAGTCGACAAACTGATGGATTTTTCGAGAGGAATATTTGTGTGCGAGGACTGTCACGCAGAAGTTGTGGAGAATGAGAATGCGGAGAACGTCAGGGGGAGTCAGGACCGAATGCAGAGGTTCAACCACCAGATGCGGTTTGTTGTCGAAGGTTTGAGAAAAACAGAGTCTATGGTTCTTCCGGCGTGCGTATCTCAATACATCAGACGTATATCTTTCCTGACGCAGTATATTGTAGGCTCGACGTTCCCACATGGGTCAAAAATAATGTTGGTGATGTCGAAAAGCAAAAGACTGGCCAGGTGTCAGGTTTGAAAATAGCAGGCTCTGGACCTGGTGGGAGACAAGAAGACGGTGTTGGTATAGTCATGTCAATGGACAAGGACGAAGCGACCAGACGGCAGGAACGAGATGCCGAGGCAGCGGCAAAGCGGCAGCAAAACGCCCTGCCAGCATGGCATTTAAAGAGTACTATCACCGGAGATTTGACGGCTCTCGGCATGCAGGAGAGTGCGCGTGCCATGGCGAGAGAAGGCGAAGGTCTGCCAGTATCCAGCGACGACTCTCTCAAAGGGCTTGGAACTATCGGCACTCTATCACGCCCACTTCAGCTGACAGCGATGACGGAAGATGTGAAACCAGAAATCAACCAAGAGATGGATTGTACGTCTTTTGCGATGTAAATTCTGTATCGTTGTGGTGATCTAACTGTACACAGATTACGATCAGTACTATGCCTCGTTGGCAGCCTCTAACGCAGTTTCCTCTCAGAACACGCCCAGATCTGGCCTCGGAAGCGAAGAGTTTGAAGAGGACGAACAAAAACCTTCTGTGCAATATCTAGATTCCCTAAATGATTACAGGAAGCGGTCCCGATCAAAAGAGGATGAGGGTACTGCAGCGACGAAGTTGCCCAAAACTGATGTCCCACAACTAGAACCAGACATTACCGATTCAACGATGGATGTAAACGGGGCGGATGATACCCTTGTATTAGGTGGGTTTTCGTTCTCCATATCGGGGATTGTAGTATCCTCATCGTTGTGCCGCTTTCGCAGTTAATGGTGTCTCGAAACTATTTTCGGAGGTCACTGATGAAGATACCGAACTTATGACACCAGACGAGTATACCACTTACTACGAGGTTTTGCAGTCGCGGTTGTAGACCTAATTTATTTCAGCTACCCTTGGTTTGCCGTGGTCGACAAAAGGAAACACATTATAATTGTTGTACTGATTCAAGATAATAATAAATGCATTCTCGTGTACTGTCGGCGTTCGAGTAAAGAAGATTTCCTATGATACGGCCTTACTTCAGTATGTAAGTTAAAATGAATCAATTCAACTATCGCAAAGCAAAAACAGGCAGCTGCAGTGTGCATGAAAATGACTCGTATGCGACTGGAATAGGTACGTAAAGTAAGCAATCAAACACCAAGTACAACAAGAGCGGTCAGAATGGTCGTTCGAGCCTTAATTGATGGATGGGATAGGCCTGCTTGTGCTCCAGCACGTTTGGAACCACGAGAGGCTAACAGAGGCACATTCTCCTTGCCGATCTCGCCTGGAAGAATGTAGGAAGGCTGCCAACGAGTATTCCAGAAGTCATTTTGTACGTCGAGCTCATCGGAGAACGCAGCATTTGCTATATTGCAAGTCATGTAACGTGTCAGGTCCTGATTTTAAACTGCCACCGATGGCGAGGCTTCGGTCGATCTTGAGGAGGCCAATGTGACCGAGACCATCCGGGGAAAGATACCCGCCCCACTAGGGATTGGGAATGGAGCAAAATTCCAATATGCGCCAATAGCACCTGCTACTTTAGCGAATATACATGGCAGATCCAAAACAATCATAGCGGTAATACATGGGCCGGATAGTCAACGCTACAGCGGTGAGGGTATTTTTCTGGTTTACCTGCATTATTTCGGGTAACTACGTAGGATGGGTGGTCGGGCGGTTACGAAATCCAAGTGGATGGTATCATTATTTCTGGCAAAACCCAGAGCTTGAATGTCGGACCCTGCGGAAGATAGGCACTCTGCCGCTATCCTGACAGTATCGTACTGAATATTAGTCACGACCGGGAAATAGGGCCCTAGGATGATGTACTCACGATCAAACAAAGAGGTAGTTCCAAAGATCCAATATCATACGAAACCCAGCGATTGGAAAGCCCCTTGAAATCATCAGAAGGACATTGACCTGACAGCGAAACGTAGCGGAGACAGGTCAAAACGTTGGCGGCAGCCAGCTGTGCAGGGTCGACCTTATCTCATGATAATGCTTGGATAAATTAACGGATATATCCCTGTACAGGGTACAGGTCCTGTCGACTCGATCATCCCGGCTAGCATGTGTTGGCACTTTTCCAGCGTGTGCATTTGTTACGCAGGAAGACGCTCCCCAAAAACGCAAAACACAGACACTCCATCCTGTGCAAGCTCATAATATGAGATCACGAGCAACACCGGAGGAACAAGAGTTGCAGCTGAGGCGACAAATAATGATTCAGAGGGAAACAGGTGAATAAAGATGACCAAACAAAGCACGGGCTGGGCCAGTACATATGCCGGAACGTTGGCGAGGTCTTGACTATTGCTAATACCCACGATAAATACCCATCCGAGCGCTACATTGCTGTATCTACCTGGACTTAGAGGCGCCCTGGCGACCAACATCTACCTCTAATTACAAGACTTATGTGGGAGTCACAGGCGGTTGTGTCAAAAATTCAGAGGTTTCTAACGGAGCCTTAGTCTACAGCGACCTGCGACCTCTCCGCGACAATCTCGAGGAAAACGCGCCATATCAGAGCACGCCAGAAACTAGTCAACCATGGACTGTGGCATTTTCAATTCAGTTGATTTACCTTGTGGTCGTAGTATTGAGAACAGGCTGGTCAAGGTAGCGTTTCCGTCTACATAATCCGAAGACATTTCCTTAAAACAGTGTTGTTGTCGCAGACAGCTATGTACGAGCACATGGCAAATTTTTCTGGTGGTCCGCCAAACGATTTTCACTATGGCTTGTACTCAGAATGGGCAAAGCATGGATGGGGAATGATTATAACTGGAAATGTCCCCGTCTCACCTCAGCATTTGACCTTGGGCCGTGATATGGTTGTGCCACCCATACTCGATGTAGAGGACATCAAACCCTTCAGGAGGTTGGCGCAAGTCATTCACGGAGCCGTTGATGGCACGCGCCCCCTAGCTATCATGCAGCTATCGCACGCTGGACGCCAATCATCGAATTTTCTTGGCGGTCGGCCGCTTTTTGTTCCACCACTGGCTCCCAGTCCTATTCGTGTTGGGGCAGGACACGATGAAAATTATGGAAGGGGCGCAATCTCTGACTTGATGTTTCATGCGCTGTTTCAAGTTCCTACGGAGATGACCACACATGACATTCTCAACGTACAATCCAGTTTCGTGCGAGGTGCTCTCTTGGCATACAGATCAGGCTTCGATGGAATCCAGCTTCATGCTGCCCATGGATGTGAGTCAATGTGATATTTGTGTTGATATTTGGGTTGAACTGGAGTCATTTACAGATTTGCTTGCACAATTCATGAACCCTAAGGTATGGTCACCGTGTACTTCCAAAAGTCAACTATACTTACATTTCAGAGTAATATCCGGACGGACAAATATTCAGTAGCACCGCAAAACGTCACTCGCATGCTGTCCGAGATAGTTCAAGCTATGCGCAAGGTGGTGCCAACCACTTTCATAATCGGAATCAAAATCAACTCGGCTGACTATATACCTTCTGGAAGTGCCGAAGAAGTATTTCAGGAAGGCGAACAGCGTGTCCTGGATCACATTCGCACCATTGCAAGTTGGGGTATGATTGACTTTATCGAGATTAGTGGCGGCGATTACGAAAATCCTGGTACGGGGGCGTATAAGGAGAATGTTCCTCAGTCTCACCTGATCTTTTGCTCAGACTTTATGGCATGCAGTGGATCTCAAACACTAGGCCGCCAAGCCTTCTTTGCGCAGTTCTCACGGACAGTCATGAAGGATCTTCACCAATCGCCTGTCCCTTTGTCTTCCGTCCCACTCATTCTGCTGACTGGTGGCCTCCGTTCTTATTCTCACCTACAAGCTGCCTTGATGTCAAAGCACGCCGACTTGCTAGGCATCGGGAGGGGTGCTGTCATTTGTCCCGACCTGCCCAAGATCCTTCGATTACAGCTACAAAATAGCAAATCTTCTAGTGCTTGGGCTGACAAGCCTTTTGCACGCGAACCAGATATAGAGTCCAGACCTTCTAAATGGGTACCAAGTGTAAAGCTTATTGGCGCTGGCGTCGGGACTGCATGGTATGTCAGTCGAATGAGGGACATTGCCATCTCCCAGATCGAGAATCCCAGAGCGGAACCACCACTCGTGGATTACAACAGAGGAGCATTAATTGCTCTGCTTAGGATGTGGGTTTGGTTCAATTCTAGAATACCCCCGATTTGGATCCTAGGAATATTCACGGTGCTCGTTGTCACGGTCTGGTATTCTGTCATTGCGTTATTGTGATCGGGACGCTCATGCCGGTGCGGCCTCCGAGCAGGGCAGGACGGCCGAGGGCACCTTGGCGCTCCACTTTTTGTTCCCAAGACAGTGCCGATTGTCACATTCCGACTAGGAGACACCAGGGAAAATTGTGTAGGATAGACTGCTCGTCACTATGCAATATATGTTTGACTTACGAGGTTCGATCCAGGACTTTGAAGGTTGAATTGTTTACAAAGCAACTTACGGCTTGCTCATTCTCATGTTTTTCCGATGTATCTCCGCACGCGACGTCATCGAAAGAGTTGTGCTGATTCAACCTCTTTTTTTTATATCTAATTTTATGTCCATCGAGAGTGAGAACTCTCTGTAGGACAGTACGGACTAGGTTTTGGAGCCCCGTGTTCCGTGCTCTCTTTCAAGTCCCCAAATGCAATATAATCGTTGCCTTCAAAACAAATCTAGGGAATACACAATCGTCACTTCTACCATGTGCTGTCGGTTTCCCCCCGGGTGCAAGTAGAACCGTCAAGGATAAGAGATGATAAGCCCCTTGGAAGAGCTCATCGCATTCGCCAAAGCATGCGCTTTCCGGCACATGTGGTCCGTTGAAGGCATAAGGTGAAGGCCGTAACTCTCGCGATTGTCAATGCTTGGTAAATATAGCTCTGAAGAGGGGCTATAAAGCTAGGACGTGCGAGACCACATAAACCTGTCAATTAATTCTTGTATAGTGGTATCAGCATGCCTGCAACAACATCGGTCACACTCAACACTGGAGCAGTCATGCCCACGGTCGGCCTTGGTAAGCATAGCTGAAAGGGAAATCATCTACTGAACGTTGACCCCGTTTTCGAATGTAGGCACATGGAAGTCCAAGCCCGGCCAAGTCGAACATGCTGTTGAATTCGCCTTGAAGAACGGATACAAGCATATTGACACTGCCGCTGGATACCAGAATGAAACAGAAGTAGGACAGGGGATCAAGGCGTCTGGTCTGCCAAGGGAACAGATCTTCTTGACTACAAAGCTTGATAACCCCGACCAGAGACATCCTGCCAAAGCTCTTGAGGCATCGCTCGAGAAACTTGATACTCCTTATCTGGACCTCTGTAAGCGGGAACATGTTCACTGATCTTGACGAGTGCATTAATTCCTTGAGCAGGGCTCATGCATTGGCCAGCTCCCATGACAAGAGATGGCCAAGCAGATAAGGAACACGACTGGTTGGACACCTGGAAAGTTATGGAAAGCCTATACCTTGCTCACCCAGATAAATTGAAGGCTATTGGTCAGTGGCCCAAACTCGCGTGCTATCTCTGAACTAAAAGTGTATCAGGTGTCTCCAATTTCTCCGTGGAGTACCTTGAACGCTTATTGAAAGTTGCCCGCGTCGTACCGGCCGTGAACCAGATTGAGCTCCACCCGTAAGTCGAATAAATTTGGTTTTTTTGAGCGCTTTGATTGTGAATTATTATACGTAGTTCGTGTCCTCAAGATGACGTCGTCGAATACTGCCAGAACAACGGGATTGTGTTGACAGCTTATTCTCCATTGGGATCCGATAATTCCCCCTTGTTGAAAAATGAGACTGTGACGAAAATAGCAGCCAAGTACAGTGTGCAACCCGCCAACGTGTTGATATCCTTCCACGCAAACAAGCCCATGCGCACTGGTGTGTAGTCTTCACAAACATTCTTACTGAAGCGATCGGTTCTCAATGGTATAACAGTGCTTCCCAAGTCTGTGACCAACGAGCGCATCTTGAGTGAGGTGTTATTCCTTCATTGATTCCGGCTGTTGTTCATCATTATCTTTAGACAACGCGAAGATCATAGATTTGACCCCTGAAGAAATTGGCGAGCTTCATGACATTGACAAAACGCACCATTTCCGTGCTTGTCATCCTTCTTGGACAGGTTTCGGCAGTCTCGGATTCCCTGATTGCAAGTAGAAGTATAGACGTAGGGGTGGATTCAACGTGTCCGCTAGACCCCGATCTTAGTCAGTTATTGTGTAAATAAAGGTATTGCTTCTTTGTGGACTCCGATATTTGCGAGCTAAGCAGCTACATCTAACGTTACTGTTGAGCATCCTATCCGAACGAATGGCGCTGATCATGTCTCTGCCATTGGTTGCGCACCTGCATAAGCATGCTCAGTCATCCCCATTCCCGGTATGAATGAGATTAAGGTTAGTGGTGGCATTACTGCGTACAACCTCGGTGTTATCAAGGTGTCGTTGAGTCCTGAGTCAGTCCTGGAAGTGCCACTGGTGCATACGATTGCAGTGCAGACTCCGAGTCGGAGAAGGCAGGTTGGGTGGTTGGGGATCGCCATCCTCCATCTGGTATGAAAACGTCGTATACACTCCACTTCTAAGGAGTAATTTAACTCCACATCTGAGACTCGATATTCGTGCCTGTGTATGTCTCTGTACATGTACATGACAATGCTTCTGCTTCATGATGATGTAGTGATGAATGACTGTCAAATTTTCACACGAAGGATGCTGTCAGAAACTTAGAAAGTACTGAGATATGATATGTTTCACTGATTGTATGTACTGAATCATTTGTCTGCTGTGGCCGATGCCGATTTTCTATTGTTGTTGTCCTTTTGGTCAGGACAATAAACCCAACTTTACTTATAGCCGCAAATTATTGGCCTACATACCCCAGACGTCTGCGTTCCAGGCGCTTGACTGAGGTAAGATATGGTCTATTAACTCGCTTGTATCATGACTCATGCTGCGGTAGAGAATCTGCTTGCTGATCCTGTATAAATCCTTGTCATACATGTGCATGCAAATATTGATACTAGGCTTACAATGCCGAGTAGGAAAGTGTCCCAGTCAATGCAAGAGAAATTCGCATGCATTGATTGGAATACTTTTCTGCCTGGAGTTTCTTAGGGGATCTGTCGAGCACTTTGAGGAAACCTTGTGCAGTAACTCGCAAACAACCCTGCGACGTAGGGGTCGTCCATTCTGCAAAGGTGAGAGAAAGTACGGCTAGATTGACACTCCATACCTCAATTTGACGGTCGTCCTCCTGATGGGCACTCATTTGGGTTTGAGACTTGCCGAAGCAGCCATTCCGAGCTCTTTTGTTCTGAAAAAGAGCATTATCAATTTAGAAAGCATGGTCGAGCAGGAGTTTGAATATATTTCTGAGATCTTAGCCAGGGCGGGTGTTGCATGGCTGTGCGAAAGCATAGATCCATCACTGACTTGAAAATTGAATTGCAGAGATAAGCATATACATCTTGGTACACCAGCAAGCTGTGAGTCAAAATATTGTCAAGATGGGTAAGTGGGTATTATCAAGTACCGAGAAACTGTGTACAAAAACAACTTGAAGCCCAGTGCACCTCCATATACACGTTAGAGAATCTGTTGAGATCCGAAACATATGAATGTCAATCAAAGATAGAAATATCGTATCACACTCACCTACGCTGATTGATGCATTCCTTAGTCTTCATCGTCGTCACCAAATGTAAGGAGCTGAATAACTGTGTTGGGTGGAATGCAGCCAACGCAAAGAAATTCGTGTTCATTCATGGCTTCAGGTTTGATATAGGCGCCGGTATATTCAACAAGATCGCACATCTGGAGCACATGCCTGATTGTTGGAGCTGCAAGCTGCAGATCTTTGCAATTGAGACATTGCGACTCCCCCTCTCCACTAGATTCAAAGCAAATTCGAGAGCCTTTCCGCGTGAGGCTGTCACAGATATAAAGGGAGTCTGACGTCGATTGCTCCAATCCATATGCCGTTCTAATTCACGCCGGGCATTCCGATGGTCGGGGTCGTAGACAGCATGAGGTATGCTGGACACAAAGCCCCTGGTGTGACTGTACTGGGAACGAGACTCCTCATCAAACACTCGGTAGAAATGTCTTGGAAGCTTTGTCTCGTCTGACTCTGAGTCAGACATTCAAATTGAAGAACTGCTTTATTATTAGATAATTGAGAATGCGCAAACATACACGGCACCTTGTGGAAATATGAATGCAGTGTGTGGTAGGACAAGAGACTCCTTCAATTCTCACAAAATGAATATCAGGTCATGCTAAATTTTAGGTTTAGGTACCAATGCGCCAGCTTTGCCATCATTTAATTCATCGTAACGGTGCTCGGCCGCCAGTCCCCGACACATCTGTACAGAATTCGGGTCCACATGGCCTTACACGTAGTCGGTCGTGTTGAAGACGTGCTTTGAAAGAGTCACATCAAGCCATCAGAAAAAAACGTCCAGTGCGCTGCGGTCCCTCCATGCCATCACTGACAGCGAAAGCATGAAACAGAAGTGGAATGAAGCATCAAGCTCAAGGGCCAGTCCGCCGTGTTGAAGACGTGACTCGAAGTCTCGAAGAGTAACAATTTGGTGCTGGAAGAATGACAGGCTAACGCCGGACTACAAACTTAACTTCCTACACCTGGGCGGTCTGTATAGGGGAAGAAAGCCGCTGAGCCCTTTCTTCTTCGGCCGCCGGGTCAGCGTTTGAAAGCAGGGCTACATTCCATCAGTGATGAGAGAGCTACATCGACGTTCTCCTTGTGCTGCGCGCTGCACGCACGTTCCTATACAGATCTCATATGCATGGCTCTGCATGTTTAAATGTCACAATTGAAGATTGTGATAATGCAAGGGTTTCAAGCATTCCATATTCAGCTTCAATTGAGTAGCGGAAATTGCTTGCTGCTGTCACCAGGACCTCATCCCCGCACAAACGAAGGGAGGGGAACTTATAGCAATAACAATTCTGCCAGATTGATCAGAATCGTGCCTATATGTATATGCAGGACATAAAAAGCTGGCCGTATTCCTCCCATCTCAGAGACATCTCCCTTCATATTATTACCTCGCACAGAAAAATGCGTTTCTCCCTCGCCATCGCTGCTGCTTTGACAACATCTATGTTTGTCAGTGCATGTCTCAAGGAGAAGAGTCCTTGCATGCAATTTAGCAGCGTCAAGTGTTGCTCTGGCTATCAATGTGCCTTCAAATTGTGAGTATGAGCAGGTCGCTGTGCAAACACACATATATACTAACCTGCGCGCCTCAGAATGGGAGCACAACATGCCAGCCGGCGGTAATCTGATTCGCTGCCCGAGTTAGATAATATTCATAAGAATAGATCAATGCAACGAGATTCTTGCGTCGCAGTTCGCGGTACGGTCTCCGCAAGCAGACCCGCGGGTTTGCCTAGGTACTTCAGTAGCACTGTAGTTCGGAAAATTTCCTTTTTGGTATGTTTTGGCCCGTGCGGCATAGGGAGCAGCTGGGGTCCTATCAGACGAAACATGAATATCAGGTTAGTATATATGTGTGTTTGCACAGCGACCTGCTCATACTCACAATTTGAAGGGCACATTGATAGCCAGAGCAACACTTGACGCTGCTAAATTGCATGCAAGGACTCTTCTCCTTGAGACATGCACTGACAAACATAGATGTTGTCAAAGCAGCAGCGATGGCGAGGGAGAAACGCATTTTTCTGTGCGAGGTAATAATATGAAGGGAGATGTCTCTGAGGATGGGAGGAATACGGCCAGCTTTTTATGTCCTGCATATACATATAGGCACGATTCTGATCAATCTGGCAGAATTGTTATTGCTATAAGTTCCCCCTCCCTTCGTTTGTGCGGGGATGAGGTCCTGGTGACAGCAGCAAGCAATTTCCGCTACTCAATTGAAGCTGAATATGGAATGCTTGAAACCCTTGCATTATCACAATCTTCAATTGTGACATTTAAACATGCAGAGCCATGCATATGAGATCTGTATAGGAACGTGCGTGCAGCGCGCAGCACAAGGAGAACGTCGATGTAGCTCTCTCATCACTGATGGAATGTAGCCCTGCTTTCAAACGCTGACCCGGCGGCCGAAGAAGAAAGGGCTCAGCGGCTTTCTTCCCCTATACAGACCGCCCAGGTGTAGGAAGTTAAGTTTGTAGTCCGGCGTTAGCCTGTCATTCTTCCAGCACCAAATTCAGGCCTACCTCCACATGCTCAAATGTATGACTTCGTCTTACGCTCCGACTGCCCAGGTCACAAGCCAACAAGGTTCATACCTCTCGTGCGTGTTCAAGTTGCTTGCGAAGAAAGACAAACTCAAGGCTGACCTGTTGCATGCTGAAGACAGTGACCAGGCAGAGAAACTGAAGAAGCGGATAGACAAGGTCAAGTTAAAGCCTTTCCATTTCCATTACAGTCATCAAGGCTCGTTGGCGTGCGTGTTTCCTTGTCCTGCTTGCTCCTTCATCGCTGAAAACCAATCAGCATGATATGACCTTATTTACCTTGTAAGGTTGAGCGACAGCTTTCCTAATATTCCCGCTACCGTAGGGGAGTGGGTCTTGTCGTGTTTGATTTTCACTTTTTTGCGGTTTTGGTCACCCCTTTTTAATCATCTTGTATAGTGATTAGCTGTGTTGCAACGTTGATCGATCGGTGTGGCCCGAGTTATGACTCAAAAACAGAGCGCAAAACCGTTCCTTTTCGTTCATCTCCCGTGTCCTGCACGGTCTTCGCTGGGTTGTTCTTATCGTGGATGGGTGTCGGGAAGAGCTATATAGACGCTGCTAGGTGCATGCATTCTATGGAGGTGAACTCAGGCAGCGAATCAGACGACTGCAGGAACACCAAACGCCCATTTCGACAGCCTCTTGAACTCAAACTAAGCTCGATCATTTTCAAAGGTTTCGAACTGGGTATTGTACTGATCAACCATGATATCAAAGCGAAAGTGGAAACATTGACGCACTGTCGCGACATGCCTATGAGGCAGCTTGCAAGTACCGATGATTCCATCCTGAGGCGCGCAGGACCAGTTAGTGTATATGTGTGTTTGCACAGCGACCTGCTCATACTCCGAGGTGAGGCCCGACACAAACCAAGCCAGCACAACACACGCCGGGGTCGTTTGTTATGCAACCACCCATCTCGACGACACATGCACTGACAAACATCATGAGATGTAGTCAAAGCAGCAACAATGGCGAGGGAGAAACGCATTTTTTCTGTGCGAGGTAATAAGATGAAGGGAGATGTCTCTGAGGATGGGAGGAACACGACCGGCTTTTTATGTCCTGCGTATACATCATGATAGGCACGATTCTGATCAACTTGGCAGAATTGTTATTGCTATAAGTTTCCCCCCTTTGTTTGTGCGGGAGTGAGGCCTTGAGGTCCCACTTCCAGTGGTAACAGCAGCATGCGTAAAGGCAATTTCCGCTAATCAATGGAAGCTGAATAACTACAGTGACAGTCCGAAACGCTGGCCTGCGCTAGTTCACATCAACTTCAACTACGTCCCCTACTCTTCCAACTGTCCCGGCCTTATTGGACTGTATAATCGTTTTCCTCTCATCCGTTTCGACAGATCATGCCGACACTACCTCCAGCCATTAAACCAACCTCGGGCTCATCTATTTCGGGCGACGATACACGTCTACGTTCTGACGCTCCCTTCGACACTGAAATAATCTCTTCCAATGCATGGACAGAGCATTTGGAGTGCTACTCATTATCAGACAACGAGCCTGAGCTGGCAGATAAACATCATGAACTGCAGCCTATCGAAGAGACCGTCAAAGCAGCTCGTGTACTCTACAACTTTGAAGGAAAGGCTGAATTCAGGGAACTGACCGTCGAAGCTGGAGATGAACTGAGTATCTTGAAGGAAGAAGCCGGAGATGGCTGGAGTTTGGTGAGAGCGAGCTGCTCTGGTGAAATAGGGCTACTACCTCAGACATATTACACGGTGAGTACTGATCACACCCATCGCTCGTATTTGGCTCATTCTGCCCGTGAAGTGCACGACTAGTTTTATAGCCGTTCATGCAAAAAAGGAGCTGTCTTCCAGTGCGATCACCTCCCAAGCATCTCTCCAGGAACAGTCGAAGCCACTTTCTATCGTCCCTCAGGATACTGGTGAATGGATGAACCCTCTCCCAAATTTCAGGCAAAGTCTTCTTAGAGGCAAGAGTTTGAATCGGTTTTCCGGGTTCGTGACAAGCGGTGCAGAAGAGTGGGTTCTCGAGGGCTATGTCGATCCAGTCGTTTCAAATCCATCCACTTCACATCAACGGATCTCTACGGAGGACTCCATCAATGATGATAATAGGCTCAGTAGACTTGGGCTGGGGGAAGCAGATAGGCACTATGTCGACACTGGCCCTACATGGCAATCTAAGGTCCCGAAGTTTCGAGTCTTGGTTCACTCACCTTCGAAGCGCACGTCGGGCCTTTCAGGAGCATATACTATGTATAGTGTCACTTCACTGTTTTCTTCGACTACGGATGAATCATATGATACATGCATCCCACCGATTTCTCCCACCCGTATAACAGTTCAACGGCGGTTTTCTCACTTCATCGTGTTGCACACCTCACTGACTAGACGTCTTCCTGGAATTGCGCTCCCACCACTTCCTGATAAACAGTATGCTGGGCGGTTCAGTGCTGATTTTGTCGAGGCTCGTAGAGGCGAACTCGAGAGATATATTAGGTGTATCGTGAGGCACCCTGTTGCACGATATGCCGAAGCCGTCACGTCTTTTCTCGGTTGCGAAAATGATGTGGTGAGCATAAATCATGGGTTTACTTTGTTTTCTGACCATATCCAAGGAATGGAAACGGCTTATGCCCCAATTACTTTCGATGCCTGCTGCTGGACCTTCATTCTTTGCACATGTCTTTCATCCTGCATTCAACATAGACGTGGACGATGCCACAGAAGTAATAGATCGCTTCGGTCGTCACACCCTTGCAGTGGGCAAGGGCATGCAGAGCTTGAGAAACATCTTTGGTCGCATTCGTGAAGTGAGACTAGGTGAGTGCGGGCACGTTCAGTTGTGCCGAATTATGATCACGACATGCTTGCCAGAGATGTCAAAAGCCGAACGATTGTTGTCGTACTCATTGTTGTCCTTGATTACGTCGACACCTTTGTCTTCTGCTCCCGTGGCCGGGATTAAGGAGGATGCGGAGGATACGCCTTCACAGAGAAACGGCCTCTTGAATGAAGAGGGAGCTTGGTGTTGGCGTGAAGGCTGCCAAGGTGCTCGCGTGTGATTCTGGAGCTCATGACTGACTGAGATATGACTCGAAGATTGTTTGAAGCTCACAAAAGCGATGCAGAAAACATCAGATAGTTTGCAGACTGTTGCAGACCTGTATGACGACCATGTCTGTGTCATATCGCTTGTGCAAGACTCGCACTGACCACAGACGAAGGCCCGGCGTACCCAACTTGAGACCCACGAAGCCTTCAAGAGCGTTGCTCATCCATACCAGCTGTATGAGGTATTTTGGACTATTCGATCGCCGGCTTCGCCCTGAGTGTGATCATCTCAGGGAATTATTGAAACCCACCAATCTACTGTTTCGCGATATAAAGATGCTCTCAAGGGGAAGGTCAGAACGCTCCCAATTTTCATGGAAGACGATGACTTGATATATATGTCCAGTCGAACGATGAGATGACCGCACGCTGCGAAACTGTCTTGAATACTACGATGGCTGAGATGGACACATACCACGACCAGAAAGTGGAAAACTTCAGCACAATAACGAGGGAGTATCTTGATGGGGAAATACACTTTTACGAACAGGTTTTGCACAAGTTGAAGGCAGCACGGCGCACCTTCGACGCTCCGCGTTTTGACCAGCTGAACAGGTCACCTCGTCAACCTTCAAGACATGAACTGGATTTAGAAGCCCCAAAGCTGAATCCTCCACCACTGCCACAGCCCTGTCCTCATGCATATGACTCAGCGCCTATGAGGCCAGTGAATACGGCAATACATAAGGGGATCGGAGCACTACTTGGAAAGTCCAGCCTGGTAGAAAGGGGAGTCTTTTGGGAAGAATGTGGGCTGAATAATGTGTCTGGTACGGTACCAAAGCTGTTACAATCACTTCAGGGTGTTGCAGGACTGATTTCGCTGTATCTATCTAGAATGTTTCCGACACGGGACTTACTTGAAATTCTGTATCGACGTCTCTTTCTATTTCTTTATAGCTAGTGTCTGCAACCGATTTATTGTAGATGCTCCGTCTATCTCACAAAATGTACGTGTTAGGTCAGGCCTGTCCGGTACGGCCTTGGTGATCTCGTCGGCCGACCTTCGTTTTCCTGCAGGAATATCCGTGTCGTAGTGGTGTGTTTTCAGTAGACGATGCTCCTTTTGGTTTTTTGATTTTTCTTTCATCGAGGTACTCTTTTCTTCGCACGTCTTAGTCCAAGCCTCGCCTTCAAGATGCTTAAAGATAGCCTGACTCGCACTCCCTAGCTCTTCATCTCGGCTCCACTTACCTTTCTTGGGACTTGTCGACCATCCATTCAAATTTGTGATCGTAGTGCCTGGACACCCTGAGACTCCGTGCGTTTCGTAGGATAGGGGAAGTCAGTACTGGCGGTGTTCGTCAAGCCAGGGCTAAAACGGGCGTTCAAGCTATACGAAGTCGTCGCGAGGAGCAAGCGAGGATGGTACACGCCCAAGATCGTGAGGGTGGAATTATTATTCTGAGAGATGTCCGACACTTGAGATGAAAATGTACGAGAAAAAAAAAATCGATGATTGAGTCCTAGTATGTTCGGCATTCTCCGAGTCCTTCCGTCGACTTTGTTCTCTTTTCGGAATAGATTATATAACACTACAAGCAAATGGCTTGCTTTTCATTCGCACCACCGTGATCTGTCTCATAGTAAGTTATTGCAATGAAAGTGAGAAATGAAAATAGACCGATCAGTTTTCATCAGTAGCTTTGGAAACAACCCTCACAGGCTCAGGTTCAGACACAGGGATCTATTCCTTCCCAGCCTGCACAGACGTCGGGGGAATTCTTTTCACTATAAGATCAGGACTGCAACGGCGCTCCCCCACCTTCGCCTTCATAATAATCTACCGCTTCCGCCTCACCTCCTCCTGTCCAGAACTTGTCTTTTATTCCACTCGCACGAAACATCATTTCTAGTAACTCTGCATATAGCTGACTCTTTTCAATGCTAGTTGAGTATGCCGTTGAAATCGCTATAAACTTTTTTCATAGTGATGAGGTTTACGGTATCGTCAGGCGAGGTGCTGACGGCCCTGAGGCCTCAGTACTTAGGAGGTCGGTGGCGTGCGCGTGCGATACTATGCATTCTAGAATTCCTATTCTGCTCACAGGACTTAAAAGTGAGGTGCCTTGGAAGCAGTCAAGGATCTTTGACCCTTGCTTGGGTTGGCATATTACTTTACCATATGGTGCCGTTGCGACCTGAGTCACGCTTCAATGATGTTGAATTGCTGCTTGCTATATATTCTGCCAACCAGCACCAGATGCCCAGCGATACTAGCACCTCCGACTCTCTGAAGCATGGATCCACAAATGTCAATGTCCACCCACCTCTCAACCATTCTCCGGTCCCAGAATGTAAGTGATTGATATTTGTCGTCATTTCGGTTCACTCATATCTATAATCTTGACACTGACAGTATTTTTTCGGTGCTATCATTTCGACCACAATAATCTCATTAACTAACAGGGTTCATGCTAGCATCAATAGTGGTTTTATGGGTGCGTGCTCTTGCCATTTGTCCAGCCGTCATTGACAAACATCTGACCACAGGTCTACGATTGTATCCTGAACTTGGACCAGGAGGTGACTTCATCTTTGCGAGATATAGCCTGTCGACAGGCTAACTGATGTGCATAGGTATCTCTGATTCATTGCTCACCATGGAAGAAAGGAAGCTTTTTTTATATCTTGGCGAGATACATGCCAGCCTTCATGCTCGCTGTACACTTATGCAGTGAGTCCAAATAGCATGATATATAATCAACTTGTAGCTGACCAGGATACCGAAGTGAACTATCTCCCGGATGAAAAAATTGTGGTGAGCATTTGTCTGAAATAAAGTCACCTGCTGTCCTGAGGATTTGCCGATGTAGACTTGTAAACATCTACATTCACTTTGGTTTTGTAAGTATTGTGATAGTAGAGTTGCCACTTCCGCTTCAAGTTCGTTCATTAGGTACTGCTGGATTGTGCATATTTGGTGCAGAAGGTATTACATGAATAGTGTATTCACGCGGAAACTCACAAGATCTCCAGGTATCTTCGCCCTTCGTACCTATGCATTATGGAGACAAAAGAAATCCATTCTGGGTCTTATGTTGTCAACGATAGTCGTATGTTTGCAGTTGCGTTCCCTTATTTCGTACTCTAACACACCTCACTGCAGTGCCTGGTGATCGTAAACGTGGTTATAGCACTGATGGTCTCGAAACCGACGGAACGTGAGTGTTTTCAAGAGCCACATGCAAACCGCTCAGTGTGGGTCGATGACAGTCCGACTACTAGTATCACACATGGGTAGCGGTTGTTACACATTATCCCACGACTCGAAGGCTGCATATGATTGGTCACTTCTAGTAGTATTCGAGCTTGGTGAGATCACGAAGCTATAAGTGTAGTCGAGTGCTCACTTTTTGCCTCAGAGATCATAACACTCACCATGATCCGTGTATATTGGGAATACCGTGAAAGGAGGTGTTCGCTACTCCACATCCTTCTACGACACCACACTTTTTACTTCGCAAGTGGGCTAAGTAAGTAGTATCTTCATGGCTGTTAAAACGGGACTCATCTTTCAATCCTAGCACTCTCGGTGGTCAATCTTTTAGCTATGCAATTGGTGCCGGTGTGTGCAAATCTGAATCCAACTCGATATCAGCTGAGGGATGCCCCATGCAGTTCGACATGTTCTCGGCATTTCAAATCGTCATGCACACGATCATCGTTACTCGGATGCACCTACAATTTTGCAGCATCAATATTAATGAGGTCGACGACTCATCTGAGTCTGGAGTCCCATCAGACTCTCAATTAACACAAATTGAACTTCAGACGCTTTCGCAATCGGAAGCATGATAGTTCAATAGAACTTTTACATTTTATTTTCATTCAGATATTTTTTCTGTTGTTGTAACGAATATAAGCTAATGTTGGGCCATCAGGAAAAGTGACGGCTGCAGGCTAGTAATCTATAGTGTTAACTAGTTGCTTTGTTTTGCTAACGAGTAAAAGATGCACACAATTGCTGGAGTTTAAGAACGAGGCTAAGCCCTTTGATCTGAATTTTCAACTTGATTGTACGGCTCAGTGTTAAATAACCGGTTGCAGAGTACCTGCCGTATGCGTAAACTTCACATCTGAATCATGCGCTGATCACAGTAAACTGACAGACCTCATCACGGCCTACTAGGTCTAACAATGCCGACTGTTGCACCACTCCCGACGTATCCTCCTGCAAGCGCTAGAAAATCCTTATCAGCCTCCCAGCTGGCAACTTTCCATAGCAACTTATCAAGCGCCCTCGCTGAAATCCTTGCACTACCACCCGCGAGAAGAGACACCCCTGCCACCCGCAGTTTTCTGTCCAGCTACGTTAACAACGTCGCCCATCAAACCCTTCAATCTCTCATCTGGGAAGCTCCACCGTATACAGACAACCATGTACATGCACGCGTCCTCTTCCTTGCAGAGAAGCTAGCTACCGCACCCTCTTGTTTCGATGTGAAGGCACTCCTGGACATCGCTATTGCATACTTTCCTTACCCAACCCGCGTTCGTGCCCTTTTCGCCACAGCCCTCGCTAGCACACCAAGCCTTGCTACTGTATTCACCTCAGATATGGTCCCTGTGCTCACTACCCTTCTCGATCCATCCCACTCTGCCGGTTTATACGGCCTCCGCAAAACAGCACGCTGCTTTCTCAGTTTGCTCTCTGGTTGTCCCCCCGAGCTCGTGCGTCCATTCGGGAGGGACCAAGATTTCATGACAGGACTCGCACAAGCCTACGAAGAAGGACTTGCTTCACTAGCACGTTCATACGGCGGCATGCGCACAGACGTCGGTATGCGCGAGCTGGATGACTGGGAGCGCATTTGGCTCGAAACCAAGGTCGACTTCATAGACAGCTTCCACATTATTATTACAACCATGCTTCAAGACCTCGCAGTCGCATCCGGTACAGCGTTGGCAGCAGAATCAGAACGGACATTTACCGTTGTATTTGCATTATTGAACCTCCCACCCCCGTCAGCAGTACAAGTGGGCGGTACTCCTGCTGCTCCTTTCCTCAACCGATCGCTAATAGCCGACTATCAACACTCGTATAACTTGTCTAGCACTCTTGCTTCTGCTCTACGCCGTGCTGCACGTGAAGATGCCCGAGTTGACCTCCTCGAATCCATCCTTCGTTCCTTCGACATTGAATCCTCCGTTGCTGGGACAAAAGATCCTGGGGCACTCAGGCTGATCATCAAGTCATCTGGCATCCCGCCCGGCGCCTCTGCTTCTGGTAAGGGCAAAGTGACGCAGTCTTCAAGCAAGGGAAAAACCAAAGCAGTTCGCCCTGAACCTGAGCCGCACGATCTCGACGTGGAGATCTTGCAGGTCATGGATATTTTCCCAAACCAATCGCCCGAGTATATCCGGGAGCTCCTCACGCAGTCTGTATTTAAGAGTGCAGAGAACATCATCGAAGCACTATTGGAGGGCACCGCACCCGCAATGCCCTCTGTTGCGGAGGATGTCAGTGTGAACAAAAGTGCCCATGTTGCGCTCAATGAGCCCATTGAAAGAAAGAATGTATTTGACGACGAGATATTGGATGTTACCAAGATACATGTAGGGAAGAAAAAGTAAGGAGTATCATTTCTCTATATATCCTGTTACTCACTGTTCTGCTCCACAGCCAAGACGAGGCATCAATGCTCAGGGACAGAGCGGCCATCGAGCAGATGAAAGCCGACATTTTGCGACGTGCAGAGGCCATGTCTGATGGAGAGGAAGATGACGACAGCAGCAAGGCTGCCGAAATCGATCATGATCTTGACTTTGGAGACGAGGTGAAGGTTGTCGGTGATGGAGAGGCTAGCAGCGAGGGCGAAAACGATGGCGACGAGGACGAGGTACCACCGTCTAAAGTCACTCCAGAGACTGTTCTGGAGCTTGCGTATATCCGTGATCCGGAGCTGTTTGCTAGAGATGCTAATACGCGGAGGTCGAAAGCACGCAGTGAGCTCAAAGCACAGATCGGCGAGTCCTTTGTTGTTCTCGTCAGCCGTGTTACTGAGATGATATACAGGCTGGTCTGATGAGCAAATTGAGGGATGGAGGATTATGCTGGAACGCAATGTATGCTATCATTATCTGCGTAACTGGTCGGTACTGATGCCCCCATCACCCCGCGTCCAGCCAAAAAAGGACAAGATTTTGCAGAAACACGAGTTTTCTGGGAATAGAATAGTAGATTTGTCGACGACTGGAAATGCAACTGGTTCTGGGTCATCATCCCGCGGTGGAAATCACGGAAGAGGGAGGGGTGCGCGCGGGTCGGGGAGAGGGAGGGGGCGCGGCCGAGGGTCTGGAGATAGTGGTGATGCGAGAGAGCGAGCATCGAAAGACAAGAACAAAGCTAGCAGAGGGAACCACAATCGGAAAAGGGGACATGATAAGAAGATGGCCAAAGCCGGTCCACCTTGATGCATAGGGGGCGATGTATGGGAGATGCTTTCTCAATTCATGTAATGCAATGTGCGGTAAAATACAACAGAAAGAATTTTTTATATATGCTGGTCGACAATCAATGTGTAGGCATGCTAGACTGTTTCTTTGTACCGAGGGAAGAGCTTATCGAACCTTGGTTCAAACGTGAGCTCAATCACGTCGTTAACCAGTTGCATATCTATATTACTGGAATGAAAACGAGCAAGGTAGTACAATCTATTGAAAACCATACCTAGCTCGCCTTCTGAATCCAATGGGAGTGTCGCCAAGGCCTTTATTGTAGACGCGTCTATCACACTTCCAATGACCTCGACATAGGTGGCAGTCACATCCACATTCTACCCCCATCGACAAAATGAGAGTTGTAAAAAGTCAAGGGTGCACGAGCTCTGACCTTCCTTTGGATCTCTACCTGGCCACCATCACTCGCCTCGACGATGGCAGTGTCATCTGAAAGCTGGAGGGGTCAGACGCGTACGTGAAAAACATGGATGGAGATTAGCTGACTCGGAGTACTTTGCAGGGGAGACGGACTGTCTTTCCCTTCATTCCGGCAAGACGGGCGGAGTTGACGCGCATTGAGATATGTTCGTTCATGGTAAGCTCAAGACCGGAAATTGGTGTATAGTACTTGCTTTGAAAGGACGCGTCTGTGGCTGTGTATCAATGCACAGTAAACACAAGTAAACATACACTTGCCCACCGACTTAGTACGATTCAGTATTTTCGTATGTGCACATAAAACCTCCCACAGGATTTTCAGGTGGTTCAGTATAGTTCATTCTAATTCACACTTCGTATTAATGCCCCGAGGACAAGACACGTTGTAGTCACGCGTCACAGTTTATGTATAGTAAGAAGCACCATGATATCTTGCTAAGCTCTCTACTTAACTCAAACCTCAAGGCTTTACAGGGTCCTGGAATACTTTCTTAATGAGAGCACAGTTTTCTGTCCACTTTCTTAACATCGTGAAGAAGTGGCTCTCACAGCTTGCACGACGTTCTGCAAATTCACTTTCGCTTTTTTTGCCTTTACTCCGCCGATTTGTTTCTGGCCATCTGAAGCTCGGTGCGTGTGGTCGGAGGTTGTTTGCTGCGACACATTTTTCTAGCGAGGCTCTACTGCGATCCAAAGGGAGTGTTGCAAGAGAGCATGCACCCACTTGCTTGAGTTCCCTGCCTGTATCTTCCTCGGACGATCCTTATTCGAGAATCCATTCACAAAACTCAGAACATCTGCGAAAAAGTACAGCGATACCTTTGTCACAGACAACAACACAGGATGGGAGTACTGCAGAGATCTATGGGGGCTCTATGTCAAGTTTGCATCAGTCATTGTACACGGGAGAAAGCTCGGGGAACGACATGGATCGGCCCTTCCCCAACGATGACCCATTAGAGGGGTCCGGTAGTCCAGGCCCATCACGTTCTTTAGGCCCCTACAGATTGTCAAGGTCACATTCACGTTCGCAGATGCACACGAATGATGATCGTTTTCTGGTTGCTGGAACGCCTACGTCTACGATCCATGCGGAGCTTGGCATGACTCATTCTAAATATAGTCTTGCTTCTCAGGCCAGCAGTCAGTCCCTCACATCGTCAATCACTGGGTTACGACCGCACAAGGGAACTGTTTATCATCTCCCGGAACGCATTCATAGTTCCATCGCGCTACAACCTGCACCACCAGATCTTGCTACTGGTCGTGTTCGTTATATTGCTCCGCCCGGTAGCGACAAGATGCCGGGCCCAGAGATTGAGGTCCATGAACACGCACGCCCAGGAGTATTTCCTATGGTTGCGAGAGGAGTTATGAGGTATGAAAGGTCGATTCCCCGGTGAAGACAAGTCTTCTCTTTTGCTTGTACTCTAGAGCTGATGTTGCAAAAGGGCCGCTGATAGTACTCAGACTACCGTCCCTGCTATGACAATCACATTTCCTGTGCATGACCCGAGGTAAGTCGTAATTAAATCATCTTCTTTCACACATAAACTCTTTCAAGGGCGGTTGTGCCCGAGGGATGGACCACGCTCGTTCATCCAGAAGGTTCTCGCTACTTTCTGAACGAAAAACAAGTACGTTAAATCCATTGATGATTCAAGACCAGCATTTTTAGTATGACTACTATATGCAGAGGACATTCACAGAAGTGGATATATTTGACGCAAAAAAACACAAGGGCATTGAAGACTACATGCAGTACTTGTGGAGTGGGCTCAAGTCCATTAAACGAGAGGACCTCGACATGACACAGGTGGATCTTGTACTCGAGCTAAAGGACGACAATGTTGCTAGTTCTGGCATCACTTGTTGGTACTATTTCGTCAACCACAATAGCAGGTGCCTTTTTTGGTTGCACGAGTCTGACGTCGAAGATGTGCTTTCCGATTGCAAAGGCGTCAAGAGTCTCTCTCACATACGTAGGTTGATCATATTTGTCAATGGATCTGGATCTGACGACTTGTCCTGGTTTCCATCACCAGGGCTTGCCATTGAAGCACAATACTGGTGTGTTCTAGGACAGGTCCGTACGACATTGCTTACAACACCATCCCATTCCTAATACAGTCATAGGTTCACATACAAGTATAATAACGCACGGCGTAGGCTACATTGGGAATACTTCCCTAACCTGTGCTTAGTCTCACAAGACCATGTCGATGAGGTTAAGGATATGTTAATACATGCGACATGTGGTCAGTACTCTTTAAGGCCCTCTATCTTGACCTAATATTTGGTCGCAAACATTAGACCACTTAACATCGAAGCGGTCTTCTGCGCTAGGTGATGCCATCGAACTCAAGGAGTACATCTCAGTGGTAGACGGAATCAAGGGTATGTACGCTACATCGATACTTCTTCGTGGATTCTATGTTAATCCAGTTTCTTTTTAAAAAAGTACATTCCCCTAAAAAGGGGCAGATGCACCGATGCCATGCTGCCATTGTCATTGGTGAGGCTTTCATTTGAAACTTCGGCTCTTCCTAATGACGATTATCATTCGAGGTCGTATCATGAAGTTATTCAGTCAGTGCTCTCATTTTCTATCTAGTTGTAATTGATGATGGCTTTCCAGGTGAAAATCAGTTTATCAACTTTCACGGGGAGAATTGCGTGAGACTAATCTCTGACGAGACGGTCCATGGTTGGATATACACGCCATCACTGTTGATGGTCGTGGTCGCACCCCTCCTTTTTTTGGACCCCATGACGCAAGTCCAAAAACTGCACAGGGCCTTTGTAGATGAAATTGCTTCCACAGCACGGTGGAATGCACTTAGCTCAAAATTGAAAGGGCAGATTCGGGACTCCAATCTCTTGGTGAATCCATTTTTTTTAATGTTGAGCAAAATGAATTTCGAACCATTGGTAGGCCACTGTCTTGCTCAGCGTCAATGTTGGGTTTCTTGCTATCAGCACTGTTGATAAGGGCGGAAGATCTCCTATTCAAATTGCAAGCTACATGTCTTTGGTGACGAGTTTGGGAAGTATAATTCTCGGTGTATTCTTGGTCTGGCATGAACGAACCTCTGGAGACAATACAGCCATGGAAGCAGTCAGTAGCTCATGCTGTATAACTGAAATGTTTCTTACGGTAGCTGTGTCAGGCATCATTCGCATTAAAACTTCACGACGAAAAGCACGGACTTGAAGTGCTAGCCATAATTTACAGCGTTCCCAAGGCGTTACTTATGTGGGGGTGAGTCTATATCATAATGTCATAGGCAGACGTCCTAACTCCAGGTTAGGATGATCTTCTTCTTCGTGGCATTCTCTATCGATTGGTGCAGTGCCAAGGATATAACTTCCAGGGTCATGGTTGGTACTGTGGTATTGATCGTATTTGGGTTGGTATCATGCGGCATCATTCGCATCAGGGAAAGAGAGCGCTGGTGGTGGCACGCATTTTGCCAGCAACTATCATCCCTTCTGACTTACGCTTCGAAACCCAATGAAGTCAGCCCCTGTACATCGCCAGGCCTCCCGCAAGCAAATGTCGAGGCAGATGATTCAACTTCACGTAACTTCCAACCAGAAATACCAGGTGCCAACAGTCGTGGAGATCATCCCGACTATATCCATAGAACTCGTTCATACCAGCCCGACGCCCCTGCAGCGTCCAAAAATGAAGGACGAGCAGCAGCAGCAACCAACAACATTGACGGTGCAATATTGCCTGGTTCATATGATACAGAACACAAGGAGGATGCGAAATACACAGATAACATCGTGGAAGAGCCCGAGGAGGACGATGATGCTCAGCCCTCGCAGAGCACAATTTCATATCCAAAGATTGTCGCCAGAGGCGCCACCGGTGAACCTTTCCGTCATGCGCTGGTGGCTGCGAAGTGGACACTACAGGACGATCAAGACATAGAAGAGGTCAAAGATTAGGATTCGATAGTTCTGATTTTGGATGTCATGAGAGGATGATCGTTGGGCTAGACGCTGAAGTAGTAACACCTACTATGCAATAATGTAAATGCGGCGTGCAACCGATGTCAACTCTGTGGGAAAGACAACAGAAAACGAATTGACAAGGGACAAGCAGGGCGAGTGTACAGGCCTTATACTTTTCCAAACAAACGCGAGGTCGGTATGAATAAGGTGTAACAACTTCGGCAGCTTCCATATTGTTGAAAAGTTAATCACGTAGCTTCCGATTGGTGTTGTCAAGGGTAAAATAGAGTATGCATCCATCGACAAGAAGCATATCTGCGTGAAATTGCAAATAGCGATGTACACCATCCTTGTTTATCGTGATGCGGGTTCTATGACCCTGGTATCGCTAGGACGTCCTTGATGCTGACGAAATTTTCAGAGCGTCAAAGGGTCCTTGAACCTGTACACGCCGAGCAGGGTATTATCCGATCCTGGTGATTCGAAGCAGTTTGGGCTAGGGGTTAGGCATGTTGTGGTAGGGTTCGGGCCATTCAATGGTGTGAGACTAATGTGCACTTGATTGGTGATTCGAAGCAGTTGGGAACGATTGATAGGGGCTAGGCCAAGGCGTTGCATGTTGTGGTAGGGTGCCTCTCAAGGTCCATTTGGACATTTCACACGTTTCGTCGACGAACCTCTGTCGTTCTTTTAATCTCGTTGGCAGTAAAAGAGAACGTGTTTCGTCGTCCCTGTCGGGATCACAAAGGTCGAAACTTTGTGACATCGTGTTGTTGATGTACTGATCTGACTTGAAGTGAACAATGTACGCCTCAATGTTCTTGAACTGCCCACAGGCGCGGAGGATGGCGAGGTTAGATTGCAGAACACGATTGTCTATGAGCACGATGACACAATCAAAGATGTAGAGGCCCATGTCATTGAAGTGCTGCCAATCAGACACCTTTGCAGTGCCTGATCCGGGAATGTCATACCCGGGAGTTCGGGGATGGATCAGGGTATCTCGTGACGGTATCAGCGGTCTCGACAATTCCCGTACGAGCGGCCATGGGATCATTTCTGGACAAGCCACAGACGGCGTTGATAAGGATGACTTGCCCGCTCCTGCAGAGCCAACAACTGCAATGTGAATGAATCCCGGGCTGTAGTGATAGTTGACCTTCATTTGACTGATATCTTGTTCTGAAGGGTGATACTCGAGGCGAACACCTTCGAACCATTTACGCTCGACAGAGTTTCGCTTCGTTTGCTCTGCGGCCATCTTCCGCAACCACCCATTCCCGTTCTTCTAGGCGCCTGTATGTTGTGCTACTTCCTCCGCGGTGCGCCTGGCTCGTTTGACTTCTTCCGCTCGTTCCTGTAAGGATGCAGCTCGGACCTTTCTAACACTGTCTTACGCCTCACTCGCCCAATCCCGCAGCCGGATGGCTTCAAAATATGTCACGATTACAGCAGCTATAACAGCCATGACTATTTGGACTAGAATCGGTGAACCTGTGTAGTGCAGAGAAACCTTGGGGGTAAGGGCGGTGTGGCAACGTTTTTTCTGTGTGCACCGATGTCAAATTGTCGACTGCATAACTTCAAGTTGAGCCTACCTCCGTATGGATTGCAATGATCTGAAAGCGGCGTCCAGATGATGACAACTCTGCAGGGCAGAGACGAGAAATGATTCGACACGAGGCGAGCAGGGTAGGGTCTTATACTTGTCAAGACAGGAGGCCAGTGCGAATAGGGTATAATGACTTCGGTGTTCTTGAAAACCTATCCATGTGGCTCTTGATGTGTTACGCCAAGGGTAGAATATTAGAACATGCATCCGCGGACAAGAAGTCATAGATCGGAGATCTACGTGAAGTTCCGCAAGTCGATTATGCAAGACAATCTGCAATTCAGTGCATGTAGTGCAACTGACAGACTTGTGCCTAGAGGTCGATCTGTCGGTGCACTAGGCTGCCCATGATAGACATGTACGAATATCGTCTGCAGGTAAACAGCAACCATCTTCAGCACGTCCGTTCTGCGTTATCGAAGCCAGTGTATTGATAAGATCCATCCATAGAGTGCCAATGACGTTCTTGCATTCGTATTGCCCCACACTACAGTTTATTGGATGAACGACTGGTTTCCAGCGTCTCCTCGAGACGACATTGATGGACACGTCAATGCATGCGGGTCTGTGCCAAGAAGAGACTTCAAGATCTTTTTCCGCTGATGGCTGTAGACAGAGCGCAAGGATCACGAAAAAAAAACCCGAGGTGATATTGACACCTTCTAATCTTTGGAACGTAATGGTGTGATGAAAAAGATCGAAAGAAAGACCGAGGGATAGAGCAAGGGCGGAGTGCTGAGCGGAAATGAGCGATAGGAGAAGACAGGTGATTCTGGGCATGTATTTCTTAAAATTCTGATGACTGTTTGGCACTATAGATGAAGGCGAAGTGATTGATCCAGTGTGTTCATAGTGCAAACAACTACTGCCATGGGAAGATGATGAGAACATCGTGGAAACAAAGGCGGCGGTTTGTAGGGGTTGGAATGTCGAAGTATGTCGAGTCGGGTGAAATATGAGATAACCAAATGTAGTGGACGATACAACGAAAGCGTAGCTGCGACTTGAAGCAAGAGTCAGAATGGACACAAGACGACAAGAAATATTAAGTCTTCAAGAGACCTCGACAGCATGTCTGCCAGGGAGCCTTTACCTGAGTGCTATCAATTGAGTGACTTTCTTCAGCCATGGACTTGTGGTTCCACGAGTTCAGGACTGCGGTACTGATAATTGGTTGTGGTAGTGCAAAGTTGCAGATGAGTCTTTCTATTTTTAGTAAGCATGTCATTTTAGTCACCGTTCGCACCTACCCTGAGTCAGGCTTAGGCCAGGCTTCACTGTACCACTTCCACATCATGGGCAAGAAACAGTCAGGGTCAGCTGAGAAAAAGCCCGCAGAAAAGAAAGGTGGAAACACCAAGAACACCGACAAAGGCGATCAATCCGAGAGCAAAGTAAGCTACAATAGTCGCTTCTGATGAAAACCGCACCTCGAGTCCTGTCCAGGGAAAGGGTGGTCTGAAGGCCGCAACTGCTGTCAATGTCCGCCATATTCTATGCGAGAAACACTCCAAGGCAACTGAGGCATTGCAGAAGATCCAGGTTGCCACACATGCCATTATATGAAGATGCACTAGTTCTGATAGGTGGTTTGCAGGAGGGGCAGCGCTTCGACAAGGTAGCGCAGGAATACTCAGAGGACAAAGCTAAAGGTGAGTTTGCTCACCAAATAAATGTGGAATGTCACAGATGCTCTCATCCTAGCTGGTGGCAGTCTTGGTTGGATGGTACGGGGGTCTATGGTTGTAAGTGATTTATTATTACTGACTCAGATAAGCAAAGAATTATTTCTATCATAAAGGGTGCATTTCAAGATGCTGCGTTCGCCCTTACCCCGTCGACTGTCGACAAACCCAATTTGTCGCCTTTAGTCAAGACGAATTTCGGATACCACATTATCATGGTAGAGGGTCGTCGATGAATCGACATCCTGTGTACCTTCCGTACAGTATTATGCACTCGTTTGGCTTGAGTCTGTACTAATTAGTGAACTATACAACTACCATACGCGGGTGAGATACAAACTAAGGATATACGTGTCAGAAAAGTCGAAAGGACTGCAGTATAACTACCAGATAGTTAAAGTGTCGAATCCCAGCAGAAACAGATGTCAATTCATCCATGTGACTCCCATAATAACTGCTGACTTGCACTGTAGTCTATACAGACAAGCTAAGGGGCGCCACAGCCTGCTACCAGATCACCATGGACCTTGTGAGGCATGGAGGCAGCGACGTGGTGCACATTATCACCATGTTGAGATAGAAGCTCAAGGAACAAACCTGGACCGAGATCAGCAAGCCGATTTCAGAGGCTGTGCGGGAGAGGTCTGACTTTTGTCCTCTTTGGACCACGATATTGGCATCGACGGCTTGCAATAATCCGGGAGTTCTGGAGCGGGAGTGGCTTCCTCTGACGGGGTTGCGACTGCGCGGGCTCTGGGTTTCCGGGGTCTTCTGGTTTGCTTTGGAGGTGGAGCCTCAGCACCTGGTTCCTAATCGTGTCAAAATATACATATCAACAAAAACGCCAGTAATAAACAACATGACCGGGACGTACAGTGGGTTCAACTTCTTCTTGAGCAAGACCCGACGAACGCGCGACTGCAGTGGAGCGCCGCCGGCGCTTCTGCTCATCTGCTTCAGGATCTGGCGTTGTCCCGGAAGAAGTGGGGGTCTGGTCAGGCTGGACGGTACCCCTGCGGGACTGGTTTCTCCTGGGTTCGACGTTGGATCGCAGTATAGCAGCTCTCCTGCGCTTACTAGGTACAGCGGAAGAAGTAGGGTGGGCAGCCAATACCTCATCATCATGGCGGCGAATATCTGCAAGCAGTGCGTTGCCTTTCTGCTTGTTAGCCCCCCTACCATTCCTCCGGCGCCGACCTGCACCATACTGTGCAATAGCCTTGCGGAAGTCGACGTGCGGCTTGTGCAGATAGTAGTACGTGACACACTGAGCGGCAGTCTTATTGGGCAGATGTTGAGCAATGAGCCCGAATTGCTTCGGATGGGCAGCGTATCTCTCCTTGAAGACAATGCGCTCCTCTTCTGTCCAGAGGTCAAGAGCCGAAGACGAGCTGTAGAACTCCGCAGGGTCATCTAAGAGATTGTTCGTATCGTCGTAAGAGTATGGCCCACGGCTATCAACGACAGAAACCATATCCGGTATCTTTGCAACGTTCTTGATCGCCAAGTAGCTTGGATCTGTCAGCTCCTCCATCCCAAGATTCGCAATGATCTGCTCCATCTCAAGATCAGAGCGAACAGCATCGCCCAAAACGGCAGCTGATCGTCTGGTGGACCTGCCGCCTGCAGAAGTTGGCAGAGATTCCTCAGGCAGACCGCCTTTTGACACGTTATCGAGTCGGGCACATTGAGCTATCCATTGCTGATGTAGCTCAAGATATTCTTCTCTAAGCTTTTGCTGCTTTTGCCGAAGGGCTGTTTCTCGCTCCAGGAAGTGTCCTGATAAGGACGATCTCATAGACTGAGAGTGTAAAGTCATTCTTTCCTGACGGGGCTGATCAGCTGCAAATTCCTGAAATAGGTTGTCTTGCGCGTCAATAGGTGAAGGCAGAGAAGGCTCGCGAATCGCCCGATTGGCCCTAAGAACCGGAACAACACGCTCATCGCGCGTCTGACGATCACATTGAAGCCTCGTTAGGACTACAAAACGGAGGGCTTTTGCAGTCGGGTCTGAAAAAGACGGACGACCATAAAACCATGTTGCAGGCTGTTCTACGTCAAGTGCGGGAGTCAAAAGCTGCTCTTCTGCCTCGATACGAGATGGACTGCCGACCGATTCCGTGGCAATGACTTGTGGAGCAGACTTTAGCAAGGGAGTGTCTCCTGTTAACGTCCGCGGGGAGCCAACATCAACATCTTTCTCCAGCATTCTTGATTCTGGTGAAGGAGTTGCGGTCGCAGTTGCGGACGCCGGTGAGTTATTGGCGACCGCCCCCACAGATTTCAAAGCAGGTTGGGGCGTAGCAGGTTTTATGTTATTAGAAAGAGGGGATATTTGGTTGGTTTGCATTTCAGTCCCTTTACCAGCCGAATCCCCCAAGAAGGCTAATTCCACGTCACTAGGAAGAGCATGAGAAGATATAAGCCCAGGAGGAGACATCTCGACATCTAAAATCGGTATGTCTTCAGGATATTGACAAGCAAAAGGAATGGTCGCACCTTCTCCTGGTAACAAACTTGGTGAAGAACGCAAGAAGTTCGATGCCAAAGGCGGACCATTAAGCTCACCGTTCATCACAGGATGGACCGGTTTGGCGCCCACGTGCAGCAACTCGTGGGGTAGAGGCTCAGGGTGCGTGGAACCCTTTCCAGTAAGAGTGTTCGATGTAGAACCAAGTCTATCCGGATCTCGTGACAACACATGCGTGGGTGCTTGTCGAATTGTACTCTCTCGATTCTGTTTCGTTGACACGATATCCTTGGAACCATTATGCGCGAAAATAGCAGATTTATCAGGTCGAGAAGAAGCAGATGATCGGGATGAAGATCTCAACTGTGATCTTTTATGGGGGGCATCGGAAGATATCGAGGACGCTCTAGATCGTGCTACGGAGTGGGCGGGTGACGCACGTCTGCAAGATGGTGAATGCCTACGGGCATCACTATTGGTGATATGTGGGTCTGGGGGAGGAGAGTTAACAGCATGGGGAGGCGGTGTACTAGCAATGGAGGTCGAAGACAGTGTGTCATCGTGATCATAATGACTTGATGGTCGACGCGGATAGCAAACATCTGTGTTCGAATTATCAACTGAGCGCGGTGACCGTCGAGCACTATCATCATATTGTGGCCGGTATGAATCTGACCGAACGAACACGTGTGGTTCTCGGTAGCTTTGACCACTAGAATAAGGACGATAAGTATCACCATGAATAGGAGGATACGCTGGTGACTTCAGGGGAGAGTAATCTCGTGCAGGACGAGCACGATAATCTGGAAATCTTGGACTTGGAGGCTCCAACCTACATACGATGATGAGAGGAGATACTAAGTGACACGCAAATGGACAAACACTTCGTATCGGCCGGATCGATCGACGTGTGATTGCTTCCAGGAGTCTGATGGCTCGAACATTCGCTCTGCCATAGTATCTCTGCGGAGTTTTTCCCGTAGAGCTGGTGGGCTCGGAGAGGATCTTCGATCTTGCCAAGGCGGCTGCCAGCGAGCACCAGAATCCCAGAAGCGCGGTTCCATAGAACGAGACCGTTCGTAACGATCTGGGGATGGGCTGCGGCTGTTGTAGCGTTCTGGTCTCCATGCATTTGGCCTGTAAACGTTCGGATGATCATCACTACGATAGCTAGGTCCCCCACGGGGAATATAACTATCGTACGGGGCATATCTCCGCGAAGATGGACCAGGAGATGGAGATCTTCGACGTGCAGTGGAATAGGGTGACTAAGAAAGAGGGTATTTGAACGACCCGAGAAAGTACAACTCTCACGAGAACTTACGTCGTATGCAGATGAGAAACTGCCACCTACAGAGCGCCGTATGTCATGTGCAGACGAAGGATTAGTAAAAGTAGAAGTTTCATAGCTTGCAGAAGTCATGCTTGAGAGGATTGGGACCTCCAAGATGCTGCAACACTTGTCACAGGTAGGAATGGAAGAGAAGTTGGGTTAAAAATTAGCCCAGCGCGTCGTGGTGATGTGAATATTTGTAGAACTATTTGAAAGCAAGTGAAGGTCGGTTATCGAACATGAATGTTGAAACTTTGCAACTAGGAGCGAAGACGCTCAGTCGAAGTAAACGCTTGAGGTAGATGAGTGATCTCTAGCAAGAAGGGATTGAAACTCCGACCCCCCATCTGCGGGTCGATGTTGTTGTTATTGAACTTGTGAAGGCTGGACTCTACTAGGATGAACTCTGTTGCGTTTGCAAGCACTAGCTCTGGCTTCAAAGATCCTCAAACACTTAGCTTCGAAAAAGACTGGATCCGTAGAGCAGTCCTGGCCTCGTATTGGATCGTCATTATTCTGGCTTTCCCATTCTGGTGGCATTTGACGAGTATAGAGAGACTTGCACTTCCAACCAGTCAAGTACGATCACAACTTCAGAGCAATGTTGTCTTTCCTGTCGCTGTTTACCTTGATGAGTCCATCAGCCAACAAAATCCCAGCCTAAAATCCCAACTCCAAACATTACTTCATGATTCTGCGATAAATGAACCTGGTCGGTGGAGGGGCGTTGACACACACCTACAGGACAAAAATAATGAAGGTGTGTGTGCTCATAATATGTTAGTGAACACGGCAATTTAACGCGTTACTGTAGCAGCATCTAGCCTATATACAGTTGCTCTTGGTGAACAGACTTCAATTGCGCATTCAAGGCACTTGCAGGTGAACAAGACCGATGCGCAATCAGGTGAGTCAATAAGAGTACTGTATTTTGAAACGACTTCGACTGCTCTCACATTAGGCACGAGATTAAGCTCAATATTGTCCGACCTCATTGCTCCCCCGGAGTCGGGCACTTCGCATTCGCAGCGTGTCGTTCAATACTCGGATCACTATCGTCTCTCTTTTACGCTGCTAAACGAAGACGCAACCCCCAATCGATTTGTTGAGACATGGGATGTGCAAGCTGCGCTCGCGGGTAATCCATATGGCCCCTGTATTTTGAGACCAACTCTGAAGATACTTTATCAGAATTCATATTTCCGCTGATGTCTCGACTCTCTATTTTGCATAATTTTACAGTCGAAAGTCAAGTACAGTATCATGCTCCATTAGCATTTGAGCCGAGACGCCTAATACTTGATGACACCGAAGCATCAGGGCTAACTCAGGAAGACTTGACGGTGTTTATCAACTCTGCAGAATGGACACTTGGTCAGTATTGCGTTGTAATCAATGGTGCCAACATCTGACCAGTCATCGTAGCATCCAGCGTCTCGAATGATCCTGTTCTACACTTCGTTATATTCGTTCCTTCTGAGAACCATTCACCTATGAACATCATTGACAGTGAAGGCAAATGTCGCGTATACTCACTTGTGCTCATTTCTGACTTATCGATAGGTCGTCCAATAAATCAGAGCTCCTTCCTTTTGCCCCAATGGGGCAGCATATTCATCCTCAACAATGAACTCAATTCTTCGTCGTTCCATCTTTCATATAACGATCTAAAACCAGTTTTCCGTAATTTTGCAACCCAGCTCGCTGCTCTTTTAGGCGTGCCACCCGTTCCCCTCGGTTTGAGCATGGAAGGAAGCTTTCTATCTGACTGGCAATTAGATGCTCTGCTCCGGCGCCGTGCATTGCAGAATGTGCAAGGCAGCCAGGACACATTGCACAGCATTGTGAAGCTCGTGGATCAGATCAATAACATGCCTGTTGGGCAAGTGGTACGAAATGATGTCCTAGATGCCCTTGCATCGCTCCATGAGGTGTGTTCTGCATCTGATGTGATATTAATGAATACTGTGCTCAAGCAATGCAGGCCTATCGCACTGCCAGGGACATCGCCGGCCCTTGCTCTGCGATGGTCCAGTAAGGCGTTATCTTTGGCGTCACGCGCTTTCTTTAATCCTGGGATGCTGGCATTGCTGTATTTTCCTGCCGAGCACAAGTATGCGGTGTATACGCCACTATTCGCATCTATATCTGTTCCTCTTGTGGTGGCCTTAATTCGGGAATTTATGGCGTGGAGACGGGGCCCACGGGATGACGGAAGGCGGTAGGATTGATGATTACGCCTTTTGATTGATAGCCTGTTTGTATGCAAGGCTTGTGTACGGTAGAAAATACATGCAGGATTTATGCGAGATAATCCTATTCCAGTGTATTTTAGCTGTCCGTAGTATAGTGTATGGTTATACAGCATGGGAAGCATTAAGACCAGCTAAAGGTTAATTATACCGTTACTCAGTACTCAGTGCTTAAAAACCATGCCATGTGTGATAAAGGGGGTGGTTACTGGGGCCTTGATGGCGGTGATTGACGCGACGTGTGCGAAGAAAATTTTGCCGCCGAATTTTTGAGCATGGGGTAGCGCGGAAATGTTTATGAGATATATTTCCCATAGCGGGAGCCTCTGTGGCATCCCCATGGTCCCCCTCTCTTAATGCGAAGGTAGAATTGCTATTTTGCGGTGGCTCCACCTAGATCCCACTTTGACAGGGGCTCATGTATACGATTGGGTAATAAGCGTTGGGCCTCCGAGTGCCGTGTTTCCGTGACGGTGTTGTTGCTCTCTTACCTCGTTCGCCACAAGTTCTCCGACTGTTGCACGGGATACCGCAACTAGTACTGTGCCCAGGACAATGGCTTTGCACAGAGTGCAGCAAAAACCCCAGTTAGTAGTATAGTACACTGGCACCGCTTAATTGTCCAGAGTTAGATTATGACTAGCTGCCCTTCTCCTCCAAGTAACTCAGCGCCAGATACAAGATTCAGCTCCCCCCCCCCCTTTTATTACACACATTCATATGGTCTTTAAGTACTGCGTTACTGAGTACTGAGTACGTATTGGGCAGCGGTATAATTACTAATACGAGCCTTACCCAGACTTCCAGGTCACGTGAGAGTAATAACCCTCGATATCACAAGTACTACGATCATTTAATCCCGATTCCCTGTGACTACCAACGCCAACCAAGCCTTGAGAACAAATCCTCATACTATTGATATGAGCTCAACAAAGCTCAATTCGGAGGGGGTATTACTATTTGAGCAGCCGTTTATACGGGTGCGCAGTTACGCCTGCTAATTCTTAACGACCTCACTACAATCACACTCCGCCAGGTCCCTTATGAAAACTATCGAAAGGTCTTCCGTGCAACACAACGGAACATTGAGCGCGAGCTCGGAAATGTACAAACCGTCTCGAATGACTTACTAAAACGATCCAAGAGCCTCGAGGACGCCGCCAAGAGTGTAGATGGAATGATAGGTCGGGTTGAGAACCTCAAACGCAAGGTACGTAGATTTATTTGCTAGTTCGGATCTCATTTTAACTTAGTGAACATTACACCCAGCTTTCCGAACTACAGGATACCGCTGGAAAGCCCACCCTTGATGTCACTCGGGAGAGGCTACAGCATCTCATGGCGGTAGAGACCCTGCAAACCACTGGTAGCCTCGATTTTTCACGGTGGGCGGACACGCGGCTTGACAGATGGCTTGTTGACTGGGCCCTTCGGACTGGACGGGAAAACACAGCACGGACACTGGCACAGGACAGGAACATAGAGGTTTGTAGTTCCGCCAGATGTTCACATCAACTCATGGCGCCTACCACTTGCACCAGACCCTTGTGGACATCGATCTGTTCACAGACATCCGGAGAATCGAATTGGCACTTTCTAAGCACAGTTGCACTGAAGCACTGGCGTGGTGTAGTGAGAACAAGACGGCGTTGCGGAAAATTAAGGTGAGACTGAATGTTGCAATATACGATCTCTATGAAAACATTTGATTTTTCCGCAGAGCACACTCGAATTTGAACTTCGCTTACAAGAATACATCGAGCTGGCGCGTGATCAGAAGAAGCAGGAGGCCATGGCTTACTCGAAAAAACATCTCGTGTCATGGCAAGAAACACATCTCCCACAGATTATGCAGGCTGCCACTTTACTTGCAATAAAACCTTCTACAACGTGTGGTCCGTACCGCGTAAGATAGCGTTGTTTCACCTTCATTTGCATCTCATCGGACCTTACAGAGACTATATGATAATTCCCGTTGGCTTGATCTTATTCAAGCCTTTCGGCTTGCCATCTACAATCTAAACTCTTTACCCACTGAACCCCTCCTCAATCTTGCACTCTATTCTGGTCTGGCTTCACTGAAGCTGCCTTCCTGCAATGACAAGTCATCCCACAACGTCGACTGCCCGGTGTGCGACCCTAGCATAAACACTCTGGCTCAAGAAGTTCCATTCAGCCACCACGCCAACTCCACTATTGTTTGTCGAATTAGCGGCAAGATCATGGACGAGGACAACATGCCCATGATGTTTCCTAATGGTCAAGTTTACTCGAGAGAGGTATGTCTTTCACTTTTGAAAACCAACTTATCGCCGACTTCTTCATGTGGCCATCTGATACTCATATTCTACCGTCAGGCGCTGGAAGATATGGCAGCCAAGAACAATGGTATGGTCACTTGCCAAGTGACTGACCAAAAGTGCGAGTTCAGTGCACTCAAGAAGGTATTCATCTCCTAGCTATTGATTGTGCGGGATACCAGACTCGTTGTCTCGGATGTTTACTTTGATTCTCACTGTGGCCTCCTATACACTCGTTTTTTTCATGGTGTCATAACATTAGCAACTTGTAGTATATTCAGACTTGACGAAGGGCAGTGCTTTTGTCGAGAACCTTTTTATGGCCTAGTCGGAATTCAAGTGTATTCGTGAGCAAGGACATTTTTGTAACTGAATGGCCATTCCACTTTAGCTGGTTGACGTTGGGTTGACGTCGATATACTCTGCTCGCGACTGAGCGCTGAGCAGTGAATGACCCTTCGGTGACAAATGTGTCTGCGACCAAGAGCTTTCGTGATAGGTTTTGGAGAGTAGGGAAAAAGAAGAACTGACTCAGACAGTAACGAAGTTTCTGCAACCTTGGCGGAGTCCTCAGTACGGGTCGTTGGCTAGTACATGATGCATTGATGTGCCGAAGGGCTTGCGTAACATCATGCACATTGCGCATCTCGTTTCGATCTCGCTAGACCCTGGAAACTTTTTGCCGTTACGGCATATAGTGACCTACCAACCCTAGCATATCTAACGCCCCTCTGGTGAAGAAGTGGCTCTCAGGACAGATCAGAAGCTGAAGCGGCCATCACATTGAGTCTTCCAAGAAGAAAATTCCCCATGGTGATGGAATCAGCGACTATAGCTGACAATCGCCGAGGTTCTCTCCGATGATTGAAGTTCAATCATGAGCGCTGAGCGCTACAGTTTGTAGATTGGCACTTATCGAGTACTCACATCAGTGACAACCTTGATATCAGTTTACAGGCACATTCTCCAGACTTGCGAGGCAATACCTTGTGAATATGTGTGGGATGAGCGTGCTGTTCTGACTTCTTTGTACTTTGCGTGTATCAGGTTTAATTGTGACTGGCAAGTGTAAATTGGGGTGTGCCTGTCACACAGGCTTGACTTGGAGCTTGAAAATTGAAACTTCATGCGCACAAAGTGTGGAGTCTGAGCCAAACTATTTGTATCGCAACTCTTATATACCAAACGAAAGCCTGCACCTATTGTTCCCTCAGTCTCGATACCTGGCAGTGGAGGTGTTTTTTATCGTATGTCCGAGCTCAAGGCACGCAAATGGAACCTCAGCAATCAGAATGGACTTGCACACCACATTTTGCAAACAGGTCCTGACAAACAACGGATGACGCTTTCGTGGCACGAAATACCAGAATGGCAGAGGGATAACGAGTACATTTTAACGGGCTACAGACGGTAAGACTGGGTATCGACGCGTGCACGTCTCCAACTTGTCGCAAGCGGAGATGGTCCATTGACTGCTATTCTACTAGAGTGCAGAACGGCTGGTCAGGTTGTATTGCATCTATCTACAGTTGTGAGGATGTCCGAGTCGTCTAACATTTATATGTCATTGATTGGTTTTGTTCTGAGTAGATCCTCATAACGAAACTGGTAAGTTTCTTGTTCTCTCGAGTAGACGTGATTCAACATTGCATTTTCCAGTCAACATCCTCAGCCATCTGGTTGGCGCTGTGGTTTTCTTCTGGATTCTGATGACATTCCGCGGGCAATATATCCTGGCGTACAGCACTACCACTTGGCTGGATACTTCTGTCTTTGCTATATTTCTACTCTCTGCAGTGTTCTGCCTCACTGCGAGTGCTATGTTCCACACTGCCACTTGCCATTCGGCACAGGTCAGCCCGTCTCAGAGCTGCGACTGCACGATTTGATTTATGATTCGAAATTGATCACAGGTGTCGACCCAGTGCCATGCACTAGACTATACAGGGATCGTCAGTAAGTACAGGTATCGCCACCCTTATCTCATTTTGATGAATCTTCCCGTAGCCCTCACCGTCGGATCTTTTGTGCCATGCCTTTACTATGGGTTCTATTGTGAACCAGCCTTGCAAGCCTGCTATCTATGTTCCATCGCACTAGTTGGCGCAGGTCGGTGTTGTACATTGGCATTCGTCTATTGGCAAGTCATTTACCAATACACGTTTAAGGAACCGCATATATCGTTTTAAACCCTGAATATGCAAAGCCTACACATCGAGGTACACGTACCGGTGTCTTCATTGGTCTAGGATTGTCTGCTGTGGTCCCAGTTGCTCACTTATTGGTATCGCATGGAGCATCGAAGCTATTTTCCGAGATGGGTTTTGGTTGGCTGCTCGCATCAGGCGGATTATACATTACGGGCGCGTTGATTTAGTGCGTAGGACCTCATTTCTTGGCTTCCACACATATGCCTGACATTACAATTCATCCCCGCGCAGCGCCAATCGCATGCCCGAACGTCTAGCCCCAGGGAAATTCGACTTACTTTTCGCATCACATCAAATATTTCACTTCTGTGTGGTTCTTGCCGCTCTGGCTCACTGGATGTGTGTATTGACTGCATTCGATCATTGGCATTCTGGCTTAGATGGACGCAAATTGTGACATGCTGGTGGTGCGTCGCTGCGTCGTGGGTAATACGCTGTGGTTGGACAGCCCTGGGAAAAGATTTTGTAGGAACATGCACTACGGGCGGTCATCGCCTATACAGCAGGTTCACGGCTCCGGCGGAGTCGCTAGCGCGGAGAAAATGCACGTTGCAGGGTGTATCCGTAAGGCTAATGGAAGTTTGGTCATCCTTATTTCAATTGTCAGATTGAAGGGTTTTTTATTATTCACCTTCGGTGACCGCGCGCTGCATGCGGGATACCTCGGGACGTGTGTTTACGAAGGTGACGATATAGACGGATTTCGTGGTGAATGGGATCGAGGCTCTGGTCTATCGGCGTCCGACGGATGATGACAAGTAGATGCAAAGATGCCTTGCCACACCAAGACCTCGAGGCTTTGGCCGAATTTTGATTTTTAGGTATTAGAGAGTGCTGCGATGCAGGGCCGGTTGCAAAAGTGGACAGGACGTACAACACAAAATACGTTAGGCTGAGCGTTGTCATTGTGTCCGACGGAAAGCGCATCCAGCCACGAGACGGATTACGTATTTACCGCAAAGCGGAACCGCCAAATAATTCCCACCGCCCAGCCTATTCCAGGATCTGACGATCAAGATCACCCAAAAGGCACTCAGGCTCGTGTGCATACAGGCAGCATCATGTTGGCGTCTCATACCACGGGATCTTATGACCCATGGCATATAAAGTCGCGCCATCACGCAAGTCTTCGTTGCCGTACTCAAGTATTATCTTTCGCGTCCGACAGCTTGTATCATGTATACAGTCGGCCTACAATCCGCTGCCGACGCATTTCTTCTTTCTAGTCTAAAGGCCCAAGTGGCCATCGCTTTGCTTGTTCTCTTTATTCTTCTATTTTTTGGTCTTGGTTCTCAAAAAGATTGTGTCGTTGACGGCGCCCCAGTATTTCTCCCCGGCTCTCATCTCCTCGCCATCACCCCATTCTTCCGCCGACGCTTCGAATTTCTGAACAATGGTTTTCATAAAACTGGCCAGTCTCTCTTTCAGTTTAACATGCTTCGAGTAAGCGTTATAGTACCAAGTCTTCTCTCCAGCGACCACTCACTACAGTGACTACAGGAGACGGTCATTGTTGTTTCCGGAGAGTCAGCCCGGAAATCATTCTTTGCCAACAAGCACTTCGACCTCACTGAAGGCTTTAAAATGCTTTCCGGAGCTGTCAGCATCTTTCTCTATCATCGAAGACATGTACGCTAATCCCGACGCTAATTAGATCCCTGTTGTCAAAGGGGTGACTTCCAACCTTCAGTCCAAACGCATTGCCCAAATTCATAAGCGTCTCTCTTCCGTTCAGCGAAATGAACACCTTAATGGCCGTACGTTGTATCTATCCATTTACTGGTTCTATCTCATCCTCATTTTATTCTAATACGTAGTCATTGCTCCCATTCTGGAGGATTGCCGAAGGGTAATGGAAACGTGGGGACCATCAGGAACGTTTGACCCATTTGAAAAAATTTATGAAGTCGGTTTTTGGATTCAATAGGCTCGTTTCAACTCCTGACCATGTACATTACAGCTTTTATTCCAAATTACTGTACGATCTCTCTCCTGCGAGGAGTTAGCAGACGATTCTGTCCAAGTTGCGCGTCTCAAGGGACTCTACGACACCTTGGACAGTGGAACAACCCCAGCGACTGTCTTACTTCCATGGCTACCCGGACCTAGCATGCTTAAGAAGCTGTGGGCGACCAAAAAAATCTACGACATCATCGTCCGTGCCATTGATCAACGGGAGCGTAGTGGACTATCTAAACCTGACACTTTGCAAATGCTTTTGGACGAAAAAGACGAAAGGCTTGTTGTCGTTGGTGTAAGCTTTTCCGTTGAGCATGGGCATTTTGAATCATCTGACGTTTCAACAGTTCATTATGGGTCTGCTAGTCGCTGGTGCACGGGCTACTGGAACAACGGCATCGTGGCTTATCACCTATCTTGGTGATCATGAGTCCAAGGATGAAGTTATTGCCGAAGTCGAGCAACTCTTGGCAAATTATGTCTCCTCTAACGTCTCCCATTCTTTGTCACAACAACTTTCGTCCATTCCACTGGAGGCTTGGGAATCTGAGACACCCGTTCTTGATTCTCTCATTCGTGAGACTCTTAGGATTGCGCAGCCTCATACTGCCATGCGCCGAAACCTTGGACCTGATGTGACGATTGACGGAAAGACTATACCATCAGGGGCATATGTATTATATCCTTTCTCGGACGTTCATCTCAATCCGGACCTCTACCCTGATCCATGGAGGTTCGATCCTAGCCGCGAGGAGGCGACGGCTCCGTTCGGTTACGTCGGTTGGGGAGGAGGTAAGCCACGTTTTTTTATTGCGCGCTTGTCAGCAAACCTAATTTCCGGATAACAAGGTAAGACACATTGTCTTGGTCAGCGCTTGGCCAGACTTGAGCTCAAGCTTGTCACCTCCATGATGCTTCTTGGCTTCCGGTACTCCCTTGTCGACAAGAAAGGCGAGCAACTCGACACACCCCCTCAACCCAACTGGAACGATATTCTACTTTGCCGACCAGAACAAGGCTCGTGTTATCTTAAGCACGAGAAATCTGTGCTCTCACTTTAAGTCAAGCTGGTCTTGACTTATCGGACAACCCTTTGTCTTATCCTACCAGCAAACTACAGCCTTTTTTACATTACCCACACAGTTCTAGTCACAGTCCCATTGGACACATCATTTATTTACCTTATACTTCATTTCAAAAACTGTACCGGCTCCCATACTATGCCCATAACGTACTCTGTTGCCCACCATCGCTCCCTTCCCCAACCTTTCGTTTGCTAGACATATGGACGTGTGACTTAATAATCTAAGTTAGATACATAGAAGTAATATGCCCGTTTGTCAATTTCCATGTAGCCTTATGATGCTCCATTTGTGTGCAAAAGCCTTCACATGGTCCTCTGATCGATAAGATAAACGTACAGCCGTGAACAAGGCGTGGACATATTGAGCAATGCCAATCTGTCGATCCCAGTAATTTTCTTAACCAAAGTACAGCCTGTCCTTCGAATTAATCCCTTTTGGCCGCTCATCTCTCCGATTGGGTCTCTCTGACTTTGTGGCAGCCTCAGATAACAGCTCCATGCTCTGCTTCTTCTCTTCAAGCCTACTTTGCATCTTTTGTTCCTCCCTCAACCGTCGCTCCCGTTCCGCAAATCTCGCTCGTTGCTCTCTCGACGGCTCCCATTTGCTTCGCAAGATGCGGCGGACAGCCTCTGGGCTGATCTTGAATTTCTCAGCAAGCACCGGTGTGGAAAATGTATGCTTGTCATATATATGCATGGCACGCATACCGTCCATGGCTTCACGGGATAATTTACGTGGAGGGGACCACCCCTGAGGAAAAGCTTCCTTGATGGCGAGACGGTGGCGCTTCCACTCCTCTGGTGTGTTTTCCACCGGCGCGCGCTTCCGTCGCCTCGGGGGTGGTTCATCTTCGCTCAAATCGAGGGTTCGTCCCTCCGCCAAGGACAGAGGCGCAGGGTGTCCGGCCAGTCTCCAGTCCCTTTTCTTTGGTTCATTAGTAGAGGAATAGTATCTATAGAGCGAGGCTTTTGTGAAGCCAATACTGCGCGTGGTGTGAAGGTGTATGAAGTAGTGCCGTCAACTTAAAATAGTTGAACCTCGTTGTAAGATGGACGCCCTGCATGATTATTCGGGAAATGGAAATGTAACAAAGACTTCAAACCTAGTGAGTAAAATTGGGTTGTCACGGTACTTGCCGAGCAGTTTCGTGAGTGCTTCGACTTTCAAGCCGTCTCTTAGGAAGGAAGTCACTCCCATCAGTTCCCAGCTTATCGTATTGACCTAACGTTCTGTTCTCTTCCCCTCCTTCCCTTCTGCAAAGATTTGTATACGATTTATCGCGCTTCATTATACCCGATGGCCGACCTATCCGATCCCAAAATCGACGAAGGTTAGTCTGCGAAATTACAGCGTATCGCTTAGTGAAATTGGGTTAACTAGCAGCGTGGTGCTGATCCTTATAGCTTACCAGGATGTTCGTTCCGACAAATCCGACACTAACTGGCTTTTACTCGACTATGAGGTCAGAATTCATGCTTCTAACCGGATTTGATTACCTTGATGCGTTTAGGTCCTCCCTACGACAATCACACGCTTAGTCTGACCGGTCTGACAAGCTAAGAGTCACACAGACGGGAACCGGTGGTCTCGCCGAGTTACGCGATGCACTTGGCGATTCCAAGGCGTCTTACGCATACGTTCGCGTCACCTTCTCCAATGACAAGGAATCTCAGCGGGAGAAATTCATTCTAGTAGTGTGGATCGGTCCTGGGTGTAAAGTGATGCGGAAGGCCAAGGTTAGTCCTTAGTCTGTTTCTTTACGTGTGCTGCTGCGTGTATGGATATCTTTATTTTTCCAACTTTAAAAAAACACACGCGGTGGCGGCGGGCTACGTCTGCACTGCCTTTCAGCGGTGAATCAATGACGATGATTCGGATGATGTAGTACTTAGTCTGACATGACTCTTTGCTATATTATCTCGCAGATCTCCGTTCATGCAGCCGATGTCAAGCAGGTATTGCGTGTCTACTCTATTGAAGTTCCGGCTCGGGAAAAGGATGATTTAAAGGAGGATCCGATTGTGGTGAAGCTGCGGAAGGTGAGCGGTCTAATACGATCTAGAGCGGGGAATATCCATTAGCCTCACACATTAATCTTGTCAGGCAGGTGGGGCTAGTTATGACGGGGTGTAGCTTACATCATACAAAGTCGTGCTCTCAATTTCCTGGCCCTGCACTTGTACGCCTTGTGTGCCGTCGGATTTATATGACTCATTTACCACCTGTATTGCGCATCAACTGTGCCCGAGGTCCAATGAGTATTTCGGTCAGCTCGTGTGTCATACAGAGAGACCCTGACATCGCATTGCGCAATGGTACCTATGCTATTACTTGGCCAGGATATAGAAAACCCCGTTTCATCGGTTTCAGGCCGCGTGGAGGGTGAGCTTCTGCAGATTCTCGATCCCCTGTTCCTCCAGCCGCATACCCATCCATTCTTCCATTGCTTTAGCCTCCAATTTTTTTTCATAAAATGCGATCGATGGAGTGTTCCACTGAATGAAAGAATAATATACAAGTACCAGAAAAATTAATGCCCTGGAACACTAGTGGCACGATCAGCCAAGTGTGACTTACCTTGAGTACCGACCAATCGAGGCGTGCGCAGCCCTTGTTGCCAGAGGTTGCATTAGCCAAGGTCCTCGGAAAGAAGCGTGTGATGTCACCTTCTCCTGTGCTATCTTGCCCAGCTCCGCGAAAAGGGCTTTGCCTATGCCCTTATTTCTTGCTTCCGGGGATACATACAAATCCTCAAGCTGTATGCGAAGTGTTAATAGAGAGGCAGCGTCGCGGTGCGGCGTAGGCGAATCAGAATTAAGACGCACAAAGAGGCCAGGCTTGCCTGTCCATGTTGAGAAATTGAAGAAATAAAGCGCCATGCCCAATGCGATTCCGGGTGCCTCGGGCGTTCCCTCGAATGCGAGGATGGTGTGAGCATATTTCTTTTCGAATACATTTTCTCGAAACTTGGACGGCATTTGAGTATGACCGCTCCGCGACCTTTCGGGCCACTCACCAGAGCAGGGGTAGCCCTTGCGGACTCGGGTTCTTTTTCATAAGTCGCCTAGATAAAAGTGGGAAGTTTCAGTGTATGAAAATCTCGAGGCAAAACGATTACCTACAAGGTCTTGAACCAACCTGAGCATGGAGTCCTGAGTCATTGATCTTATCAGCGCTGATAACAATGCTCATCAGCAATGCGTTATATGCTCACCACATCGTCTACGTTAGCCGGCCGAATGTGAAATGTAAGAGTCATCTTGGGTATATGATTCTTCTAAAAGCTTCCTAGCGGACTTGATGTTAATTGCAAGGATATGTTATGGTCAAGCACTTGGGGAATCCCCAACTTACTAGTAACTGGCGATCCGGACGTGGTACCCAAATACGTATGGGGTTACAAATTCAGGACCGCTAGTGTTTGTGTACGCATATTTGTGCGTAAACCTTAGTCTCCAACTTTTCACCGTCGCATCACACCAAGGGTATCGTGAACCCTCGCCGCAAAACAATATGGATCCCACAAAATTGGCGAAACTCCAGGCGCAGGCTGCAGCCAACAGGATTGGTAAGTGTTTTCTATCACACCACGGAGTTTGTAGCTTTCATTTTTTCTTCCTTCTTCACATATGTGTACTCAATCAAGGCTGACATGATGACATACTGTAGGTGGTAAAGGAACCATACGTCGGAAGATCGTCCGGAAGGCTAAGCCCTCTGCTGCACAGGATGACAAAAAACTCCAAGGTGCCCTCAAGAAACTGAATGTGCAACCTATTCCTGGTGTAGAGGAGGTTAATATGTTCAGGGAAGATGGAAACGTGCTGCATTTCACTGCCCCAAAAGGTGTGTACGAATTTTTACGTCGCTTGCGAGTAGATAAGCTCGCGTTCGGCGCTCCGCCAGATAAGATTTGTGTTAATTTGAGTTTTTCTTCTTGCCTTGTGTAGTACATGCCGCGGTCTCCGCCAACACGTTTGCGATCTATGGAACTGGTCACGTCAAGGAGTTGACTGAGCTCGTGCCTGGAATCTTGAATCAACTTGGCCCTGATTCATTGGCATCGCTCCGTAAACTTGCGGAATCATACCAAGCCATCCAGCAAGGGCAACAGAGGCCACCTACCGGTGCCGCTGAGGATGATGATGACGAAGTTCCTGATCTCGTTGAGAACTTTGATGTTGAGGGCGAGCAGGCCGCAGCCGAAGAGAAGAAAGACACCCTCGAAGATGTGAACTGAGTGCGCAGCCTTCTTGGTGCGCGTAGTTTGGAGGGGAGTGTTTGTCATATCGGTATTGAGAGTTAATTTGATGGGTGGTGGGAAGAGTTGGGATAAAATGACGGACGAATATCCGGGTGACAGCCAGCTCATTTGCTTTACCATCAGTTTCCATTCATGCACTGTGCCAACAAAAGCCTTCATCGATCTTACTCCGATACGTCGCTCTTTTCATGTCTTTATCTCATCTCTGTGCTCTGTAGTTCCTATCCCCCCATGCCATCGCACATTACTGCATGCTAGCAAATATTGTTAACTGGTATGGCTCTGTGACAGGCATGTTCGCAACATGGACAAGTTTCGGTGACGTATTGCCAGCAGGTCGATCCCGAGTTCAGTTATTGCATTCACATGTACTTTGCAGCTCTAGCCAAGGTGCTTTACTGAGATGCAAGAATCGTACTACGCACTCGGTTCAGATGCGAGGCCTTTGGGTCTGTGACAGCGGTTGTGATGATTATAGTCGAAAAGGCCACCAACCGAGGTCAATAAATCCAATTAGTTAATCAGTGGAAGTAGCAAGCGTCAACCGTTTGCCGATTTTCCTTGTCATATGATTCAAGTTAGAAACGACAAACGCAAACTGTCTTATGAATTAAGCCTCCGCGGTAGATTAAACTTAGAGAAACCAGCTGTCCTCCAATTCTGTATGTCTGCTTAGAGTCCTATACGCTATAGGCTATATGTGGGGCCAGTCTGAGACAGATGGGCAGAATAACCTACTCCAACATTGAGACTCCCCGGGCCGTCGACTGCGGAAGTGGGTGCAGTCTAAGACTGGGGTCCATTAATTAGCGCAGCGTTTGTCAAGGCCTAGAAAATAAGGTGGTGAGCATATGTTTTTAAGAGTTTTGTACGGGCCGGCGGACCGTGTAGCGCATACATAGTCTGGGTGCCAGCATTTTGTCCGGTTCACCACCGCACATATTGACCAAGCTTTGTGTTGCTTCCTGTCTTGTGATATATCCTTGTATGTGTCTATGCGTCACCTGGTCATCCAGGCTCAGCGTTCGCACCGGTAGAACCTCTCAGCACCATCCTCAAAGCTCCATAAATACAAGACTGCGTTGGCACGTCCTCAAGTTCCGCTGTTCTTTCTCTCGCTCAAATCAACATCGGCAACGCTAAACACTCCTACAATGACTACCAGAATCACACATTTTGAAACACACGGTGAGTTTCGTTGCTGTTCCCTGTACTACGTGTGCATTGATCATCTTGTTTGCCGTCGATAATAGATATTCGATTTCCCACATCCCTGACGGGTGATGGCACTGATGCGATGTGAGCCGACGTTCACGTCGTGATCTGCGATAATCTTCTACATAACACGTGCCTCAGGAATACAGATTGCGATTATAGTTCAGCATATGTTACCATATACACTGACAATGAGCTTATCGGTCATGGAATGACGTTTACCATCGGTCGTGGTACTGATATTGTGAGTGAACAAAGCTTAGCACTTTTAGTACATACTTCTTCGTCGCAACTTATAGTAGATGATACATTTATCATTGCATTACTTCTCTTGCTTTGTTGGAAATACGATACTTATCATTACCTACCTTGCGCCATAGGTGTGCCAAGCGATCCGGGAACTTGCTGGACGCTTGGTCGGACAGGATCCCGAGAGCTTTTTCGAGAATATGGGAAAAGCTTGGGACTGGATGTGCTCCGACTCGCAGCTGCGATGGTGAGTGCTCGAACGTTGTGCTGGATCGACCTAGTTTGTGGCGTATGGCTCGATGGTCGCTTCTACCTAAATTATTTTGTTGTATCTGTGATCTGACCGTGAATTTGTTTTCAAGGATTGGTCCAGAGAAGGGCGTGATTCACCTCGCAACAGCTGCAGTGAACAACGCTCTGTGGGACATGTTTGCTCGTGCTAGAGGCAAACCTTTATGGAAATTAATTGTTGATATGACCCCCGTTCGTATCGTTGTTTTACGGTTGTTCCATTTAAATTGACCGTGAATATATGCACAGGAGGAGCTAGTAAACGCGACTGCGTTTCGTTATATCACAGATGTGCTAACACGTGAAGAGGCACTTGCTATGCTCAAGGCCAAAGAGGCTGGAAAACGTGAAAGGGAAGCTCTTGTTACCAAAATTGGGTAAAGGTTCATCGATGTAAATTTCAATTATCCACATCTTACTGACAAGCGCAGGTATCCGGCATATATCACATCAGCGGGCTGGCTTGGTGAGAAGGAGCCTATTGATTCTGCTGATTTGTTGATTAGTCCCGCAGGATATTCAGATGAGAAAGTATCTCGTCTTACGAAGGAGGCCCTTGCAAGTGGGTTCAACCACTTCAAGATGAAAGTAGGCGCCGACTTCAAGGATGACTTGCGCAGAGGCAAGATGATTCGTTCTATCATCGACAACCCCGCAAATTACCCGTCTGGATTCAAGGACCCTTCGAGCCCAGAGCTGGCTGGGAAGAACGCGGGTCCGACTGGTGCTGTGTTGATGATCGATGCGAACCAGGTCTGGGATGTCCCACAGGCAATAGAATATGTGACTGGGTTAGCAGAAATCAAACCTTGGTCTGTACTATTCATTTTCGTTTCAGTTATGAGAACTGACCCTTGATACTGCCAGGTTTATCGAAGAACCTACAGCACCTGACGATGCTCTGGGCCACGCTGCGATCAGGCGGGCACTCAAACCATACGGGATCGGAGTTGCGACTGGGGAACATGCTCATAACCGTATGGTGTTCAAGCAGTTGTTCCAGGCGGAAGCAATCGATGTTTGTCAGATTGATTCCTGCAGACTCGCAGGTGTCAGTGAGGTTCTGAGCGTGTTGTTGATGGCTGCAAAGTGAGCACGAGGAGACTTTCACTTTTTCATTCGGACGACATGCTGAATGACCATGTTCGAAGGTTTGGGGTCCCCGTTTGTCCACATGCCGGCGGCGTTGGGTTATGTGAATATGTTATTCATCTAAGGTCGGTGTCGATCCTTTTGCTGAAGCAGTGTCCCTGACCAGTAGGTTAAGCGTGATTGACTACGTCGCAATTTCCGGGACGATGGAACGAAATGTGTTGGAATTCGCGGACCACTTGCATGAGCACTTTCCTTACAGGTGTACCATGAACGAAAGGGGGAGGTACAATGTTCCGAGTAATCCAAAGGAAGGATATAGTATTGAGATGTACAAGGAGAGTATTGCCGAGTTTGAGTGGCCAAATGGGTCTTACTGGGTCGGTGCGAGGGGTGGTAAAGTGTCGAGCACTTGATGATGCATAAGTATAGGCTCTTGTATAACAGGAAATTTCAGTCTCCATATCGGATCTAGTCGAAGGCTCGAAGCTGAAAAAATTTCACATGCCGAGCCCGCCGAGTTTATTTTGATATATTTGTGCATGTGATGTACGCGTTGGTTAAATGATGTATGGACAGCCTCTCTTAGGACACGCGGTAGGGTGTTACATTGAACACCTTGAGTGGGTTGGAGGATGGCATACACAACGGCACCACGGGATCCACCACCACAATCTCAAGGTTTCAGATCTATATCACCCAGACCAGGATACCCGATCCAACACCCGACCCAAATCCAGATAACACCCCAGTTACGATACCCCCAGCAGCATCGACCACCACCCACATCTTTCCCTAACCCTACCCCAGTCCGACGTCCCCTTCCAACCCCAAAGTCACGTCCGGAATCACTTCCCCCACCCGCACGTGCCGCTCAGACCCCGGCCCCGTCACGTCCGTCACCTATCCCGGCCCCGGCCCCTTCACGTCCTGCCATTCTCGCACATGCTGCATCCCTCGAGAGCACCCACATTAATAATAATCATACAAGACGCCCTCTACCTAATCCAGGTGCTAAATCAACTAAACATGCAAGCTTGGATCTTCGTGCTCAGGTGGAAAATAATATTCCAACAGAACCAGATCTAAATAGTGCTGTAAGCTCCCAAACCAACTCATCTAGTTTCTCCCCCTTTTCTGCTGCGAGTGGTACTTCAAGCCTTTCTAGTCCTGCAGCCAGCACGGAACGATCATTTGCTTCCCCAAATCAACCCCCATCATCAACCTACTCAAATTCACATCCTTCTGCAAACTTTCACAATACGCCACTCCATAGTTTCACTAGCTCTGTCCCAGCATCTAGCTATCCCAATGTCGCTCCACATATAGATGTGCGGGGTACGTGTGTTCTTTCTCTTATTCGACCTCATTTTTATACACTTCCAGCTCTTCCACTCTCTTCTGCACCAGCCAAATTTATCCCTCACTGGAAACGCGACCTTCCCGGACCTGGTCCATCGCCACAGCCCAGTGAGTCGTCCTCACGTGCGGGTCCATCCATGGAACGCAGGAGCACAGTATCCGGCCCGGCTGCTCCATCAAATCTTGGTAATACGGGGTTTACCCCTCCTGCGACTTCAACCAGCTATTCCTCTGCTCGTCCAGTAAGCCCAGAACATGATCCCACAAGTGTCATAGATCGTGCCCAAATCATTCATCGCGCCCAAACACAGACATCGATCGGTCGCCGTCCTTTACCGTCTATTGGCAATATGTCCCCACCGGTACCCCCACTCCCAGGTCCGTCTTCTAATTATTAAGCATGCCACAGTCAGATTCACGTAGTCCGCCTGAGCTAGGTAATTCACGCTTGCCCCCTCTTGCAGGTAATAGCAATTAAAACAAGTGCGATATTCAATTTAAATGATATTCTCAGGAAGCTCGCGTTCCCCTTCAGCCATCCCAGGTTCCTCACAGGGCCAACCAGTTCCAACCAGTTTGAGACGGCCTCCAGAACTAGGTATTTATTCATCGTTTCAGTACTCTGACCGTTCATCAATCTCACATCTAAAAGGGAGTTCACGTGGTCCGCCTATACCAGATGCCTCTCGTTCTCCAACAGTCATGTCATCTCGTCCTCCGCCTAACTCTAGTAGTCAAAGGTCACCGCCAGCACCAGGTACTGATGATTTATGTTGATCGCCGCATGTACCTGATTGTTCTGATTGTTCCAGCAAGCTCTGTCTTACAGAGGGCACGTACGACAAGCAATGCACCCTCTATCTCATCCACGGTCACAGATTCCTCCTATTCATCGTCTTCGACGATGCGTTTATTCCATACACGGATGCCTGCGACCACTGATGACGAGTCGAATACAAGCGATGTGGGTGATGAATATGATGAGAAAATCGATGGACGCCAGGCGGGAAGAGGATATAGTGACACAAGGGAAAACTATAGTCGTCACTTCGGTAGGTATAACGAGAGGGACGAAGCTCGTGACATACGTAGTGTAGTAGAACCGGGAAGTGTGTCCCCGCAATACGGCATTCGCGACCTTCCTCGGCGCCCTTATCCTTCTCAATCATCTCAACCCCAACCCCATACTCAGGAAAGGCAATGGACTCGGACGCGCCCGACTCGCTCGGCAACTCTTCCGACTCCCCCACCTCAGTCACCCAACCATATCCAGGACAATGAACCACAATCGCTCACACTGCGTATGGCCGCACTTGGACTATCCACTTCTCCTCAGTCACCCTCGTACAACACGCAAAGCGATCTAAACAGACATCCCTCGATGCAGAGTTCAATACAAAGTTCGCGCTCATCTTCGCCGAGCTTCGACCTCGGTAGCCACCCGCTTCTGCAGCGTGTGCCATCTGCAAAGGAAGAAGAACTTGAAAACCTGTCCAAACGCCCATCATTGCAGCGTGGCAAATCTGTGATTGAGGGAATCCAAAAGCATCCTTTTGCATCCGCCCCAATGGAGAGGCGGGTATCAGGCAGGAGTCGAAGCTTGGTGCGTGAGCAGGAACGCCGAAGAGCGTCGCCTACACGTGAACAATCTCTAATACGTGAACCTTCGCCTACGCGCAATCAGTGGCCACGGAACATCCCGCCGCTTCCCCGCGCACCGTTATCGCCTGCTGGAACCCGACCCTTTTCACCTGGGTTTAATGCCTCTGCGTGTGATAATAACATGAACAGCTCGCCTGCACGATCTGCTTTCGCACGTCCTGCATCTCCGCTCAAGAGTTCCGTGCTCCCTCCGTCTGGGTTTTCACGCCCTACATCACCATCAAGATCACCCCTACCGACGCCCCCTGCACGGGCCGAGGCAGGGAGCGCGCCCGTGTTCTCCTCTCCACGAAAAGCGAGCGGCGGAAAAGGCCCATTTGGCCCACAAGATCAAAACTCGCGTTCCAGTTCACCACAAAAATCTTCCAATACGTATGCGTCGCCAACGATACCCTCTTCGTCCTCTCCACCGAAACTAGCCTACCTTAGCAACTCGAACGCGCGAAATGCGTTCCCGCCCACCTCATTCCCATCTTCGTTCCCTACGAGCTCATCTCATTCGACCACATTAAATTCACACATCATGGAGCGTCAGCGCCAAAAGCAGCGTGCATACGTGTCTACATACGACCTCGATGACGAGCCGCCTGTTTCGCCGCTCCGCGAGCGTGTGGGTCTACCTTCACCTAGTGTGTCCCGCTCACCTTCCCCTTCAGATCCTGGGGCACGCATGAGGGGGCGATCTGTCTCTAAAGGCCCTGCAAATAAGGATCAGGACCATAGTTATTGCAATGAGGATGACGGGGATGAGCGTTCACCCTCGCCCATTCGTTTCGCGAAGCGCTCTTCTAATCAGTTCTCCGTACTGGAGATGGGTTTTGTAGGTGAGGTGGCGCCGAGGTGGAATCGCACGCCTGCGTCCAGAGCTGTGGCGGAGCGTGGAGATAATGAGGACAGACGCGCAGATGTGGGCGTGCCGGTCATCTCTCTTCCCGGCGGGCATGTTGATTTTGATCAGGATTGTGATAAAGGTGGTGGCATGGTACTATCGAGCAAGACGCAGGAGTCACCGCCAAGGATTTCTGTTTCGAGCGCTACACCACCGAGAGTAGCGGGTTCGCGTGCTACGCCGCCGAGGGTAGTTGTTGCTAGTTCAACGCCGCCGCGTGCAGCTGTTAACGCATCAACGCCACCGCGTATAGCTGTTAACGCATCAACACCACCGTGTATTGCGGTGTCAGGCTCATCTCCACCTCGTGTGATGGTATCAGGATCATCACCTTCTTCTCCACAAATTTCTGCGACCTCACCGTCCATACGACAAACATCTGTATCATCACCCTCCACACCCCAGATATCTGTATCCGTTCCCAGTTTTTCTTCCAGGCAACATAACTCGTGGAGCACGCCAGCGCCATCCCATGAGCCAAAACGTCTCCCGCCACCTCCAGGCGAAAATGGATCAAAAGGTGCAGGTGGACAGAATAATGTGTTCAATGTACAGAATGGAGGCAAATTATCAGGAGTGCTAAAGGGTATGCGTGGGAACGGTCTATCATGCGCAGGATGTGCTGGTCCAATTATTGGACGTATTGTCAGTGCCATGGGACAGCGGTGGCACCCAGGATGTTTTCGTTGCTCTGCCTGCAATGAGCTCCTTGAGCATGTCTCGAGCTTCGATCACGAGGGAAAACCGTATTGTCATCTTGATTACCATGAGGTTTGTTCTTCCGACACTCCTTTACTATGTAACAAATTGACTCAATGTTACGCAGAACTTTGCACCTCGTTGCTATCACTGCAAAACGGCGATTATTGACGAACGGTTTATCACACTTGATGATGAGGCGCTGGGAAAGCGGACTTATCACGAGCAACATTTCTTTTGTGCGGAGTGTGGGGACCCGTTCCTCCCGCCGTCTTCTGGGAGTGGCGGATTGACGGTCACGGGTGATGGCGAGTTCGATCTTGACGACGATGTGGGTTTCACGGTGTACAAGGGTCACCCATACTGCGAGGCGTGTCACGTCCGTTTGCGTATGCCCAAATGCAAGCACTGCAAGAAGTCAATCAGGGACGGAATGCGCGCTGTTGAGGCTTTAGGAGGCAAATGGTGTTGGGAGTGTTTTGTGTGCGAGGTATGTGATGTCTCTTGATTCCATCTAGTAGACGCTGAGCTCATGCCGGGTTGCGCTGTCAGGGCTGCAAAAAACCGTTCGACGATCCGTCATTCTTCTTGCGCGAAAATAAGCCATTTTGCGAGCCGTGCTTTAGTTTGATATTGCGAAATGAGGTATGAGTTGTGGTTTAAATAATTTATTTCTTGCTATGTGTAGTTTTCGGTTTCTTGCTCGTGAGTAATACCTGGATGTGCAAGCCTCTTTGCAACTTTGGTCTGTCTACATATATTCTACTTATATTGAGATTGCTTCAAATACTTAGCGACCGGGATACAAACTCGGAAAGTTGCGTGATATGGTACATAAGTTGTTCTTTGACTCCCTTAGTGTGGGTTATTTGTCGACCTACTGGCTATAGACGTTTAGACGTTTAGAGGTGCACTATCCGAACAACAAACCCCACAATAGAACACACCTAAGAGAAGTATAAGCATGCCAGAAGTACAGCCTTGCAAACGCATACCATACCATTGGAAGATTTATGGAAAAGACGACTGATATTGGATTTATACCGTCGAAGTTTCGGTGACTTCCCCAGAACCGCTTTGGAATGTTTGCCAATGGCTGCGCAGCATAGTGACCATGGAATCGGGGTCATCATCCTCCAAAGATGTGGAATAGAGGATGGAATAACCCATTAGTGCTAGAAAGCCAGCGCCACCTGATGCCCAAAGGACACCAATCACGCGGGAAGCCCAGAATACTAATTGAGCAACCATAAGTCCCATGCTCCATAAGTACATCGCTTTTGGCATGCTGTATACAATAGATAAGGGCAGGAAACCCCAATCAGACGATTTTGCTGAGCGGAGAAAGTTCGCCTGGAATGATGATGAGTCAAGTTGTGTCGATCGAAGATAGAAGAAAGTGCGAACAGCAAACGAGGCGGTTGTATCTTCGAAACCATGGTGTCTCAAGAGCAGGATTGATCCCGACAAGATGCTTGAAGATGCCGCAAGAATTGGTGCCATAGCAGATGACAAGGACGCACGTGGTAGCATTGAAATGAGAATGCTGGCACTAGATGATCATTAAAATCAAACTCAAAATCAACCAAACCCTGAGGAGATTAGACTGACATAAGAACCGAAAATGCCTGGACGCCAGCTCAGCTATTGAAGCTAACATATTACATGAGACAAACGACGCACCCACACAAGTAATCCTCTCCATTCCGAGATGCATGCAGTGATGAAAGCCTGCCAGTGATCAATATACACCTTGTCATGAACAAACAGGTCATGAAGCTTGGAGTAGTGGTGGTTAGGGATTCCCCACAACGTCAGGTTCGCCAGTGCACGCATCCCGGTGTGATCAACTATGTCTTCTGGCATCGGTGGATGCAATCTGTCCAGTTGAGCATTTTCTTGACCATAGTATGTCATGAATCGTTGATTATCTTTCAAATGTTCAGCACTTATGAAGAAATTGCAATATTTTCACAACTGACTGATCGCACCCCAAAGACGAGCTAAGTTAGGACGTGTCAGCTTGGCATAATATGTGGAAATCATGCTTCCTACCGACAAAACATAGTGTATAGCCATCTAAGGGTTCGCCTTGCATAGTGTTGAGGTCAAGAAATATTATTGCAACAGTTGTCTCCATACCTCGTCGTAAGGATAATGCCCGCAGAAGTTGGTCACACTTTTCCTCAGTATATGGGAATGTGGAGGTCCGCGACGTCATACGATCTTAACGCGTGTCATGTCATAGGGAAATTATGCGTAAAGAGGAGCATGACATACCTGTCATGCCGTGACAGATGACACTGATCAAGTTGTCCAAAATGAGTGGCGTCATCTGTGTGCAGACGTGCATCGGGAAAAACTCGACATGTACCCAGTAGAGTCTTTCCAATGCAGTATCTGTTGAAACTTAACCAACTATGGTTGTAAAGAAACTAATCACGCACCCAAGTGTGAGTCAGACACTAACATACCCATGTCGAGTAGTTCTGATGACGTGGGCTCGAGCCAGAAGAGACAGTGGCTATGATGATCCACGAAATAATATGCACATGTGGACGTTCGTGGGGGTTCATCAAACCGAAGCTCGACGAAGAGTTCGCATGTTTGTGGCAATGTGATTCCGCATTCGAGGATTCTTTTTTCGATTATTGCCAGGTAGCTGGACACCAAATTGTCTGTCTCAATATTTGATACATTTTCCTCTGTGACGACCGAGAAACGGTCACGTTTCATATGAAAATACAGTTGCCCTTCTGGATGGATGAAGGAGAGCCAGTTGGATTTGGTACTGGGACGTTGGTCAAGGTCAGTTCAAGTCCAACCAGCCAGTCGCTGGTAAGTGAGTTCACCTGGTACGAAGTCGCAAGCCAGGTGCAGTCGTAGTGTGGTATGTATCCACCCTCGGTGGAGAATGAACTAATGAACTCCATGCAGGTTGGTTTGCAAGAACTTACCAGGGAAACTTCTCATACCGCCTGGTGGTTGTCGAAGTCGTAGGCCTGAGTGAAGATGCCATATCGTTGTGGTGTGTTGAAGTTGAAGTCATGCCAATTGCCAGTGGCACTGAATACGGCTACTAGTGACTTGAACTTGGGCAATGACAAACGGGGCAGAATGTTCTTCAAGACGGAGTACTATTAGTAGTATGCACGGCCGGACTGTGGCTCGCCGGAGTAATCGATTGACCATTATATCACTGCCGGGTGGCAACTGCTGTGGACTCTAGCCTGAGTGACTGCCGCTCAGTGTCACGGTGACTCGGAAACTTTAAATTAATACCATATCCGCGCTTGTTTCTGAATTTTGACTATATGACGGTCTTCAAGTCGCGAGTCGTCAGTCTCTGGATGTGTTATGATAGCTCGTAGTCGGGTAAGTGTGATCTCCACTCTCGAGAGCCAGTATCGTATTCAATGAATCTATCAGACTACTGACGCTGGTGCCACATAGTGTATCATTAGGCGATACTAGTTGATAGCCGCGGCGGCAGCATGGGACCACGATTCGAACATGTTGAACTCGCCAGTTTCTGCGTGTTAACTTTTCAGGGTGCTGCAATGGCAAGGCAAGGCCGCAGCAACAATACACACCGTGACGACGTGGCTCAAAACCAACTTCAAAATTGACTCGTATCGTCCTTCCAGTATTAGGATGCATTGGCATTGACAATACCACTGGCAAGCGCTGCCAGTAGAAAAACACGGATCACATCCATAACCAAAGCAGCGCTATAACGTTGCTTTACAGCACCATCACCAACAATATCATCCACTGGCAGGCTATGACAATTAATACGGGATGGCCGCTATGACTTTGTTAGTATACCTGACTCAAAAGTTGAACATGCCTATCGCGTCTCTTCCGCACCCTTCGGAGGCATCAACTGCCACAGAAGCTCATTGGACGCGCCTGCTGGCATGCTGTTATTAGCGTGCCATGCGTATGCAGCCAGCCAAGGGCAAACAAAAACGTGAAGGTAGTCAGTGTCCTCATTTCAATGACAAGTTGTTGTCCCCTCACCGGTCTAAATTCCAAGCTATTTTCTACCACCAGAACCAATGTACAAGGGGCAGGGCCATAGATAGATCTAGGCTAGTACCAGTTGGGCCTATCTTCTTCGGCATTCCACTTCTAAATGACGCCTACGGTATGATTCACGAGGCGACCGTTCCGACTGGCGCCCAGATAAGCGGTACTCCTGATATTTTTCATGAAGACCGCCATCTAACAGGCCAAACGATCAGTGTGATAATCAATACAGCTTGGCACTCACCGTCCACCCGCAAGCGTCCATCAGACTCAATTAGTAAACAGGGTGCTATGGGAAACGGCGCTTGCGTTATCAAGATTTAGCGCTCATCCTCATGGCCAAGCCATTACTTACTATGTACTGACGCAAATTTAGCTTTACCCAGCTGATATACACGTTCCTTAGAATGCCCACGCTTTCCTGTCCACTACTCGGCCTTTGATTTCTTTCGCCTCGCACAACTGTACGCTAAGATGGCCAAACGTGTAGAAGACGCCCCCTCCTGGCAAGTGCGCTTGTACTGAACATGATAGATACCTCATGACGATACAGGAAACACGATGAGAACGTTCCGGAACTTCACGATGAATCGATCGAGGAAGATTCAGATGAGGAAGAATTTGCCCCAGGAGATGATACTGAGTATGAGCCCTCTGAGAATTCCAGGTATTTGTTTTTAACTCTAGTGCCAAGTACGATAGTGACAAATTTCCCAGGTTCAGTTCCAGGGGCCCTCCTGATGCGAGGGCTGTATCTCTCAGTACCGCCCGCAGAATCCAAGAGGACAAGGAACGGGCAAAGAAAAATCAGAGCCAGCCCAATAACCAATCCGTCTCTCAGGGGTACGTGGTCTTTATTACATCAGGGCTGCCATTTGACGAGGTCAAATATTAGGAAAACATCTGTTCCGGCTCGCCAGGTCGATGCCAAACGATACAGCAACAATTAAATGGCGTAGACCATCAGTGACATCTGCAGAGAAGACGCAAAGAGAGACAACCAACCATGATTTTGAAGTTGTATGATGTGATCATGAATCCTAAGAAGTTGTATACTACATAAGCCACGAAATATGGAACAAACGAAATCTTGCTCAGCTTGAGAGTCCAGCGCGTCTAGATTTGAGCCCCCAGTTCAGGGCTACAGGATGGTAGGAGAGCTTCCATCACTACAGTGCCTTAGCTTTCTTTGTTGGAGGAAAATAACTACAGCTGGTATTTGTAACTTGCTAGATCCATGTGATGTCCGGGGGGACCTTGGTCCTTCTTGGAGTGAAATGGCCTGTTGTGCAATCCAGGGCTGATGGATTCAATTCGCGCGCGCCCAAGTATGTATTATATCAATTTATGTGTTCAGTTTACATATAAAGTCAGGTTTATGCTTATCGCAAGGCAGACGAGGATAGATAGGCGAGGATCGCAAAGTATTTGGCCGGTCCGAAACAGATATTCACGCGCCAGCTCGGAGCCTACCCCTTCATGCTGTATTGCGCAGCTCTCCGATCATATCATTCAATATATCGATTAGCGAAGAACCTATAACATGCAGGATCGTTCCTCAGCGCCATCAGAAGTATTCCAGCTGTCACTGGTAATGTCATTTGTCACGATGTAAGATATATGCATGGAGAATGAGCTTTGAAACTTGACAGAAAGACAGCAGACAAACTGAGAGCAATCACTAGTGTCGCCCTGCAGGAACGCACATATTGGCGGGGACGGTCTGGTTAAGATCACTTGGCAGTCACCACAGTATTTCCCATAAATTGGCTAGGGACGCCCTGAAGACGGCATGACAGGCTATATATCTGAGGGTTTTAATGGTATGAGATATTTCACTTACGACAGCGCTCAAATTGGCGGGAGGCAAATTTTTCGTGAATTTGACTTGTGCGTTACATTTGAGTGATATAGATGCTGTATCAGGTACGTACTTGACCCACCACTGATAGATGGTCTCGAATTAGAATGGCGGGGAGTTTGCACAATAAACGTCCTACACCGTAGACCAAAAGTCTAGAATCCATTTCAACACTGGTACAAGCGTCGAAATCGAGAAAAGCCTGTGGTCAGCAAATACTGTAGTAAGCAAGTGCCCATGAGGAGCGATTCGTTCCCGTGCATATAGCCCTTCACAGGCGGGCGAGAGGTAACGCATCGTTGTACATAGTGTACAAAATATCGGGTCCTATGGGGCTGCTGGGGTTGGCCCAGGTACGAACGTCGTGCTGAGGGGCTTGAGATGAATCAGTGACGTGAGTGGAAGATTGTACACGAGACGGAGCATAATGAGTAAGGCAGCGACTATCTTCCAATGCATCATCGAAGGGGCAAAAAAAACATGGGTCACGAGCAGCTGGCGGGATTGACACAGTACGTGTTTAATGACGTGGTGATTGTGGTACAAAGGGTGACACCAGGTTGGACCTGCAACCGTGGAAGGTCACGATCGTTGTGGGGGCCTGCCGGACGGTCACTCATCTACATTTCTCAGAAAACATAGACAGTTGAAAGATATAGATGAGATGTAAGTGCTGGAGGTAGATTGGGATGTGGCCGACGAAAACATGATTGAAGAGTACGGACTTGGGTTGCGGCAGCGGAAGCCGCAAATTACTGGGCGTATCATCATCGCGAGAGCCGAAATCATAGGCTGTACGATGGATATCGCATGTCGTGGTATCCCATCAACTATCTTGTATGTGTCAACGCAGCAGTGCTAGTGTATGCTAGTGAACGACGAACGAACAGTGAAATTGGCTGACTACGCTACTGGCAGGCACGTAAATCGGTAATAGCGATTATATAATGATCAGACCTCAGACATTTGCGTCCAATGAATAACGAAGTGCGCGTGTCAACTGGCAACTACCTTGTCCTGGGATTGTCAGCGAAATAATTGCCCTCCAACGCAGTAGCATAATTCCACTGATCAGGTATCACTCTCTGTAATCTATACTTTTGTACAATAGCTGCAATCTTTGCGTGGTTTACATCGTGTTGTTTCAGTGTTTCAGGGTCCGGAATAGGAGGCAATGTTGCAAACGCAAGCCGAGCGATGCCTACTTGTTCTAGGTACAACTTTTCAGAGAGCCGCGGTGGGTACTTGGGTTCTTGTGCGATTACACGCTCGATACTGCCATGTTCACGGATGAACTTGAGGGCGCGCTGAGGGCCAACGTTCTTAATCCGTTGCGAGAAGTCCGTGCCAAGGAGCAAGAGGAAGTCGATATATGCGGATCTGGAGAGTTGGAGGGCGGTACGAACGTGAGAGCCATAAACGAGGATAAGTGGATCGTTTCTATTGGCGATATTTCGAATGAGGGGAGCCTCGTAGACTAGGACGTCCTAGGTGAAGAATGAGTGAAGGTCCATATATAGGATGCTAAAGAAGATGTACTGTATCTTCGCTTGCAACATAATCGGCTATGCCATGGATGACAAGTGAGGATGCAAGAGCTTCTGCTTCAAATGGTCCCTCTGATTCGATGCACGGCACACCCATGGCCTGCAGTATCTCCTTGCTCTCCTCGTAAGTCTGGGTGGTGGGAGGATTTGATCGGCGGGCGTAGGACTCGGAAAGAACACTACTCTTCTCAGCTAGTGTTGCGAGGACAGTTTCAGGAGCGTCTGCAAGTGTATCCCATACTTGACCCTCCTCTATCGTCATTTGAAGTTGGGACTTGGACATGATGTACTCGGCGCGAGTCTCATCTGGCGACTCTGGAACCTCCACCGTTGAGGGTAGTGAGGTAACCTGTGCGACACAGTCGCGATATTCTTGATATAGGGAGGAGAGCGCAGAAATCACATCCTCTGCTGGAAGTACGGAATCGGCGATAGCAGCGAAAACCACGTCCCGAGAGGTTTGTAAATCAGCTTCTCGAGGTTCGCCTTGCATGATGTTTGGGCCAAAAGGGAGGTCTTGCACTCGAAGGTTGGATATCCCTTCAACAAGGGAAGCACCAAGATCCAACGTCGAATTATCTAGATGATTCAGCCACGACTTGGGATCACTAGGCGGAATGACGGCAACTGATTGACCTGTGCGAGCGAGGAGAATATCTTTCATGTCTTCATCCGACATGTTAGCATAATCATGGATTGCCCAAAGGGTATCTTCCTCCGAATGCGATGATAAAGTATTGCAAATTTGCTCAAGTTCAGAAGAACCAGAAGAGCGAGTATGGGAGCGAGTCGTAGCAGCAGTAACTGAGTTCACATCATTCTGAAGAATATCTGATGGTGACAAAGAAGGCTGGAAGTACGTAGGAGTGGTCCTTGGAGACACTGCTACGCGTTGTAACGCGTCTGTGACACGCCGACGGTCTGGCGGTTCCATTGAACGATACTGCGGTAGTAATCGCATCAATTTCCGAAATCTGCTCAGTCTCTCCACCTCAATGGATGAACGAGCTGCATCTAGTCTCCGTATCTCCCTGCGTCGTTCTACCTAGGAATGATGTCCATCTAAAGTATCACGGGCTATTGTAGCGACTGACCTCTCGAGCTTTGGCAATGCTGCGGCCTCTACCATCAAATACGCAAATTGCATGCACATTGCACTCTTTGAGTTCCGTGATTATACGATGCCACCCGAGGATGTGTCTATGAGGATGAGGCATCGGCGCAAAGTGAAGGCGCTGAGTTATAAGGGTGCCATCACTGATTTGGTAGAAGATGAGTTGGAGGAATTAGTCAGGCAAAGAGCTTACATGACAATGGTCTTACCGCAGAGAGATCTGAGGCGGTCTGGAAGTTTTCTAATAACTTCCGGGCTGACGGAGGTAAAATCAGATGTGAGCATAGAAGGCTGGATCGGAGCTCACCAGGTTTTCTGCAAAAATGGAGTCAGACCCAGAACTCCCATGCGCACTGCAACCTTTGTCGCTCAACGTCGAAAACTGAATATTAGCCGAAGGCAACCTCCTGTGAATATTGGAAACAAGTACTTAAGACCGTAGGATTATCAATTTCCTTTCTTGGCTTTTTATAAACTCCGCCACCGCGATGTCGTGGCTCACAACAGCGCCTTGCAAGTAAGTTGCAAGATCGACGACGACAGCCTTTCTTTGTGAATAACCGGGTTCCTTGACTTACCGATATAATCATCTACAGCCTAGTTATTAGACAGGAAATCGTACTCGGTATTGACGCGACTGAAAGGAGTTCACGCTCAAGATGTCGGTGATGCTCACAAAGTTCGAGTCCAAGAGCAATCGCGTTAAAGGTATGTTCGTTTCCCAGCTTGTCACGAGTTCATGACGCAGCTGCGTGTCACAGGGCTTGCTTTTCACCCGACTCAACCACTGCTTGCTGCCGCACTTCACAATGGAAGTGTTCAGCTCTGGAATTACCGAATGGGCGTATTAGTGGATCGATTCGAAGAACACGAAGGTAAAGCTCATTCAAATTGCAATGACTGCAATATCTTTCTCATTTAATTGACTGTTAGGACCTGTACGAGGTGTCGCAATTCATCCGAGTCGAGCACTACTGGTTACCGGAGGTGATGACTACAAGATCAAAGTATGGGGTGAGTGCAGTTTCTATTTCCTAAACATCACACTCATGAGCATGGTAAGACCTGAAACCTCAGAGCAGAAGGTGTTTATTTACTCTTCACGGTCACCTCGACTATGTCCGAACTGTTCAGTTCCACCACGAAATGCCATGGATCGTAAGTCATATTTTACTTTCCATGGGATACTTTGCTGAAAGTTGTCTGAATATGCAGTTGTCGGCATCCGACGATCAGACTATTCGGATATGGAATAGCACCTCGCGGCATTGTGTTGCAATTTTGACAGGGCACTCTCATTATGTCATGTCCGCACAATTCCACCCAAAAGACGATCTCATCGTCTCAACGTCGATGGACCAAACCGTACGAGTTTGGGACATCTCCGGCCTGCGCAAGAACACGCCAAACAACGGCCCTAACAACTTTGAGACGTTCGACACGTTCTCTACGGTCAAATACGTGCTAGAAGGTCACGATCGTGGTGTAAACTGGGCTTCATTCCATCCTACGCTACCGTTGATCGTGTCTGCAGCTGATGATCGAACGATCAAGATTTGGCGAATGAGCGAGACTCGGGCATGGGAGGTTGACTCATGCAGAGGTCACTTCAACAGCGTGTCAAGTGCGATATTCCACCCTAAGCACGAGTTAATCGTGTCTTGCGCAGAGGACAAAACTGTCCGAGTTTGGGATCTGGCCAAGCGGACGGCAATCCAGACATTCAGGCGGGAGAACGACAGGTTCTGGATATTGGCTGCACACCCAAACCTCAACTTGTTTGCAGCAGGACATGACGGAGGTCTAATTGTGTTCAAGCTTGAGCGCGAACGACCCGCCTTTACCGTGCACGGCGATATGCTTTACTACGTCCGTGACAAGTATGTACGCACTTACGACTTCAACTCCGGTTCCGACATCGGCATGCTGAGCGTAAGGAAGTTCGGAAGCCCGTATGTTCCTCCACGTACCGTGAGCTACAACCCTGCCGAACGTGCTGTCGTGGTCACCATCTCCTCGGATAACGGGTTATTTGAGCTCTCTTCATTACCGACGCAGTCCAATGGCGAGGTTAAAGACTCAGTCTGCAGATGGAAAGCGCGGCTCGGCTCACAGCGCGATCTTTGTTGCAAGAAATCGGTTTACAGTACTCAACAAAACTTCCCAGGTAGTCACTCTAATCTTGCAGTTGAGAATATTACTCTAACGATCTTTGCAGCTTATTGAAGTTCGCGACTTGTCAAATTCAGTCGTGAAAACCATCAAACCCCCGGTCCAGACTAATGAAATTTTCTACGGTGGTACAGCTTGCCTAATTCTCAGTTCAATAACAACTGTTGTGCTGTATGATATCCAGCAGCAGAAAACGATCGCAGAATTGAACAGCCCACCTGTTAAATATGTCGTTTGGAACGCAGATGGGTCACTGGTCGCGCTGATGAGCAAACACAGTGAGTCCATCCTACGCAGTTCTTCAGACTGAGTTCAAAGTCATGAATAGCAATTACTATCGCCAACAAAAATTTCTCGCAAAACAGCCTTATCCATGAGACGATACGGATCAAGTCCGGGGCTTGGGATGACACAGGCGTTTTTATCTATTCCACGCTCAATCATATCAAGTACTGCTTGCCTCAAGGGTACTGAGCTTCCTTCCGCTAGCTTACATACAGCTGATCTATTCGCCTTTTCAGCGACCATGGCGTTATCTGCACACTCGATAATCCCGTCTACCTTACCCGTGTCAAGGGTAAAACCGCGCATTGCCTGGACCGATCTGCACGCCCACGCACTATCACGTTTGACCCGACTGAGTACCGCTTCAAACTCGCGCTCCTGCGCAATAACTACGACGAGATGCTCCATATCATCCGTACGTCGACGCTGCTTGGGCAGAGCATCATTGCCTATCTTCAGCAAAAGGGCTTCCCGGAGGTTTGTTTTCTAATGCAGGTCCTTGAAGTATGGAGAGTTCATACAATGTATAGATTGCACTTCACTTTGTGCAAGATAAGAACACCAGATTTGACCTTGCAATCGAGTGTGGAAACTTGGACGTTGCACTCGAGACTGCAAGAGCGATCGACCGACCTGAGTGCTGGGAGCGTCTAGCACAACAGGCCCTGAAGCAGGGCAACCATAAGGTTCGCTTCTTTCCTTGCGTGTTATTCAACGCTAAACTCATTGCATCTCAGATCGTTGAAAAAGCCTACCAGCAAACTAAGAACTTCGACCGTCTGTCGTTTTTGTATCTCGCCACAGGCAGTACAGAAAAGCTTTCCAAAATGCAGAAAATCGCAGACGCACGAGGCGACCCCATGTCACGCTTCCACAATGCGCTTTATGCGGGCGATGTTCTTGGACGTATTACTGTGTTGCGGGACGTTGGGCTTCGTAAGTACACTCCCTTAGTCCGGTTTCAAGATTTTACACTTCGTCCCAGACCCCCTGGCATATCTTACAGCAAAGACGAATGGTTTGGAAGAAGAAGCAGCTGAAATCCTTGAGGTGGCTGGTCTTACCGAGGCTGACGTGGACGACATCCCTGTATTTGGAAAGTGTACCCTCCAAACTCCGTCTGTTGTCACTCCTACATCCAACCTTAATTGGCCATCTATTTCCATGGGAGAATCCTTCTTTGACCGTGCGCTTGCCAACGGCCATCTTGACGGGGATAGTGATATACCGCACATCAATGGCAATGGCTTAGACTCAGGTGCAGGCGCCTCTACTGCTCTGGATGACTGGGCGAAGGATGAGGAACCAGATGTAGAGGAAGATGGATGGGAGCTTGACGCAGAAGCGGAAGATGATGAAGAAAAAGATGTAGATGAAGAATTTGAGGATGCCATCGAAGAGGAGGACCTTGGCGCCGGCGCTGCACCTGGTGTGAGCGAGAACGAGCTTTGGGTTCGGAACTCACCCTTCGCAGCTGAACATGTTGCAGCTGGATCATTCGACACAGCCATGCAGGTGAGCTACATGTTACTTCCCAGTTTCGAATAGACATTCAATTGTTCTATGACTAGCTTCTCAACCGGCAGCTGGGCGTTGTGAACTTTGAGCTCTTGAAGCCATTGTTCTTGTCTATCTACCGTTCCTCACACGTATACGTGTCCCCGATTGCTTCGTTGCCGCCGTTGCAATTGCACATTCGGAGGAACCCTGAGGAGACCTCACCTGGACGGGTGCTGCCTGTTACTGCTCGTACACTTTCTTCGATCCGCACAGAACTGTCGGAGGGATATCGCTTTGTTTCCGGAAACAAATTGTCAGAGGCTCAGGCAACGTTCCGGTCGGTGTTGCTAGCATTGCTGCTTATAGTTGTCTCATCAGATAATGAGGCCAAAGAAGTAAGTGTTATCAGTCCACTGGATATGAACACTAAGTGATTATACTACCAGTGGCGAGACACTGTGACGACTGCCCGAGAGTATCTCATCGGCGTCTCCATTGAGCTTGAGCGGCGACGTATCGCACAGGACGAACCTGACAATGTTCGCCGGAGCCTTGAACTCGCCGCATATTTCACGCACTGTCAGTTACAGTCACAGCACATGCAGATTGCACTACGGAGTGCTATTGGTGTGTTCGCTAAAGCTAACAACCATGCAACCGCTGCCAAACTGGCACGTCGCCTTCTTGACCTTAATCCCGATCCCAAAATCGTTGCACAGGTATGTTCCAATTCTTTCAGCTTGTTCGTTGCCTTTCGCTAACTCGTATGTAAAGGCTCGTCAGCGCATCGCAGCAGGGGACCGCAATCCCCGGAACACAGTCGAGGTCTCATACGATGAATTCACAGAGTTTGAAATCTGCGCAGCTACATACACCCCCATCTACAAAGGCTCGCCATCTGTGCGCTGCCCATATACCGATGCGGCGTTCCTGCCTGAGTTCAAAGGCAAGTTGGACCCGTTGATAGAGCTAACTGAGATTGGGGCAAGTGCGAGTGGGCTGCCTGCACCACGGTAGAATTTTGCTAGATGTGGATGGACAATACTGTCGATTAGGAATAATCGAATATTTGCATACTTTTTTGTTCTGATAATTGTTCCAACATAACAGCTAGAATGCTGGGGTGCCATAAATGCACACCAGCACGGATTTACGCATGATCCTTCCAAATTAAAGTATCATCTAGCGCTATTTGGTTGATAGGTAGGTAAATGCGAGAATTAACAAGAACCCGTGCACGTGGGCCTTCTGTTCTCAGAGCCAAAAGTCAGTTATATATGCATTGTGATATCAATTGGAACGTGGACAAGATCTTGATCACTTAGGATAATTAAGGCGTCCCAGCTGTACTGACTCGCATTGACAATGATGATAGGACCTTCTTCTGCCGCCTTCTGCAGGTCGGAGAACAGGGGGGGGTAGGATAAACGGAGAAACGGCAGGAAGTATGCGGATGCGTGAAACTATGTCATCCCATTGCATGGTCAGTTAGCTGATGCAAGAAGACTGGTCTGATCAAACGCACCAAGGCTGCGATCTTACAAGCCAGAAAAATTCATCAAGTGTTGTGCGGAAGCGTACCAACTGGGTCCAGAATACTGCACGGCCTTGCTCCACCAGTTCCAATGTAGGAAAGATGGCTAGAGGTTTCATCAGGGTCAGATCAAACGCCCCGCTGCGTGAGGCGAGGTTGTTGGGAGATAACGATCGGAGATAATGACCGGGGGAAATAAGTAGCCTGATGGAACTCGATGCACTCGGCGTAAAGAAGGTCAGACAGGATGCCCCGTTGGATTAATCTGTCTGCAAGGCTGATGACGAGAATGATCGGGGGGACGAAGCATTGCGCACAAAAGGAGTTAGTATAAACTTCGCTTATAAGAACAATGTGCCACATCAACTCTGTTGTCCCGAGCATCATATACACCCCTGGATTGTGTCGGTGGAGACTGAACTATAACAATTGTAACTTGCCGCCCTGTGTTATTAGCCATTGTGACGGTATTTGATACGCCACTCCGGAGCTTCCACTGCAAAGGTTTTCACTTGCCAGGAATGCTCAGGAATGCTTGTCGATCGACGCACTAGACGATTTATTTTTCTGTTGATTTCTCGGTTGTAGCTATGACCCTCGCGGGGCATATCTCTGTCCAGTTGGCAAGGCTGAATGTTCGTACAGGCACTTTTCTAGAATCAGACAGCCAAGTTATAAGAAATCCTTGTCAACGTACTTACATATAACACCTGTATACTAGAGGCAAACGAGCTGCAGCGTCGTCGGGTGCCTGTCATATGACGTCATGGCCTAGAGTCTCCAGAAACTTTCGCGGAGGAGCGTAATTTCGGTGACTGCAAATCATCACGTGATGGTAGAATGGGATTCTATCACAGGTTGACCAAAACACTCAGTCACAAGCGGCGGTCGATTGGGAGCCATTCCTGGCTCAGTCCATCAGCTATTACTGTGATAGAATCATGATCGCTTCCTCACGAAATGGCAGGATCATACTAATTCAAATCGGGGGTCATCTTATCGTTGACTGGACCAGGCAACAGTCTACTACCGTGACGGTGGCCACTGGCAAGACAGTGCAGTGTCTGAACCTTCTCTTAGTGAAGACGATGATCTAGCTTCCTCTTCGGACGCGAAGAATTCATCACGTTGCGCTAATGTTTATTCAGACAAAGTTTTCAACGGATATATATCATATATAAAGGTATAGCGTTATGTCCCTTTCATACATTCCCCTTCGTAAAAATGACCGTTCAAATACTTGTAAGTGGTTGATCTTGATTGTTTTGCCACGACAAGCTAAAATACAGGCTAGCCGACTTCGACTGAAATACTTGTTGTCGGCGGCGGACCCGCTGGAAGTTATACTGCTGCTGCTTTAGCTCGAGAAGGTTTTGATGTCACTCTTCTCGAAGCTGCGAACTTCCCTCGGTCAGCACTTCTGATATATGACATCCGCATACACAGTTACCGATGCACGATTGTGCTAGATATCATATTGGCGAGAGCTTGCTCCCATCGGTCCGCCCATTCTTGGCATTCGTCGATGCAGAAGAATCTATCATGAACCACGGGTTCACAATTAAGGTGCGGATGGTCTTCAATGCACAAAAGTACAGTACATTTTATGGTCTCTTTTTTATAGCCTGGTGCTGCTGTCAAGTTGAACCAGTACAAGCGAGAAGGATGTGAGTCTCAGTCGCCTTGTTCGCCGTCGTACTAACATTAGTTCTTCGTTCCAGATACAGATTTCATTGCGCTGGACCCAAACAATGGGTCTTGGAATGTGGTCCGTGATATATCGGAGATATTCTTCCTGTCTAACCGTTTTGCAGATTCGATCAGAATTTGACTATCTGTTATTTCGTCATGCTTCGAAGTGTGGTGCAAACGTGTTCGACAACACAAGAGTCTCCGAGATTCAGTTTGAGGGAGAAAAACCTGTTTCAGCTGACTGGAGGAATGCGAGCACCGGGATACAGGGCCGAATCTTTTTCAACTATTTAGTCGATGCGTCAGGAAGGAGCGGGATCATGTCCACAAAGTATCTCAAGAACAGACGCTATAATAAGGCCCTCAACAACGTCGCATGCTGGGGATACTGGGATGGAACCGAGTCTTACATGCCGGGTACCACTCGCCAGAATGCTATCTGGGTCGAAGCACTTGAAGGTATGAAATTTACTCGAAGTAGTCATGCTGAGCTGAATGCGCGCAGACGAGTCTGGATGGGCTTGGTTTATACCTCTTCATGATGGGTCTACATCTGTGGGAATCGTGATGGACCAAGAGACCAGTAACCGTAAGAAGAAGGCTTCTCGTGAGGCCTCAGGAACATCAGGCTCGAATCTTCAGGCTCATTATAAGAAAGAATTACTCAAAGCTCCTGGAGTACTCAGATTGATTGGAAATGGCACTCTTCGAAACGACGGCACACCGGAAGCTGTTAAATCTGCGAGCGACTTTAGTTACTCAGCTCCCTCTTACGCCGGGAATCATTTCCGCCTGGCGGGAGATTCTGGAGGTATTTTTCCTAATGTTTTGCAGTACTCGCAATTGACGACCATCAAGCGTTCATCGACCCGTTCTTCTCCTCTGGTGTGCATCTGGCCTTCACGGGAGGACTTTCGGCTGCCATCACGATAGCTGCGTCCATTCGAGGATTCTGCAGCGAACAGGATGCCCAACGTTGGCACACCTCAAAGATTGCCACCTCTTATACGAGGCATGTGAATCCGGTCGTGCGGGCGATAGCAACTGACGCGACGGATGTTGTAGGTTTCTTCTTGTGGTCCTTGGGACCTACAAACAAATCCGCAATCAGTCTATGCCAGTGATGAGCGATGTGGACGAGGACAATTTCGACAGAGCCTTTGATCTCATCAGGCCGGGTAAGAATCGATGTTTCCTCTTGTCGCTGCAAATTCTGAGACTCGTGTTTAGTGATACAAGGAACAGCTGATGTTGGCAAGGCTTTAACAGAAGACGAACTCCAGGTATGTGTGTTGTCCGATCATCCTCCATAAATTTTCAATGCAATTGACAGAAAACTATGAATTTCTGTCGTCATCTATTTGCGCCCACCGATCCCGAGATGCATTCTGCAGTCAAAGCTAGGCAAGGATTTCTCGTCTGTTCAACTGGGTCATATGATACTAAGGTCAATAGATTGGATCCTGCTCTAACATCCCCAGATGGACCGGTAATGACAGAATGCGAAGTGGATTTATTGCTCGGAGATGCTGATGAGGAAGCCAAGGTTGTTTTGAAGGAGATCAACGCGCGAAAGCCCATCCATACGATGTATAACCCCACGGAGAACTTCGGTGTGGAGGAACACTTTGGTTTCAAAGCTATCTTGGAGCGAGGGAGATTGGGCTTGGTGACTGCGTAGCTTGGATGTCACTAATAATACAGAGTTACTATGTTAGATGCTTCATGAGTCGGTTATTCATCGTGGATTTTGCAGAGCTTAACTTATTTTTCCACTCACCGTCGCAATCTAGATTGAAACTCGTGGTGTCGTCGTCATATTATTCGCTTTGCTGCCACCCCAGGTCTGATTTGCACCGAAGTTTGAACTCGGTGATCATATTCAGCCTGCGATCATAATAACCTATATGGTAATCTAAACTTTCCCGCGCCACGGGCAAATACAATTGGTCGACCCGCTTTCTAGACCTTCTACCATGGATGTCTCGTACAGTTCGTCTCCAGTCCAAGTCATTGAGATCATGTCGGCCGATACTGAAGACACATCTATCGAGTGTCCTCGAACACCTGAACCAGTCCAGCGTCCACCACCAGAGTCGAGCAATGGCCAGAACCAGCAACCTTCGCTACAAGAAATCCTTCAAATGACATCTACCACAGTCAACTTCATATCAGCGATCACAACACTCTTCCACGAGAGAGGGGAGCAGAATTCTAGCTTCCGAGAAGGTAAAACTCGATGTTCAGAGCGCATATATTCAAGTAGACGCGATCTCCTCATAAACACAGAGCACAGAAGAAAAGTCCTCTTCACCGCGATGAATGCATACGCCTGGGCGAGCGCGAGGATTGCGCACGAACACACAATCGCACGAGACACGCTACAAGCCGAGATTCAGAAACTTTTAGAAGACGAAAAGAATCAAGGCAGGTCATCTCATCCCGTTTTCAAGTCGACATTTGGTATGCACGCCATTTGTATCACCCACTCTAGGCTGTGTCGTTTGCTAGTTACGATTACTAATTATTGTTATTTTTCCCTCAAGATCGTATACGCGCGCGTTTGTCGGAGATGTTTGAGGCCATCAACAACACTGTCGCCAGCTTGACGGGCCTCGGTTGAGACGGGACCTCGTCGTCTGATATGGTGCGCTTCCTGTGTCCATCACGTTAAGTACCTTGTCAACGGCTCTGCTCAATTCGAACTTGTTTTGTTGTATTGTTTTTGAAGGGTTCCACTTGATGGACTAATATATTAATCTGATGATATCCATGCAGCCCTGCAGTGCTGCTAATGGCTCAGCTGATCAAAACCGCTCTATTTGATATCTCGCAGCGGCAATGTTCTGGTAGCACTACTACCCCCGCTGTGAAGTCTGTTTGGATCCATAATCAAGCCGCTCTTGCCGCTTCAGCTTGATCAATGATTGAAAACTTCTACTGCCATCGCATCGCGCAAAGCACATATTATTGTGAATGACTATGCTCAGAGGAGAAATAGCACGATGTCCACTATACTGGGTCATGATTACATAATATCCTGTTACCGAATAATTCTTCTCAACATTGCCACATCATCATGTACATATCAACGTTCCAAAAAAGGCAAATTTTAAGCAATTATTCGAACTTCTTCGCCCAACCCTCCCGACAGCAAGAATACCCACTCAGCCAATAACCAGCCGCAAATCAGCTTTGCCGGCGATAATAATCAGACATGGCCGGCAAAGGCCCACATTGCTCATTCGTCCTTCTCGCCGAGTTTGACATTGATAGTGGTGCCCAGCTCACATACCAGTTTCCTCAGCCGCTAGGAACAGACGAGGGGTAAATTTCCACTTGACTTGACCCGAAAGACGTATTGGTTAACTATTTTATATCAGTTTGCTTGCAAATCTTATGCTTCCAGATGGAGCAGAAAGGCACCTCGAAGATTGGACCATCTTCTTCCTCAACCAGACGCCGTTCAATACCATTGCACCAGTTCTTGCTTTGGAGACGGAATCAAGTGACAACCAGTCAAACGGAGAGGACGACCACCCGGAACTGCTATATGTCCTCAACCTGGTGCGGACGAAGCATGACAAGTCGGTTCGGAGGTGCGTAGGTAGTTTTTGACTCTCTGCACTCCATCCACATGCGTCGCATCGCAGAGGTGCCGTAGTGAAAGCGATGGCTATTTGCACACGACATCCATTTATCCAAATATTTAAGGTATATCTATCCTCGTGTCGCTTGACCGATTACTCACCACGTGCCAGCCTGTTCTCCTCCTCGCACTTGACGACTATTTTGCAAACCCATCCCAAGAATGTCTTACGCGTCTATTTGATGCGATCAACTCGATGAACATCAGTGCTGCGCCTGCACTTACACGATGTGAAAAGCTGATCATGCGCGCCTCAGAGCGCAAAGACATATTTGCGGAGAAGTTCACTCACATACCCCCGTTTCCTCTTAAAGCTGCACACAAGACGACAGGCTCGAATGGCTCACATTCATCTGAAGATGGGGTTCTCATCAATGCTCGCGCACGCTCTACAACAGCTGCCTCTGATCATAATCCTACCCACCAGTCCTCTCCGTCGGACAGTTCGTTCAGCCTTGGTGGGAGTGCAGTATGGGTGAATGATGACAGCGTCATAATTGATAGTCAAGTGGGTGTTGCAATAGGTGCAGGCCCAGGAAGCGTCGGTGGCGCTTCAGCGAGCAGTAACAGTGTTCTCACTAGCCGCGGGCGGCGTAGCACTGATACAAGCTCGAACTCGAGTCACGCTTATAGCGGTGGCGCAATACCTACATCATCCGACACACATTTGCGGCTCGGGGATATCCAAAGATACCCATTTCTTTCAAACAAGCATTGCATACAAAGGACATACTTTGCCAATCAAACTGCCTCTGGCCACCTTTCCTGAGGAAGTCGGAGAGGTGCGTCTCTTGATGACAATGCAATTGATATATAGTTCTGAATACGTGGTTTTTCAAGTATTCCCTAATTCAACTAATACAAACGTTTTCTTCGCCTCTAATCACAATCTCGGGACCACTACACCCACATCTACACACGAATGGAATTCTCACGCACCCAATCACGATTCTCTTTAACGCACTTGTTACTGGCAAACGCATCCTCTTCCTTGGACATAATATTCCTGCCGGACAAGTCGCCAATTACGTCTTATCTGCTTGTGCCCTGGGCTCTGGATGTGGTGCGATACTACGAGGATTCATTGAGCGGTCATTTCCTTACGCAGGACTTGCGGGAGGCGAGGACTGGGTTTCAACGTATGCATCTCCCCACTCTTTCTCGAGGAAAACGTTCAATGATATCTATTTCACAGGCCGGCATACATAGCAGGCGTAACTAATCCTATCTTCGAAACCAGTGCATCCTGGGATCTCTTGATGGATATCGGCACATATCGTGTTGTCGTGCACAAGGACATACATACATCTTTCCCAACAACGATGACACCGCCTGCGCTTGTCAACCCAACGATGCCACGTCCAATAAAGGCGGAAAACTCGACTGGGAGCGAGGACGACATCCAGCGTATCGCGACTCGAGACGGGAAGGATGGGAACCAAAAGAGCGAGTTTGCAGCGAGGCAAGACAACTTGGACAACATGTTCATTGAGGATGTAGGTCTTAGTGCCGTTGTCGCATTGCCTCGATCACGTCGGCAACTAATATTGCTCGGTGTTTAGCTGATTTCGGCAATCACATCGCACTTCGGGGAGACGCTGGTGCGGATGCGATTTACGGAGTACGTCGTGCGCTTTGTTCGGCTAGCGTCGCGGTACGAGGAGCTCGTCATGGGGTCGACGAAGCTTGGATATGGTAGCACACCGTTTACAGACGGGTCCCTAGGCAGCGGTATCGTATTTCCCGACGAGGCAGCTGCATTTAAGGAGCTTACTGCGAACGCAAGTCGGATCGAGGGTTGGCGGAGGAGCAAGTCCTATCAATACTGCGTCCAGGTGTGTAGTTCCTCCCCTAAAGGGTATGAGCCTCAGGAGGTTTTGATCTATTTTCCGTACTGTGCAGGATTTCAAAAAATATCAGGCAACCGCTGCTATCCAGGGATTCGACCTATCTCATCAACTTTTAAGATTGCGGCTGGTGAAGAACTTACCAGACGCGGAAGTCGAGCTCATCGTGCGCTCAATAGCAGACAACTTGCGGACATACGAACAAATGGTTGAAGTGAGCATTCTCACATTCTGGACTGGGGTGATCTATAATTTCTGGTGCAGCTGCTCGCTCACATGCCACCACATGCCGGAGGATTACAACCTCTGAGTTTTTGCCTATTCCACCATCAAGAATCTATTCGGGAAGCCACCGTTGACATTTTCAACGAGCTGCGTCAGAATCCCGTGCGTGGTTTGCTCATCTTTTCATGCCCGTGTAAAATCACTCACTTTTTTGTTCCATAGGTTGGGGTGATTTTTCTGCAAGCTCTAAATCACTTCCAGAGGTATGCCTATGTTCGGCAGGCGCATGCTCGTGAATCACGCAGAAAGGATTCGAGCCATGGTCTGGCCCCGCCACCTCACTTGGTATCACGGACGCCGTCTAACCGTAGTGAAGTCAGCCTAGGGGGGATGTGAGCGCGAAGGAATGTCACCGGTTGCAAGTTCTCGTCTATGCGGACTTACAAAAATAGTTCTTATATTGGCCTGCGTTACATGTACATAATATAATATACAAGTACCTGTGTTGGTCCGAGTGCTGCACCTCTCGAGACCCACCTTCCTGGCATAACCAGTAGGGAAGGGGCGGGACAGGTGCCATCGTCATACGGATGAACCTGCCCCGTGAGTATCTCCTTGAATAGAATGCCAGCGACAGAGAATTTTACTAAGTATAGAACTCTGGTCGTACTCATCTGGAGATGTAGCGTACAGCGCAGCCCAAACAAGCAGTATCAAAAAACATGCGCCTCCAAACATGGCGAGTCCGCCGACTACGTGAGACGCCAGTAAGAGAAAGTGAGCCACCATGAGGACGATGCTCCATAGATAGAGGGCTTTTGGCAGACTAAATACAATGGCGGATGGAAGCATCCCAATGGAGCGTGACTTTGCGGCCCTCAGGTAGCGTGCCTAAAATGGACATGGTCAGCTGAGTTGTTGGGCGTAAGACAAAAGACGGTGCGAACGGCGAATGATGCAGTAGCGTCTTCTAGGCCGTGGTGCTTAAGGAGGAGGATCGACCCTGTGGCGAGGCTCCCAGACGCTGAGAGAATCGCTGGCAAGGCAGATGACAAAGAAGCACGAGATAGGAGGCAAGATAGGATGGTAGCACTATAAAAAGAATGGTCATGATGCGTTCTTAATGTCCGACAATCCAGGCTTCTCACATCGTTATCGGAAATGTCTGTCAGAACTATGAGTTAAAATTTTCCAAAATTATCTGAAATGAGCGCACCCAAACAACTGCCGTGTGCCACTCTGAAATGCATGCGGTCATGAAAATTTGCCACTGGTCGACGAACACCTGTTCGTTTGCAAATAGATCATGGAGTCCAGAAAAGAATCTGTCCGGGATTCCCCATAATGCTAAGTTTGCGATGGTTTTCACCCATTGGTGATCCATATCTTCCTCGGGCGTCATGATTTGTAGCCTATCCAACTGGGCGTATTCTTGCCCATAGTAAGTCAAAAACCGCTGGTTGTCTGCCATGCACCTCAGTATATTTGACAAAGACGATTTGAGCATGTAACAAACCTATTGCGCCCCATAGACGAGCTAGAGTATTCGTGAGCTCGATTCAGGAGAGAATATTGGGATTCCCACCCACCAACAAAACATAATGTGTGCCCATCAAGGGCCCGACCTTGAGGAAAGCGTCAGTGAAGAATATTCAAACCTCTCGACATGTTTCGGACGTACCTCGTTGCAGAGACAGTAGCTGCAACAGTTGGTTACATCTTTCCGCAGTGTATGGAAATGTGGATGATCGTGAGGTCAGCCGGTCTTTACTTCAGAGTTCAGAATACGAGAATCTGTGAATAGTAGAGTAAATACCTGCTACGCCATGAGACATTACGCCGATCAGATCGTCTATCACCTGAGGCGGTATGTGTGCGCATATGTGCATTGGGAAGAATTCGACATGCACCCAGTACAGCCTTTCTAATGCGATATCTGCTGACATGTGAGGATGTATGATGGATTATAATTAGGATACACACCAAGATGGGAGTCAGAGACAATGGTTCCCATGTCAAGGAGTTCTGTGGAAGTTTGTTCAATCCAGAAGATACGCCGGGTATGATGATCTACGAAGTAGTATGCACAGGAGAATGGTGATTCATCAAGCTCTATGAATAGCTCCGACGAGGGCGGTACTATAATTTGCTGCTGGGAGATTGTGTCATCGATGAATTTGAGGCAACCAATGACCTGGTTCTCTGTCTCTTTGGTATGAACATTGGCTTCTGTCACGACGACGTAGTTTGGAAGGCTCGTTTTGAAGTACAACTGGCCCTCCGGATGAGCATATGAGTTCCATTTCAGTTGGATGTTGAGAGAACTTGATGAGGTATTCATTATTGCGCAGATGGACGAACAAATAACGACTAACCTGGGAGCGCTAAGGTATGCTGGGGGTAGGACGGTGTGATAAGAATAGATGCTAAAAAATCAAAGTCAGTGCCATGTATGGGCTTTGATGGGCAAACTTACCTGGGCGACTTGCCATACCGTGCAGTAGCCACTGATGTTGTGGGTCTCAACATCCCCGTCGGAGACTCGGAATGCATAGGAGCTGTTTGGATAGATTCTGAACCGCATCTTGTTTGAGTGTATTGGTTCATCCTGGATATCCTAAAGCACGGAGAATTGTGGTATTCGTTTTATAAACTGAATAGTTGGCTATGCAGTGACAGCAACGTGCGGCCTTCGTTTTAGAATAGTCAGTTGGCTGTACGGTAGAGATCTGGGATCTCAATTGCCGAGGGGTCAACATTAACCAGAAACCAGTGTAGTACTATTACGTGGTGGCCCCCGGAAGCGACCGGTCATTGGCGTCGTGATTTCTCACGGCCTATTTTAGCTAGGTGTATCGTGTACCTTGGCAGACTCGCACTGGCGTCTATGATCTACTAGTGGCGTTTGTTGGACGTAGCTGGCCCTTGATGGGCTTATGCTTCTGATCGCATATGGTCCACTTGGCCAGCAAAGGCTGCTAAAGAACTTACCGTTATCTGCCGCCCTACCCTCATAAAAGCTGTATTTTGTTCCACCGTGCTTTCTCATTCTGCTGCTATGTCGTATCCCGACCCAGAAGATCGCAAGCATGTTAACCCACAACGGTATCTAGTTTTCTACCATATATAATTAATATATCATCTAAATCATCTCAGAAAATCCGACGAAAAACCTATTCGAAAAGTTCACAGATCCAAGGATGTAAAGGATTCTGAGGAGGAATTCGAACTACCTAGGGAATTTGTAGGCAGTTCCTCGAACCACGACAGGTACAATTTTACCCCTGACTTGTAATGCAGAGACTGATTGCAGATCAGGTTCGCAAGTCGTGGAAAGCAGGATGAGCATCTAAGACGAATGCCACAGGCACAAATGCAATCGAGCATCTGGCCAAATCCTCCTACTCAACATTCCAGGTACGTTTGCTTCAGACCAATATACCATACTGCACACTGACAGGGTGTGCAGTATACAGCCACCTCGTCAGGCTGGCAATCATTCACACCATTCACCTGTACAACATGCTCCCGTGCAACATTTCTCTGCACACCACGCTCCTGCACAACATGCTTCCGATCCGTACGCTCTTGCACAACTTGCTCCCGCGCAACACACTTCTGCGCATCATGCTTCTGCTCAACGTCATTCTGCTCATCCTGCTCCCACGCAACACTCCTCCGTACACCACGCTCCTGGCCAACATGCTCCCGCGCAACACTCCTCCGCACACCACGCTCCTGCGCAACATTCCTCCGCACACCACGCCCCTGTCCAACATGCTCCCGCGCAACATTTCTCTGCACACCACGCTCCTGCCCAACATTTCTCCACACACCACGGACCTGCCCAGCATGCTCCCGCGCAACATTTCTCTGCACACCACGCTCCTGCACAACATGCTCCCGCGCAACATTTCTCTGCACACCACGCCCCTGCCCAACATGCTCCCGCGCAACATTTCTCTGCACACCAAGCCCCTGTCCAACATGCTCCCGCGCAACATTTCTCTGCACACCAAGCCCCTGCCCAACATTTCTCCGCACACCACGCTCCTGCTCAATATTATCCCGCGCAACGTCCCCCTGCACAACATGCTCCCGCACAGTACCCACCTGCACAGTACCCCTCAGCTCAGTTTCCTCCCGCACATTACCCACCAGCTCCACCAGGCCGAAGGTGAGCAATGGTTCAGGCTCTAGGTATTCATCATTTGCTGTGTGACTGCTACGAATCCTGTACTACGTCAGATGTAACATTAACGCATTTCCGGTTATTCCAAATATGTACAACAAAGAAAAGTGATGGAACGTTGATTATGATTTGACAAAACTTCACATGTTCCTCAAAGAAATTCATCTCATGTCTACTTAGCGCAATGCAGTGTTTGTCTTCCGAAACTCATAGCCAGTACGTGTTGAGGAATTCTCAAACATTCGCTCGCACAGTATCGAGATCACTACTAAGAACACCCTAGGGCTAGAAGTTAATAGTACTTGCTCGAGCCGACGGTACACCGGATTAATATATATAGTTTCACAGCCTTGAGCCCTGCAGTGGCACTTATTTGGTCACATAGGATGTTCGCTTCAGAATCGTTGCCAATTTCAAGGGCAGTGCTCTAAGCGCTTCAGCCTCCACAGCATCGCTTTGCACACCGTACGTGTGCTCGCGGGTATTTAATTCACCCTTGAGAAACATCAACACACACTGCACAATCCGTGAGATCATCCCCAGACTCTGGCGGCCCTTTGCGATAATTTTGTCTAATCAATCAAACAACAAGGCACGTAGTAATCGAACTTTTGGGCCATATCAAACTACCCCAGACTGTTCCACAGGACCACAGCAAGTAGTACAGCAGTGAGTTGATTGATGCCCAGGACTTTATGCGGACTAATGAACGCTTCGCGCGCTATACCAGTAGTAGACAAAGAGCACTTTCTGCTACGCCATAGTACAAATACCAGTGCTATCCCCCCGTGTCGTCCTTCCTGTATCAAATCTGTTTAAATAACAAGCTCATTTCCAACTGCTCTAACAATGACTTCGATGTCTTACCACGTCACAGAAGCTCTTCTCACTCAGAAGGAGGAGTAAGATGATCCATCCACCTCTGGTATATATTAATCACATCATTTGTTGCTTCCAGGTTTCCAACCGACGTCGACGCAAATGACTCCGACTCGGATCTCTCAGAAGAAGAAGAATATAGTCCAAAGGAGTTAATCCAGGGTCCTTCAAGTTCGACTGATCGGTTCGTTCACTTTATATACGTTTTCGCAAGCGGCGCCCAGGATCTTACACCCGACCGCAGTTTTTCTAAACGCGGACTGCAGAAACCAGATTGTTCTGGACCAAAGAGGGATCCAAAGAAAGACCAGAACAATCCTCCACAGATCTCCCAGTACGTCCGAATATTCTAAGCAATCTAGTCCCATGATAACAAATCGTTACTAAAGGTTCAAGACCAATATACCGCCTCCGCCAAACAAGCCTAACGCAGCTAATTATCCAGCCAGTAACTCAGCTCGCAAGTGACGCATCGTCGAATTGTCTCCTACAGTACTAGTCATATACCATTTTTAATTTTGTTGCATTTTTCCTTCCTGGTTTTATCATCGACGTAGACATCCAATGTTCCATGCCCTATGTTAACCCTATGTTTTCGTAAAGACAATAGTTTCTCTCAAAGCTATGAGACATGTCAGTTAGTGTCAATACAGTATGCAGTGCCAACACTTATTGCCTCTCAACGAGAGCTTGAAGTCTGAGGACTTGAGGGCGGGTGTGCCACTGTGGCGTTCTACTAGTGTACCCATCGCTTGGCATAATTATTAGCACAAGGCTCTTCAGCACGACCAACCATTTGTAGAGGCCTGCGGCAAGTTAAAGATTCAATGAAAACCGGCTTTCCACCATGTTCCCGTCCTTTCGTAGGGTCCGAACCATATATGGACAAGTATCTTGTGACTCAGAGTCTAGCAACAGACAACCTACTACTGATATCTCGTGGAAGAGCGATCAAAAGAATGGGTAATGCCCATCAATGATCGACCAAGTCCTCGGACGCAGAGATATTAAGCAAATTGGCAATAGTCACTATGTCACCTGCAGCCAACACGTTAGTGCCCAAAGCTCCGCGATTTTGCCACAGAAATGGACCGGCGCCATGACAGACCTGCAAGACCCATGCAATAGCAGAAGCGCACACTAAAATGTAGATTTCATCCGCCTGAAAGACCGGACAACAGGCGGATTTTTAGCTCTGAACTAGCATTGTGGTTTGAATCATGCCTATAGATAGAAGGGTTCAGGTATCCGAAATCCACAGCATGAGCTTGCTTCTTCCTGTGATAAGACGTACTCGAACTTTGCGTACAACAGCCTCTGATGAACGCGTAATGTGAAGAGGTCTTGTTAAAGCAAGAACGAGGCAGAGTAAAATGAATCTGGCTCGGTTGAAATCAATATCTGGCAACGATGCAATTAGCTCACTGGCAAGACTCCTGTCACTGTCTCAAACCTTTAAAAATGAAACCCCGAACCACAATCTTATATACCAAAAAGACCCATGCTACCTTTTACGAGCCATAGGTGTCCATGATCGAGGTTCATCAGATCCTTTCAATGCCTCTGCCCAAGGATCCCGTGTCTGCGCTTTTGGTCGTCGATCGGATTCTGGCGATTGCAGTTTTTGTTCTATAGTCACGTTCCGAGACTGCATCTCAACTTCAGAATGGTGGCTGGGTGCTTCTAGTCGTTCCCTAATGGCTCTTTCTGCTTCATCTTTCGCTTCCAGAATCGCTGCATTCAACTTAACCCGTTGTTGACGCGCTAGATCCGCTTGTAATTCCTGTGAAACGATATATAAAAGATTCACGTAAAATCTCAGCATAAGCATCACGTTAAATTAGTGTGCCTCCTACCCCCATGCTCGGCGGATCCGACCTAGTATGCGTCAGCCATGATGACCATTGCACTGCACATAATAAACACGATAAGAACGAGTAAAAAGAGTGATTAACATCAGAAAAAAGAACGTAACAATGAAGGTACAAACCTGGGAGGCGCTTGCCACTAGCAACGTACGCCCACATGTCTTCACTTTTCCTGTATTTCACTGTTCGTTTGGAACGTCCTTCATACATAAAAAGTTACACCATAGTAAGTGGGGACCCGACAGAGGTTCCGTTATAATCGTACCATTGTTCGCGTTTGGATACTCAAAGTACTTGTTCCCTAGACTATCGGATCAAGAGACACAGGGCAAGGATTTGTATCATGGGTACCTTCCATGTCCTTTCCAACAAAATATGTCTATAAAGAACGGTTAGAAGCGGAATGTAGATTGCGGTCTGGGCCTGTCCATCACATACTGGTTTCAATATTCGCTGCCACAAACGCCTCACAATTGACATCGTACGGTAAGCAGCGGCAAGAAAGGAGCAATGAAAATTTGAAACAGCTATAGCCTCTCTTGAGGCACAAACGCCTTCCGAGTTCGGCGAACGGAACTCGTTTGTTTGTAATACTCCAAGTGCCGCGGAGATTAAACCCATAAACAAAAGCGGAGTTTATATTAGTCAGCCCTGGGTTTCGGCAACACAGTTGCCGGGGAGCATGCTGGAGCACGATGTAGGGAGCCGCTCCACACTAGGTAGTAGTACCAGCTCGAATAACTCAGTGAGATGCATTGGATTATTTCTACAAGGGGAAAGAAATTTTCTAGTAATCTCCAAGACCCTCATCGTCATCCAAGTCTCCCTCTTGGATTTCCTTTGCGAGCTCTTTCTCGCGCTCGCGTGCATCCTGCGCCGCAGCAAGCTCCTTGCGGTGTGCATTAAGAGGGTAGCGCATAGCCTGCAAGATCCAAGTATGAGACATGTCTGACGTGGAATTTTCCAACGGAAAACATTACCTTGACACTCTCATTATGCAAATCCAAGCAATATCCAATTCGTCTGCCAAACACATCGCTAGCCTCAGGGCCGTAACCATCCTTCTGGCTTCCGCATTCCATCCAGCCTTTCTCATGGACGATTCGACCTTCAATCACACCGTCCCGAATGGCTTTTCCAACAATATACTCCGCGTCTTCCTCGGAATCAAGGTGGAGTTTCAAGCAGATGTCACGCAACGAGATCCTCGAATATGATAAAGAGAGCCTACGAATACCGGTCTTGATAACGTTTTGCCGGAGCCGGACGATCAGGGTATAAGTCTTGTCAGCCTCGAATTGTGCGGCGTGTTTGTTCAAAGTCGTCTGGAACTCCGATAGGGAGCCTGTCCGAACAGCTAGGGAGATACGTCAGCATTAGCATTGCTTTGGACAGCAGTAAATTTTAATACCCTTCACGATGTCAAAGTAAGCACTCAGGGCTTTTTCTAACACCGGATGCCGGAAAAGACTGCGATCCGGAATATCACCCATTAAAAGTTCAAGCGACCACAAAAAGTTTGTGCACGACCTGATAGAATCCTGGCGCGGTTTTTGCGGCAGGGGCGCGACGGATAGCTTGTTGCAGGTTCGTGTGTGCCGCAGTATAATTCAGTTGCACCGCTTTAATGCGCCCAAGGAAATAGTGGTAGCGAGCATACTGCGGGTTGCCCGCCGAGGCAGGGAAAGTAGTCTTGGACACTAGTTTGTCAGCCTGGTCGTAAAGGTTATAGTGAAGATAACCCCGAAGTAGGCGATTAATCAGCGAGGCTTGCGTGTCATCATCGTGACGAAGGGACGCAGTGCGTTGCGCAGCGAGGAATATTCTGGAAAGTGATAAGTTAGGAGCATGCCAAATTTACTTGGATCTGAACTCACGGACGGGCATCTGCCAGCTCTCCACCGAGCTCATACGATCGCTCCACGGCAAACCATATCTTGGCAGCTATTGGATCCATACTTCTACGGTTCATGGACTGCATTTTGTCAACAGTTTCGTGAGAGAGCTCTATGGACTTGGAGTATGTGTCTTTGGACGTGTGGAGATGATGAATGATGAGCAGACGGAAATAAATCTCGGCTTCTGGTACAGGATCAGAAGTTGGCTTCGATGATGGAGGTGGAGAAGCAATAGCATTTGTCTCTGATGTTGTATCTACTTCCATAGACTGTTCTGCAGGAGGAGCAGGAGGAAGCCATGATAGAAGAGAATTCTTGGCAGCAGAATCTGCACAAAGTTAAGCGGACGATCAGAAGGTGTGAATGCACCACACACCTTTGGGATAATTCTCCTCGATGGCGTCACGTAGAACCTTGTCATTTATGCGCTTTCGCAGCGCAGTAAGTGAACGTAAGACGCGATGAGTGAGACGGGTTTCGAGGTCATTAATAGCACGGTCGATGAGCGCGATGTTAGCTCTAATCTCCTGCGTCGGCGTCGGGCGTTCTGGCTTCTTGTCATCTTTCTTTTCGTCCTTCTTGTCGGTAGCCTTCACCATCTCGACGTCAGGCATGATGCAAAGGATAGTTAATGACGCGGTGACGCGTCCTGTGTTGATGGGTCAGGATTATGTAAGTGTAGGAGAAGGCAATAAATTATTTAGGTGATCAAGTTGCGACATCGACTCTATAGCTCAGTGGTAGAGCATACGATTGCAGATCGTGCGGTCCCGTGTTCGAACCACGGTGGGGTCTTTTTTGCCCTTCAAATTGATTTTATTATTATTGCGCAAAGGACTTAGCTGACCTTCAAGACCTAACACGTCATCCAAACTGGGACTGCAGCATGTTAACCAAAACCATGAGATGGCAATTCTCTTGGCTGCTTCTTGCAGCAACGGTCCAAGCGGCCTCTTTGTCCCTTCAGTCTCCTCGTTTCACAATCAGCGCGTCGGATGCGAGCCAGCTGCGCTCGGACACGTATGCACTAATTATCACATCACTGCTGTAGTATAACTCATATGCCATATAGCCTGTCCCTGATCAAAAAACCAGAGCCTTTGACCCTTGGCCCAACTGACACTCTTAAACTTACGTTCCAGATAACAGAGAGTGACGAGGGCAAAGGCGTTCAACCACACCAAACCTTTCTTCGATTCTATGACAAGGCGTCGGGCGAGGAGGGCATCCAGCCTGTTCGCGTGACCCCAGGAGGAAAGGCTAAATTTGAGCTGGTGCGTTACATCGCTTTTGCAATTGCAAAACGCGTTAGACTTAGTCGTTATGTTAGAACATGATGCGCCCACCTGCGTCTATTCCACCAACTACGCACAACCCCCTTGAGGTCTCGCTTATCCTGGGCTCCTTCGTACATGCACCTGCACAGTATGACCTTTTTGATCTCTACATACCTGCCTCCCAAGCTCCGGCTGAACACCCGGATGAAGCCTCGTTCCATATCCTCCCCACTATCAAGCATACCTTCCGCCCTGAACAAAAATCACCTCCCCAGTTTATCTCGGCCGTATTTGCAGCGGCAGTACTGTTGCCTTGGCTTGTGTTGATCGGATTGGTATGTTTTTCCGTGTTAAACCAATCCTCACTGACGAACTTTGTTATAAAAGTGGAGTAAAATTGGCGTCAGGGTCCCGAACCTCTTTTCACTTAGCATCATACCCTTCACTGCCCTCCTCGGTGCCTTTGAAGTGCTACTTGTCTGGTACTGGGTAGATCTCAAGCTTGGTCAGGTACTGTTATACGGAGGTATCCTTGCCATTCCAACCGTGTTCGCTGGTAAGCAAGCTTTGTATGCGACTGGAGAATGGAGAGCCGGTCGGAAGTAAAGATTGCATACTTGTGGCTTTGTACCGTCTCAATTACGGCACCCCTGATACGTATGGTGGCTTTCCTTTAAGGATAAACGATACTCTTAGCATTATGAGAACATGTAGGCAAGTGTAGTATGTGTTGTCCATCAAGGCAGACGATCACTCTCTATGCTCTTGCCTCGAACATAATTTGGTTGTGTTTGACATCTGCTGGCGTCAAACATCGTCGTAGACATACATGCAGTCATTCACGTGCATCCACATTCTCAATTTTACAGGATTGTCCAGCAGCTGCTGCAAGATATAAGCGACCAGGCAAACCTTGCTAGTGGCATTTTCCGTCGCAATCATCACACCGTAACTTGCAGGTAAGGGCTGGCTATAGCCAATACTCGGCGGCTTCTGAATCCAGCAAGCAGTTGACGCAGGACCAGATGCTCCCATGTACTCCAAAAGACCGTCTGACTAAGGTCAAGTTCACGAACGACGGCGGAGGTCAGGCAGCGCGACAGATCAGCCACCGCCGGAGTATATTCCCGATTTACGAGTTGGAGCGTGGTTAATGATAACAGGCGCCGCACTGACTCACATCAGTGAACTGGCAGAAAAATGAGAAGACGATATATAATAATTCCCGCTACCTCTGTAGTGGGTCTTATACAGTATAGGACCGGTCCTTTACCCACCACATTTTGAAATGCATCCCACTTTACAGTGATTTTGTTTTTCAAAAATCGTAGTAGACAGTAATACTCCAATGTACATGTAAATACTATGAATCAACTTTTAGAGCTATCGGAAACGATGCTGGTGTGTTGCAGCAAAATCATTGAAAACAGCGTTATCTTGGACTTCACCAGTCCTTTACCCACCTCGTTTTAGAAATTTTTGATGTCACACGCCGTAAATTTGTAATTCAAAAAGGCAATGATAAGATCACAGGATGCGACATTGATGCGAGATTAAAAAACACACGCTGGTGAAATCAACCATCTTCTTCTCCATCATTGTCTTCTTGCTCGCTGTCATAAACCTCTGGCTGAACTCACTCTGGCCTCCGCACAGGTTTCTCAATTTCTGCCATCTTTGGTTTGTTCCACCATGGCCTCCATTTCTCCAACTTTGCCAAATCTCGCTCTGCCTCCCACTCAACCTTCTGTGCCTCAAAATTTGCTCTCGTTGCTTTGTTTTGTTCTTTCCACTCTATCTCATCCCTTTTCCAATGTGTGAGCTCTTCAGAATGTTCTGCCCTTCTCTTGGCCCTCATCTCTTTTTCTCTAGCTTCTGCCTCCACTGCATTCTCGTGTGTGATAACCTGTGCCACGAAGACATCACCAGTGAGCATACAAGGTAAGCCATCACCAACGAGCCTTGTACCCTTCTTCCTCCCTGCTTTTTCTTCTTGCGCTGCGAGCTGACCACGTACTTGATCACAGTATTGGATCTGTAGGACAGATGCTGCCTGTAAGCCAATCATTTGATGTTTGGTTTCCTCCTTGCATTGTCCTGACTCCTGCAAAGCAACTTGTAGCTTGTGCTCAGCCTCGGTTGTGGGAGGACAGTTTAAAATTTCCCTGTACTGTTTGTACTGCAGTGGTGATACTATCTGTGGTATGTACATAGGTACTTGAGATGTTGAGCAGACGGGGCTGAAGGTAAACAGGAATGCTGCAGATGTTGTAGCCAATCTATTGACTGTCATTTGCGCAGATTCATGCCATGGAAACTGCTCTGTGTGTGACGGTGTCAAAGGTAAGGGTTGTGGAATTAATGAATCTTGGTTCGAGCCTGACTCAGGTCATGTGGGACTAGATAACACTTCTGTTGCCCTGCGAATCAATTGGGACATGAGGCAAACTGGTGTTGTCTGAATGAGTGGCAGGTGACCACGACATGATGTCTCCTGACTCGGTGCCATGACGTTGTAACGATGGTCGCAGCACTGGGCTCGGAACCAGGCAATCCAACACCTATGTTCATACCATTCCCCGACCTCCCTCGACCTTCCGAAGGCCGCGCGCACTTGTCCGAACCTTCCACAGGCAGTTCTCGTGTTCCGAGACCTGTCCGAACCTCGCAGGTTACCATACCATGTCCTATCCTCATCCTTTTGACTTCGCTGGTGTGTTTTCCTTTATTCTAACTATATGTTGACTACATCTTAGTGCTACACGGATAACATCGGCATCCTGTCGGGAGTCTCGATACATATAAGCAGTACGCATTGCAGCTTATTACATAGGTTCGGACTTGCTTATCTCGCTACTAGTTTTGCCTATGGATTCCGGCCTCTCACGGAAGTAGGATATAATCTTGCTTGCTGGCTACTGATAGGGCACTTCACTTCCTGTACTTCGAATAGTAATTAGTAGAGTCACCTTGGTATAATTGTAAACTGCGCAATTGATCCTTGTTCATTCAGAACGATTGTCTGGCTAGACCGCTGCCAATTTCGCACTTCGTTTATTTTCGAGTCCCGATAGATTAGCGTTGTTCCGGACTTCGGACGTTGCGCAAAGTCTTATACTGTTATTTGACACACCAACATATATAGACCTTCGGACAGCCTTCGCAAGCCTTGGAAGGCATCGCGCTACTTCGGACAACACTTTCACAGCCTCAGACGACCTTCGGTCGCATCGGACAAGTTTCTCGGTACTTTGGAAGTAGTCTTGGAACTACGGACAAGCATTAAAGAGGTTTTCTTCCAATATCTTGTCTACTCTTTAACTGTATAAGACTTCCCTTGCATTATCAAGGTAGTTCTTAGGTTGTCTCTTGGGACGAAGCATACTCGCATCTCTCAGGACTAGGGACTCACATTCAGTAGAGCCCAGCCCAGATCTACTCTTTACACCGGACAGAACAATCACTCATTCTAGGCATCTTGGACGCTACTGCCCAGGTGCAAGTCTTGCGCCTGGTGACGCACATCTAGCATGCGACCTCCGGATCCGCCGGACCGGAGGACTACAACTCTATGAACCTCCGGAAAACATAAAAACAACTCATCCGACTCACCTCCGATGCATTATCCGCCCTAGCCTTTATCAGGCGCTCCCACTCGTGCTCAGCCAACCTTTTCCGAGTCTCCTCGATATCCTTCCGCTTCTGTTCCTCCATGCGCATCTGTTCCTCTTCCGCCTCCTTGCACTTGCGCTCTTCTTCCTCTGCCTCGAGCTGCGCGATTTCGGCTACCATTTCAGCCTGCCTCTCTTTGAGGAGTTGCCGGAAGTAGAGTTAGACATGTCAAGCAGTAATAGGAGTGAGGGGGAAAGTTTTTAATCTTCTCATGGGCGCCCCGGCCTACTTATATGCTCAGTGCTATTTTTATGAGCTCCGCCCATCATCCTGCATTCATACAACTCCAGACCGGACTTCCGAATCAGAAGCCTCGTGGGCTCGGCCCTAAAGGGGGGATACTGTCATATCCCGTGTTCCGGACCCGGACGTGTCACACACATCATTTCCAGATATCCAGATCTGACTGACTTCTATCTATGTCTGGATCCAACCTGCATCTAACTTCCGTGCCTAATCCCTTTGTACGTTCCTATTCCAGTTAGACTATATTATTTTCCGTACCTCATTTCACTTCCGTCTTTATTTTCCTCTGTTCTCATCTCTGGGTTCATTTACTATTTTTGATAGACTAGCATTTGACTTTTCTATAACCTCCGTCCACAGCCTCGCATAGCTTCGGACTGCGCTGGCTTGTCCTCCATTAAGTCCTCCATAGTATATAAACCCTGTAGAATCTATGTACATCTTTAGTTCGAATATTATCTTAGACTCTGCTCATTCTCCCCTCCATTTGACTTGAGTTATTCTCTCGTCGACCTCCGCTAGTCTTAGGGTCGATCCCGATAGACTTATCACCTCCGCCTCTACCTTTGGTAGTCCTCCGCTGTTTCCTTTCTAGTTCGGACATCGTTCGGATTAGTCTTATCACCTGTTCCCGAACGTCCACCGGAATTCCTGTGCATCGGACAATTGGAATCTGGACATCGTCCAATACTTCCGGACATTGTCCATTAGCCTTCGGAAGTTAGGGGCACGTACTCGGGTAAGGGGCACAGCGCATGAGCTGAAGCCAAGCCCTTTGGATTGAACCTTTGAGCACGATCTTAACACAGGCCCCCTGTTGTGCTGCACCACTTTCCCATGTAGTTTTTTTTCATCTTGTCCGGTGGTGATTCTCTGTAAGCGTATCTATACTGTTCGTATTATGGCACTGAATTAATACTTAAACTGATCTAGTTTTCAATTATGCCATGTTTTCAACAGATACCTTGTTTCTTCCATATGATGTATTCTCTTTTGGCGCACATAATTCATGAACTGTTGTTTGGGCAACACTATGCTACTGATCAAATAATCTGTTTTAAGTTGACCTGAAGACAGCATTTTTTAGTAGTCACATGCTTGACCCCAATCCCTCAGCCCAAACCAGAGTACCTTGAGCTCATACATAGTACATTTGCCTTCTTCGGGATGAAGGAGGATAAAGAACTTCTTCTGGACAAGGAGAGAGTAGTGAAGAAACCCAAGGTCAAACCTGCCAGCCATATCATTGGACTGAAGCTATGTGCAGGAGATAATGGAGACTCTGGCTTTCCAGCTGCCACTGTTGATGTGTCTATCTGAGTAACTAACCTAACCTTCCATTAGATTTTTGGCCCCGATTCCTCGGTCCAGCCAACCAGTCTTGTCTTTAACTCAATATGGACCATTCAATGTTTTCTAGAACACATGAAACGCGCATTCTTTACATGCTCCAGGTGATTTTTTCCTCTTTTTCCATCTCCATTTTTGTTCTACTCGCATTGCTCTCAAGTCTGACTCTGTGTCAACTGTGTTTACTTCCTGTGATTCCGCATCCTGGAATACTTGTGCCTTCAGACTACGCGTCTTACAGTGCCTTTTATATAGAAAGAAACAATGGCAACTTGCAAGGTTGGTCCTCGTCGCAAGGTTGGCCCTGCCCACATCATGAAGACTAAACATAAATTTTTGGAGTCCAAGGTGTGTATTCTCTTTACCACCGAAGATGATTTCTCACCTTTAGCTGCTTCAGGACCCAGAAGCCTCGCCTGTCCCTGAAGGTTCTGTAGTAGATGGAGGTGGTGAGCCCATCCCTACTGATGATGATTCTGGCAAACTTGCTGTAAGAAATCCATGTTGAATATATCGCAAGACTCATCGGCAGAACTCTTTAGGATGATACCACTGTGGTTGACTCAGAAAGACCTCCCATCAGGCATTCTGACGATGAAGATGTTACACTAGGTATGACCTTGATGATTTTGTCGCGTCTTTCCACCTATAGAGTTTGATTATCAAGGTGGTCCTGATGTCCAATTACTGCCCAAAAAGCGCAACCTTCACCAGCGTGAGCAGGCGTCATTGACAGTGCGTCAAGGTGGCGAAGGTACATTAGGAAACTGTTAATGTATTGTAGGACACTAATGCCATACCACCAGAGTCCTTGCCTGACAGTAGTGACTAAAATGATGCTGAAGAGCATGAACTGAGCTCTGACAGTGATGCTGCCAATGACCCACCCGCTAAGTCAAAGCAGGGTGCCACAGGCAAGACATCTCTGCCTCACATCTCACCTGCACTTCCTGGTCGAAAGGACAAGGGTAAGATGAGGAAGCTACCTCCACCCACTGAAATTGAAGACCTCAACAATGACCAGAATGACGTCAACATTGACAAGAACTCTGGTGATTCTCTTATGTCTGGTCAACTCCCACAGGAAGCAATCAACAAGGCCATTGCCTTAGGCAAAAAAACAGTTGAAGAAGCAAAGAATATTGCCAATGAGTATGGCAAATCTGTCTGCACAATCCTAATCCAAGCCAGGTTATCAGTGAAACCCACCCGAGCCGAGAACAGCTGGAACATGTACCAAGTGTGGTATAAGATGCAGCACCCCAAGTCTTCTGATGGTGAGTCTTGTGTAGTATTCATTGAATATTGTACTTATACAATTTTGTCAAGTATCTACAGATGATTAGAAGGAGGCACAGCATGACCATTGGGTCAAGCATTGTGACCAAAGTGAAAACCCTGAACTGTGGAAGGAGATCCATGAGTTCTGGGAGGGGATCTCAAAAAATTCTGACGAGTCTCCAAAAACAATATACAACCATATCATGGCCATACACGATGCCTTTGCCACAAGTGTAAGTCTATATCATTAATATATTTGCATGGTGTCCCAAGTCATTTTGCAGTGTCAATCTTATTCATGCCTTGAAGATATTTATGTTGGGGGATTTGTATTATACACGGGTACTGAGGAGGCGGGTCAACGAGCTGTGGGAGTGTTTGCTGGATCACCACTTATCTTGGACCTTGTCAATGAGAAGCAGGTGGACATCAAGAAGCTTGTTGATTATTTGACAACTGTAATTAAGTAATTGTCTTTTTGTTGTTTGTACTTCACTGTGCTAACATGTGTACTCTGGGACTTTCCATCATGATTACATGGACACTGGGAAGTCCTGCCAGCAGAATATATGACTCATGGGCTTTCCCGACCAAAGAATATTTATACCCTGGAACTTCCCAACATGATTATATGGACACTGGGAAGTCCCGGCCAAAGAATATTTACACTCTAGGATGTCCCATCATGATTACATGAACACTGGGAAGTCCTGCCTGCAGAATATATGACTCATGGGACTTCCTGACCAAAGAATATTTACACACTGGGACTTCCCAACATGACTATATGAACACTGGGACCTCCCGACCAAAGAATATATGACTCACAGGATTTCCCGAGTAAAAAATATTTGCACTCTAGGACTTCCCAACATGATTATATGGACACTGGGACGTCCCAGCCAAAGAATATTTACACTCTGGGACTTCCCATCATGATTACATGGACACTGGGAAGTCCTGCCTGCAGAATATATGACTCATGGGGCTTCCCGACTAAAGAATATTTATACTCTGGGACTTCCCAACATGATTATATGCCCTTTGGGACTTCCTGACCAAAGAATATATGACTCATGGGACTTCCCAGCCAAAGAATATTTACACACTGGGACTTCCCAACATGATTATATGGATACTGGGAAGTCCTGCCTGCAGAATATATGACTCACAGGATTTCCCAACCAAAGAATATTTAGCCTCTGGGACTTCCCAATATGATTATATGGACACTGGGAAGTCCTGGCCAAAGAATATTTATATACTAGAGCTTCCCCATATGATTATATGGATAGTGGGAAGTCCTGCCTGCAGAATATATGACTCATGGGACCTCCCAACCAAAGAATATTTACACTCTGGAACTTCCCAACATGATTATATGGACACTGGGAAGTCCTGCCTGAAGAATATATCATCCTGGGAATTACAAACTAGAGAATATTTACATGTTGGGACGTCCCAACATGATTATATGGACACTGGGAAATTCTGACAGAACAATATAGGACCCCTGGAAAGTCCCAATCAAAGACTAGTTGTAGTCTGGAAGTTCCCAATACACTGCTTATATGCTCTCTGGAAATTGCTGGAGAAAGAATATCTGCACTCTCGGGTGTCCCAACATGATTATATGATCCTTTGGAAGGCCTGACCAAAGAAATTTGTAGTCTGGGACGTCCCAACATGATTATTTGCCCTCTTAGAATTCCTGGGGAAAGAATATTTGTACTCTGAGACCTTCCAACATAATTATATACCCTCTGTGAATCTCTGACTGCACAATATATGTAGTGCTGCCGTGGTCCGGTTCGGTCAGGTTCACAGAGGGATGAGCGAGAATCAAGAACTGGACCTAGGTCCGGTTCTACCAGACTCGATGAACCCCAAACTGGACCTTTACGAACGGTTCGGAATGGTCAGGTCTGGTTATTTTCATGTTCGGATGTGAACTGAACCCGATTTTTTTACAGTGAGCAAAAAAAAAACGTAGATATTTTACAGTGCGCAAAAAAACGTAGATAGAACTTGTACTCGTAGCTACATATCCAACATGGCTGCTTCTGCCTCAACCTTTGCGGAAACATGGCCATTCTTGTATGCTGCCTTCAATAGCTGCAGCGAGCTGAATGTGGATGCTGCAAGTCCATTGCATCAAACAGTAGAAGTGATCCCTCTGCTCGAAAAGCCTGTTCGGAGGGGACAGAGCTTCCTTGAATGGGCAAGTAGTCTCATGCAATGCATGCTAGAGTAGGATACTGCAATGAGTGAAGCTAAGGAACCATTTAAGTAGCAAATAAATAGGTCATGATGAGATTATTTACGCTCCACCAGGTAACAATGTTGTCAGCTTGCTCTAGCGGCGAAGACAGATACATCGTGAGTTCTTGATGAGGATTATGAGCGCATTGGTCTGCGGCTTGATGGGTTTTGATGGCCTCGCGCATCCACGCGTCACCGTACCAATTTTCATGCAAGGGTCTTGTTGGCGGAGCGGGTTCTTTGGCAGGTGCCCGAGTTGGCGGTTTATAATACTTGTCAAACTATAAACATAAGTTCAGGAATGCGAACGGATCGTCGAGAACCAGCTATAACTGGCACTGGTTTGCAACCTGTGAGAGTAGGCGCAGAGGAAGGAGTCAGCGCAGAGGAAGGAGTAGATAGTGGGACAGTATCATCAGGATCATGATAAAAGATGATGTCCTTAGCATCCTTAAGAGATCCATCAGTATTGAGGGCGCATGCGTCAGATTCAGACATGATGATGAGTGAACTCACCTGGTGCTTGCTCCTTTTAACTGCTAACAAAGTGAACAACCGCTCTCCAAGGCCATATACATTGGAGGGTCGCGAAAACAGCCCATTCGAGAGCCGGGGTGCGGGATGCGAGCCTCCGGAAAGAATTCAAAGTCGTCGCAAATCCTGAGGATCCCAATGACCATGGGGGCAGAAGTTGAAGTTGAGTCGAAGTTGAAGTGACCATTACTAGTAGTGTGTGCCTCACCGATAACATGAGGATGCTGCGGTTCGGGGTTCGGAACGGTTCGGGAAGGTCCGAACCTATGTCCGAACTGTTCAGGTGATGGTGGACTGCGAACCTCTTTCAGGTCCGGTCCGTCCAAAACTTGGAACCATGGACTGAACCAAGGACGAACCTGACCAATGGTCAGGTTCGAACCACGGCAGCACTAAATATATGGATGTGTGGGACATTCCAACATGACTATCTGCATCCAGGGAAGTCCTGACTAAAGAGTATTTATGCCCTGGGAATTCTCATCTCAAGAATATATTATACTCTGGGAATCTCCAACATCATTATTGGTACTCAGGGAATTTCAAAACTATAGAATATCTACTCTCCTGGAACATCCTGCTGTAGAATCTGAGTACTGTATGAAACCTGATCATGATTATTCATCACCTGGAAATTCCCAGCTAAAGAATATATTCATCTCAGACATTCCTTATGTGATTATATCTGGGGTGAGAGGGCAGTACAGTAACCCAATAATGCTGCTAAAATCTTCAGTAGTGATTCATATAATACCAATCTCCATGCTTCTTCTAATGGTTTCTAAATTGTCCCTGATGGGCCCTATTATACCCCCTACCAGTCCCTATCATACCCCCCTAAATTGCACAAAAATTGGCTTGAAGGACCCCTGACACCACCCACGTGATGGGAAAATCCCATACAAAATATCATGAAAATATATCCCAGACAGGCTGGGGAAATAATTGACTTGATCCCACAATACTTCCCATATAGTTGTCCCAGCAGGAAATACAACTGGAATCATACCTCTTAGGCCAATACTTGTATAGAGAACTATCAACCTAATAGGTATATTTTTGGGGGTGACTGAAGTGGCAGCACAACCATATGTTCTCCCACACATACTTGCTAATATCAGCGGATTGTGATAGAGATCATTGACTGCTACCAAAACAGACTGGAATGAATGTCCTGGCATCTGGCCTCCAGCAAAAGCCTTCACAACAGTGCTGCTCTTCATGTCAAAAGATGGTTTGCCACGATTCTGATGTTCTACTGTCTCAAGCTTGTCAATTGTAAGTCAGGACAGAGTATGGATATATACTAAAAATCACAGCAGCAGATATGAAGGCAAGGAGAAAAGAGTGGTAGCTTTCGATCATTCTCATTCCAACAAAGTACACTGATCGATAGCGTGACCGACTGAATGTCCGATTTTCTGGATAGTGCCTGATCTGAATACAATTTGGTGGTTTTACACCTGTCAGTGGGACACTGCATAGACACAAATGAACATCCACACAGTGATAATATTCAGGGTAGTAATCTAGATTCTTCATCAGCATTTGATTGCAGAACTCCCACTCCTCAAGGAGCTGGCACTCTGAGAGAGATTAAGTCAGTGAAATAGACGGTTAGCAAAAATAAAATTGAAATATATGGATGTGGTGGAAAGGGAAGTGATACTTCACTACTCAGTCTCGGGGCAGGGACAGGCCAAACCGGACTTCATAGGGAGGGGAGTTCAAGTTCTACAGGTATGTAAGACAAAAACTTGGTGCCTACCAGGAATCGGTGTGAATCACCATGTTGACTACAGCATGATAAAGGTGGAAAGAAGCACAGAAATGTGAATGACAAACAAATGAGAAGGGAAACCAAGAAGTTTGCAGAAAAATAAGGCTATCCCTGCTATACAAGCTGAACACGAGGGAAACAAGTACCCTGGGAAGGAAAGCAAGGTGTGTGTGTGAGTAAGATTAAAACAAAGAACAACAATGGTATTAATCGGGAAGGCACAGTCAGGGACTGGCGGCTCTCCCACCATTATATTTTAGACATCTGGTGTGGGAACTTCTCCACAATACCAAAAACATAGCCTATTTTGGATGTCTCCACAATATGAAACCTTCCCACACTCTCCCCAGTCAATCCCTGGCTCACTATAACACCACAATTAGATACAGCTTATAGGTAAGTAGTATCATATGTTATATATATATAACAGAACATAATAGACCACTTTTTCTGTCTATTTTTTTACTAATGGCTGCTCCAGGGCCTCTGCAAATGTGATATAATATAAAACATATTAAAAATAATTTCGCAATTTTGACCATTTGGTATTGGATTATTGGAGAGTATTTATAACATATTTACCCACATATATGAAGCTATCCCAGCCCTTATTTGACCTACATCAATTACTGTACTATATCAACATAAAACATAAAACAGGTTCACTTTTTTTGACCTTTGGGTGTATGGACTCGAAAATTTGGTTCCCAACATCCCTTCAATGATATACATAACATATCAGGTGCCTAGGTCAACAAAATCAGTCCCTGTGGTGCTACATACTTATCCTCTCCTGGTGGTTCATGCCCTGGGAATTTTTTTTCCTGCAGCTCCAGCCCTTCAGGATGATAGGGTGTTTGTTCCTATTGGTATTGAGAGTATTCTGGTTATATAGCTACATTATAATATCATCAGAATCCCTCTCTGCAATGAAATATCTCCTCCTACCTATACCACTGCATATTTTCGCATTTTTGAGGTTTTCACTATATTACTCTTGTTATATGTATATAACATATGATACTACTTACCTACAAGCTGTATCTAATTGTGGTGTTATAGTGAGCCAGGGATTGACTGGGGAGAGTGTGGGAAGGTTTCATATTGTGGAGACATTCAAAATAGGCTATGTTTTTGGTGTTGTGGAGAAGTTCCTACACCAGATGACTAAAAATGCGAACATGTGACATTGTCAAAGGCTGTACTAGAGCACAAAATGAGGATTTGCACTAATATATCAGCCAGTGCTGATATCTGTTGGAGGATCTGTACTGATACATCACTCCCAGAGAGTGACAGATTACACCATTTATGTATCCGAGTTATATGACAATTATCATGGTTGATACATCAGAATGCCAGGAGCAGGTAGTACAACCGCAGCTCGGCTACGGCCCACTCTGGCTTGGCATTCATCGGTTTGCCAGTATTTTGGCTATCCTAGTGAGCCAGGCTACTTATATAGAGTTTGGTCCGGTTCGTTAGCCATTTGGAGTCCCATGAACCAACTATGAGCCAAAAATAATCAACAGCAGCTCAAGCTAATTTATAAATATGAAATCACGTCTCTGTTGAAGTCTCATTCCCAGTTAGTTTGACTGTTACTCCTCGAGGCCTCAAGGCTCAAGTTATCTCATAATATACCCACCATGAACCCTAAGGTCCCAATACAAGTTGACGGTAGATTCAGACTTGGAGATGTTTTTGGATCTGGTTCATATGGTGTGTTGTTCACAAGCTGACAATAATTATAAAAAATTAACATACTATGAACCCTACTTACTACTTAGCTGTTGTGTACCATGCTCAGAACATCATCAAAGATGATGCAGTTGCCATCAAACTTGAATCCATTACAACCCAGCCATCTTCTGTACAGCATGAATACGACATTCTGAAATGACTTGAAGGTGGAGTTGGGATACCCCGCGCTCTCTGGTTTGGTAGAGAATCAACATATCATGCTTTAGTTCTTGGCCTCCTTGGGCCGTCACTACACAATCTTTTCCTCGCACATGATCAAAAATTTAGCCTTCATACTGTTGTAAATCTAGGAATCCAACTGGTCAGTCAGTTCGCACTGGGTTGTTGCAGATAGGCTAACCCATTTTCCAGCTCTCATGTCTCGAGTACATCCACTCACACAATTATATCCACTGTGATATCAAACCACAGAATGTCTTGGTGGGCCTTGGCCATTTGAAGCACACTGCATTTATAATTGATTTTGATATCACGAAGGAATACTGGGACACTGCAACCAGGGTCCATATTCCATTTCGTCAGAATCAACGATGTTGATCTATCTGTTACGCGGCTCCCTTCCATGGTTAACTTGTGACCACAAGAAACTCTCCAGCTCTTCTATACTCGAGCGCAAGGTCAACACCACCATTGAAGTCTTATGTGATGGAATTTCCATCAAATTTGCAAGTGTTCTCATCTACACCTGCTCTCTTGCATTCTCAGAAGACCCTGACTATGGGCATCTTCATTCATTGCTTTGTGGTCTTCAAGCCACCTTGGCTGTGCCATCTACATGCTCACAGGATTTCAGCATGCCTGATAATCATGTCATACATTACCCTCCAATCTCTGATGAACACTGGATGGCCGAGGCAGCCCCATGTCTGCCAGATGCAATGCCACTTTGCAGATCTACTTGTGTGTGAGTAATCTATCTCATTTTCCCATTCACATCTGAAGTTCATGTGATTTCCAAGTTTACACAAATGTAATGCCTCTCCCATGCACCCAACTGCACTGTGGAAAAGCCATTAGTTGCTAGATCATGTTGTTGAATATGTCTTTCTATCTCTACATAAACTATACAGTGTACAAGTCTTGTGTTTCTCATAGGTTTCAAACCGCTCAATGCAGTCAAATACATGTCATTCTAAATCCTGACTCATGAGGGCTGACTCTCATGCTGAGTCACACAGCTTCTTATCTTTTTCTCACCCTACCATCTCCTTACTCATCCTCCTTGCAACTCGCAAGTGCTGTTTTTCTGCAAATCGGTCGGCCTGCTACAGAAACAAACTTGTCCTGGATACCTATACCTTACTCCTGAAGACTGAGTCCCAATATCTACCAGTTTTTTCCTTATTGAATCATATACCATCATGGCCAACCTCCTGGATGACACATGGGGGATTTTCCACAAACACTCCAATCCAATTGCACCATATTGCAATTAAATGCTCAATCAATCAGTATCGACTCCTGGAATGAAGGTAAGCATTAACTCGCTTGAGCCACTGGTTGATATCTGAAACATGTGTTCAGTGACTGTCAAACCACCCATCCTAACAACCATGGCAAACCCTCTGCAAACATGAGATGTCCCTTTCACTGGATGTCCTTACTATATTGCAATCTGGCTTCTGGACAGCCAGTTGACTCTGAGGATGTAGGTAAGCTTTACTGTGCTTTATATAACCAACTGATTGCGAGATCTAGGGCCCATCAGAATGCACATCTTATGGTATTGGTATCCCTCTCATTGAGTAAGGTAGTGAGCATCGGGGAAACCCCACACATATAATGTGCTGCCTAGGACCATTCAAATGAACAAGATCTTACGGTACATACCCTGGGCATACATTCAGTTGTCCCCCTTGTGTCATATCACAATTAATAATGTTGTTCAGACCTTCACTTGTGTGTACATGTTGGACTTGTTATTAGTTGACTCAGCACTGGTGTTTCCCTACTATTTCTCATGATGAAAATACATAAATAATATGTTTTTTGAATCTTTACTGTCACTCAAACATGCCTCCTTGTTGATGAGGGCAGAAGTCTCAAGTTACTGCTGTGCCTACTCATGCTGCTGTAACTCCTACTGCCGCTGCTCCAATTGATGCTACCTCCATTGTTGCTACCCCCATCATTGTTACCACCATTGCTGCCACTATTGTGCCCATTGCTGCCACTATTGCATTGAATGCAACTATGCTTCAACACCCCCATAGGCAACGGCAACTGCCTCTGAGGTTCTGTAAAAATAGCCCAGTTCGTACTGGCGCTAGTCATATGCCAGATGATGAAGAGTACATTGACATCGGCAATGTCTCTGGGGATGAAGAAGCTAACTTGCCTGCACCCACCGTTAGGGCTCCTCCAGTTCCTAGCCCTCTGCAGACAGCTACTAGTACCATCTACTCCACCCAAGTTGATCCCTTGGCTATAGGTGTTCGAGGAACACAGCCTAAAAGTACTGCTGATATCAATTACTTCTTTAGGGAAGATTCAGCTACTAAATGCAAGATTTGCCGAATCTGTGAGTGAGTTTTGCATCTGCAATTATTTTATTCTTACAGCCTTGTCCAGGGAGTTGCAGAAGGTGGACAGTTCACACCAGGTTATGTCCTACAAGCACTCAACCGGCACTTTTGCCTGTCGTACTCATGCTTTCTATCACCACACTGACATTTTCCTGCAAGAGCCGGAGCGCCTACACTGGTCTATCTACGTACAGCCTCTCAATGAGCGACTTGCTGAAGGGTGGACTTTGGCAGCTATCTGTGAAAGACTTTGAGACACTGCATATCAAATTGAGTCACTCAGTACCATCCCTAATCAGGGACACAACAATTTTCTGCCTAGAACCACCTTATCTCCAGATGACTATATTCCAGATTTCAGCACTGATGAGATGCACCGTCAGTTGGTGAAATTTATAGTTGCGGATGATCAGGCAAGTTGGTATTTACTTTCTATGTGCCCTTGCTAATTCATTTTCTGCAGGCAATAAACATAATTGGATGTGTGAAGTTTTGATGCCTGATACAATTTTTGCGGAAGGATTTGGCTGATTCAGACATCCCCCACCGCACAAAACTTCGTGAGCTCATCATTGTCGCGTGGCAGGAGTATCTCCAGGTATTGAAAGGTGATCTTGCCATGAGTGTCTAGTTATTGAGAATCCCATCATATGTTCTATGTATTCTTACAGAGGGCACAAGGAAAAATATTTTTTACATCTGACCTCTGGTCTGATAAGAAGCTCTGCCCCTTCATGGCACTCACCGCTCACTGGATTGCCAAGGAAGAGCAGACATCAGTACTCATCTTAAAGGCAGCCTTGATTGCATTTCACCATGTCCCAGGAAGTCATACTGGCAAATCTCTCGGATCAGTAATACTGCATCTCCTTGATTGTGCAGATGTTGCAAAAAATGTTAGTGTTTAGCTGTATAATATGATGTACTCTGACTTCATTTAGCCTGGACACTTCACTTTGGACAACACATTGAATAATCAAACATGCATGCAGGAGCTCTCCCACTAATGATGCTCTTGTGAAAAGCAAGGTGTGTCATCTATCTGAGCATCAAGCTGTGAAACGCACATACCAACTGCATGGACAAAGTCGTTTCCAGCTCCAGCAATGCCTCCAGCGCTCCCAGCTTGCACATCCACCAACTCCATTGCACAAGAAGTCCCATTCGATGACCTTGTCAACGATGCTCCTCTTGAGGAGGACTACATGCTGAACATTGATGCCAATGGGTGCATGCAAGCCACTGTAGCACCAGACTCGGGGAAAACTACTAGCACTTATGCAGCACCAGACTTAGGGACAACTACTATTACTGATGGACACAAGTTGTCTCCTCCTGCAGGCAGGAAACCTCACACACGATTTGGATGCCAATGTACTCACAACAAGCAGCTTGTCATTGCTCCATGTGGGATGATCTTGGCAAGGGAGACATTGTATGGGGCAGAGGGTGTTGGCAGTGTGATTGTTCGTGGGAAACTGTCTATGCTGATGATCTGCTGACTGCTTTCTACAGGAAATGATCAAGCATGTATTCCATACTGACGATATCAAGCCCCAACACATCTTCTATAATAATAATAATAATAATAATAATTGCGCACTCTCCAAGATGATGAAGGATGATCCATACTTCCAGAACATTGGCCCATCTGTTGATGTATTTCATTTTAACTGCAAGCATGCGGTCATGGATTGGTGGTGTCAAGAGAATTGCAACCCTGTAGCATTCAAAGATCTTCTCGGTGATGATGGTGTTGGCTGGTACTTTAATTTGTCTGTCGCAGAGCAGACAAACATATGTTTTGGTAGTTATCATGCTATCTGTCGTGAGATGATTGTTCATAGATACAGGTTTTTTCTTGATGAGATGGTCATGCAGAAAAATAGGCTTACAAAAGCAAAGTTGGAGAAGGAGGGCAGGTGCCCTGGTAATTGGCCGTTAACTTAATGCTCAGCGGAGTCAGCGCTGCTACACTATCTTACATCCAACTTATTTAGGTCTTCATCCATACACGAAAGTGTTGTGCAAGTATATCTTTTCACATGAAATGCATCTTCTTCGACAAATTAATGTGCTTATCCTTGAAATTCTTCCTCCAGTGTTCAAGGTCAAAGGCATCATCACAGACCTACTGTTTACCCATGACTATGAATGTAAGCTCGGGTTTCAGGCCTTTGTCCTGCCAAACTTCAACAAGAAATGGCCATCGCTAGACTTACAACAGGTCTACTAGCGGCAGGATTGCCATAGTGTATTTTGGGCATCAGGAGGACACATCTGTTGATTGAGATAGGAATGATTCTTGCCACAAGAGTTGCTGCTTAGTGTCAATAACAAAACTTTGTATAACAGTTACATATACGAGTGAAAGGGAAATACAATAATCTATACAAATGAAAGAGAAAAATTGAAGAAAAACTATTAGGTAGTGGTGCACGAAGAGCATGAGAGAATATAAGGTCACCCACATGTAAGGTGTCTCTTTGTGGCCCTTTCTGCAGCATTTCTAGCAGGGTGTGGTGCCATGACCTCAGACCACAAGCCGCCAGCTGTCCGCCCCACCTCAATAAATGCAGCCCTTGCTGAAGGTCCTGCATGTTTCCAGCGCAGGCAATCACTGATAGTTTGTGCACAATAGCGGACCCTAGCCCCAAACACACTAGCAAAGGCCTCCTTCACACTTTGGCCAGATTGCCTTGCATTGTCCATGACAACAAAACCTGCATTGATGTCAACAGCATAGTACTCTCGTGGCCAAGAAAGTCGCAAGAAAGCAACTTCAACCTCAATCAGATGATCATATGATAGTCCTGGAGAGCTCATCTCCCCATCTGTTGTAGAGTCAATGCTGATGACACTAAGAGATGGCTCATGTGTGATGTGAAGGGGGTGGCGCACTTGGGTGGTGGCAAGTGACTCTTGTTTGATGTGACATAGGGTCTTGTTGTCTGGGGTCTTGTTGTCAGTGATGTCTAGCCCCAAGGAAAGGCTGATGATTGATGGCTGCCGCTTGATGGGAAGGTGGGCACTAGTAGCAGGCTCTTGCTTAACATGTCAGGTCTCATTATCAGTCGTGTCTAGACCAGATGAAAGACTGATGATGGATAGCTCCTGCTTGATGTGAGAGTGGGTGGGGACACAACGGCATTGACACTGGGAAGGACTAACGGAAGGGGAAGCAAGCTTTTGCTTGTGCACAACAGAAGGACGATCACTCTCTGAGCTGCTGCTGTGTTGAGGATGGTTGTAGTTTCTAGCATGGCGGATGTGTGCTTTCTCACCCTTGAGGTTTTTGCGGATGTGAGGTAAAGCAGGTGGCTGTTGATCGACATAGTATTTATCAAAGTCGTGTGTGACCTTCACGTCAAGGTTCATGAGATAGACATACGTGCCTGAAAGGGTGAGGACATGGCTGGCAGAGATCTTATTCCAGCACTGATGCATTGAGTTGAAGTAGTGGCAGCCATTGTTGACAGAGAACCAAGGTTCCAAAGCCATTCATTGGTCACCCTAACACATGGTAGGACAAAGCCACTCTGGAACTCACAAATTGTTGGTGACTCGTCAGCCTGGACAGATGCATAAGCATAAATTCATCACCACAATAAAACATGTACTACAGCCCAACCAAATGCCATAACTGTATTCTTGGCAGTAACAGCGAGCTCATGTTTGAGGGTTTCCGCTTGGTGTTTGTGAAGGTGTTCCTCTTCTTGCATAGCATATGCATTGGTGAAAACAGGTGGCAATTGGGAAGGATATCCCAGATTAGCATAGAAATCACCATCCTGGACCGGGGCTGTGGCATGTTGTTTGCCTTTACTCTTGCTGGTAGCAGAACAGTGGTAGTAGGGTGTAGAAAAACTGCAGACTCAGAAGTACTGGAGGCGGGTGTAGTGGATGTGGAGTAGGATGGTACAGATAATAAAAATGAGAAGGATGCATTAGATGACAACGATGGTGTTGTTGTACTCATGCCTGGGAGCGAAGCTTGCAGTAAGACCGGATTAATTACAGGTGAAGGAGGTCATGCAGGTGCAAGGGTAGCCTGCACAGGTCCACTAACAGAATAGCCCTTGGTGTCACATTCCCTGATGACCCAACAGTATTTTTGGCACATTGTGTTGGTACATAGAGAATGTATACATGTTGATGTACACTGGGACTCAGTGTAAGACACAGGCACTGGTAGCACAGGCAGCGGAGGTGCTGGCACAGGCGGCGGAGGTGCTGGCATTGCTGGTGGTATTGATGGGTTTGGGGATGACGTCGGACTATGAGATCCCCACCAGAAGTGTGAGCACTTGGTGCTATCAGGTCCAATAAACAGACACTAGGGAGTATAAGCACGGGTGGTCAATGGTTATTGATAGCTATACATACAGATACCATCCAATGATCTTGGTTGTCATGTGCATTGGATGCAACGACTTTCTACTGGAGCTCACCATGACTATTAGAGCACATTGGAGTGTAGTCTGGCTTAGGAAATGGTGTGTTTGGTGTTACAACTTGGATGGTATCTGTTGGCGATGCTCAAACAGAGCGTGTGTCGTCAACGGTCGAGGACGTCCTTGGGCTAGCCCAAGGTTAGGGGTCTTACTTGGCGAGGCTTCGGCAAGTAAGATTTGATGCCTATGTCCAAATCGGGTAGCTTATGTCAAGCGGGTGCTGGACGATAAGCTATATTGGCCAAGGCTTACGACACCCGAAGGTTAATTGTAAGATCGTCGTTAATTAGAAGGACAGAAGTCCAACTAGTTAACAGGGGCTTTGCTCGTCGACGAAGTCGATGAGTAAAGATCGAGACTAAAGACTTATCCGCGAAGAGCAGATAAGAAGATAGAATATAGACTGCTGGCTAGGCAGAAAGGATCACTCTGGTGAGAGTAGGAGGTCAAGAACCAAGTAGATTCAAGTTAAGGAATATGGTACATGGTAGCGAGTTTATATAGAGGACAGGAAGCATATTAGTGGGTGATAACTCATACTACCAAGAGAGGTAAGCGGTAAAGGGTAAGGCTATAAAAGGAAAGCACGTTCGAGGTGAGACACGAGTGAACATGAACGTGCAGATAAGAAAGTGAGTCAAAGATTGAAATAAGAAGTGAAACGCGCAGGGGCACGACCATGCAACTGCGGAGCTAAGTATAAGTACACATGCGCGACTGCGCACCGAGTCATAGATTGAGAAAGGGAACTGGGCAGAGGGGACGCAGCATGCGTTGTATCATAGGTTACCGTCCGGACTGTAAGAGTAAAGGGACTGTCCACAGGATCAGTCAGGTGGTGGGACGGAGCATGGGTATGCTTCATCAGCAAAAGGATCCGGCCAGATGTACTGGCTTTGCTGCAGCAACAGGTAGAGGGTGAAGGGGAATGCGAGGATGACCAGTATGACGAGAGTAAGGTCGGGGTAAGGGTGTGATGCGAGGGCTGATACAAGGAGGATGAGGAGAAAAATAGTAGGGGCCCAAGCATCAAGATGTTCTTGTAACATTTGGTGGTATGTCTGACATGGTGAGACCTGGACATTGTAAGATAATAATCAAAAGGTACATAATAGGCTGCAAAATTGATTTAGGTCAACCACCATGATAAATGACACCATAAAACCATACCTGTGGTTATAACATGGAGGACATACCTTAAGCAGGATGTTGCGGGGTAAGAGGAAATAGGAAAGAAGTTTTGAGGCACCGATGTTTGAGATTATGTATTACGCTGTATGCACTTTGTTTGGGGTCGGATGGGCCGGATGTTCAGATGGGTCAGATATTCCAGGATTGAAATATTCTGGTAGGATAGACAGTAGTGCTTCCTATTTCAGAACATGGGCCCTGGGCCTTGGCTATTATTATCACAATGTATTTATAAATCAATGCAAATATAATTTATATCTATTCTAATTTTAAACCTGGCTGGAGCTGGCTTGAAGCCTATGAAACAGCTCAAATGACTGGACCAAGCCATATATTATGTAAGCCTCAATAAGGTACATGGCTAGCCTGATTACAGTTCTGCTCTCAGCTAAAGCCGGTGAAGATGAGGAATCTAAACTGTGTGGTAAGTTGGTGCTGAGCTAAGCAAACACAGCTAGACCTGGGCGCAAGTGAAATCATTGTCCCAAGGGCAGCTAACTGAGTGAAGGGAAACCACTCTTGTAAAAAGAGGGACACCAAACAACTAATAAAGTACTAAGGCTAAGTAATGTGCGAAGCATGAGGCGAGAGCAATGTGATTGACGATATGCAGACGCACAAGTGCAAAAGGCGAAGGGCAATGTGCGCGACGTGAAGGTAGCGCGCGCAAGCGAAGGCGAAAGACTAGCAAGTGAGATAGACGAGAGAGAGACAAGGCAACATGACTGTTAACACCCCAACTAAGGTTGGCTGATGCTAAAGCGAAAGGCGGATAACTGAAGTGTGTGACTTTAGATAGTCACTTGCAAAACAACAAGTAAAATTCCTAGTATCTAGAGACAAAGAAAGTGGGCGGAAAATCGACCCAGTACATAAATAATAGAGGGGTATAAGTAAAGTAGCTAAGCAGTGCTAGGTGTGCAGGTCCAATGTGATGAGCCGAACAGGCTAAAAATAGTATGTGATGTATGTAACAGGGTCTCAGTTATGCGCCAAGCACAGAGCTGAATATTAGCAGTGGAAACCAATTAAGGAAAAAGGGACTATGATAAGAAAACGCACCAATGAACTTCTAAGGACATGGGATGGACAGACAGACAAGTGCACAGATAGTGCAAGTGCGGATCCGTGAAGTGCGTGAACACGTGAGGCCACACACGAAATCTGCGAAATAAAATAAGTGCACTAATGCGCTAGACGTATCCTGTGGATTAAAGCTGGAGTTTGTAGGGAAAGTGGGAGAATTCAGAGGGAAGTGCCTGTGGAGACGTGAGGCTCTACAACAGCAGGAGACTTTAAAATCTGTCCCCAGTCAGTGTGCGCGCACATTCATGCGAATGGACTTAGAGAAATTTCGATGAATTGGGGTCATGTGCATACGGTCCGTACTCCGAAAACGATGTGCCATCAGTTGGCCTCATGACTTCGGGAATTAGCATGAATACTGACATAATTGTGGTTAGTGCAGTTAAAAGAGTGCTGGGTGGCAACACATTGTCTTCCTATCTTTTGCCACTACCGTGATCACCACTTTAATCTTTTTACCATGTCCTCCTTCAACCTTAACATGCTCGATGCATACCGCTCTCCTGAACCTGAACCTGAGGCTCCTGTCGGTGATGTGGCGCCCGAGGAGGGTTCAGCGTGTGGTAGTCCTGCACCCGAGCCTGAATTGGATAACACTCGTGTTACCCGGGCATGGACCTTGGTGTTGGAGTCCCTCAATGCATCAGAGATGACATGACTGGACCTCAAGCAGGAACTGTTTGAGGATATAGAGACATGGTTGTGCACATGGGATGCGCTTGAGGTAAGTGTTTCCTTTCGTGTCATGAGTATCTTACAATTTGGTGTTGTTTAATAGAAAAATATTTGTGCATGCTATGACGATGCGAACAACATGGGTGTTGCACTCGCCGTTAGGGACGATCAAAAGGCACAGCTTGCAGAGACAAAGAAGTGGGCCATCATCGCCCAGAAAACCGTGAAGAATTGGAAGGCAGCAGCAGAGAAGCTGATGGAGGAGTCGCATGTCGCATGCAAAGCTGCACAGAAGGGGAAGGGGAAGGAGAAGGAAGTGGACACGGTCCCTGACATGGGGAGACTGGTGAGTACTTTTTCATTTCTTTCTGTTTCTGTGTGCTGACAATATGTCTTGATATAAATTGGGTGGACGCATGTTGGCCGAGTGCACGAACGACCTGAAGTGCGAACATTGTGTGATGCTGTCCTGCATGATGTGGGAATCATGCATGGACATGAATACTAGGTGACCCTCAAAAGATAAAGTCTGCTAGCTTAGTCCTCAGACTAGTCAACCCATACCTTGGTTTCAAACCATGGTCCATATTTCTAGTTTTCCCCAAGTTTCATGATCTGAATACGTTTTGACGGAAAAAGTCTAATGTGAGATGGGAATCACATTTAGACCTAGTTGATGTGAGAAGGGAAATGAAGGTTAAGGTATAGCCTTGCCTTTGGCTTATTCACTTTGGCTAGAGAAAACCATAGAGAAAAGTGCAAAGCCAATAAAAAACCTATCCAAAAAGACCGTGTTTCAATTCCTGCCAACTGCATTATTTTTTTGACTGTGTTTCAATTCCTGCCAACTGTCTTATTTTTGCTACCTACTTTTCTCTAGTGTTTCTTTACTTTATTTTTTCATTAGGATGCTTTGACTCACCTGACACTTCATAAAATTGTACCCATAGGGTATGATGTCATTATGATGTCATAAGACTCCACAGATACTCCTGCAGGTATTCTGTTGAAAGATATTATGTCATCAAGCTCTAGATTATTCTACTCTACAATGACATCATTCATGATGTCATTTCCTTCTAGAATATTCTGCTCCACAATGACTCACTCTGACTCACACATGGAAGGTTCTGGAATCTTTTGCTCCACAATGATGTCATTACTCCACATTCCAGAATGTTCTGCTCCACAATGATGTCATAGCTCCATCTTTCACTTGTATTTTATTCTTTTATTGGGTTTGACCCAATATTTTGATTGGTCCTCCTTATTTTTTATTGTTTGTGAACCTAGGTTACTTTCCCACACAAAATGTATATAAGGAGAGCCCATTCTCCCCCAAAAAAATATGATCTCCCATTTGTAGCAATCTGCCTCTCAGATATTTCACTTGCAAAGTTAGTCCCTTTGAAGTGAGACAAGTGCAGGGAAAAGAATTCCCTTGAGATTATAAGTTTCTTACCTTAGAAACTTATTAGTGCCATAGACCAAGCGTTCTTGGTCACATATATTGTCTTTGAGACCCCTTTGTCTCATTGCTCTGTGCCCTTTGACTAAGCGATCTTAGTCATCTATCATATTGTTGAGACCACGTCTCACTAGTTGTCCCATAGACCAAGCGATCTTGGTCAAGTTATAGTCCCCTTTGTTCAAGCGATCTTGAACATATATCGTATATTTGAGACCATTGTCTCACAGTCAGGTGTCCATAGACCAAGCGATCTTGGTCATATTTCATATATTTGAGACCACGTCTCACTAGTTCCAGTATCCAAGTCCAGAGCCTAGAAGGAGATTTCCTAGGCAAATACATTCCAGAAACTGAATTACGTGTCTAGAAGCTTATTCCTAGACAAGAGATTTGAGTTTCAATAAAGAAAAGTAAAGCTCCGGCTAGGTTGATCTTTATAAAAAGATTAGTTTAGCGAGCCTCCCAAGAACTCACACGTTATCTACCACGAAATAGGAAAAGTCGTAGACCGTGTTAATCGAGGACTGGCAAGCAGTCTTATCCAAAGTGTAATTGTGGTGTCATTACATTTACACGACTTTATATAAGACCCTCGGTTATTAAGACAACGCGCAATGTTTCCTGCATGGAGGGTCGTACCTTGCGCTGTGTGCCATGCGACAAGTCGCACCTTGCGTGTTCCTTCAGTAAGTCTTGTTTAATATTTATATGCTAACCTTCTTCTGACTTGTTTACAGCTGTAAAGCGCAAGGCTGCTGGTACCACGGGTCCCGCTTGCAAGGCGGCTTGTATGGCTGGTGGTCGTGCTCCCACAACTGGGCTCATAGATGATGCTGACCCTACTGGTGAGTCCGAAGTTGAGGTTGAGGAGATTCCTTTTCCACCTCTTCCCGATTCTCCTGGTAGATCACTATCCTAGGCGTCCATTTCCTCCCATCTGTGTCTGGGGTTGATGTGCCCTATGTCTTCCAGGAGACAAGCGAGTGGAATGACCTGATCTTGCCATGGTGACTTCGATTGGTAAATGTGCTGAGGGTAAGCAAGGCGTAATTAATATTGGTTTGAAGTTCAACTTTGACCAAAGCCTAACAGTTGGTTAATTAACCCAATCGGAGATGATGTCATTAATAAAAATAAATTTGTAATAAACAACCAATACTGCAAAACATTGCATTGGAATAACAATCCTTGCTACCTTCCTGAGCTAATGCTTTTCTTGCAACATTTAAAAATAAGATGAAGATAGGTCTATGCACCCCACTGCAAACATCCCACAGGGTAGAAGCAAGGGGGAGGAAAGGTAGGAAAACTTGGGTCAAGGTCCTCCTTGCAAGCACAAGATGACATGCCTACAGTCCATGCCTAACTCTCCCCTGGAATAACCAACACTTCACCCTGTTCAGGCACCACCTACTTGGGAAGACTGTCCTGATAATACTTATGAGCAAGACCAAGGCTCATTTAAGCCTTTGCAGCTTCCAAAAACAATGGCAAGTTAATGTAAACCATTCAAGTGTCGTTCAAACCTTGCCAAGTATAACAAATGCAGAGCCAGAATAACTACCTAAGGCAATGGCTGCCAAGGCAGGAATCATATCTGCATCACCTCCTGGATTGAGAAGCTCCTCAAGAAGATAGGAGATGCATCGTCTGCAACCAGGATGGGGTCTACAAATGTCAAGATTGTCTTGGGGAGCCACTCTATTGCATGGGATGTTGCAGGAGTCAACATCATCACAATCCTTTCCACTGGATCACTCAATGAAATGGTCAATTCTTCGAGCAAAGTTGTCTCGCTCATGTCGGACTTGTCATATACCTCAGTCATGATGGCAAAGAATGTCCTGCACTCCAAAATAGGTGGGATTTGTTTGAAGGAGACGAACTGGAAGACCAGCTTGAGCCTGAAGATCTACGATCCATGTTGGGACCCAAGTTCCAGCCTAAGGAAAACACCATGGTCATCGTCAACAAGTCCAGAGTTCATCGCATCAAGGTTCAATAGTGTGATTGTCCAAATGCGATGAATCCAGAGATTCAAATGTTTTGACATGGATTTTTCCCTGCATCATTCAACAGGCCAAAGACTGTGTTCACCTTCAGAGTGCTCAACAATTTTCTATTGGACAACCTAGAATGCGGCACCTCTGCAATGAACTATTCCAGCAAGCTCCAGCGAATGACCTCCAGCATGTTTCCTCACCTTGTTCCAGTAATGATATATCTCCTTCATCTAAAAGACATTATATTGACAAGACACTTGGTAAGGACTGATACAGAGAGCTCATGAGAGTCGCTCAATAGTGGAGGCAGTTGAAGACCATGAAATTGCATGGCTTTGGCCATCATTCCAATGCCCTGAATGCTGGTGATCTCGCATTGTTTTGCCCGACATGTCCTCAGCCTGGGATCAACATATCATTGTCAGGGAATGAAACACTTGATGAGTGAGTCTAGTTTCATACTTAAGTAACCTAAGTGATGATAAGAACTCCAAGCTGCAAATATACCCGGTCATTTGTGATGGACAGTAATTTCAAAGCTGAACACTTGCATCCCATCAAGCCATTTGATGAAGTATGGCTTGCCGATGGGCTGGGGTTCATGGTGGGAAAGGACAGGTATAAAGCACATCTTGCAGAGGCTGCTGACACTTTGGAAAAATTGAGCTGCAACAATCACCGGGCAGTGAATCAAGCAAATGTGGCTCAGCACAAGCTGGAGTCAATGGGTATCGGGGGGGGGTTGCTTGTGCCCGCCATGGTTGCTTTCTCCCTCATGTGATGGTTGATTTTCAGAAAGGTGAAAGGTAAGCCGAACATGAAGTTCTACATTTACAAGTTGATCATGCATCATTTGCAAACAAATAAACATGGACTACACCCTTTGTGAGGCTGCCCAGCACAACATCGAAGGCATTACCAGGGCTGTCACCTTTTATGACATCAACTGTCAATACAACAAGCACCTTCATCTTCAGGTGGATCAAAGCCAATTTCTTGAAATGGTACCGGAATTGACCATCATTCCTGGCATTGGTTTGTGGCATGTGCATGGACATCAAGACAGCTGCTATGTCCGATATGTGTCGAATTTCATTGAAGGGATTGGCTGGATACATGGAGAGATCATGGAGACTCTCTGGGCACGTCTCAACCTAATTTCCCCTGCTGCTTGGGGAATGTCTCGATTTTCAGATGAATGATTCCAACCTCTGCAAGATGATCTGCATGAAAAGGACCCTTTGCCATAAATACAAGCAGGCGAAAAATTGCATCGCCGAAAGTGAAAAGGCTTTTGACAGACTCGATGAAGCAGCACCCACCAATTTGAAGACAGAATGGTTAGCCAATGAGAGGATCGCTCAATCTGGGAGAATAAATGATCCCACGGTGATGGATGTTTATGAGATAAATATCAAGAAGGGTAAGCTGACCATGTCTCCATAGAAGTCCATATTAATTTCGCACTCAGCACTGAGCAAAAAGGAGATTGAACTTAGACTGCTAGAGCAGGGTAATGCCCATAATGCAGCACCATCTCAGAGATCTGTGGCAACATGGATATCAATGGGGTTGGCAATCAAGGAGGCTCAAATTGCATTGCTCATTGAGGTCTGAAGAATCGGAAAACAAACTATGGAGACACAGAGATTAAACATCACCCGGCAATGAGATCATCTCCAAGGCCAGATAGATGGATTTACACATTCTGCTGTCATGCATCTCGGAGAGGGATTCAATGCAGATGACGATCCTGACAACTTGAACATAGACATCCTAGATGATCTTGATGATGACCCGGAAGATTTTACCGAGACATCTGATACATGGATGAACTCCCCTGAGCTCATTGTGATCCCATTGCCATCAAACCTCGGGGTAGATCAATGCAGACACTTGATGGCAGAGGATCTCATTCTGCTGGAGATGTCCCTTTGCGAAGGGCAGGCAAATGATGCACTTCACAACCTCTGCATTCACTTGTGCAACAAAGCAGTCCTATTCTGAACGACGGTCAGGCAAGCCAAATCTCAAGCCCTGAAAACTCGAGCTTGGTCGCAGGTGATGTCAGTGCAGCAGGCTGTCTCCCTACATGTGAGTATATATACCAAGATCAGGAAGCAAATGATGAAACTTGACACGATGAAGGTGAATCAACTCAGCTGTTGGTCAAATGGTAAATGCAAGGAGAGGGACACAAGAAGCTGATATAGTGATCAGTGTGATGCCTAGTCTGCTATGCTTGCAGGGACAAGCGTGTTCGATCCAAGGGGAGGCAAAGAAGACAAATCCACAGTCGTGCAGTGGCTGTGTGAAGTGAGCGACATGCGCGCAAGGCGTGGGAATGCGAAATGCGAAATAGCAAAAATGGAAAAATGCAATGAGCAATAAACGAGGGCTCAAATGAAAACAAAAGAGTGCTAATAAATTCTGAATCTGGCTATGGACATCATGAGGGAACTCCACTAAGGTAAGGAGTGGTGTCCTATAAAGGGTGAAAAATGCGGACCTATATATGTGTCTCACTAAGTGAGCCGGGTGTGAGATAATGTGTGTAATAAGGTATGTAAGTCAGGGTCCATGCTCTAATATGGTGCCATATTGAATAAAAGTGAAAATACATACCAGAGAGACTTGCTGGACAGTGGATGGATGCTCCTGGATGATAGGGCAATGAAAGCGTGGGAAAGCGAGCAATGCGCAAGCATGAGAATGTCATGCAAGGGTCGCATGTATGGGAAAGTGTCGCCCAATATGGAAATAGCTGGGAAAAGGCTAGGGAATGATGCTGCGAGTTGGTGCTGCGAACCCAGGTGGTATGCACTGAAGTATAACGTGTTGCAGACCTGCAATAGTGCGAATCTCTACAACAGGGCATGGCCAACTTCAGAAATACAAACCCCTGCTTGGCAAGCAGCTCAAAGTCAACACTGCCTGGGTGATCCAAATGCCCGTGGTCAACAAAACGAATCCCTTGCGTGGTTCTGGTCTGTCGAGGTCAACATGCAGGGTCCGGATCAATCATGGAATGAGGAATGTGAGTTCCCTAATGCTCAACACATCCGACATTGAGCTGACTGGACGAATATGAAGTTTACCAAGTTCACTGGCTCCGGGCAAAGGCACTATGGGATTGATGGAAGGAAGAGCTGATGTTGGTCTAATTCGAGATGGATTGGACATGTAACTTTTTCTTGTAGAAAGCAACCAAATGGGGCGACCAGATGCAGGAATCATCCATAAAACGACTTCCGGGTCATGCATGCTACTCCAGAAGGCAATCCCGAATGTATTCATTGCTGGTGCAGGACACCCAGGCAGGATTTCAACACCTGCAGACTGTTTTGACAGATTCCCAAGATGAATGAATGGTTTATTGCCGATGAGATATAACACCCATTTCGATATACAAATTTAGTCTTGGGAATTGGCCAGGTCAGCCCATGTCGGAGTTTGAAAAATTTATCCATCCATCAGTGGATGATATCTTCACATCTGAACCAACTGTCATTGTCATTGCCAGTGTCATACTCCTGCATTAGCCATGCCTGAATTATATCCTTCTCCTGCATCTACTTCTGACAATCAGAATTCCCTCAATGAGTACCGGCCCCTCACTCTCACTCCTGCAGACATTTCAGCTACCATGTCAATGTCTACATCGTGCATCCATCTCCCAATATCAGGCGGAGGCTGCAAACAACAATCTTCCCCCATCGGCTCGGATCAGGCACTTCAAAGCCAGGCTGCAATGGAAGATTACTGTAAGACCCTGATGACACTGGCAGTTAATGCTGACATCTTCCACAGACTTTTGTCACACCCATCCTCCAGTACTCAGCTGCAAGGAACATCATTTCGGTCATTCCCAGCCCTATTGCTCATATTTTCCATTTGATTCCTGGTCACACCTGGAACATGGTTCTGGATCACATCTTTTCATATTATATCTGTTTGTTTCATGATGTCGCAGATCCCAGAGATCCATCCCAGATTGTATCCAGCTATGATACCCTATGGTAGATGGGAGAAACTGCAATCCTGAATGAACCATGGCAATGGGATCGGGTGATGACTTGCTGTATCTTTCACTACCAGAATTGGCTAGTAAGATTCTTATTCCATTTCCTTGATTCATGACTGATCTGTTCTAGGATGGCATTGATAATGATGGTCTGACAATTCCGGAGCAGGTGGATCATACCTCAGTTCCATCACTGATAGGACTGAGGTGGATTAGAGAACACCTCCTGACATTACTTGAGGAGCAACGTGAGGGCATCCGTGATAAGATGGCAGAGATACAAATCTACACTGTTATTCTAGACAGATTGAAGAGAGGCAGAGGAGAGTAGCTCTAGTTACTCAGTTGAAAATGTTGAAGTGCAAGTTCCATATGTGATTTTATGAGTACTGAAAATCACATGTAAATATTGAATATCTAACATAATGTTATATGGAGAGTCCCAAAATAAATGGTGCAGATGTTGATCATCATGTCCTGATCACCGAGGTCCAGATATTGAGTCCTGATTACTGAGATCTGATTATCAAGCTCCGAATATCAAATGCTGAGTTCCAAGCGTCAAGTACCGAGTATTGAATACTGAATATCAAATTCCGAGCTCCATATTTTGAGTCCCAATTACCAAGACCCGATTACCAAACTCCGAATATCGAGTTTTGAGTTCCAAGCGTCGAGTACCGAGCGTTGAGTACTGAATGTTGAATGCCAAATATCGCATTCTAAGTTCTGGATCTCAACTACCTACTCCTGACTCCCAAGATCCATCTACTGAGGTCTGAATATCAGGACCCAATTACTGACACCCGATTACCGAGCTCCGAATATTGAGGTTTGAGTTCCAAGTGTCAAGTACCAAGCGTCGAGTACTGAATGTTGAATGCCGAATATTGAACTCCGAGTTCTGGATCTCAATTACCAATTCCCGACTCCCAAAATTTAACTACCGAAGTCCAAATATTGAGACCCGAGTGCCAAGACCCGATTAGCGAGCTCCAAATAACGAGTGCCGAGGTCTGAGCATTGAGTACCGATGTTCGTGTTCTGAATATTGAATTCTGAGTTCCAGATCTCCATTACCGACTCCCAACTCCCGAAATCCAACTACCAAGGTCTGGATATTGTATCCAGATCACCAAGTCCCAATTACCAAGGTCCGGATATCAATTTCCGAGTTGGCTTTGATGAACATTGATAGGATCTGAGTCTAAATACAATGATAGCCTTCGCCTCAGTACCATTTTCAAATTTGTACAGCAGCATTAATACTTACATTTCTTTGCTTCTCTGTGCCCTTTTGACTTGTAGGTTCCTTTTGCAACAGATCATTCTTCTTAGTATTGCCTAGGGTAAGGTCGATGATATCTTCTGTCGCCTCCATACCATTTTCAAATTTGTACAGCAGCATTAATACTTACATTTCTTTGCTTCTCTGTGCCCTTTTGACTTGTAGGTTCCTTTTGCAACAGACTGTTCTTCTTAGCATTGCCTAGGGTAAAGTTGATGATATCTTCTGTGGTACTCCAACCCAGGGCTGGCCTTTTGTAACTGCGCACTACAACTGAAACCCCACTCCCTCGTGCTGAATGTGTTGGTGCTTGAGTGTCATCAAGAGAGATGGTTCGTACTTGGTATTCGAAAGCAGGTACTGACATGGGTAATTAGACTTTCTAGTTGTTTCATCTTCCACATGGTGGTAGGGTTCGTCAATCCACCCTAGCCCATCGGCATGAGGGAACCCTGGCATAAATATGAACAGAGTCCCTCATATACCATGCCCACCCAACCCTATCCCCCTCCACCTCATGAACCCCATGTCTGACAATCCTTCAGGAAAATCCAATCGTACACCCGGGATCATACCTGAACTCCAGCTGAAGGCTTGGCATGCTCATCCGAGCATTAGAATAATTTCCCACAGTGGTGAGAATATCGAAGCATTCAGGAATTGATAAATGGTCTCAATGATGTGGGGTTTGATGATTGGAAATGATGGATAGTGTGTTAAATACGGATGCCCAGTACTGGAGGATCTTGGACATTCTTGGCAGTTCCTTGCTTTCTGCCTTTTCTCCGAGGCTTAAAATGTTCATCACCCTGCCCAGTACTGCTCCAGATGCATGATCCTGAGGCGATGGCTGCCGGCCTCGCAATGACATTCAGGATTCCCTCGGACAATGGTCCCTTTAATGATGCAGATACCTCCGGGTCCAATAGATTCTATGGGATTGGTGAGTTAAACTACCGAAATCATCATCCTATCAAATCTTACCTTGTGCCCCTGTTGAAACCATGCTGGAGATAAATTGATGCACCCGGCAGGTAAACCAACATCTTCAGAGCTGTGTTTGAACCACTCTGGATTGGTTCACCAATTCCCATCGACCTTCACACTTTTTTCCAGACTCAGAGACAGCAAATCAGTGGCTGCCCAAATTTCCTTCTGTGGGTACCATTTGTTATTTAATATATATTGAGTAACAATGTATATCACACACCTGTGTTGTGGCTGTCAGGGCGTCTGGGAGGTACCATGTGATGATGGTGCTGGACACATCTAGAATTGTGGCGGGTATATCCATAAACCTTGTTTCCTCATGGTCAGGAGGACATCTCTTAAGCAATTTCTCCTCTTTCTCCTCATTGTGCCTGGTGTAAAGAGTAGATCTGGGCTGGGCTCTACAGAATGTGAGTCCCTAGTCCTGAGAGATGCAAGTATGCTTCATCCCAAGAGACAACCTAAAGAACTATCTTGATAATGCAAGGGAAGTCTTATACAGTCAGAGAGTAGACAAGATATTGGAAGTAAACCTTTCTAATGTTCGTCTGAAGTACCAAGATACTTGTCCGATGCAACTGAAAGTCATCCAAAGCTGTGACAGTGTTGTCCGAAGTAGCGCAATGCCTTCCGAGACTTGCGAGAGCTGTCCAAAGATCAATATATGTTGGTGTGTCAATGTGTTGGTATGTTGATGTGTCAAATAATAATATAAGACTTTGCAAATCGTCCATAGCCCGGAACGACACTAATCTATTGGAACTCAAGAATAAATGAAGTGCAGAATTGGCAGCAGTCTAGCCAAACAATTGTTCCGAATGAACTAAGATCAATTGCGCAGTTACGAATATACCAAGGTGACTCTACTAATTATGACTCGAAGTACGGGAAGTGAAGTGTAGTATCAGTAGGCAGCAAGCGAGATTATATCCTACTTCTGTGAGAGACCGGAATCCATAGGCGAAACTAGTAGTGAGATAAACAAGTCCAAACCTATGTAATAAGCCATGAGGCAAGCAGCAATCACTGCGGAAACGAGAAATTGACCAGACCCTATCTGGATGTGGTTAAGCCATCTGCCTAGATGCAATTCGTACTTAGTAGTCTATCTGTACTTGAACTAGACATGAGGAATTTGGATGTTAAAGATTTCAGACTTTGGAGCAAACCGGACCCACAGTTAGAGGCAACACCAGGTAAACATACCCAAACTAGAACTCAGACATGTGTTCTTACCATCAAACCATACACATCCAAGCAGGCTTCAAAACCAGACATTAACCATGGTCTAGGTACCCTCACAAGGTGTATCTGGACCTTGGGATAGCCCAAAGGGTCAAATCACCACAAAAAATCATTAAGTCTTTTCTTTACTACTTACTATTCACATCCAAATCATGCTCATGTTCGAAGACAACACTATACACCTCGAACTACCTCTCAAGTACCCAGAAATGATACAGGTCACATTTATTCCAGACTTACCTGTCCCTACCTGCCTGTCAATTGATTAGTATGTTGGTTTGTTGATATCTTTGCTTGTGCTCATTTTTGTCTCCAATCAGTGCCCTATTTTCTCGCAGGACATTCAATTTTTGCATCGTTGACAAAGCTTCTCAGATTACTCTGCCCACATGTCTAGGTCCGCTTTGGTTTGCTGATAAATTTGTTTTGGTTGGAGATCATTTCCAGCTTCCGCCACTAGTGAGTTTCTTTTGTTGCATATTGTGATCTCCCCTTTATGCATGTTCAGGTCTGCAATCCTGCTGTGTGAAAAGGTGGTCTGGAACTTTGATGATGATCCAACAGTTCCTTCTTGTATATTAGTTTCCACTACTCCACTATCTCCGCCAGATTTGCGATGCTGGATCTCATCTAGAACCCACAGAAATGTGTTGTACTATGGGTGATAAAGGTAAGCTGGTCCTGATAAAACTTGAGATCTTACATTTGGTGATTGCCACATGCCACTCATTGTCCACGGTCACATGACTGTTGGTTCAACTGGCCGGTTCAGTTTCTGCGCCTCACACCTTCCTTCTTTCTACTAAGTCCTTCTTTTCAGCACTATGACTAAGAATACTGCCAAAAAGCGAGCTGCCAGCGGTGTTGCTAGGCAACTCAGTGGACCTCTGGGATCGCTAGTTGCCTCTCCTCCTCCAGCAAGCCCAAGTAGTGAGGGGGAGGTTGAGGTAGTACAACCAGATGCCCACAGCTCAGTAAGTCCTTTCTTCATGCATTTATTGTTGCTAATATTTGTTAGTGGTGTCTTATTTGCCGTGACGGCGCCGAGGGGGACGTTGTGCTCTATGAGTGCAGTGCTTGCCCTTGGGTCATGTGTAGCAGGTGCCTTGATGTGCCGTCCGACTCTTGCAGCCTGGTGGCTCAACTGGACATCCTTTTTTGGTGCCTTAGCTGTCATACTGGGCGCACCCATAAGGTGCCTGCACCTTACTATGTGAGTCCTTTGTTTTATTTCATTTTCAATTTGAATAAAGCTAACTAATGACTACAGGGATTCTACAGAGGGAGCCTGCCAGCTCAAGGAGGAGAACCTGCTCTGCAGGGTTACCTTCAATTGAACGGCAGGTTCAAGACTGCATCATCTGCAGCATTGGCTGCTGCACCCATTGCTGTCATCCACTTCATTCTGGGTGGCAGTAATGAGGTTGTGACACCCGTTCCTCTGCTCTCTCACTATTTGGAGCACTGCTTTCCCAATGGTGGGTACATTTATATCGAGGTCCCATTCGACATCACCACACACAAGAGCATTCACGATTACATGCGCGCGCAGGATGCCCGCATCACCCAGCTCAAGTCTCATCTTGCGCATAGCAGACGTGTCTTGGCCTTCTTCTCCGATCACTCCGAGGAAGATAGCGGGTGGCTTTTTGCTGGGAGAGAGAAAGGTAAATTTGTCGCTATGAGCGTCTCTCAGGTAAGGTCTCTGTTATTTTGCATTTTTCTTGACTTATGTGATATTTGGTACTATCTACTGTCCTAGGCCCCTATTGCGGCGTCCTTGGTGGCGCCATCATGATGTTCCTAGTGTGCAGCTCGGTTGTGGCCCATGGTGACACCTTTAGTGAGCTCCAGGAAGCTCTACTCAACTACGGTGTCGCATCCTCCATCATATTCTCCACCAAACGCTTTCAGCCTCTGGTTGCCACCCACTTTTTGCTCTCTCTAGCGGAGCAAGTGATAATAGAGGACCTCGACATCTGCACTGCATTCCCTGGTCTTCTCTCCCTCTCCAGTCGCCTTGGACAACACAAGTTCCACATCGACAAACCACCTGGTTTTGTTGTCAATGCTGCTAAGACAAAGACTACTGGGTGGTTCCAGTCTCCTTCCACAATTTTTCCAGTTAAGTTAAGCACACAGGGCAAGCATCAGAGGAGTATGGATGGGGAAGGGTCTGCTAAGAGGATGAGGATTTGATTTATCTCACAAATAGTTAGTTTGGTAGATGTTCATTTGCAATAATTTGACTTGATTTTGTGTGCCTACAACGTGGTTCCAGAGTCATGTAATTGTGTTTGCAAAATTTATGTTAGAGTCATCAATGGCCGACTCTTTGCTATGTCACACATACCTTTCATACCATTGACCCTTTTCTCACACTAATCACTAAACTCATCATGGCTGAATGGCAGGTATCTTTTGAGGGCATACTTGCTCTCCATCAGACCGAATGTTTGGCTGCATCTCAGGACGCATGTCGAGGTATTGTGAGGACAGTCCAGGACCATATTATTGCCAAAAACAAATCACAGGATGAATTGGTTGAGTTATCAAAGGCATTGAAAAAAGTGTGATCAAATTTTTGTGTATTTAATAACTAATTTTACAGTAATACGAAGGCTATCAGGCGATACTACCTCCAATTTTTGACTGACGAGGATGACTTACGGCTGGAATAAAAGCTTTTAGGAGATGAGCCAGAGGATGAGATATCTACCTTGTCCCCCAAGGAAAGAGAGGCAGCAGCCTGTCCTAAGGATGCAGCCTTCTACAAGAAGGCAGTTACTGACTGGGACGTTGCCCAGAAGCTATTTAAGCAGGAGATTGACGAGTATGACAAGGAGGAACAAGCGAAGTTAGGGGTGAAGAATGAAATCAAGTATAGAACCAGTCATGCTAGAGATTGGTTCAAAAACATGACCCCTGCACAACAGAAGGAGGTTGAGAATGCAAGGGAAAAGTGAAATAGGGATGGTGCTCCTCTGGAATCCCAGACGATGTGAGTATCTAAAATAACTATTCTAATGCTCGGATTAACTGCCTTGGCAGGTATCGAAAGAGGTACCTCAAAAGAATTCTCGATGACTTCACTGAACAAATGTGTCGTACTATGGGATGTCAGGTTATGATCCTAGCTAGTCACAAGAAATCTGCTGACCAGACTCTAAATGTCATCGTGTGAGTGTATTTTTAGCACTTTGGTATTACGGTATAATGACACTTTGCTATTATTATTTAGTCATGAGTCGAAGCCTGTCAACAGTAAAAAACCCTTTACTCAGAGTTCATGAGGGAATAAGGAATGGATCTCTGAAGGGTTTGAAAAATTTGCAGAATGGTCTAAGTTAGAATTTTGTGAGTGTCTATTGTTCTAAGAATTTTACCTTATTTAAGAAAAATTGAGACCCGGATGAAAATGATGACCAGTCAACTGATGATGAGGAGGATGACGGCAAGGTCAGCCCACCTGAAGTCATTTTGGACAAAAAAGGGTACCCGAAGCTTCCCTCCTGAGCTGGAGTTAGCACCAGAGGGCAACAAGAATTGGTGCATCAGATATTCTGTGCATCATACAGTGAGTATTTGTCTGCTTCACTGGTTTTTGTGGAACCTATGATACATTATACAGAGGTCTTTACCGACACTAACAAACTGGTGCCTTGGCGCGAGGTGGTGGCAAAGCCCTTTCTCTACCTGGACCTCAATTCGATCCCAGAAGGCTTCATCTTGAGAGTTCCATCTCATATGAGGGCCCTGGGCTCACTGGCAGGCTAGGAAGGAGGAAAATAAGAAAATGGTGATATTCATTGCAGGTAAAATAGGTGATATGAGCAAGGAGCTCCTTAGGGACGCGGTTCCCCACCAGGAGAAAACGAAGAAGATGTATGTCAAAATTGAGCCGGTCAGTTCCTCCAAAAGCAAGTCGGGTGGAACACCATCTACGTCACGTAGGGCAAACCTAGTCAAGGGTGCAAATGAGTTGGCCGCAGCAGCTTCCACGGGTCGTACGACAGCAATGGCCAGCCGACCTTCAGGTGCTCAGGAGGGTGCTCCTGCAATGGTGCCTATGAAGGATCGAATCCCATTCTTGAAGTCTCTGAGCAGCAACAATGAATACCTTCTTTTAGTTGAGGGCATCAGAGACTTGGGCAAAGTATGCTGTCAATTGACCGAGTGATACTTCATACTGACTGAGTCCAGGAACCAAATTTTAACCAGCAAAAAGAATGGCCTGCCTGGGCAACTTGGTCCTGGGAAGAGTCTTACCTTCCGAATGATGTGCACTGTGTGGATGGTGAGGTGCAGAAGTTTTTAGAGACAGTTGCATCTATCAAGATCTCTGGCTTGCCATCCGCAATGCGAGTTACACTTGGTCTTGGATTGCTGCTTAGGGAGTGTAAGCGAGCCATTGAATATGAGGCTGATGAGGTCACCTTCCAGACTCCCAGTTACATTAGCACCTTGATCTTGGATATCAAGGTGCTTGACCTGGTCGTAGAGTCGGTTAACAAGGTCAGAGGCAGACTTATGCATCTACTGAAGTCGAAGGATGTTCAGCAGGAAAGTTCTATACTCAATAACACTGCTGGTGGAGGTGGACTTGGAGCTGAAGATGATGCTCATGATCACGAAGATAGTGTGAAGGGAGTTGTCGAGGCAGAGATGAGGCAGAAGCTAGCAGATGAGTTGCAGATGCTTGAGGAGAATACTTCCAGGAATGAGAAGTTGAAGGAGGAGAATCGGATGCTTGAGGCCACCATGAAGGAGCTGCAGGACACCAGTAGGCTCCTAGAAAACCAGGAGGAGGAGGACGAGAGGCGGTTAGCTGAAGAACAGAGAGTTGAGGAGGTGGAGAAAGATGAGGAGGGCAAGGAGGGCAAGGACATGGAGGTGGAGGTGGAGGTGGAGGTGGAGGTGGAGGTGAAAGAGAAAAAAAAGAGCCAAGTCCAGTGGTTCTCGAAAGCCATCCAAGAAGGTCAAGGTTGATATCCATCGATCCTCCAGATCTAGGCAGCCCACTAAGAAAGCCATGAAACTTTAGCATTTTATCACATGGCTCATGTTATATTGCTCACACCTATATCACCTTGTTGGTATCAATGTATATCAAATATAATGATATTTTGCTCTGTCTAACTGGAGATACATCTTAGAGATGTTTGATATCTGGGCAGTACAGGTCCTACACCTCTGGCTGGACAGGGTCTACGGGCCAGCTCCCTCTCATTTGATGTCTGGCCAGTACAGGTCCTACCCCTCTGGCCGGACAGGGTCTACGATCCAGCTCCCTCTCATTTGATGTCTGGCCAGTACAGGTCCTACACCTCTGGCTGGACAGGGTCTACGGGCTAGCACTGGTCCTATGTCCATAGCTGATACCTAGTATATAGCTAGTCACATATTACTGTACATGCCTCTATGTGCTGGCCAGTACCACATATATGTGAATTTAGTACAGCCGGCCAGCCTCTGGCTGCACAGCTTCTATGACCTTTTGGCATGTCCGGGGTACAGGTTCTATGTTGGGCTTTGACTGAACTATGTGGGAGACGCGAGGCTCTACAACAGCAGGAGACTTTAAAATCTGACTGTCCCCAGTCAGCACGTGTGCGCGTTCGCGCGCATGGACTTAGAGAAAATTTTGATGAGAGGTGTCATGTGATTGCGGTCCATATTCCAAAAATGAAGTGCTGGCAATCGACCTTGTGACCTCGAAAATTAGCGTGGATGCTGACATAATTGTGGTTAGCGCATTTAAAAGAGCACTATGTGGCAATGCATTGTTCTCTCATCTTTCGATTAACCACGACAATCCAATCATCCTTTTACTATGACCAACTTTGACTTATCTTTGCTTGACCCTCCTTGCTCACCTTTGCCTGAGGCTGAGGTGCCTATCGAGGCTGTGCTGGTGGTTGAGGAGCTGGCTCAGGAAATTCCTGAGGCTGCGCCTGTTGTCGAGTCCACTGGCGACCATGTCCTCCGCATTGGGAACGCGCTCCTTCCATCAGTGGGCATGTTGTTGGGCTCACGTCCAGAGCTCCTCCAAGAGCGTCTGGAAGATATTGAGTTGTGGCTCTGCGAGTGGGTGCACTTTGAGGTGAGTGGCACACGTCTTTTCGCGTCTTAGTCTTATTTACTGATTGACTGTACTAATCTTTATAGGCTAATGCGCACGTCTGCACGTGCGATGCGCTGGAAGCTGAGGTGCTCCTTCCTATCGGTGATGAGGAGAAGGAGATTCTGTGGGACCTTAACAAGTGGGTCGGAGTGGCAAGGAAAATGGTGAGCAGGTGGAAGGAGGTGGCAGAGAAGATTATGGCAGAGGCGCGCACGGCTCACGCAGCGAAGGAGAAGGGGAAGGGAAAGGAGAGGGAGGAGAACCCAGACATGTGTAGACCTGTGAGTGTCTTTTCGTTCTTTCCCTCGCATCTGGCTAACTTTTGATCTGCATTGACAGAAGGCTGGTGGGCATATGTCAACTGCACAGAAGACACTTGACCCTCCCTGTGAGAACTGCATGCAGCATGGGGTCAAGTGTTTGCAGGGCAAGAACGCGTGCTGTGGGCCTTGCGAATGCTCACACCAAGCATGCAACTTTGGTGAGTGGTCTTGTTATGTTAGTTTGTGAATGATCTAACATTTGTGATAGCTACCAAGCGCAAGGTGTCCAAGACTGCTGCAGTGCCACACGAGGTGCCTCATGTGGCCAAAGAGCGCATTCCGATGGTCGAGCTGACCACGGCTGATGATGCCGGCGACTCTGGCAAGTCTGAGGTGGAGGTCCAGGAAGTGCCAAAGAAGGTGTGCCCTGCACCCAGGCCGGTGAAGCCTTTGCCCGTGCGCACCACTGCAGGGCCTTCGAGGATTCACACTGATGATTCAGACGACAAGCACCTTCGCGCCGACAACAAGTGTCTTCGGGCAGACAACGAACATCTGCGGGAGGAGGTTGAGAAGTTGCGCAGTTCGCAGGACGACTACAACCAATTCATGCACAACCTGAACTATCAGGCGCGCAAGCAGCAACAAGAGCTCATCATGATGAGCAACCACCTTTACTCTTTCTCAGATGAATGGAGGGTGATGGGGCAGGAGATGGACGATTTTGTTGTGGGGCAGGAGTGTGCATGGAAGTAGATAGATGCTACTATACCCTTGTTCTTTTTCTTCTCTGCACGCCGCCTTCACACTTGTACTATACATTTATTCACCTGTGCGCAAATCACGCTTACTATACTTTTTCCTTGCATGCTGTACAATATAGTCGTTTCGCATCGTGCCAATTATAAGTCCATGTGATCTTCCCCTAAGTCCTAGTCCGGTTCCATGTCCATGTCCAAAGAGTCCATTGGGCCTGGATATCAATTAAATAGTACTTGTGAGCGAATGTGGTATAGTTAGAATGAAAAGGAAGGATAATTAGCGATATATGCGTGATTGTGTGAGCTTCGCGCTCGACTTGTCTTCTTTGTGCGACTGTCTGTGTCTATTCCTGCTGTGTGTCATATCCCGCATTCCGGACCTGGACGTATCACACACATCATTTCTGGATTTCCAGATCCGACCCGCGTCTAACTTCCGTGCCTAATCCCTTTGTATGTTCCTATTCCAGTTAGACTATATTATTTTCCGTACCTCATTTCACTTCCGCCTTTATTTTCCTCTGTTCTCATCTCCAGGTTCATTTACTATTTTCGATAGACTAGCGTTTGACTTTTCTATAACCTCCGTCCACAGCCTCACATAGCTTCGGACTGCGCTGGCTTGTCCTCCATTAAGTCCTCCATAGTATATAAACCCTGTAGAATCTATGTACATCTTTAGTTCGAATATTATCTTAGACTCTGCTCATTCTCCCCTCCGTTTGACTTGAGTTATTCTCTCGTCGACCTCCGCTAGTCTTAGGGTCGATCCCGATAGACTTATCACCTCTGCCTCTACCTTTGGTAGTCCTCCGCTGTTTCCTTTCTAGTTCGGCCATCGTCTGGATTAGTCTTATCACCTGTTCCCAAACATCCACCGGAATTCCTGCACATCGGACAATCGGAATCTGGACATCGTCCATTAGCCTTCGGAAGTTAGGGGCACGTACTCGGTGTAGCGATGGTCGTGGTGTTGGGCTCAAAACCACGTATTTCCATACTCGCGCCAACACCTGAAACATATGCGCACATGTCTGACGCACTTTCGCACATGTCCAAGCCACTCCGTATCGGATCTGGCACATCGGACATTCGGACATTGCATCGGCCGATCGCACTTCGCGCGCACTTGTCCATCCCGTGTCCTGTCCATCCGAACTAGCCTCACTAGGTGCATAGTTATTCCCGTGCACGTTTTCTGACACTTGTACCGCGTTATTACATGTCCGCAGCACCTCGTGTCTTATTACATAGGACATCAGACCCAAAATATATCGCTACTATCTTCGCCTGTAGTTTTCCAAATTTCTACATACTTACTTAAATACTCTGTAGTGACCCGTAGCAATCATCATCCAGGAGTTAGGAGCCGTTTCCTGACTCTGCGGATCACCCAGAATATTCTCGTAGTTCTTAGTTGCAATTGCGAAATATTACCATTTGTTCACTGTCATACTCCATCACTTGTTATACTTGCGCATACCGCTTGCAATCCAACACTCGTTATAAAGTTTCCAACCCATTATTGTGAAGTCTGAAAGTCCGAAATCTCAGACATCGCACTTTGGCTTTGGACATCAGATAAGTACCTTCGGACATCATTGGATTACCTTCGGACATTGTTTCGCACCATCAGACATTTAGTTATTTGCATTACTGACGCATTTTTACTACTAATACCAATTAGCAATCCCTTTAGGATCGAACGCACTTGCTCTGCAAGTATAGCAGCATAGGTCATGCTAAGATCTACCTAAATATTTGTTGTCTAGGTAGTACAATTTCTGCTGAGCCCAGCAGGAATCAGCTTTCTACATCGGGTAAGGGGCGCAGCGCACAAGCTGAAGCCAAGCCCTTCGGATTGAACCTTTGAGCACAATCTTAACACTGTGAGTGATTATAGTGATCAGGTATAGTCTACATAAAATGTGCGTGGCACGGCTTCACGCATTCGAAATAGAAGGTCTATGTGGATGGTTATGCGCACGTGAGTCAATTAGGAGAACCTATCTGTATATACTGTTTTGGGTATTACGCGTGATGCACGCAATATAATAGAGTCTGTTTGTGTTATGTTCAGTGAATGCATGGGTTATATGCGAGATGCAAGAGAGAAACTGAGGTCACCAGACAAAACCCGGGGTGAAACTGAGAGTAAATACTTCTAGTGAGACTGTGTTTTTGTGTTTTCTTTATTTTTGCGATGTTTTTGTTATTGTGATTGCGGTATGATATGTACGAGGGCGAGTGTCAAGAATTTGGGAATGCGGGGGTGCGGATATGAGAGTACACAATGAGCGAGCCTCCGCACGCTATTTGTCCTGCGCGCGCTCGGGTTCATCTTTATCGGGTTCTATAGTTTTATTAGCTTCCAAGTGGTCTATACTTTTGTTGTCTGTAATTGGCGCGCGCACCATGCTATAAGGTCAGCGGTGGTAAATGCGCCTTGGCTCGGCTCGGCAAAGGAGCAAGAAAGGTAGCTTCAGCTAAATCAAACGGAAAAATAGGCTCAACGCCATGAACCATGAAATAAGGTGAAAGGCCCGTCACGTAATGAATAGTCATGTGCTCAGCCCAGAAAACAGAATGAACAACTTGATACCATCGCGAGTCATCACCGTCGCAACTTTTGATGATGGCCTCCCGGACATCCCAGTGTCGTCTTTCAACTACACCGTTCACCTGCGAGTTATACAGTGAAATGCGAATCAGGTGAATCCCGTACTTTCGTGCGAGTTCATCTACCACGAGTCTATACGCGGGGCAGTTATCGGTCACGATCTCAGTGATTGGACCCCATCTGCAAAGGAGTGATTCGAAAATGAAAGCAGTTAGCATTTTGGTATTCTCTTTGTGCAACATGCACCATTTGGGGTACGACATTAGTGTGCAGCGCGCTTGCACAAGATACTCAAATCTGCCCACTCTGGGCATCTTCATCGTGTCAATGTGCGCTTTGCAAAACAAACCTCCTGGTATCGGAACCGTCGGTGGGATATGCAAATTTCGCATCTTGTGAACCTGACAATTGTGGCACGTTCACGCGTACCACTTAATGTCTTCGATGATGTGCAGCCACCAAAAGCATAGTAGCAACCACACACGCGTGGTATAAACACCTTTATGTCCCAGATCATCATGCACTTCCTTAAGAAGGCAATATCGCTTGCGCGGCGGTGCTACTAGCTGGTGCTTTCTGTGGGGTTCTCTTCACCAGAGGTTGCCCTCGAGAACAAAGAAACATGTGGCATAGTTGATGAATGCTGCAAATTCGTGATCTGAAAGGTCAGCAGGTCTTTTGCACGAAATGAGAAACTTTTTGGTTAAGACGAGCAACATGTCTAATGCTTGCGCGGCCTCTGAGCGAGGGATGATTGGCTCTGGTTCTTCTTCCAGCGTGACATCTAGGAAGACGCGATGTACTGGTGCGCGCAAGTCAAAAGACATGTGTGCATTCTGATGCGCATGGCGGATGAGTTTCACGCAACTGCTCACAATGTGTTGCATTCTATCGTTTAGTATTGTGACTCCAAATGAGTACACGCAATCTATCCAATCTTCGTGGTCATCGTCCTCCTCGAGAGGATCCTCATCAGCGAGTGGCCTCCTTGAGAGACCATCAACGCCTTTGTGTTTTGTTGTGGATATGTGAATGAGTTTGAATGAAAATAATAGAATGCCCGTGATCCATTGATTGATGGTCGTGTTAGGTTGCAGATCCGGATTATTGATCATACCTTTGATATATTTTGCATCAACTTCAATGGTGAGATTCTTGACTCCGAAAATGAATACGTGAACTGTGTGAAGCGCATGAAAGAGTCCATAGAGCTCTAGCTTTGCTTGCGAGTATCAGCTTTCCACCTCGTTCAGCACTATGCTGCCAAAATGATTAGGATATTGCTTGCCATCTGCGCCTACTTGCAACAGAATGAACCTGATCGCAATGTTGGATGTGTCAATGGCGAGGATGATTTCGCACTCATTCTTATAATTGAGGCAGCAAAGAGCGGGAGACTCTAATACTGAGTCCTTGAGCATCTGATACAATTCACGTTCTTCAGGTCTGAAGACGAACAGAACATCTTTCCTGGTGAGATTAGTTAGTGGGCGCGCCTTGCACACAAAATCATGGATGAAAATGCATAAAATGCCGCAGGTTCCCGAGAAACCATGGACTTGCGACTGCTTGGTAGGCTCTGGCTAATCTCGTATCTTCTGGACTTTAGTGTCTTTGGGTATGCGACCCTCGAAAGTACACTTATGTCCGATGATGACTGCGCTCGGCATGGCGAGAACAAACTTTGTCGTGCTGACTGTAACACCGACATTTTTGAGCCGCTGTAAGATGCAATGCATGATGGTTAGATGCTCCCAGATGAAGTGACACATGCCGGGGTTTTCAGGTATGGTCTCATAAGTACCGTCTGCGAGTTCATATTGCGTCTCAATGGACTTTTTTTTTAAAAAAAAAAATCCAATTTCTGTCCATTTGGGGTGTGGTACCCTATGTAGGACAATACTAACTAGGAAAGGGGGACACCTGTGTCCCCCACTGCGTCTTTGCAAATGCCCTGGTGAAGGGTGACCTCCACCAGTCCGCCATTCCTGCCGGCTGTTTTAGATGCGCAAGTCTTCCAATCCGCGGGACCATTGCTGTGCAGTTCGTGTTGAAAGGGTCCCTGGCGTGTGCTGAAGATGATACAAGTACTCAAGTCGCTATGTGACTGTGTACGGTGGTAATGATGGAGTGCGGTGCTGAAAGAAAAGGAAGGTGGGGAGGGTGTTTTACAGGTGCATATGGACACACTGATTAGATGAGTGGGCGTCACTGTATTTGTTCAAGTCTAGCCTCTCCCTCGATCTCTAAATCAACATCCTTCTGAACTACCATCTGAACTTCTCCTTGAGTCCTACTTCCCTTCATTGATGAGTGATGCTTCGGAATCTCATCCTGTAAAATAAAGGCTACATCGCCTTGGAAAATCTGCGCTG